CCCTAACAATAACCCTAACCCTAACAATAACCCTAACCAAAACAATAACCCTAAACCAAAACAAAACCCTAACCCTAACCCTGCTGCGTTTAAAGTGTAGTCAGCGCGGCATCCAGTATCAAGCTTCTGGATGGGTCTATCAAACGCTGTCAGCTGGCCGAGTCAAGCATGTAGGGCCCGGGGTGCCGCTGCTGTTCCTCAGGCAACCTGTTTCTTCAAATTTCCCAGCTTGCGGTTCATGAGTTCGAGACAGCAGGTGAAGTAATAAACAGTACGATAGCCGCAGACTATTGAGAGACAATCATGCGATGCAGATGAAACTTGAAGACATCCACAGCCTGCTTTCAAAATTTCGAGTAGAGTTTTTGCTACTCTCTAAGCACCGTCGCTCTCCGCGCCTCGTCTACAGAGATGTCCGTGGCTTGTGAAATGGCGTACGCAACTTGATCCATGCAGTCTGCAGGAATGTGAACATTCGCTGCCGAACCCATCACGCTGTCGAAATTGTCAAGATAGCCCTCGACACTATTGCTGCGGTGGCCTGGAAACGTCGCCAGTGTCGTTCGCGCGGCGCGGCCACCACCCACACTGAACAGTTCGCCCGACACGGCGCAGCGCTCGTCCGCCAAAGCCCCTACAAATGTGGCGACTTGGGAAGCTTCGAAGTATTGCGAGGTGATCTGCTTGATGACCGGTGACAAGTCGGACATTCTTGAAGCCGCAGACGGCAGGACGCCGTTGATGGTGATGCCGTGCTTGAGGCTCGCCTTGCCTAGATCCTTGGTCAAAGCAAACACCGCGCCTTTGGAGGAGGCGTATCCGCCATCGCCTCCACCGCCAAAGCCGTAGATGGAGTCGGAGCTAGTGTTGACAATGCGGCCGTACCCTTGTTCCACCATCAGAGGCCAGACGGCCGAGATGAGCAGGTTGGTGCCGTACGCCGCGATCTCCCAGGTACGACGAAAGGAAGGGCCATTGAAGTCGCGTCCAACATCACTCATCTGACCGGCTGTGCCGGCGTTGTTGATGAGGATGTGGATGCCCTGATGAAAAGCACGCTGTGCCGTCTCGACAATCTCAGGAACCTCGGCGTCGAGCGACACGTCATGTCCGTCGGCCACCGCTTCCCCGCCCGCCTGCTGGATCTCGTCGACGACCTTCTGCGCACGAGATGTCCCCCCTTTCTGCCCGTCCAGAGAGCCACCGTAGTCGTTCACCACCACTTTCGCCCCTCGAGACGCCAACAGGAGCGCATACTCCCGTCCCAAGCCGCCGCCTGCGCCTGTGACAATGGCAACCCGTCCGGAAAGTGGGAGCGTACGGGCCATGGCGGTCGATGATGGTCGTGTACTTCAGTTTGAAATTGTGACTTGAAGATTGGGAGGCAGGCACTGAAGCAATCTTCAGCGTAGCTGTTCTGGCCGGAAGTGTAATGGCAGGCCCAGTCTCGACTCGAGTCAGCTTCATTGCGTCAATCAAAGGCACGTGACGAACGATTCAAGCACTGAGCTAACGGACATGGAAGGCATATGCGTCTAGAAGTGTGCGAGAGACTCTGATCTCAAGCGTTTACTGTCGCAAACCCAGCTGCAGAGCTCAGCTTGCTTTGAAGACATGGTGACTGGCCCTGGAAGATCGTCCAGGCCTGTGGAGAGAGTCACGGACGATGCTCTCTCAACCTGGGCTACGGGTAAAGTCGCCATCATCACCGGTGCAGCGTCTGGTATGTCACCGCACTCAGCAAATGACCCCCCCGCTAACAGTAGTTCAGGCATCGGACTTGCGCTTTCACGAATTCTTGCCAACGCAGGTGCTAGAGTTGTACTCGTAGACCGGGACGAGCAGCTGTTGTTGGAGGCTACACAGTCGCTCAACAACGAGCAAGCTTCCAGCTTCCAATGCGACATCACTTCCTGGGCGCAGCAGGCTTCGCTCTTGTCACACACCGTCGAGAGGTTTGGACCTCCGCACCTGGTGTGTCTGAACGCCGGCACCAACCCTGAGCTTGCGTACGTCAGCGGGCAGGCGGGAGCAAAGGCAAGCGTGCAGTCGAACTACCTTGCGAACGACACCGGAGCGTCTGGATCTGGCGAGCTTGCACAGCCTTCCGACTTGGTGTTCGACGTCAACGTCAAGGGCGTATTGTATGGCATCAAGCTTGCGCTACACCACGCCGCTGTGAGCTCCACGACTGGCCTTCACATCATCGTCACTGGCTCTGCAGCTTCTTACATCGGGTTTCCGCTCCAGGACGTTTATGTGACTTCCAAGCACGCCGCCCTAGGTCTCGTTCGAGCGACATCACGGAGGCCAGAGGTGCTGGAGCGGCAGGTGGTACTCGCCATGGTAGCTCCGTGGTATACGCTGACACCAATGGTGAGTGACGTGTCCGTCTCTGAGGATGTTTCACAGTCGGCGAGCCAGCCGGAGGATGTGGCATGGGCAGTGGCCACTTTAGCCTCGACCTCAGGTGAAGGTGCGAATGGGAAATGCGTGTGGGTGAGAGGAAAGGAGTGTGTGGAAGTCGAAGATTTATATCAAGCGTGGCTAGACTCGCTGTGAGTGTCTTGGTAATCCCTCACACTGATCATCTCGCCTTACAGCAAGCCCACAGTAAGCCATTCTACTCACGTTGTACGCCCGTTCTTGATGTTCAGCTTCTGCATTGTCCACGCAGCACTGATCCAATCTGGATCCACAATGTCCACCTACCCAGCGCCGTATCCGGCAGCCAACTCAGTCTTAGATTGTTCGGGACTTGGATAGTCCTTAGCCTCGTATTACAAACGTTCATTGTTCTGATTGATGTCTTCTCACGAGGGCGAAGACATCGTTGCAGGTGTGAAAATCAGGCAAAAGGTGGGAATTCCAGAGGGCAAAGTTATATGGAAACCGAACTCGCATATGAAAGTGGCGACTTCATGACCTACTTCATCTTCCCGTGATCTTCAAGCTACGGGCCCTTGGACATGATTCTAAGGACTTTGGGCTGAGGTTTCCGTTGGCCGACTCCAAAGAGCTGGAGACATGCTGGTTCAGAATGGTCGTGCGGCTGCGAGCGTGATCGATCACTGATAGCCATCACCTCCCATCTCAACCAATCTCGGTGATCCAACCGCAAGAAATGATGTTCTGCCTACATTGAGTACGAATAGAGAGGACGAAGGGTTCCAGGTGTCGTCAAAGAGAACTCGGGGCATTTCTCATCCCGGCCTGCGGAGAGTCCAGCACACTTCCCTCCCCATCACCACGACAGCACAGCTCGACGACTCCAGAAAGCATACAAAGCATGGTATAGTCCTGACAACATGGGCGCCCGCCTCTCCCAACCTCGCGGCCCTGGGGGCACCACAGAGGCGTCTACCCCGGCCAAGGAGCCACCTCCACCCACACCCAAACGTCCATTCCCTAGACAAATCAACAGCCGTACCATCGTCGCTCCCGTCGCCGCCTTCACCATGGCCTGCATCCTCTTCGTGTACGCCCGCACGAGCATTCGCGCAGCCAAAGCAAACGCCCAGCGGCACCGCGATGCTGATAGTGGAGGGGAAGGTCTCTCACTGCTCCAAGAGCATCGCCGCAGACACGGCACCCAGCAGCGTGTGGACCAAGGAGGCAGCACTGTCTCACAGTTGGCAACTGAAGCCCGATCGCAAGTATTTGGGAAGGAGGCAAAGGACGAAGGGGGCAAGAAGCGGTTTGGTGGATCGAGCAGCGAAGAGGAAGAGAGACGGAGAGCGTTGAGGAATGCAAGGGTCTCAAGGAAGGATGCGTGATCGCTTGAACAACGCTGAAGATCAGGATGGAGGTGATATGGGGCCAACACTCCGCTCAAAGCAATAAGAAGGATCGTCGGCCATCAATCAGCGGTGTGGACGGAGAATTCACCAGCCACAACGGCGGTAGTGTAACCGCATCGTCAACCCGCAATGCCTTTTTAGAGAACGAGGCTTGACAACTCCTACTCGAGCACTGGGCCCAGATGAGCACTCGCTGGACGGAACGAGCTTACATGGTGGCCACCTGGCCAATCCGCACGCAACTTCATCCTACTGTGTGATGTACATCCTGCAGGCATGCTCGATCTCGCTGGGCTGCGTGCTTGCGTACGAGATGATTGAGCAATGTGATCGGATCCTGAACGATGCGTACATGGCAATGCAGAACACACCAGGCGCAACACGAGCTCTCGCCATGCGCAATCTCTCAGATCAAGGCTGCCTACTCCGCCAACGTCGCAGGCACGCCAGTCGACTTCGAAAACGACAGTGGGCTCAAACTTCTCTACACGAAGGCCACGCTACCCAAATCCTCCTCGTCACAATCGTCAACCACCATCACAATCACAACTCACAACTTTTGGCTATCTCAACGTCATCAAAGCGACACTTCCACCCTTGACCCTCATTGAATGCCCTCCAGGTCACGGTGACGACAGCGGCCAGCCGGCGCTCCTCCCTTGCGGTATGACGCTCAGCAACCGCATACTCCGGCCGCCGGCCGACAATGACCTCGGCATTCACTGTCGCACCTCTGTGCAGCGTGTGGAAAGGAGTAGAAAACTGATGGAAGCTCTCTCGATGTTTGCGGTGGTTGCAAAGAGCGCACATTCCGCAGTGAGTCGTTTCAGAAGCATCACTGTCCCAAGCACAAGGTTATCTGTCAGCTCCCGAAGGCGAAGGTCGGGAAATTTTTCGACAGCATCTCACTCAGCTTCAAAGGCGACGTCAACTCGATGAGGGATGAGCCGAATCTCAAACATGGACTTTGGGGGGATGTTTGTGTGAAGGCATGCTTCTGTTTGTACCTTCAACGACGCTGTTCTGTGCTGAGGTGGACGACTAGAGAGTCAACCCGAACGCCATAGCGTCTACTGCAACCGTTGAGCAGATGGAAGGAGGTGACGGCGGACAGCCTATTGCTTTGCTCAGTCGTAGGGAGGTGTCCACGTTTCAGCGTATGTAGAGCGTTTAATCTCTCGAACGCTGCCCAACTTCCATCTACTCTCGATGCGTTGCACTCGATGAGCACCTCCAACGAGATATTCTTGGAAGTGGACATGCCCAAGTATAACCTGCCATCCCTCCCAGCTCGGTAGACCCATGGCTGTCTGTCTTGCACTGCCAAACGCTTGACGACAGCGTTCCGGTCTGTATCATCAGTTCTTGCTTATTACTACTGTCTAGACCAGCTGAACTATCCCTCAAAACCGGCCCCGGATGATCCAGAGCCTCTTGTTTGCATGCTTCACGAGCCCCGATTGTTACTTTCAGTCGGTTCTCAAGCGAGATAGCGCGCAGCTGACGACCGAGAATGTAGAGTGCTCTGGAGCAGAAACCCCAACATCACTTCAATCGTGTGTGTCCGGGGAGCAGCAGCGTCCAGATATGATGATTGCGGCTGCATCATGTGCTGCGTGACCAAGAGGAAAAGGATGCTACTCAATGGCTTCAGCTGATCGTACTGGTCGGCTACACTCCAACGATCTCCTCAGGCGGAGCGGAGGTAGGGCAAAACACAGGCAAGCACATATAGATGGTTCCAAGGCATCTCAGACCTGGACCTCATCCCTCTTCTGCATTCCAGCCCTCAGCCTCCAAACTATACGAAGCCGGGTCTTGCTTCGGCGACCTTGATCGAGCTCAACCGCCAACCATGCATCCATCCTACTTGATCGGCCTCATGGCCTTCGTGGTAGCGCCTGGGGCTTCTGGCTGCAGTCTCGGACACGAACGCTGCCACCATCGAGCGGACTTGGGCTTACCAGTGGTCGTACGTTCATGTATCTACGCAGTGTAGTGAAGAGAGTAATTTCCCTACACAGCAATATGCGCTGCCTTGAGCCACAGCAAGTCTGTCGAGACTATCCAGAAGGTCACCGCTGGGTCCATAAGCAGACATGCTTCTACGGATGTTGGTGCTCGCAGATCGATGGCTGCCACTGCAACACCAACCCGGACTGCCACCCGAGCTGCTCGGAAGAAGAACTCGCAGAACTCGAGAGCACTAGCCAGATTAACATCAAAGGCGAGACCGACAAGGAAGCGAAGTGAGTAGACATACGCGCTACGGTCCCTGGATGTTGTTTGGAGTAGGGTCGGCGACATTGCTGGGAGGGCTGCATGCCTCTGAGTCGGGGGTGCGGTATATGGTGGGTTTGTGTCGGAAGTTATAGCGGTGGTGGTCCTAGGATGTTCTGACCAAAGTTATTCGTTTTGTTGAGACGAGCACTTCATGTCCACGAAGGAAGTTTCAGGTCGCCAGGCTTCTTGCTCGATAGGCCCAACCAGGGCTCCGCCGCCGCAGCGAAAGCAGGCCACTGTTCCTTGGACAGCACAAACAGATCGCTAAGTTGGCTCTTCTCCGGCACCAGCAGCGAGTTCCGAAAGAACCCATGAAGTGTCCACGCTGGTGGTGTGAAGCTGTCCCGGTCCAGAGTGCCATTCCTCGATTCAACCACGTCTTGATGTTGCACTTCAAACATGTAGCGCATGACGAGAAAGATTGCTTCCAAGTCGATATCTGTTCTCAAAGTGCTGCCCAGAAATCGCGCAATCTTTGTCGTCTTGCTGTCTTCGCCACGTTGTAGTACCATCCAGTTCACCAGATGGCCCGTGGAACGAGACACGGCGACAAAGGGACGCAGGCCCCAACCTCTGCCATCAGAAATAAGATGGGTTAATGTGCCAGGATCACGGCAGTCCCAACCGTAGGTCTGAATGAGGAGTCTTCTGTTCTCAGGACGATGGGCGATTGTGTCTTGCCAGAGGGGAGCTACATGCTCGGGTGTCATCGGAAGCATGATCACAGACGGGCCGTGGCAGGAGATGTCAGCGAGAAGTCCATTAGAAAGGCATGGTAGACTGGCTGGGGAGGAGTCCGGCTCTCGAGATGAGGTGGGTGAGTTTGTAGACCAGCCTGCGTCTGTGCTGCCTGCTGCCGACCATGTCTGGCCATTGCGCGAGGTCGCCATTACGGGGTTTCCACAATTGTGAGCAGATGTGAGGAATCTCAGGCCTCTGCGTCAGCTCCAGGACAACCCGATGTCGTGCTGAGTGAAGGTGGAACGGAAGGAACGAGCGGGAGCGTGCCTCTAGTTCTAGAACCATCGCTTGGTCCGGAGGTGGCATCTGTCATTCAGACTCCGCATCCTCCTCTCTTCCTGCGCTACCAGTCATCAAGCGCACTCACTTGGGGACCGTCGGTCTTCCTGACATATCATCAACTCGGAAGGACGAAGTAGTGGAATGACGACTCGCCAGCTGCGAGACCGGCGCAAGGTTTGGGGCAAACAGAGGAGCAGCTGCAAGTACAGTCAGACTGGTACGGACATCTATTTCATCAACGTCGACTAATGGCTCACTGAACGCTGTGAGCCCAGTTGGGGCATCGAACAGCAAAACCGATGTATTACGTGAGGTGGTCGATGGTCTCACAGCGGCTTATGGTCAAAGTCCAGGGACTACATATATGATACAGCTTCACCTCTTGCATAACTGAAAATGTTAAAGCCACGATTTCAAAGCCTGCCAACTCCACCCATCTACCATGGCCGACAGACCAGTCGCTACACGCACAGTAGCGCAAAAGCGGATCTTCATCTTCGACTCCCCCCGAACACGCTCGCAACTTTTCAACAAGATATTCGCTGTACACCCCCAGCTCCATCAAATCTTCCATCCCTTCTACCCAGCCGGAAGCCTTGGGCCAGAGCGACTCATTTGTCGATTCCGGCAGTGCGATGCAGCGGACGAGGTACAAAAGGTCCTTGCGGCGACCGAAGGGGCAGAACAGGAGACTTACCACAAATGCATGGAGAGCCTGATTGAGAATGTGAACCAAACTGAGACCGGAGGTGAGAAGGTTGTATGGATCAAGGAGCATGTTGTGGCATGTCTCCAGCCAGAGATGATCTCAGGTCTGATCTCCGGAGAGACTGGTTCGCACGATGGATCGAAACACACAAACATTTCTGTCATGCCGGACGACTTCTTGGACACGCTCACACCAGTCTTTCTCATCAGGCATCCGGCCCTGATGATACCCAGCTGGTACCGGGCGCAAAGGCTGACTCTCCAAGAAGAGGTTTCCGACGAATCTTTCCGCGTCTTCTCCTCACTCAAGTGGGCAAGGATGATGTTCGAACTCGTCCGCTTCCGAAGTGGCCGCTCACCTCTTGTTCTAAATGGTGAGGACCTGGTCGCAAGGCCAGATATGATTGTCCAGGAAGTTTGTCGCACTCTCGACCTGGACCCAAAGCAAGTACAACTGCAGTGGAAACCCGTTCCGAAGGACGAGCTAGATGCAGCAGACTTCATGCGACGACACTTCTTCGGAGATCTAATGACTTCAGATCGCATCAAGACAGGACAGGCTGTAAGTGGTCAACTTCCATCTTGGACTTTGCGTTGACTGACCTCGTGATCAGAAGCAAACAGTCGACCTGGACGAGGAGGAAAGAAGCTGGTCGGCCGAATTTGGAGTGGAAGCGGCTACGACGTTGCGGCGACTAGTCGATGAGAACATGGAGCATTATGACTATCTCAATCAATACGTGCCAAAGACATAGATGATAGGTAGTGTGGACTGACAGAAGACACATACCATTGTGGTCTTGCAGGGCACTTCCGCTCCACTCTTGTAGCGCCATAGCACGAATGTCCAGCAAGATGCAAAGTGCTTTGCAAGCAGTCCCGTGTCTACTGCATTATCGTGAGACTGGACTGGCTGATTGGGAAGAGGGGATTCCTTGAAATTCCTGGATCGGGACGGAGAAACGTTCGCCCGGGTGTTTCCTCGACTTTACTTCACCTCCTGGATCTTGAGTAAGTGTACGAACCACGTACATTACTACATGCCGCTCTCTATCTACTTGACGCCACCTGGCGCGTACATACCATGGAACAATCAATTCACTCCGTCCCGCAACATACAACACCTTATCAGATCACTCCGAAGTCAAGGCCGGCGTTCAACGTCCGTTAGTAATGGTCCTTCTGGACTGCAGTCAGCAACATTATCGAAGACCCGAACGCCTTCGAGCACTTACCGGCCCATGCACACCTCAGTACAACCTACAGATACAAGGGCAGGAAGGTCAGCAAGCGTCCTACACATGTGAATATTTGCCAGGATGTTCCTTACCATCGATGTCTCGGAAAAGTTGCACAAAAGCTGCCCGTAGCTGCTCCTCAGAGAAATGTTCATACCTAGCGCTTACGGTTTGATTGATTCGGCTGACATCTACCCGCCACTCGCGGACGAAGAAAGCAACCACAGCGGAATCTGGCGTTCCCTGATCCGCGCGAGTGTTGTTGATTGCACTATTGAAGGTGACCAGGCCAGCCGCGATGGCGCGGAGCAAATCTCCGCGCGTTGCGTAGCCAATCAGGCTTGTGGTGATCGCCATGTCTTCGCCATCTATGACTCGGTATGCAATATCCTGGGCCGGGCCTTCGGTCCTAGCAACCACACGATAGAGATCCTCGGCGTCGGACATTTTGCTTGCTCTAAAATGAGGTCGCGTCGGCCGAGTGAGGGAGTGGCAGATCTAAAGCACGAGAAGTGCTTGTATGAAAGTGTATGGAGAGTGTGTAAGTGTATGGCGCTTTTCGAAATGAGGTCGTGGGAATGTTGATGGACAGAACAGGAGACGCAGAGGCTACTAAGGAGGTTATATACTCCTATGCCAGCAGTGACTACCACATAGGCACAGCAAACATATGGGAGAGTTACATTCAATCGTATTACCAGGCCTGACAAGAGGTATTCGGTAGATGACCCTCGACAAGTGCCACCGCCTACATTCACAGCGTGGTCGATCGATGTTTGCGTGGACAGAGCAGTATTGAACAAGGAACAAGTATAGTCAAGCATATGCAGCACATGCTCCAAATTCAAGACGCTGGAGTTGGAACATGAGCCTTCATGATTATGCTTGCTACTCCGTCTGCTTACAACACCTAGCAATGGCAACTAGCTCAATAGTCTATTTGGTACGCTCAGGTGCTGGCTCCGATACAATCCTCCGCTGCATACCAGGAATCATCAGAGGGACCGTCCATCGGCTCAGATGCGCCAAGGTACGGCACAGAAACTGTGCTCGCTGGACAAGATTGAGGACGCCCCAATGCCTGGCAAACTCAGCGCCGGCTGTCCCAAGCCCTGCGTATGTCTTCTCGAGCTGGTCTGCAAAGCGCTGCGCAGGATCCTCAGGATGCTTGTGCTCTCGTGTGCATTGGACGGCATCACAGATAGCTTCGACAGCTTGTCAAGTCGTCCTGAAAGCTACATTATTCAGCCTTTGACGGCGCTCTAGATCTGCATCGTCAAGCGGGATGTTCTCGGGTTGAACATCGCTCGGGACCTGGTTTTGCCATGAACTCAGGGTGTTTGCCCAGGGACCTTGCACATCGAGTTCCGGGGGGCGATCTGCAGCCATCGCATGCCATTGCTGCTCTTCAGAAATTGAGTTCCATATCTTCTAAACTAGCTTGCTGCCCCCGGGGGGCATCGACCTTGCGCAGGGGCATTTCTTGCACACAGGCGGCGCGTTTGGTGCCATTGCGCTTTGTTGTGTGGTTGGTGGTGTTGTAAATCGCAGGTTACCACTGGCTGAAGTTCTCTTACATCTGGTAGCGAGTGTGGGATCCTGCTTGTTCGACGTCGGTAGAGGAGGCAGTATAGGAGCGCAAGTGTCTGTTGAGCGATGTTTTGAGGATGCCTTTGGGCAGCTTCTTCCATTTGTGAATGGTGATAGCTGCAAACCATGCCATGTTGTACGCATACTCCTTCGCACAAGCCAACGATTACTAGTATGCCGACAGCATTGCTTGGGCAAAAGGGTCTGAAAACCTAGATTCATTGATACGGCTACATAGAATATGACGAATCATTGGTGCCTGCTTACTACGTGAACCTAAACACTAATGGACGTCTCCAACACCCGGCCGAAAACGCTAGTCAACAAAGGCCGTTTACCACTTGTCCTAGCTTTTGGGCTATTCGGGGACGATCACAAATCGTCCAGGTACACTAGAATCTCTGCTCGCAACTGTCCAGCAGTTGATGTAACGTAGGACCTCGCAGTATGTCTGTCTTTGCTCAAGGGCAGTCATCGAGGCCACCTAGTCGTAGTAACCATCGCAAGGGGTTTAGCAATAGGTGGCCGTAATAGCCACGAATCGAGTCGGCGTATCCTTGGCTACGGTAATGAGGGCCAACGTGTTGTCGAGTGTTGTCAGCAGCCTTGATTAAGATCTCCACCTTTGCGGGCATGCCGAATGACACCTCCAGCCTCTGTGGTGAGGTGTCCCACATGATATTGTCCGCTGTTACATCGCAGGTCAATGCGCCTTCAGGTGGAGCAATGACTATGTCTGCAAATTTGTTGGCTGTTGCTTGGAACGGGCGGTCAGACTCCATCCACCACGTCTTGGGTTCAGCCGATAGGGTATCCCACATCATCTCTACGAGCGCCCCACCTCCTGGCGGCATTGACTAGGCGCATAGGCAGATCCGACAAAGGCCTTGAGTCGTCATTGGTGCTAAAGGGCCGGACGTATAATGTCGTGTCGATGGCGAGCGAAGTCAAAGTATGTTGGGGATTGGCGGAAGTCTCGTAGAATGGCAATTCGGCCGAAGTTGTGTACTCCGAGTTGATGTCGAGGGCTTGACAGTGGTACGGAGAAAAAAGGGAGAAGTTGTGCGATCCTGCAAGAATGTTAACACTCCTACACGTATGACCAAAAAGAAGCTCGGTCAGATCGCAATGTAGTGCACGCAAACAATGAATGTTGTAATTGGATCAGCTGCCGAGAAATGTGTCGTAGAGAGCAATGGCATGATGGCAAGAGACCTCCCGGGTGATCACATTGCCTGCGGTTGCTCCAATTGTGTGTGGTCTGAACTCGAGAAGCAATCTAGCTGAACCTCCAAAGAATGCCAACCAAGGATCAAGCCTATTCACGGCGTAGTAGAAGGCGCCCTCACGAAGACTCTCCCTGCACCGCTATGTCTGATCATGGAACAGCGTACAAGCCGCCTGACAGCGCCACAGAAGTACCGCAACAGCTCTTCATCGTCGGGGAAGGCCATTGTGTCGCCCAATACCAGCAGCGGGTGCCACCCTCAATACAGCTCTTGAACTTGTCCAGCAGCAGCTATCTCTTGACTGCTTCGAGAAGTCGACATCGTAGTGTTGATGGCAGTATTCAGTGCACCCAGCACTGTGAGCGGAGCCTCCAAGAGCTCGCTTCGTGGACAAGCGGCGAAGAGATTGTGGTCCCGGATGTAATTCACTCCGGTCTGCAGAAGAAGTTCGGCCAGGGTCAACGCTGGGCTTGCCGAGCGTCGAAGGACCTCTCGTGGGGAATCTGGTCCGTCGGCTTCGCGGGCGCTGCAGCGGCCTCGAAGCTGTCGTGGTCCCAGTTATTAGACGTAGACTCATGGCAGAGGTTGGAGAAGGATTGTTGTACCATGCATGATTGGCAAGCGTCTCCCTTCAACAGCACCTCACGTGCGCAATCGAAAGGTGAGTGTATGCACTTGAAGGCCTGACGGCGGTCAGCTTGATACACTTGGAAACAGCTTTTCTCAGCACGTTCGGAAGGTAGCCGAAAAGATTTTACCGGCTTTGGTCTCTAACTGTAGAAGCATGCGAGATAGGCACGAAGGACGGTAAGTGATGATGGTAGCGTCAGTGCAGTTGCTGTGTCTGGGCCGACTGATGCTGTGCAAGTCAGTTCTCGATTTGCCGTCGTACATTGCACTACTCCAAGCAGAACACTCCGCAGAACACTTCATCACTCCACTTGGAACTGCGAGCGGCTCGATGCTTCGTCGTGAATTCTCAAACAATCTCCAATTGGATCCAGCCATTAGCCGCCAGCCCTGGTCAGGGACATTCTCACGACAGTAGTCTGCTATTTTCCACCGAAGCGGATAGGCATACCCTCTTGCCACGTAGGCGGCTTTTGCTGATCCTGCGTGCTGACCACCGGCGGTACATTCGCCGGGACGTTCGGCCTCGTAGGCGTAGGAGCTGCCAAAGGTGCCTGCGCCATCCTCGCCTGTGGAGCTGGCTGCTGTGGCTGCTGCTGTTGCTGCTGCTGTTGCTGATACTGCTTCTGCTGGAGTAGATTCTGCTGTGTGTTTTGCTGGAGTTGCAGACCGGCCATCGAAGTGCTGACGTCCTCTTCAAGCTTCTGGGCCTGCGAGATTAAAGTCAGCTGTGGTGTGTTCACCGACGTCGAGAAGCTTCTACTCATGCGACCTACCTCAGTCCTCCGTGCGTAGATGAAGTTCCGGCACTGATAGACAAAAGTCAGCGACGTCGAACACCAGAAGCGAATCTGAGACCCAAACTGGAGGTGCAGTCTTTGCATCAACACTCACCTCATCTCTGAACCTGGTAGTGATGGAGGACAAATCATTGTACTGCAAGTGGCTGGGTCAGTGCATGCTAATGAGGAGTAGAATAAACTAGCTGCGTTGTAGTCCGCCGTAGTAACGGGGTGCTGGGACTTACAAACTTTCTCCCAGTCTCCAGGTCCCTCATGATCTCGCGCCAGCTCGTGAACGCCACTTCCACAGACTGCAGAGCCTGAGTCCGCTCTTTAGAACTGCTGTCGCCCTTGTTCGCCAGCTGAAAGCTCGTGTTGGTGTCCGATATACGTGCCATGAGACGGTCTTGCTCAGCTTCCTCCCGCTTCAGATCCTCGCGGTGAACATCGTACTGCTGAAGACGTTGTTCCAGAAGAGTGTCGAACTGGGAAGCGGCGATAGGTTGCATTGGGTATTCTCTCTCCAACCGAGCCGCCTCCTTCAGCAATGCCGGGTGGACATCGTCTTCCTTCGCCTTCAGCCGTAGATCTTCGACCTTTCTTCGCCGCTTCGATTCGAGCCGGTTGACTTCGTTCAGATTCGCTCTGAGTCCATTGGCTTCGCGTTCGACCTTCGCAGTCATTGTCGCTCGTCGCGAGGATGGCACATAATCTTCCAAGTCCCGGTTGGTCCCATTCAGCAGCCGTATGAGTCTCTCATTCTCCCGAAGACGGTTCTCAACAATCTTGTCGGAGTTCTCCGCCTGCTTCAGATAGCCTTCGATGTCGCTGACCTGATTGTAGAGTTTTGGCAGCGCCTCTTGCCCAGTTGACCGTGTCCAGCGTGCTGCGGAACAAGAGAATGTTAGGGTCGGCTCTGCTTGCGCTGCATAGACAAGAAGGCATGACTGTTTCGACCCTGTCAGAACTCACCAGTTCCATACTTTCTCCTTGATGCTTCATCCTCTGAGCTTTCAGTCCGCAAAAGGTCAACGCCTTCTTGATACAGACTCCGGTTGTTGGCTTTGAGCTTCTCTGTGTCGGCGATGGTGCTGCGCAATCTCTGAACACCGTTGGCTTGCCTGAATACGCAGAAAAGAGAGCATTAGCATTTCTACGGGTCTCCCAAGGCCTCTGTCGATGAGCAACCGTACCTCACTTCCTCCGCATGGCTGATCAAATTGGGTGGGAGACCCATCGGCTTTTCGAGCGCTTGCAAGCTACCGGGCAGGTTCATGCTGGACAACGTCTCGTGTATCCGCTGAGTCATCGCCTCCAGCTCAGCAATTATGCTGTCATTGACCAATCGATCTCGGCGGTCGGCGTATATGGATGCCGCCACATGGACGCTGTACGGCACCAGCTTCTCAAAGAGCGGCTTGCCTAGCTGACTGCCGTGCTCGAAAAGTAGTTCTTGCGAGCGTGCAACCTCTTTCGGTACCGACGCCTTGACCATGCTTGCGCGGTCCAGTGGCCGGAGTTCGGCCTTGGTGGGTTCTGCTATGAGATAGATGGTATCGTTATCCTGCGAGATGAGTGTCAGCAGCGCTTCATGACTTGAGGCCCATTAGTAAACACCTTTTCTGCTCTCTTCAAGTCTTCGGTCACTCTGTTCTTCAGCCCTTGCAGGTCTCCGGAAACGGCCTTGTTCACATATCTCCCTTCCTTGAGGGCTTCATTGGTACACTGCAAGCTATCTCGCAATCTTGCCACTTCTTCACCATATTTTCTCTTCTCGAGACAGTCGCATGCGGCTCTGTACTGCTATATTGTTAGCAAGTTGTAGGCTATAGCATAGGTTGGACAGAGAATGACTCACTTGTGCGGCGGCAGCAAAATGGTGATGCTTCGCATTCATATGATGGATCCACTCGCTGCTGATGAATTCGCTCTTCAGCGCCCAGTCGCCAGCGTCTGAGTACAGATCTGATACTTTTGCAGCCAGCTTCGAGATGGAGGCATCTTTCAAGCCGTCCTGCGTGACACAGTTAGCATTGCATCAGTTCAAGTGACAGCACGATCGACAGTCATGCTCACCTTCACCCCGCGCTGCCAATAGCATTCTTGCCCTTGCGCCAACATTAGTTGCTCCAAGGATTCCAGCGTCAGGTCATCCATGTCTTCGGGCGGACTCCCGCGTAGCTCAGGCAGGATGTTGTTCTTGAGATGACTGACGACGCCTGCAGCAGAGCAGAAGTTGTTGGCAGCATTCTTCAGACCATCCGAAGTGGCACGGTTGGAGGAGAGGGCAAGTTGGGAGTACATGGCTGCCAGGTTGAAGAGGACGTTGGCCAGCTCGAAGCGGAGGTTATTGTCCGTCTTCGCATGGCCTTGCTGATGGTAGGCGGCATTCGAAAGGGAAGAAGTCCAGGTGAAGTCGGCGCCTATGTCGACTGGAAACTTGCCACCCATCCATATCAATTGGGCGGCATACTTCTGCAGCTTCGAGAGCCCCGAGCTGTGCGGCTCCAGCGAGTTGACAGCATCCTTCCTTAGCTGGTCTACGATTTCCAGGTCTCGCGCAAAGGTAGACGGATGTTGGTCGTATTTGCTGGAGATGTAGGAACTGATGGCCGAGTGGAGGGAGATATTCGTGGTCTTGTGGAATGGGATGGCGAGAATGTTGCCGGTCTGCATCGCTGCGAGTAGTAGTTAAAGAAGACTGTCCGGAACCCTCCGTGCCCAACCTCGCAACCCGTTCGTTATAGGCGCAATCGTGGAGATGTTCCAGGTTGTTTCTGTTTGGCGGGGCGCTTCTTGGTGGCGGTGGTGGCAGAACGGCGCACGTGTCTTCACCGCCCGCGCCAGAGGTCTAGACTCTCGAGACAGACCGCTTGCTGAGTCGGGGTTTGGCGACGGCGAGATGAGACGTCGCATGTAATCAAGCCGAAACGAGAGTGAAGTACTGTAGATGCGTCTTGGTTGTACCTGCATCCACCGGACCCTGCGTCTCATTACCAATCCAGAAGCCATATCTCGCGACACATCTCCCTCCTCACTTTGGTACGACACCTTCGGACAACTCCACAATACAACCACGCTCTACAGAAGTCGGAACAGCGGACAGAATGGCGGAACACAACTACAAGTTCAATGTCACCATGACCTGCGGAGGCTGCTCAGGCGCTGTTGAGCGAGTGTTGAAGAAGCTGGATGGTATGGCGACACCTATGAAAGTAACATACATGTACCGCAGCTAAAGAGAAACGACAGGCGTCAAATCCTACGACGTCTCCCTCGACACCCAAACCGCCAACATCGTCACCGAAGAGAACCTCGAATACGCGACAGTGCTGGAGAAGATCAAGAAGACGGGTAAGAAGGTCAACAGCGGCGAGGCGGACGGAGTAGAGCAGCCTGTATAGACACCACAGCTATCACTACTTCAGTCCCCCGGAAAGCAAAAGGCTCTGTCCAGTCATATATCCCGTGCGACACAGCATCGTCACCGCGTTCGCACACTCTTGTGGCCGTCCACTCCTGCCGACTGGTATGTTCTTCACATCCCCCGGTGTCCCCTTCAGCGCCTCTTCGTCCTTGATCATGCCCGTCTCGGTGATCATTGCCGGCGCGACATCGTTGAAGGTGATGCCGCTCTTGCCCATCTTGGCGGCGAGGTTCTTCGAAAGGCCTTGCACGCCGGCCTTGCTTGCCGAGTAGTGACAGCCGTTGATCGATGTTCCGCCGGCAGCAATGGAAGAGATGTATACAACCCTACCCCACTCCTTGGCCAGCATATGAGGCATGGCGAGTTTGGTGAGGACGAAGGAGGAGCGGAGATTGACGTTCACGGTGTAGTCCCACTCTTCGATGCTGATGTCCAGGATACTGCTCACTCTTTTTCCGTAGCCCGCATTCACGACCAAGATGTCTGCTCCCTGGCCATGTTGCTGTGTGAGCTCTGCATATAGCTTGTTCAACTCGGCCTCGTATCCAACATCGCACTTATGCTTGGATATCCTTCTGCCTTCACTTCCACTCTGCTGTTCCAACTCACTGACCAGCTGATCAAGCGGCTCCTTGTTCGTGTTGTAGGTCAGCGCCAACGATGCGCCATTGGCCCACAGGTCACGAGCACAAGCTGCGCCAATCCTATCGAGGGCTGATGAGTGAGCGCTCGCCTTGAAGACAGCCGGGCGAGCAGACTCACCCGCCAGATGCTCCGGTCACCAAGGCCAGCTTCCCTTTGATCTCGTTGTCGATGGGGACCGACATTGGTGCGGTAGATGAAGCCGACTCAGTGGGCGTTGGGGCGATGGTGCTATTGATGTCTTGCAGGCGCTCCTTTGCACTGCTCATGGTCGTCTACTCATCTACGTTCGCTCAAGACCTCATCAGACGGCATCGTTAGCAGGCACGAGAGTCGAAGGCGGGGTTGCCGAGTGGACGAAGTCGATCAGAAGCCGCCCAATGCCGATCGGCTTCCGGTCCATCTTCCACCTTGTTCCCGTCTCTCACCATCGCAACATCGAGACCGTCGACATGCTGTCAAAATACCTTCAGCGCGATGTAGGCATACACTCCTGCACGATGTAGGAGCTGGCAGAGCGCGAGTCATACTGCAACAGCATAGATACGGGGCTTTCCCAGTCTGGATTTGACCACCGAAGACACAGACAACATCCTCGCCTGTGCCCGTCAACAAGGCGTTTGCGGGGAAGAGATGCCTCGGCCAGGCAAGTACTGTATACCATTCTCCATCTCATGTCTTCTCCCAGGCTCTCATCCATCAGCTCATTGAGCTACTCTACTCACATCGTCATCCCCAACAATGGCTGAAATACGCTACGATGGTCAGGTCGTCGTAATAACAGGAGGGGGTGCAGGTCTTGGAAAAACCTAGTTCGTTGCCCATGGAGAGCCGACATCTATTGCACCTCCACTAACGCGACGAAAGTGCCAAATTCTTTGCTGCACGAGGGGCCAAAGTTGTGGTCAATGACTTGGGCGGGACGTTCAATGGCAAACCCGGTGCAAACGCCGCAGTCGCAGATGTGGTAGTCAAGGAGATCAAGGACGCCGGTGGCGAGGCCGTAGCAAACTACAATGCCGTTCAGGAAGGCGAGAAGATCGTCAAGACTGCAATCTACAACTATGGCCGAGTGGATGTACTGATCAACAATGCTGGAATCCTAAGGGTAATATTTCAATTCATCAGCATCTGGTTCTTCACTAACGCCCTCACCAGGACATCACCATCCGCAACATGAAAGATGAAGACTGGGACGTCATCATGGATGTGCATGTCACTGGTGCAATGCGAACAGCCCGAGCTGCCTGGCCGTTCTTCCGCAAGCAGCGGTATGGCAAGGTCATCAACACTTCATCCTCTTCTGGACTTTTCGGAAACTTCGGACAAGCCAACTATGCGGCAGCGAAGATGGCACTGGTCGGTACGATCCCAATGGCCGGTTCCTCACAGTAATTGAGACAAGCAAGCCTCTGACGGCATGTAGGTTTCACGGAGACGCTCGCAAAGGAAGGGCTCAAGTATAATATCCACTGCAACGTCCTCGCTCCTGCAGCTGCTTCCAGATTAACTCAGACAGTTTGGCCGCCAGAGGTAGGTGCCACCACTCTCCACTCAATCCGCTCTCTTCGGAGCCATCCACTGACGATATCGCTTCCGCAGATGATGGAGGCCATGAATCCTGCTTCTGTTGTTCCTCTAGTCGGCGTGCTGGTGCACCCGAGCTGCTCGGAGACAGGTATGTACCAATGGATGAAAGAATCGGTAACAGTGCTAAAGCCGTCTCAGGCAGCATCTTCGAGGCTGGAGCCGGCCACTACTCCAAGATCCGATGGCAGCGAAGCAAAGGCTTCATCGCCAGACCGGATGACAGCCTCACTCCGGACGTTGTACTGCGGAACTACGACAAGATCATCGACTTCTCCAAAGGCTCCAGCTACCCCAAAGGCGTTGCAAACAGCGTGGACTTGCTGGAGGAAGCCATGGCGCAGCCCAGTAACGTGCGAGGAGATGCATTGGACTTCAAGGGCAAGGTCGTGCTCGTCACTGGTGGTGGTGCTGGCTTGGGCAGGTAGGTGTTGAGGATAGAAGGTCTTCTTAGACACATGGCTTGCTGACCATCTTACTCCGTTCTGCAGGGCGTACGCAATGCAGTTTGCCAAGTTGGGCGCAAACGTTGTTGTAAACGACCTCGAAGGGGCAGATGAGGTGGCCCAAGAGATCCGCGATGCGAAGGGAGAAGCAACATCCCAAGCCATCAGTGTCGAAGACGGGGATGCCGTGGTCAAGCACGTGATCGATGCGTACGGCCGGATAGATGTCATCGTGAACAACGCTGGCATCCTGCGTGACAAGGCGTTCCAGGTACAACTCCCCAGCCTTGTGTCTCGAGAGAGTGCTGACAAGTTTAGAACATGACTGATGACTTATGGTTTCCCGTAATGAACGTTCATCTAAGAGGCATCTACAAGGCAAGTCGTTCTTAGCAGAAGCCTTCAACTCGAGAGCACACTGCTCATACTTCTACGTCACGCAGGTTACCAGAGCAGCGTGGCCACATTTTCTGAAGCAGAAGTACGGCCGCATAGTTAACATTACCTCTACGAGCGGCATCTACGGCAACTTTGGTCAAGCGAACTACGCCGCTGCGGTAAGATAATCTCCTTACAATGCCTCTGCTCCTTCTCAGCTCCACTTACGCACTCATTCTCACCTGTATGGGCGCTCCAAATGCTGACGACCAGTGGGCAGAAATGTGGCATCATCGGCTTCACCAAGGTCTGCGCTCGGGAAGGAGCCAAATACAACATCGTCGCCAACGCCGTAGCGCCGTCCGCCGGCACCAACATGACAAAGACTGTGTGGGCTGACGAACAAGTACAAGCCATCAGCCCGGCCTTCGTCGCTCCGCTGGTCGCAGCTTTGTGCTCGGAGAAACCTCCAGCTATGGCGCAGTTGTTCGAGAGCGCGAGTGGCAGCTTTGCGTGCACGAGATGGCAGAGGACAAGAGGGTATGACTTTGAGCATGAGAAGGGCGTGCCTGCTGTAGAAGAGGTGGCGAAGGTAGGCGGCCGGTGCTCAGTCATGAGCTGTGCCAGACACTGACGTGCTTGCAGGTGTTCAACGAGATCTGCAACTTCGACAATGGACAAGCAGATAACCCAGACACTCCCGCGGAAGGTAGCAAATGGACTATGGGCAATGTGATGAAAAACCCAAAGCTTGTCAGTCACTTCGTGTGCAAAAGGAGTTTCACCTCTGCTAATCGACTGAACAGAAGGCGAGCATGCAAGCAGAAAATCGTGCGAACCGCAAGTATCTTCAAAAGATCTATGAGGCCATGCAAATGAAAGGCACGCCGGCAACCTACAGCTACACGGATCGAGATGCCATCCTCTACAACCTAGGAATTGGCGCTAAACGTACCGATCTCAATCTCGTTTTTGAAGGCTCCGACAACTTTGAAGTTCTTCCAACTTTTGGGGTTGTGCCAACATATTTCGCACGACTGCCCTTCGAGATGAAGGATATTCTGCCGAACTTTGACCCTCGCATGCTGCTACACGGCGAACAATACCTCGAGATCAAGCAGTTCCCCATCCCAACATGCGGGACCCTAAAATCTGCTACAAGCCTTGTGGAAGTGGTAGACAAGGGCAATGCTGCTATTGTCCGGAGAGGCAACACCACCACCGACGAAGCCGGCAAGCCAGTCTTCTACAATGAAAGCGTGGCCTTCATCCGCAATTCGGGCGGCTTCGGCGGCGGGCGCCAACCGAGTGACCGCGGAGCAGCCACCGGCGCAAACAACCCACCCTCTCGTCGGCCCGATAAGGTTGTCGAGGAGAAGACGTCGGACGATCTCGCGGCCCTCTACAGACTGATGGGCGACTACAATCCGCTTCACATCGATCCGGCGTTCTCAAGAGTCGGGGGATTTGACGTACCGATCTTGCACGGCCTGGCCACGTTTGGCATCTCCGGCAAACATGTGTATCAAGCGTATGGCCCGTACAAGAATATTAAGGTGAGGTTTGCTGGTACAGTGTTGCCAGGGCAGACGATCGTTACCGAGATGTGGAAGGAAAGCGGGAAGGTTGTGTATCGGGCGAAGGTCAAAGAGACCGGGAAGGCTTGCATCAGCAATGCTGCCGTGGAGCTGATGGGCGGGAAGTCTACGTTGTGAGCTGCAAGCACAGGCATGCCTCGACGCAGCAGCTTCGATTCATATGGGGTCAAGCTCAGTGATCGCTCCCTCATGGGTCCGCCTGACTCGAGAGGCACTCACAGGCCTCGCTGCCAATGTATGTTTGCGGACCTCGAGAATGGACAGTCATCGCTGCGTTGGCAAACAGGCCTTTTTAACCTGGCATAAAACACCGATGTATGTATCACTCAACACGATTTTCAGAAATACCAAACGATAGATTTTGGATACCGAGACTTCAAAAGGGACAGCACATTACATCTCCCACAACCATGATCACGAGCTGGCTCTCCCGTGTTTCCCCGACACGACGCCGTCACTCGGCTCGTGATCACCCTGCAGCAGCGGCCGGCCGCAGCAACAGTGGCACTGGAGATGATGGCACAACAGCAGCTGAGGAGACACGAGCCGCACAGTTGGATAATCACAACGTCGTACACGCTGACTTCCAATCTAGACTAAACGGGCGCTCTTCCAGTCCTCCTCTAGGACCTCCACCCTACATGGCGAATCCATACGACGTAGGCAAAACCGTTCGATATCCTTGTGATGGCTGGTAAGCATCCCCCTTCATGCTCATTCCGCTCCCACTTCGGAGATTGCTGACCCTGGGTACAGGACACGGGGTTGCGTTGAGTGGGTGGGTCTACGCCTTCAGCAAAACTCGCGACGCCCAGTCTACATCACTGACCTATGACCAGGTCGGACGAAGCCGCCCCATCTGCGAAAACTGCCTCGTGCGTATAACAACACTTCCAACCTAAGTTGATGCTAACAATCATTGTCCAGGGTGATAACCACGCCGATCCCAAAATGCATCCCATCTTGGCAATTGCGAGACTCATGATCTTCGAGTCAAGCTGGACGGACTTCGATATGCAAACCACGTACTACGCCCATTAGAACGAACTCCACATTGGCGTCTATCTTGGTCTAAAAGCCATGCGGGAGACTTTCCATCACACTATGGACAAATATCCAACAGACGTGACTGCTTTTGCCGCATGCAAAAAGCTCAGCCTTGATTACAGCACCTACCCCGTCATTCTCCCAGGCGTTGCCGCATATATGGAGGCCCACCAAGAGAAGCAGTGTTGTCTTTCTTCCACAACTTGATGAGGAACATCTGCGATCACACAGAGGGACATGGACTATTCGGCACGCCACGCATTTCGAGCGTTGCGGAGGTGATTGACTGTCTGAAGCGCCCGCAACTGTGGAAGCATCGAGACGCCATTTCCAACTCAGAAGAGCAAGCTGCAACAATGGCGGATCTGATCCTAGATGAGGGATTGGGCGTTGAGTGTCGACCTTCGCTCATTTCCACCGACAGCTTGGAGCATGTTATTCCAGCCCTCCGGCGAGGCCTAGTGGTTCTAAACGCAGCTGTCGCGGAGACTATCGAGCATCATGCTCAGGACCAAACGGAGCACGCCAACTAATATTATGGCTACGTAGATTTTCATTCAGCAAAGAATCTCAAACTCCGATTCGGCGGGTATGCAACCAGTCGGTCGAATTCAAGTGATCTCCTCGAGCGACTGAGCTCTTGGGACAGGGACTTCGTAGTGGTACTATTATGCCAGGTGTTAGACTGCATCAAGTATAGCACTGCGACATCCGAAGGCCAGCGGATGGTGACGAGAAGCCCTCCTGAGCCATTTCCTTTCTGATGGCCGTCTCTGGGATGCGAATCAAGCCATGTGCCATTTCTCCTTCCGTCTCTCATTGGGCATATAATTAGTTCAGTATAGATATATAGATACCAGTGTATTACAGATATTCTCCTTGGCTTCCGGCGTCTCAGTCCAAGGGTAGTAGCTTCAGACATGGACACAGTGCCAGCAGCCAGTGATCCACATGGGGACGATAGTGCTGGCATCCGCAAGATATTCGCAAGGCAGATCATGACACGGATTCCCGTTGACATTGTTGCTTCGCTTGCTTAACTGTTGACGTACTCACGCTCTCCTTTGAATTATCGCAATGCGTCACCGCAAACAGTGCCTACCTATTTGTGTGCACAGAAAGTCTTGGTCTATCATGGTGTGATTTTCCACGAAGCAACTTCCCCAAGCAAGACGATTTAAATCAAACCACATGTCTTGCCTCCAGCCAAAGTTGCATGTTGACATGGCACCCTTTCCCGAGACGCTCGCGGGGATGTTGGAATATCTGTCTTCAGTGTGTCTTGCAGCGCAAAGGAGCTTTTTCGAGGCGGTGATGTCGCACTTCATACAGCATACCTCTGGAGATGTAGACAAGAACAGCAGACACTTGCCCATCAGGCCGCCCACTCGATTGATCGACAATCTGCCCATGCACCAGCATCGGTGAAGAATACAGATCGCCGAGACGCGGGGTGCTGCAGCTGTGGAGATCGCTAACCTGGTCCGCCTCGACGACTCCCATATTGACTGCCGACCCCTCGATGATTAGCGAAGCTCCAGTGTTCCAGACCCTCGATGATCAGCGGAGCTCCAGTGTTCGAGATATTTTCAGCATCGAAGAAGAGCTTAGAGGTCCTCGAGAATGCCCTTGCTCGAACCAGGAAGCATCAAACTGCTCCGAAGGTGAAAGCGGGGTATGAGGAGTTACTCGAAGCAGCTTGCGAGTCTCCGTGAGATGGCAGAGCCCAGCGAGCAGCAAGCCGCCATACCGCTGTGATTGATATTGGTGTGAGATGGAAAGGCGCGTGCTGTAGGTGAATCATTTGGTAGCGGTGTTCCAGGGTAGACTGTGAAATGAAAGGCTCTTCGTCTCGGATCTGCCATCTGGCTCTACATCTGCAGAATACCTCTGGCGTTTGCTCGGTTGTCTAGAGACGTAGCGAAGAGCTCTTGACCGTATCCAAACCGATCGTGATACAACAACGGATTGGCTCCAGATTTGACACAATCGGCGATAGACGACGTTCTATCGGCCCGGGAGATGAACTCTGACAGTCCATGATGAAAAGATGCATGTAGGGTTCTGCGGCTACCTCGTGCGGTCAAACTCAATGTCGGGGTGTTATACTTCTAATAGGGTGGTAGAGGCAGGAGCCGGCCGCTCGATACGATCACCCTCCGAGTCGCGTTGTTGGTGACCGGCCGATCCTTCATGACTCTGTGCCCGACGTCATTCTGCTCAGAGCAGACACTCAGCCCGGTGGGTGTGCGGATTTGGGGTCCGCGTTGTGCTAGCGCTGATGATGGGCAGCAAAGCAAGAGACACGAAGCGTGCAGAGGTGCATGGACGAAACGCGGTTCACCTGACGCCTGACTCCAAGTCAAGTTGTTGCTGCTGCATGTGGCAGGTGTCGACGAACCGAGGCATCTGCAACAGCCATAATGCAAAATATCTCCCTGTAGCTCCTCCAAGTGTTGGTACCAAGCAGGAGAGACTTCCGTCCAGAACACTTTAAGCCGAGCGGGCCGAGCGCTTGGCCGTGATTGGAAGGTGTATCTGCAGCCACAGCGCCTCGTCTGGGTCGCATAGCAAAGAATAGCCGGGGCGTCGACGGTGACTGACCTCCGGCTACTTGGAACGCAGAAGCATCCGACACTGCCACAGCTGCCACGTCTTGGCGGAGTGGCATTGGGCCGACGGTAAGGTCGTGGCGAGGTGTACCTTGCTGCTTGGCTTGCAAGGTGTTATGCATGCTGATCTGCTCGGGCAGTCGATACCTCGACCTCTATCCAAGCGGAAGGGCATCTCAGGACAGCCTACTGACATGTTCGCAGAGGCTGGTGCTCGAGCGTGGCTGCGTGAGGTCATTGCAGATGGTCCAAGTTAAGCTTTACGGGATCCTCCCAGCGCACGTGGAGTTCTAGACCCTGCGCCCTAAAAGCACGGTACTTGACGCAATTTCCAGACGGAACTCGTCGGCAGTCGGTACTGCACCAGCAGAAGCCACAGCCAATGCGCCGGGGTTGACAAATGGACCAGGGCAGCGGTGGCTTGAGGCTGTCAGAGCCGAAGATGATCTTTTAGCGATCCACCGCACAAACGGCTCTCTCGGCTTGAAAGAATGTTAGTCTTTCTCCGTCCTCCTAACTCCGACACAGCCGATGATTTGCAATGCCGTCGGTCTGCTGTGGAGCGCAGTGCTGGTCTGAAGCCAAGCATCTACGATATATGCCAAGCCGTTCAGATGCTCGACGCACTGGCAAGCACTTGGCGGAGGAGGAGGAGGGAGAGGGGGAGGAGGGGTGATGTGCACGCGGGATCTGCCATCCCGAGTTGCAACAGCTGTGGCATTGGCATGCTGTTGAGTGGATGCACGCACTCACCGGGAGCACACCAGCTGGCGCGGATGTGCTGCGGGGCGGAATCATTGGTGTGGTGGGATTGAAGTCGGGCACAAGCATCCAGGGCAAGCCTTTTGCGCCACGAGCCAAACGCCAATCGTAAAACCTCTGTTCAATGCTGGCGCTCACTCCACCGCCTCCACCTCAACCCAGTCAAGCCAACAGACTCCGCTGTGCCTGAGAACGGACGCGAGGGACGCCATGCGGCTCCGGTTGGTTATGCACACGCACATGCACACAGGGGGTCGGATGCGAAGAGCCACGCTCGGCACCGGCCAAGCCTGGGAGCGCCACACTGATGTCGCCGTTTAGTAAGAGATCTTCGCTCGCCTTGCCCCTTCAGCCTTGCAAGCCGTGCGATCCGGGCAGGGTCCAGCATCTCCAGACGTGCCTTGCGGCATCCTGGCATCCTTCTGAAGTGGCATCCCAAACTTCCGTCGGCGGCCAAGAGCTCGCCCATCAATGGCGCATCTCCTGCTCGCCATGAAGGCACTTCCGACTGTTGCTTCCCTCTTGGCATATGTACGAGGGTCGACCGCGCCGAAAGGTACTTTCAACGGCTCAGTGATAAGGTCTCGCTGCCGATTCACGATTACACATCTGTCAATGTCCTCTTCCTTCGTGCGTTCCTCTTAACCCCTCTGCTCTCCCGTCGTGAAAGTGCCCTCTTCCAAAAGCCAAGCCCCTCCAGACCCCGTTGTCCCGTCAATGCCTCCCCGACCCATCAGACCCAAGGACGAGCCTGACGTGGCTCAGAGCAGCGACAACCCGCCAGACCCCAAGATCAGCCGCCGAAAAGCAGTCTCGTCAGCATGCATACCGTGCCGGAAGCGCAAGAGCAAGGTGAGTGAAGCTGTGAATCAGCTTGCTTCGATGACCTGCGACCTCTGACGACGGGATGTTTGCAGTGCGATGGAGGTATGCCCGCGTGCTCGACATGTACCGCTGTCTACCGGACGGAATGCTCGTACGACGCCGATAGCGACCATCGGAGGAAGGGCGCGCTGAAGCGAGATTTGCAATCTTTACAAGTTCAAAACGACGCACTCGATGTCATCGTGGCTTCCTTGCGTAGCCTTCCCGAGAACGAAGCGGTGTCTCTTCTTCACAACCTCCGAAACGAGACAAGCCCGGAGATGCTCGCGGCAGCACTTCGAAGCAATGTCCGACTACCGGCCAGCTTTGCTCCCCAAACGCTTGAAGCCGACCTAGCAGATGAAGTCGCCAAAACGTCAAGCTGGCCCGCGCTGGAGACGAAGAGTCTGTCGAGCGAAAAGCGCGATTCCACCGACGATACGACAATGTCTGTGGACGAGGTCGGTCAGCCGACCACGTGGTTCCCGCAGCCACAGGATGCTGAGTTTGTTGACCACCTGCTACATCTCTACTTTTGCTGGGTGCACCCTTTCTACCATCTGTTCTCGCGCGAGCACTTCCTGCACGACATGAGCCGTGGCCGGACCGAGTTCTGCAGCGCCCTGCTTGTCAATGCTGTGTTGGCCATCGCCTGCCATTACTCGGATCGATCACTGGCACGCAGCGATCCCAACGACTCCACCACAGCCGGCGATTACTTCTTCGCGGAAGCAAAGCGGCTGCTCGACAAGACGGACAAAGCTTCAGTGACTTCGGTGCAGGCGTTGGGCCTCATGGCATTGCGCGAGACGTCCCAAGGACGCGAGAGCCATGGATATCAGTATGCTGGAAGATGTGTGCGAACCGCATTGGAGATGGGCTTGCACTTGTCGATGGTGGGCAGTGGACTGCGCTCTTCCGAGATCGAGGTGCGCAAGATTACGTTTTGGGGCGTCTTCAATCTTGAGACGTACGTTCCCACCCCTTCCCAATCCTTCTTGCAATGCCAGACTAACGCAGATTGCAGAATATGCTCAGTTGGCTTCGGCAGGCTATCTCAGCTCCCAATCGCAGCCGCCGACATCAGTAGGCCATCTTCCGACCGCGTAGAAACCCAGACATGGCGACCCTACGAAGACAACAACTTCGCACCTGGTTCGAACATCGAGCAGCCACTTCACCCCATGCTTTTCACCGATCAGTTGAGCAAGCTATCCGAGTTGGCGAGCGATATGGTGAACACTTTCTATGCGCCTCGGGAGCGATTCACGAGTAGGAGGCTTGCTCTTGCGTACAAACAATATCAAGAGTGGCATCGAAATCTGCCGGACGCGTTTCGGCTGGAAAACACCTCACTGCCTCATGTGATCATCCTGCACATGTATTACCATGCTTGCATTTTGCAGTAAGTTGATACGATTCGCCAACATCGTTCGAAGTGCTGACAGAGAACCAGTCTTTTCCGCCCCTATGTGAAGTTAGACCTCTCGGGAGCGAACCTTTGGCCTCGAGAAGCGTGCACGCACTCTGCCAACGAGATCTCAAGTCTGATGAATGCTCTTCGTGCCATGTACGGGCTGAGACGGGTCTCTCTCGCTGTCACCAGCCTTCTGCTATCGGCCGGCACGATACATCTTCTCAACCTCCCTCAAGAACCATCATCAACACACATCAGCCAGGCTTTGTACGATCTCCAGGCGATGTCAGTCAATCACAATTTTGCGGGGTGTTGTGTCGACATCTTGCGGTCACTCTCGTCCAAATGGCAGATAAGTCTGCCTGACAGCACCTCCTCACTGCCCAGGTCTCGACAGACGGGTTCAAAGAAGGGGCTTTCGCCAACATCGTCGACTTTCTGGGGTGCGTCGATACGAAGGGGTGAATCGGGAAGGTCAAGCGGCTCTGCATCGAGCCAACAAAGCTCTCCCTTCCAACCATCGTCATACAATCAGCAACAGCATTCAACGGCGGCGCCAATGTTCACCGATCAGCCAATGCAGCTCGACCCAGGCCAGATGCAGAACACAGTCTGGACACCTTTTCCTGGTCAGACCATGCCAGTGCTTCCTCAGCAGGTTGTACCGAGCATGGCAATGGACATCCCAAACATGGACGGTATATCGACCAACTGGGACATGTTTGACAACACTGTTGCCGGCCAGGCTCGACATAACCCGATGACCGGCGGACCTAGCGGCAGCTCTCACTTTCAAGACTGGAATTGGCAATGACGATAACCGCGGACGACGTATGGGTCTTTATCAGCTCACTTTCTACTCAACTTCTATATTAATCATGGGTTGTGGCTATCGGTGTCTGGGAAATGGATAGGAAACACAAAGCAAGGCGGGACGGGACGGTGTTTGCGGGCAATGGCAATTTGAAGAGGCGTTCGGGAAATGAACTTACGATACCCAAGGTCAGACATCAACGCAGCGGCACGATGGTGGGTGGCTTAACGGACCAGCCAGGCAGCCCTTCGTTTGAATAGTGACTGCGGCAACTCCGCAATCAGATTCATGAGTCAAATGCATGTATACGCGCAGGATACCACTCTTTCATGTCTGTTCACCAGTTGCATGTGATTGACGTTCGCCTGGATGTGCACGGATGCAAGTGCTGACTACTCACATGATTCCGTCATCTGGGCTTGAATTTGCATTTCCTTCGACCAACGACATCTTGAAGACTAGCGAGCCGCGGCTGTTGCTGAATAAATATTCCACATGCTTGTCTGTCTACAGTAAGGTCGGCCGAACAGCCCCCGTTGATTCCACCCTCCTTCAGTTCTTCCTCTCCGCCATTCACACCTTACGTCGACACCGCGAAGCATAAATAGACTCTACCTCCCCTCTGGTCTACTACGTCAACAGTCGACAAGCTGTCTCCCCCAACTCCACTCCGTCTCTTCGCCTCCGCCACCGCCAGGACAACACCTAGGACGGCCAGCACGCAGCGTCTCAACACCCTCTCGCGCCACTTCTCCAGTAACCCCGCGACCATGGCCCCGATCAAGAAGGAATGCGACTACCTCGTCCTCGGCGGCGGCTCAGGCGGCCTCGCCTCCGCAAGACGAGCGAGCGGCATGTATGGCGCCAAAGCCATCGCGGTTGAGGTGAAGCGTCTAGGAGGTACATGCGTCAACGTGGGCTGCGTGCCCAAGAAGATCACATGGAACGCCGCGGCGATCGCGGATCAGATCAAAGATGCGTCCAGCTATGGCTTCAGTGTCAAGCACACGGCGGAGTTTGATTGGAAGACGTTCTCCAACAAGCGTGCACAGTTTGTGAAGAAGCTGAACGGCATCTACGAGAAGAACTTGGAGAAGGACAAAGTGGAATATCTGCATGGGCTGGCGACGTTCTTGGATCCGCATACGGTGAAGGTGACATTGGACGACAATACTGAGGTGGACATCAAGGCGAAGAAGATCTTGGTCGCCGTGGGAGGGCATCCGAACCTGCCCAACACTCCTGGCGCAGAGCTGGGCATCACATCGGATGGATTCTTCGAGCTGGAGAAGCAGCCGAAGAAGGTGGCTGTCGTGGGCGCTGGATACATCGCTGTCGAGATGGCCGGTATGCTGCATGCTCTGGGAACCGAAACGCACCTCTTCATCCGGCACGACAAGTTTCTGCGCACGTTCGACCCAATGATTCAAGAAAAGGTGGTGGCGGAGTATGAGCGCGTGGGCGTGCACATCCACAAGAACTCCTCACAATCAAAGGTCGAAGACATTGGAAATGGCAACAAGCGCCTCCACTACAAAGACAGCAACGGCGAAGGCACTATGGACATTGACTGCCTCCTCTGGGCAATAGGCCGCAGCCCGGAATTGGAAAAGCTTAATCTCGAAATCACTGGTGTCAAGCAGAACGACAAAGGCCACATCATCACCGACAAGTACCAAAACACCAACGTTCCGCACATCTACTCCCTCGGAGACGCCTGCGATCGCGGCTTCGAGCTTACTCCGGTTGCCATTGCTGCTGGCCGACGGCTGAGCGAGCGCCTGTTTGGCGGCATCGAGGATGCGCATCTTACCTACGAAAACATCCCTTCAGTCGTCTTCTCGCACCCGACAGTGGGCAGCATTGGCCTGACCGAGCCCGAAGCGCAAAAGCAGTATGGCGCAGAGAATCTCAAAGTCTACAAGAGCACATTCAATGACCTCTACTATTCCATGATGGAGCAGGAGGAGAAGAGCCCGACGTCGTACAAGCTGATCTGCGCCGGCAAGGAAGAGAAGGTCGTGGGCATCCATATCCTTGGCCGAGGCTCGGATGAGGTGATGCAGGGCTTTGGTGTGGCGGTGAAGATGGGCGCGACGAAGAAGGACTTTGATCGATGTGTGGCCATACATCCTACCGCTGGCGAGGAGCTGGTGACGATGACATAGACTTCAACATGAGCAGGTCAGGTCTCTGTATGACTGCGGAGCTTTTCGCTGACCAAAGAGAGTCACATGTGTGTGTATAGGACTAGATACTGAATCAGATACTTTCAGAGATGCTGAGCCGCTGCTTGCTTGACACGGCTCATTGATTTGATGCATTCACTGTCACCCAGCACTTTGGAGCCAAACAAGTCTATGGCTGCTCGGCCAAGGCGCCTGGCCATATTGAATGCAGTCGCACAAGAGCGCAATGTTTTATTCGTCGACGACATCCTGCGAAGCTTCTTCGACTAGTTGCCCGTCCACCATCAATCTCGCCAAATCTATCATACTGCCACAGGTCTATCAAGGCACCTTCTACGCCGAGCACAAGCAGCGCACGTATCGAACAATCGAACAGCGGCTCTCTTGCAATGGCTCAAGTCAACCTCTTCGACCTCCAGAAGCGTCGCGCATGGTGCTGCATCCATTGGACTCGAGGGTGCTTGAATTGGGTCTGCAAACTTCCCGCCTGCGCCTACGTTCAACACTGACGATCTGCTAGGTGAACTGGGAGGACTCGGCTTGCCACAAGTGCATCGTAAGTACACGGAGATGTTCTCCATATCAACCAGCTGACTCCTGTAGTCACAAGGCAGGGATGCCCGTAAGCTAGATGACCCGTCAGCACCTCTCGAGCCAGAGACCAATGATCTAGACTACCTTCCAGCTTTGAAAGCCGCCTATCTGCTACACAGGTCTTTGAACGGCAGACAGTGGCTACCGATCAGTTTAGCAGGTACAGAGCACTGTCTCCTCGACGAGCTACATGTGGCTACATATCAAGTCCTGGAAGCCATGAGGAGCACCATAGAGCGGACACCAAGGACCTCTCCTAGGCGACCAGCGGCCGACAAGCTCCAGGCAGACTATGCATCGTACCCAAAGACACTGCCAGGCGTGCTACACTTATTTAGAAGCCACTCCGTGGAGGCCGGAGTGCAGTTCTTCCAAGACATCGTGGGACAAGTTCAAAAATACGCAGGTCCTGCTTATTCTGGCGCCATGATCATCACCGCGAGTCCCGGCGTGATCGACTGGCTGCCTCGACCAGAATCATTCGACCACCGCAAGGCCATCCACCAGCACAGGTACCAAGCATGGAAAATGGCGGAGACCGTCCTCGTCAACAACGTACAAGTCGAATGCAGGCCTTCCATGCTCAACAAGGCGTCGATGTCAGAAATGTCAAACGCACTAGATCGCGCCGAGCTGGCGCTGGCCAGAGCAGTTGCTCGAACACTGGAGAAGTACTCCGACGGTAGGGAGTATGAGGCTGCGGTCAAGCTGCAGACTGAGATACGGAAGTATCGACTCGTGCTCCGGGAGACCACTTCAGCTCCGCCAGCACGCGATGAGCTTGCCGTGCTGCTTTGCCGAGCCCTGGAGACCGTCACGTACAGTACCACTGTCGTCGAAGAGCAGCGCATAGTTGTCCGAGATCCGCCTGCCCACTTCCCGGTTTGATAACGGCGGCGGTTTCTACTGCAGGCAAGGTAGGTTTAGTCCCGCATCACGCACATATGGCATGGATTTCAGTTAGTAGATGGTTTGTCCATTACTCTAGTTGTAGCAATAGTCTATGATGGAGTTGAACCCATCAATCTTTGTTCTATGCTCTTTCCTTTTAGCCCACCAGCCAGCCGGCAATGTAATCCCCTTCAGGCCTGCCATGCCATGCGTGTATCCATGTATCCATAAATGCAAGTGGTATACGCCTTTTCCTGGACCGTCGCTCAAACGCAGATCAAATCATTCAAAAAAGCAAGAACGATCAGGACTACAACGCCGCCCGCTGCTGCTCGTTGCGCTTCTGCTCCCGCTGCTCCGCAAATACCTCCCTCGAGATCGCCAGCACCCTCTCAAACCCTTCTCTCCCTCGTGCAGCATTCTGCTTGAACCGCTCCACCGTGATATCCTCAATCGTATTCTTAATCTTCTGCCAACCCCCGCAAAGCGCAATGACCTTCGCCTGCTGCTCGAAGGTCGTCCTCCCGCCCTTAGCCGGCGTATACACGACCGTCTCCTGCACGCTCAGCAGATCGCTCCACGTCATGTTCTGCGAGCACATGGTGACGCGCTTCGCCGCTGGGTCGACGTAGCTGACTTCGTAGACGAGGCTAGTGTCTTGTGAGCCGAGGAAAGAGCGGACCCATTGCGGCGCGGTCTGCTTGCACGTGATGAGGCGTTCGGTGCGGAGGATGTTGGTGTTGGGGTCGATGGTGCGGGAGAGGGTGTCCACGCCAATCACGTGCTCTGATTTGTTGTTCCAGGGGCCGTACTTGCGCCAGTTGGCGGTGCTGACTTCTTCCCAGGAGTAGTCGAACTGGTGCGTGCAGGAAAAGAACTTCATCGTCGACTACTATTGGTGCTTGGTCCGTTGTAGGTGTGGCCAGAGGCCGAAGGCCTGGTAGAGTTCTTTAGGTCGTGCAAACTTGCGGGTTCGCCTCGACTGGGTCGCAATCGACTCAGATGGTGTTAATCAGGTGTCGAGGTCGGTTTGAGTGTTTGTAGTTGTTCTTAGGCCGTGATGGTGAGGTGTAGGTGTGGTCGTGTGAGCAGAAAGCAAAAAGTGCTTCTCCAAAGGGCACGATAATTTTCAGGGTCAGTCGAGGCCAGATCTGGCTCGGGAGATCGGCAAGCATAGAACTAGCGGAAGACGGAAGGCGGCCTCTTCGGCAATCGTCAACAAAGGCGCACAACTCCTCCAAACCCCATATCAAGGCACCCCTTGATGCTTCAGCCAGTCCGCCGAGTCGTGCTGGTTGGGCGATCGCATGTCAAAGGTGTCCAATGGAATGGATATAGAGCCTACACCGCGGGCTCGCCACGCAGACAGCGTGAGCCCCTGAACATCCTCTTCTGCGGTGCAGACGAGTTCAGCATCTACTCCTTACGAGCTCTTCGAGAACTGCAGAACCGACAGCCTGAAAAGATTTCTAGCATTGATGTCGTCTGCAGGCCCGACAAGCGGACGGGTCGAGGATTGAAGCAGGTCCGTCAAGGTAGGTCTACTACTGGTCTATCTACAGCCAAATATCTGATTGACCTGCTGCAGTACCCATCAAGCCAGTCGCCTCAGAACTGGGATTGACACTGCATCAAATCGACTCCTTCAAAGCATGGTCGCCACCCACGCCCATTAACCTGGTGGTCGCAGTATCCTTCGGCCTTCTTGTGCCAGCAAGAATACTGACCGGAGCAAAGCATGGCGGGCTCAACGTCCATCCTTCCTTGCTACCGGATCTGCGAGGACCAGCGCCAATCGTGCACACGCTCTTGCAGCGAAGAAGCCACACTGGAGTAACGGTACAGACGATGCATCCAACGAAATTCGATCATGGGACTATCGTGGCGCAGACTCCAGCGCCAGGGATTCAGGTAGCTCCGCAAAGCACACCTCAAGATCTTCTGGATGTACTTGGGCCGATGGGCGCGGAGACGCTGTCTCAGACTATTGAACGCGGATCATTCGTGAGCCCAGAGCAAACTATGAACAGCAGTACTACGCACGACCACCTGGAACATGCGCCGAAGATCACGCCCCAGGATCGTCGCATTGACTGGGTTTCGTGGTCAGCAGACGACATCATCCTACGCGACAGAATCTTGGGCAGGCTATGGGACCCAGAACTCTATATGCGCTGCAACAAGAATACGGAAGATGGTATGCCGAAACGCATCACCCTCTCTGGACCATGGCGAGTTTGGACGCCTGAGGAAATCAATGCTTCCGTCATCTCAAACAAAGGTCCAGGTGATCCGCTGCGTTTGTATGAACCCGAGCGGCCGCGCGACAATGTTCTCGGCATCGTAACCTGTGACAGGAAGGTCGTATGCCCGGCTTCGGCGACTATCGAAGGACAGAAGAAAGACACCGGCTTGCAGGCATTGTTGGCGCGAGTGGAGTCGGTCTCTACTGCACCCCACAAGACCTGACGACAGCTGCAAAGCTCCAAAAGCCGGCTCAGTCGCTGTGATGCATGAATAAACATGCAGGCAACCACGCGGACATTTCGCTGTGTTCAATGAACTCACGCTGCCCTGCATTGCGTGCCGGGAAGTGGAGCCATGAGTCCGACGCCTAGTCTGCGTCTGCATCTAAGGTGCATCCCTCCGACAGCTACCTCTATGAGTGCCGATTGCGCCGAGAACTAACTCGGGTACCGCACTGAACCGAAGAGTGCACGAGCTCGTGGCTTCAGCATGGGGTTCAGCCGGACAAAGAAGTGTCTCTGGGGAAGGTGTGGAGTGGTTGGCTCGGATCGGGTCTTCGCGACCTCGTGGCTGGCGCGTCTTACCATCCATGCTCCTGGGTCCTGGTCAACCTCACTCCAGGCTTCAATGACACTCCAGAGCACAGTGCTGGCCGTACCGGAAATCGCTGGCGTTTGGGAGGAGCTCAACTACGCTGCCGCCACGGTGGATCATTCGCTCGTCAGGACTCGCAACGCCTTCGTGCACCCCCAAGAACCATGCACTGCGGCAGCGTACTAGGGTATTTGCACACCAGGCTGCCGAAGAGGTGACAGTGGGGTGTCCTGTGATGGTTGCTGTCAGCTTCCCGCCTGCTACATTGATTCAGTTCCTCCCCTTCAAGCGAGAGCAAGTCGTCCATCGTCGCAGGTTTGGCAGCCATGTGTGTATTGAGTTACCAACCTTGTCAGCGTACTGTCGAAGCCACGCGCTCATGCTGGCCGCATCGTACCGTGGAAGCCGAGGACACGGAACGTGACAAGGGCTGGCGACCTCTACCGTCCACGGAACGTCGGTCCATCGATCACAAGGTCGCGTGATGGCTCTCATTCTAGACAGTCTGGACAGTGTACACCAAGGACGCCAAGTGAGCGGCGGTCAACAACGTAGCGTAGAATCCACTGATAAGATCCCGTTTTGCCTTCACTTTGCTGCTGTTTCATATGAAGGATGCGAAGGATTTGAAGGATTTCGTTAGCTCCGTTTTCAATGGAAGGAAGGTATACATAGCATCCTGCCTTCCGCTTGACCAGGACCACGCCTGTCGTTGAAGCGCTTTTGTTCCTTCGCTACTCCAGGACCAGGCCTCTCTGTGAATCCCTCTTGTTGCGGTGCTGCTTCTGTAAATATTTTACGACCAGCAAGGCTCATCCAACATGCTGGCCAACATCAGCAGGATGAAGACGACAGCACTGCTGGCCGCTTGCTGCTTCACTACTGGTCAAGCAGCCTCAAAGGCGGAGTACTCCAGCCATGCCCTCGACGCGACGAATGTCCTCAATGACATTTGGTACGATCCTTCGACTGGTCTCTGGCAGGATTTGTGGTGGCAGAGCGCTAGCATGATCGCTTCCTTGGCCAACTTTGCTAGCTTGGACAGGGGAAACTATTTCCCGATGGTCAACGACATCTTCGAAACCACCTTGGCAAATGCCATGTCGGCGGGCATCGCCGGCAGTTATGACACTTTCTTCAATGACTACTACGATGACGAAGGCTGGTGGGCCATGGGTTGGATTCGCGTCTATGACCTTACGGGTGACGCCAAGTACCTCGACACCGCCCGCAAGATCTTCACCGACATGCAGACCGGCGAAGACGCTACCTGCGGCGGCCACTGGTGGTCCAAAAAGAAAGATGCGAATGTTGCCATCGCCAATGAGCAGTACATGGCCGTGGCAGCGTCACTGGCGAACCGCATTCCCGCTCAGAAGTCCATGTACGCAGACATTGCCACGGGATCGTACGACTGGTTCATGGGCAGCGGTCTCATCAATGGGGACAACACCGTCACCGACCACCTCAACCTCGCGACCTGCGAGCCTGAAGGCAACGTGTGGTCGTACAACCAGGGCGTGATTATTGGAGCCTGCCTCGAGTTGAACCGACTCACGTCCGACGGGAAGTATCTCGACACCGCTTCCCGCATCGCCCACGGTGCCATTGACCACCTGACTGGCCCCAAGGGCATCCTCACTGACTTCGCCTCCGAGGCCCCCATGGACATTACGAGTGCGCAGTTCAAGGGCGTGTTCGCACGCAACTTGAGGCAACTGCATTCGGTAGCGCCGGATGCTGCGTATGTGAGCTTCTTGCAAAACAACGCAGATACGCTCTGGATCCAGGCCAGGCAATCAGATGGGCAGATTGGACCGGAGTGGGCAGGGCCGTACATTGATGCGACCGCCCCGAGTCAGAGCTCGGCTTTGGATTGCCTTGTCGCTGCTGCTGCCGTGAGTTAGTAGTACGTAGAACATGAGACTTGAGGTCTCCAGATGCTCGTTGGTAGATTAGTTTACACCTTGGTTTGCATGCCTCTGTTCACCTTGACACTATCCTCTTTCTGCAGAAGTCTGCTTGGTTTCTGCTCAACCCCATCCCTCGCGTTAACGCCGTTCTCGCCTCGATATGTCGCGCATTCTCCCGGTCTTGGATGCCGCATGACGGCCTACGGTGGCAATTCGTGTCGAAATGTGGATGGAGGCTTCATCTCTGAAAAAGCTACTTCGGTCTCCAGGTGCGTTCGAGCGCTCGCAGCATCTCCGGACGAACGGGGCCAAGGTTCAGAATAGCTGGTCGTAGCAACGCTATCATTCAGCCTGTGTGTCGCTGATCTTGGGCCATGGCGTAGCCCTGCTGCTTTCCCTCGTAGAGTCCAGTGTAATAGCCGGCATAATACCACGACATCATAAGGTTCTTCATGTCGTCGTTATAAACTTGGAAAGGTCAGCATGGATCCCTTACTTGTAGGATCATCAGCGCTCAATCCCACGTACCAGTTGCCATGAGAGCCTGCGGGATCGATAGGGTGGCTGCACCAGTCGACACTGGAGCGCCTTGTGCATTTGTTATAGAGGCCTGCGCGAGTGATGGAGCGTCTGCATGAGCTTGAGCAGATGATGCAGGCTGGGGTGGCGCTGCGGTTGTCTGCGGTTTTGCTGGTTCCTCAAGCTTGGCCTCACCGTTCGTATGTGAGCTTTCGAGTCGCAAAGTGGTCACATCGACCTTTTCACCTTTGGCGGCGAGGCTGTGATATTTCTAGAGGGCTATTAGACTGTACCAGCGATTCATTCTTCCACCCCTTACCTACCTTGTACTCCTCAAAGGCATCGTTCCAGGAGTCGACCAGGGCAGAGTCGTCCCACACTTCCGGTTGGGAGATATCCAGACTTGCCATACTGGATGGAGTCTCGGCCAGGCGTGTTCACTTCCAGTTGTTCATTCAAAGATGTCAAGGATTGTTTTGTATTGTGCATGTGAAGATCGAGGGGACGGTTTCGCGCTAGTAATTACGCGGCCAAACCTTTCTCCGGCGCGAGGAAAAGTTCGTCTTTGGAAAGAGCGAAATACCACTTTCGAACACCTTCACCCAACAGCAGCCATGTCGACACAAACAATCACAAAGAAGCGCAAAAGCGCCGACGGCTCTACTACCGCGACGAAGAAGGTCAAGACAACCAAGTCCGCCGACCGTCCAGCACCAGTCAAGTCCGCACTGAAAAAGACGAAGACGGCGAAAAAGGCAGAGACAGAGGCTCCCACCCAGCTCGCAGAAGATGTTGAAGAGGAGACAGTGATACCCGAGGCCGGTGCCAACACAGACCTCACGCCCGATCAGACCGCCGCTCTCCTGGCCGGCTTCTCGAGCGACGAGGATGAAGCTTCCGACGGCGACTCCGGACTCGCAATCTCTTCTCTACCCAAAGCGCCCACGACTGGCGCAGTGCAGAAGCGCATCAACGAAGCCATCATGTCCCAATCCAAGAGCAAGGACGGCACGGAAGATCCAGAACGAACTCCAGGCGTCATCTACATCGGCCGCATCCCGCACGGTTTCTTCGAGCACCAGATGCGCGCCTACTTTTCACAGTTCGGCGAGATCACGAACCTGCGCCTGATGAGGAATCGCAAGTCGGGGAAGAGTCAGCATCACGGGTTCATCGAGTTCGCTTCCGCTGCGGTAGCGGATATTGTGTGTAAGACTATGGACAAATATCTGCTGTTTAACCACATCTTGCAAGTGAGGAGGGTGCCGCGGGAGCAGGTGAATGAGAACATGTGGCGGCAGAGTTCGAGGAGGGCGAGGAACCCGCCCCCGAGGAATAAGCTGGAAGGGGGTAAATTGCGGAGAGGTGCGACGAGGGACGTATGGGAGGCGAGGGTTACGAACGAGGAGAAGAAGCGGCAGGAGAAGGCGGAGAAGCTGAAGGAGATGGGGTATGAGTTTGAGATGCCGGCGTTGAAGGGGGTTGGCGAGGTGCCTGTCAAGCCTAAAGCGATTGAGGAGGCGAGCGTAACCGAGGACCCGAATGGTGCAGACGAAGGTGTGGTGGAGAGCGTCTCTGTGGCACAAGAAGGTCCAGAAGAGGTCGTGGAGAAGAAGGTCAGCAAGAAGAGGCCGGCGAGTGGCAAGACTCAGGTCAAAAAGGCAGTCAAGAAGGTGAAGGCATAGAGACGAAATTCGGGAGATGTCAAAGCAAGTGTCTAGAAAGGTGGAACTCCACAGCCTTATGCCACCATTCTCATCTCTTGTGTTCCAAGAACATGTCCACTACGTCCGTACTGAGTGGTCTGCGAGCGAGCTTCTGCCTCATGAAAGTGTACGTCAGGAGGATGTTAGAGCGTCAAATGGCGAAAGTCTTTTCAGCATCCTTCTGTCTATTCATTCCTCATCCGCAGTGGCAAGCCTGCCTGCCTGCGCCAACCAGCCTTTACCCAGCGCCAACGCTCCAAAAAAGCAAGCCGAACAACACGCGCAACCTCTCGCTATGCCAGCCGGCGCTTCCTCTGCCCTTGGCCATGCTGCAGCTCTCCCGCGCCGGCCTACTGCACGATGAGTGCCGCAGACGGCACCAGCCCTGCCTCCTTCAGAGTCATCCCGAAGTCGCCTTGGTCGAATACCTTTTTTGGGAAGTTTTGCGTGAAGGTGCTCGCCTGGACACCGCTTTCCTCTTGCAATGCGTGCGCAACTTCGAAGAGTGTCGTCTCGGCTGGGAAGTTCTTCATCACGTTGCCGCCTGGTGTTTGTAATCGTAGGCGGGCTTCGGAGTGTGTGGCCTTGGGTTTTGCAGCTTGTGCACTCGCCAGTGCAGCACCAGCACCACCAGGAGCAGCAGCAGAGCCAGCGCCTTGAGGGTCGTATGCAGCCGGGTTTGCACGCATTGCCTTCTCCTCATCTGCTTTCCGCTTACGCTCCGCCTTGTCAGCCTCGATCTTGTCTTTGATCCTCTTCTTCGCCGCGATGTCGTCTGCCTTCTCCTTCTTCTTTTGTTGTGCTTCCTTGATCTGCTCCTTCTTCTTCAGGTCCTCCTTCGCATCCTCGCTCTCCTTGGTATGCTTGCGCTTGATCTCGTCATTGCGCTTCGCCGCTGCCTTGTCCTCATCCGCCTGCTTTGCCTTCCTCTCCATCATCCTTTGCTTGGCCAACTCCAGCTGGGCCTTCTTCTCCTCCTCTGTCAAGGGCGCGATCTCCTCATTACTCTCCGCGAAGTCATCATGGCCCGTCCGCTCCGCGTGTGCTTGTGCTGCTGTCATGTTCCGGAACCTCTTCCCGCAGTCGTTGCAGACCATGCTGTTCGCGGAAGCGCCGGCCTGTGGTAGTGCAGATTCTTCCTCTCCCTCGTCCGCCTTTAGGTCCTCCATGGACTTGTCGGCGTTCTTGTCCAGCCAGTCGATAGCTGAGGGGAGATTGCCGCCTTTCTTGAGCGCCATCTGTGCTTTCTCGCGGTCGAAGCCCATGTCGGCCAGCTGATCCAGGTCTGATGACATGCTGGCGGTGTGGGCTGTGTGTTGGTGTCTAGGAAGGTGATTGAGGGTGTGCTACCGTAGAGCTGACGGGAGACTGTGCTTGCTGTGTCGTCGTCGTCCTTTAACTTCAAGGATGTGGATGAAGATGAGACAGTGTCTCTTGGCAGGACTCGTAAGCGGGTGAAGAATATGTCCTCGTAGTGAGTGTGTAAAGTTCGAGATTCACTGATGAAACTCTCTCGGAGTCGAAAAGTGGCGGCTGTGTGACGTAGCGGCGGGTGATGCCGCGGGCGCCAGCCTTGGAAGGAGGTCGATCTGTGCCTGCTTCTCGGATCTTCCTCCCTGGTCACCACCACCCACTACCACCTCCACATACCACCACGCTCTTCCCTTTCGACAGGCCTACAAGGCGACATTCGAAAGACAACACAATCGCTTACGACCAACAAGAGCACGACACTTCACAAAGAGCAGCGCGCTTAGCAATCGGCAATCATGTCTGTTGAGCTGGAACCCCCGGAGCTGGGCTTCAAGCGTACGCATGCTGCTAACACCTACTCAAGGCGTTCCTGCTAACACACAGCAGGCCCATTCACGCAAGAAGTCTCGCAAGTCCTCCGTCTCCGCAATCCCAGCAGTGACCCCGTTGCGTTCAAAGTCAAGACCACTGCCCCGAAGCAGTATGTGCTCTCCCGGGATCGCACTTTGATGCTCTACTAACGGATGCTGTCAGATACTGCGTCCGCCCCAACTCCGGCCGTATCGAAGGTAGCGGCTTCGTCGAAGTGCAGGTCCTTCTGCAGGCCATGAAGGAAGACCCTCCGCCAGATGCCAAATGCCGCGACAAGTTCCTCGTCCAGTCCGTCGCCATCTCGCCCTCCACCGACACTTCCGCCAACGTCAGCCAGATCTGGTCCAACATCGAGCAAACCGCGAAGTCGTCCATCCAAGAGAAGAAGATCCGGGTCACTTTCCTCGCAGCAGACGGCTCAGAGTCGGCGGCTACGAACGGAGTATCTCACCACGAGGACGAGCCGCCTGCGTACTCCTCACCGAGCCCCGCCGCGGTGACACCGCAAAGGTCGGCTCAGGATACGAAGGAAGGCGGGACCATGATGGGCAGCACAATCATGGGTGGTGCATCAGGTGCGGCTGGCGGCGCTGGGTCGAGCTTTGCGAGCGCGGTACCCACATCGCAAGACGAACTCAAGCAGCAGCTCTCGGAAGCACAGGCTCAGATCGCGAAGTTAAGGGAGCAGGCGGCGGAAGGGTTGCGACAGCGGAAGCCCCAGGAGGCGGCAGAGAAGGCCATGAGCTCCATGCCACAGAGTGTGCAGAATGCGTCAGCTCAGGCGCCTGGCGGTGTGAGCGTGCAGATTGTGGCCGTGCTGTGCTTGCTTTGCTTCCTGATCGCCTACTTCTTCTTCTGAGTGAGCTAGCTGGGTCTGGTGTTAGGTCGATGGGAACGAAGGAGATGTACAATGGTTTTGCCTGTGCCACACCGTGTCAAGCGGCAAGGCGATAGCAAAGCGTTACGTGTGGCTGCGGATGTGCAAGACGCGAAAATGAGCGCTGATAAATGACTTCCTGTGGACGTGGTGCTGAGATGGATACGCACGCTTGGGGAGGAGTGATTGAAACATGAGCCTTCTGCACTTGAGTTTTCTTGCTTCTTTTCTATAGAGATACTTCATCCCGCCCGCAGTACCAGAATGCCTCCTCCCGTCCAGCCATTGAACATGTGAAGTCCGATCGCCAAGACCAAGGGCAACCACCTCACTTCATCCCGTCCCGTCTCTTCTAGACGGGTTGCTTGTCCTGCGCCTGACAACATCGTCAGCGCCCCTGTGAGCTCTATGCTACCGGAGCGCTGATAGGATAGCATTAGCATGACGATCTGGTCAACGGCCTCACCTTCGAGTAGCGGAGGGGCGAAGACTGGGCGCTCACACGTTCCATTTCCTCAAAAAGCCGACACAGGCGCGCAACAACTCGCTCGATGCCCACCTCCATGGTTTTGGAACAGGCCAACCGTGGGACGGCCGGATCAAACGGGGACCAACACAGCTCTGCCCGCACTCCAATGGCTGTAGGATTTTCTCGACATCGTGGCTATGCACCAAGACGTCCAGGCGTGCTGCTGCACGATGAGTCAAGCAGTCCGGTGAGTGCACGCGGCAACGATATCTCTCGATCGCATTGACTGTCCTTCATGCTCTTCTACCATCTTCGGATGGCTTCGTTATAACTGGTGACTGGTGAGTGAGTCAAGCTTGGGGGCCAAGGTCGAAGCATTTATATTTCCATTCTGTCCCCATTTCGTCTCTTCGTCAAATCATCCAACATGGCTTCCGCAACATCAATGCCCACTATGGGCATACAGAACATGTCGCTCGACAAGCAGAATAGCACACCAGCACGTACAAACGAGGACAGCCCCTCGCCTTCATCAGCTCAGTTCTGGACCGATCTCATCCGCAAGAACTTGATCACGGAGCAAGCGATTCAGATGGAGAACAATGATGGTGAGGATACCGTCTTCAGCATCGACGAGGAGATCATGAATGCTCCTCGACGGAAATCTGCTCGTGATGCTCTCGCTCATGAAGTCGCGGCTCGACTGTATCCTGACCTTGCTGAGAGTCTAGCGGCCATCATCAAGTACGAGAAAGACATTGTCGTGCTCAGGTCCATGTAAGTCTGCACTTATCGCCGATCACTGCATTTGTCCTAACCGACCCCCATTCTAGGGTACTGGCGCAGCGGCAAGCAGTAATTGCAGAGGCGACCGAGCGCAACAACCGCGTCAACTGGGTGAAACGTATCACTAAGCAGGGCTGGTGGGATGAAATCCACGACTCTCTCCCTTTGACTGGTGCTCCATCGCTGCCAATGCCCGTCGAGCAGTCCGGCAAAGAGTCACTTGCGCCATTCTTCGCTCATCTGCAGAACGGCGGCACCGTCAAGCTCGACCCAGCTTCATCAGGCGGCGTATCAGGCGTGGAGCCCTACTACGACACCGAGCTCGTCGAGTTCGAGAAAGGCGTGCTCTATTCTGACGGCCGCATTGACCTCTGCAAAATGGTCACGGGTCCAAGAAATATCGGGGACCTCATGGAGTCGTTGAAGTCAAACACCTTCTCGAAACACTTCCTGCTCGGCAATAATATCATCGGCTCGACGGGTGCGAAAGCCATCGCCGACTTCATTGGTGAAATTCCGGAGCGGTTCGAGACATGGTATCTGGCCGGAAATTGCATCGACAGCCAAAGCTTTACCCAGCTTGTCAACAGCATGGTCATGTCTACCACGATCACGAATGTGTGGCTCAAACGTAATCCTCTCGGCCCGTCGGCTGCGAACGACGTCTTCCGCCTGATCACCCAAGCACCCAATTTGAGGACCTTGGATCTCGACCAGACTGAGCTTGGTGACGAGGGCGTTGCGGAGCTCTTCAGACAGCTGTCTGTACATTCACAATTCAAGCCGCTTGCTCTGCGGAACATCTACTTGAATGCATGTGGTATCAGTACATCCGCATGCGAGCAGATCGCTCGGTTCCTGCGGTCGCCGCACTGTACGGTCGAGTCACTGTACCTCTCCAACAACCCCATCGGCGACGGAGCTGCGAATGTCCTCGCAATAGGTCTGGCCCAGAACAACACCCTGCAGCGCCTGTCCCTGCAATCCTGCGGTCTCAAAGACGCCGGTGCCATCGCGATAGCCTCAGTCCTCGTCAACAACCCCACCATCACCGCCCTCGACCTCGGCCAGGCGTACGCCACCGAGGACCTGGGCATGCGCTTCAACTGGCTCACCAACGCCTCCGCGCCTGACCTCATCTCTCTGGTCCAGACCACCAAGCTCCAATACCTCAACATCGCGTACACGCCCATGACCCAGCCGGCCCTCAACACCCTCCTCACCGCCATCACCACCTCGGAAAGCCTCCTCTGGTTCTTCGCCAAATCGCTCGTAACCGGTGGCCGCGACCACGACAGCGTTAAAGCCGGACAGGAGCACGCGAGGCTGTACAAGCTGGTGCGCGAGAGATTACACGAGAACGTGAAAGCGAAGTATGAGGGGATGGCGTACGAGGCGTTCGAGAACGGGTTCAAGCGGTTCCTGATCAGTCCGAAGGATGTGAGGTTGATTGACTCGGTGTATCGGAATCGTGATGCTGGGGCGGCGAGGCGGGGGGAGAAACGGTTGGAGAAGTGGTGGGGGGAGGGGGATGAGACGCTGAGGATGGTGCAGGAGGGGACGTTGGCTTAAGGGGTACGACATCTGTTGGTCACAGAATGCTATGATAGCCCATGTTCCATATGGCTCAAATAATGTTAGAGCTCCGCCGTTGGGGCTCTGGTCCTCCACATGTTTGCTTTCGCCTAGAAGTTGAGCATGCCTCATCGTAGGTAGATTTCGAGAAGGGTATATACATCAGCCTCTAATGAATCCATGCGCCCTCCGGTCGCAGGGAGAGTCTTCAAACCGCATCCTTCCTCTCCGATCCAACTTCGTGCAGCGCACAAGATCAAGACTGCGGTCGAGACCAAGCCATGCATCGACTTGCTCACCACATACTCGCCCCAGCGCTATCCACGGCCTCCATCTCCGCCTCACTGAACGGTCTTCTTCGGAACCTCGCCGGAAGCTCATCCCGATCGAAGAACTGCCCCTTCGCTGGCTGAATGTCCCCCAGCTGCTTCCCTGACTTGCCGCCGATACCTCCATACGGCTCCATCCCGGACGGCGGCGCTACCGTACTCGACGCGCTGCTCTGCTGCTGCTGCTGTTGCGCACGTTGTCCAGTCTGCTGCTGCTGGCCGCCGAGAGGCCCGTGTTGGATGGCACGGTTGCGATATTGGGCGAAAGATTCGGGGAGGCTGTCGTTAGGGGCGGCGGGGTGGGCGTGAGGGGTGTGGTCGATGTCTGCGTGGTGTTAGTTGCGGGAGAGTTGATAGGGTGGCGGGAGAAGCTACTTTTCGGGACATTGCGCTTGCCCAGGAACTTGATTAGGGGTTGGCGGGTTGCGCGGAGGATGCGCGTGGGTTGCATGGTCAGGTGTTGGTGACTATTCGGGAGAGGTGGTGTTGGAACGTGGGAGGTGTGCGAGGCGGCGGCAGCGGGAGTTGAGGGCTTATGGTGTGTAGTGGGTTGTCACCGGCCAGTTGGGAGCATGATCAAGAGGTCCTTGAAGGGTTGAATTTTATAGAAGTCGTGGTATGGACGGTCTGCCCACCCCAGAAGAGGTTCGTTAATCCCGGCTTCGAGCTCGCTTTCACTTCACCTGCAGCGTGCCTGCCGATCTCGGCCACACGTGGTCACGGCCGCTAACGCGCCGTCCCGCGTCTAGAATCCGTATAGACGCTGGCCTTCACCACAATTCCAACACGACGACACCTTGCACTTGCAACTCGCGCCCAGCATCAAGACGTCATGCAGGACCTACTGCTATTCTCCCAGGTCTCGCCAGCGCGCCACAAGCAGGTTCTCCAGATCCTGGTCGGTATCACTGCCGCGCAGCCCGCCCCGTTCCTGGAACAGCACCTCGTCTTCGAGCAGCTCCGGCTACCACCCGTCTCGAAGAAGGCACCAGCAAACCAGACTACGAGACGCGCGTACCAGCATCTCACAAGGCAACCGCTAGAGAGCAACTCTTGGACTCTTCGCAAACCAGAAGTCCCGGAGCCTGGCGTCAAGCAAGTCATCACGCAGTCAGTGTCCGAGGTGTCGTTGCCAGAGGCCGATTTGGAGAAGTTCCGTCCTGGATTAGAGTGGTACAAATTCATCAATCAATTCTATTTGCAAGGACACCGTTTTGTGCAAGGCAACGTCGTGATCACGATCAGCAGAGTGTGCCCGGCTGAGACAACTGATGGCGACCTGCTCGAAAGTGAAGCGCCCACGACCGTTAATCTGCCGCCTCTCGATCCTAGTGGAAGTTACGTCATCGAGGCTTGTGTTCGCATGGAAGACGGCAGCACCACTGCTTTGCGCGATCAGGCAACTAAAGAGCTTCTCGCATTTGCCGATGGTTTGAAAGGAGCGATTGACCTGAGGGTGCCGGATAGACTGGCGCTGGATCCAAGAATCAAAGGAGCGTGAGTGTGTTGCAACAAAACTTTCCCATCACCGACATGACCATCATGGGGATGTCCGGCACTCTGGCCTTCGTCATATCTACGGATTTCCAATCGGTACCGACAGCTGGTGACGCGCGATAGGCCTACGGAGCAACGACGACCTGCTTGCAGTGCTTGGGGCTGATTTGAGCTTGATGCGGTCTTCCAGACGTCGGCCAATCATCCTCTGGTTTCTCCTGACCCGGATTCTGATCGCTAGTCCGCTCACAAGGGCCTTATGGATCACTGCGCCTACCCTGTATCCTAATGCGATCTGTTCGCTCGTGGCGACTGGATTCGAGCTCGCTCGGCACCTCACTGCTCGTTGATGATTCCTAAGGAAAGACTACCGCCCTCGTTGGCGCCGCTTCAGAAAAGACCACACGAGATGGACCGCTACCCTGTCAGCAGAAAGAGTGGGATGAATTTTGGGTACGGCAATGAATTGCTCAGGTTATAGACCTCGTTTGCTGCTAATAGTTGGCCCCATATGACTGGACCAGACGTGGAAAGCAATTTTCTCGCATGTGCATCGGGCTGGAGTAAGAGTGCTTCTCATTCCAATTCCTCCCTTATCCTTGTTCCTCTTAATCTGCAGGAAGCAACTTTCAGCTTGAGGTGAAGGTGCAGGGGAGAATTAATGGCCTTTCGGCCTCCTGATTGGGCCTTGCATTGTTGGGCAACATCATTATGGCCGCTACTCGGTATCGAATCAGTCTTGGTACATGTCCGCATCAAACCCACAAGAGGACCACTTGTTGTAGACGAATGCATTCTTTTTCCCACTTACCGTGTACTTCAGATACCGATTCCACCATCCAGTGGGTGAGCCTCTCGACGCTGGGCCTATCGGGCTATGGCCATAGTAAAGTGTCCTGGAGGTAAGCCCACAGAGAGCTGTGGTAAGCAACGCTGTAGGTAAGCATATGATCCACAGACGAAGAAACGGGCTCAAAAGTCTTCCACTGTACTTCTTCAATTCTCCTTCTCTTTCTCATCTGTACAACTCTCCTAGATCCTCATCACTTGCTCTATTGAAGCATAATATATTCTCATCCGCTACTAAATCCGGGAACATGGCAGGACTCCCCATTGCACTTTTCGTTGCTGGTTTGGTGGTCAGTGGAGGCATACTAGAAGGCATCAACGAGATCCTCGACATCGACCTCCACAAGTGATCGCCAGCGAACGGGGGAGGAGCCGTTATCTTCCAGTGCGATGACGGCAACATGCGTCTCAAGGACGCGCGCCGCTTGAACGGGTTGCTGATGAATGTCACGGACGCGGATGGCACCACAGTGTTCAGCACGGTGGGCGATGCGGAACATGAGGGTTTCGATGGTGTGAAGGGCAACATCTCCATCACGGTAAGCCTGTTGCGTGTACCAGCGTGCAAGTAGGTATCGTCAACTCACAAATCTTCGATACAGGCCAAGCCGCACCACGCCGTTCTGAAGGGCCGGCTGTCGTTCACCGTCCCTGGCCCCGACGATGCCGACGAGAATGGCACCGAAGTCACTGGCACGTGGATCTATGTTTCGCGTGGCGTGGCCCAGACAGAGCACGAAGACGAAGTTCAAGCGTTCCACGAGCTGCATGAAGCCATGCTTGCCAAGGCGAAGGAGCCAGTTGCGGATATCTTTGAATCGTACATGCAGATGCGCAACGGGGCTTAGGGCATGCAACAGGGCACTGACATTCCATCGCTACGAAAGCGCGGCATTCGGATGGACCGTGCGGTCGTAGTAGTGGTGGAAGGCGGGAGGTACTTAATCTTCAATGAGGATGGCTGTCGAACTACTTCTCTATGTACCTGGAGCAGAAGAAAGTCAGTATCAGCGATGGAAAAGTACTCTCGCTCTGTCACCTTACCAAGAAAGATCAGACTCATCATCATACTCCTCCGCCAGGAAGCCGTTCCCGAGGAATCTGAAGGGGTTACTGCTGCGATACTCAATATCAAAGTCCTCAGCTCGGATCTCCTCGATCAGCTTTTTGTACAGCAATGCGCTTCCACCAAATAACGCCGTCACTCGTCCATCTATCCGACCCTTCTTGTACCACGAGACACAGTTGCCCGTCCATACCAACGTCTTGTGGATCTCATCCCCGTACCGGACGAAGGAGTCGACAGCCTTATGAGTAGGCACGACCGACTTGATGTCTTCGGTGGCAATTTTCCTGATCCACTTGCAGAAGTAGTCGCCGGTCCAGTTCAATGCTTCCATCAACGAGCCATGGCCGACGACGGCGTTGGGCCCCATCATTAGGAAGTAGTTCGGCATGTCTGAGGCAGCGACAGACATGTAGGACTCTGGCTCGTCTCGCCACTTGTCTGCTAGATCAACGTCGTTTCGTCCGATGATAGGGTAATGCGGGCAGTGCGAGACGTCGAATCCGGTGGCACAGACGACTGGATACCATCAGCAAGACGCCTCTGGTTTGCTCATCATAAGGTATACTCACCAACATCGACCTCATGCGCTTTACCATCTTCCGTATGCACCGCATTCTTCGATATGTGCGTAATCTTGCTGTTGGTAAGGTGGCAATTCGGCTGGGTCAACGACTCAAGATATCCTGGACCGGGTGTAATCCTTCTGCATCCGACCTCCCAGTTCGGGATCATCTTTGAGGTAAGTTCAGGGTCATGCTTGAGCTTAGCAGACATCTGCTCTGCCGCAAAAGCCATGGCGTCTTTGGCACCTTCTGAATCTTTGACGAACTGGGGAGAACTATTAGCAGCTCATCGACGACACCGTCACGTCCCCGACCTACCATCTTGAACGCCTTGTTGGTACGATGAATCATGCCCTTCCTGTACCGCTTGAGCTCCTCAGGATCCTCCCGCCAGCGCTTCTTCTCCTCTTCCGTATACTCGGGATTGGGGTCATCTGTCTCGCGGCCTAGATGCTTCGATGGCGGTACTCGGTAGTAGACCCATGTTGGTCCTCGGATGAAGTTCGTCACATCTGTGCCCGGAAGCTTCTGCATTTGGGGGACGATTTGAATGCCTGATGATCCATTGCCGATGACAGCAATTCGCTTGTTGCTGTAGTCGTAGTCGTGGGTCCAGTTGGCGGAGTGTGTGGTATGGCCTTCGAAGTCATGTAACCCAGGGATCGTCGGCCACTTGTGGTGTCTGTGACAGAGATAATTTGTTAGCATTGACTGTTGAGCCGTCGTTGTGAGATCTCCACATACACGAGGACTCCTTGACCAGAAAGTAGAATATCAGTATACTCATCCCACCGTCGTCCGTCGTTCTCCAGCGTCAATCGCCACTGGCCCCGGTCGTCTAACCATCTGGCCTCCCGCACCCAATGATTCAGCTTGACGTCTCTGTCCAGGTTCCATTTGCGTGTGGTTCGTAGAATGTACTCTTGGATCTCTGATCCGCTTGCGTAGAACCTCGACCAGTCTGGGTTGGGATCAAATGGAAATGCCTGTCGATAGTCAGCAATGGACAGATCTGCTCAGAGGGGAACTTCATACATATATGTGCGAAGGTACGTCACATTGTACTCCCCTGAATGCGTGCATGTCAGCAGCCAGATCTCAGATAATTTGGGGAACAAGAGCAACTCACGGGTAAGTGTTCACAAGCCATGTTCCTCCCAACTCCGAGTGGCCTTCGTAGATGGTATGGTCAACATACTCTTGCATCTCAGGGTATCGATGCTGGAACTTGTGGGCGATAAGCAAACCAGAAAAGCCAGCACCAATCGTCACGACTCGCAGTTTACGTGGTGTGAATGCATACAGATCGTTTAGCGGGATTTTGTAGTCGTTCGAGGTCGTTCCGTTCGTTGTCGTTGCTCCATTGGTATGGCCATTGACGTTGCCGTTGGTGGCGGGATCAGCACTCGGAGACATCGCTGGCTCAGACGACTGGAAACAACAATATTGCACAAGCGTTGATGACAGTGCTTTCTTCGCGATGGAGATTGACGTTGAAGGCAACTTTATCTATGAGACAGTTCTCCTTGATCGGAGTGCTGTTCAACTCCATCTTCCCCCACACCCAGACTTCTCCATTGCCGAGATGCCGTCTTTGCCGTTCATATCTTCGGTGATAAATGACCGTCGCTCATCATCACCTGATCGCACATACATTTGCGAGCGCAATGAAAAAAGACAAGCAGGGCAATCAATACCGCCACTCTGCCAAAGCTCCCAGGTCCGAAGTCATCAAGCCTCATCTGCAGTGCTTACCGCCAGAGGTAGCCTCTCTTCATCCATTGTCTGCTTGATGCTCACCACGCTCTCCATCCTGCTCGCCAGCTGAGTATACCTGGGAAAGCTCAACTCCATATAGCCCTCAGCTGCTCCCATCTTGAGCACTCCCCATCGCCAGAAGAGGTACAAGGCAAAGTCAACCACGGTCAGCGAATCGCCAACAGCATGATCGCTTCCGATGCTTTGCTCAATCTGCTCAAAGCACCCCACTACGACCTGGTGGCCCTTCTTGCGGATCGAATCCGCAGCAGCCCCCTCCTCAGAGAAGCGGGATGGACGCCAGAGTCCCGCAAAACCAGTCCCATGAAGCGTGCCACTCAACCAAGCCATCCACTCATCAACTCTCGCACGTTGCAACGGATCGCCTCCGAGGAGCTTGCGCTCAGGCGCCAGTCTTGCGATGTAGGCGACAATAGCCGGTAGTTCCGTGATCGTTGCGATACCAACGGACAGAGCAGGTACGTATCCCGTTGGATTGATTTTCTTGTAGTCATTATACGAGAGGCTCCCATCCTCGGCTTGTATCTTGCCTTCCTTCCACACCATCGTTTTCAGTTCGTATGGGATATTGAGCTCGTTCAGGAGGGAATGAGGGATGAAGGAGCAAGCGCCATCGCTGCCGTACAGAACGATCCGAGAAGACATACTTGAAGGCAACGAGACGGCAAGAACGATGACGAAGTACAAATGCAGCCCCAACTTACGGATTGCTGTGCTCAATATATGCCATCACCTGTTGACGGTCTTGAACAGCTGGCTGAATTTCGTAGCAGCTCGCTTATTGAGAGACCGATTTCGATCATCCGTAAACGTCAGGGGCTCAGAACATGTGTGTAAGCTGCCAAAGGCATTCATGGTCCAGTCGTTGAGAATGAAGAAGCGCTCCTTTAATTTCGCCGCCTCTTGCAAAATGCAGCCTTACCTAAGTACTCGGTCAGCAGCTGGGAGAACATTCTGCCGCGCAATCGCCCTGGGTTGATCAGCATTCATTCACTCTCTTGACTGATGTTGATCTGTTGGAAGGTGTGCTCATCGTGAGTCGTTTTGAGGTACATGTTACCTGGGTTATTATGCTCTCTTCTGGTCTCACTCCCATCATGGGCAATGAGGCCACTGATCACTGCCAAACCACTCCCAAAACCCATTACTTGGGAACAGCAAGATCCAACACTGCCAAAGATGTATTGAGACCAAGTTCAAGCCTTGTTAAGCTCTTCTGCAAGCTGTTTCTCTTCCGCCAACGCTTTCTGCACAGCTTCCACCTTATGAGCACGATCGACCAAAGCCGCCCACTTGGGGAAGTCTCCCTTGAAGTCCAAGTCTGTCCTTGCAACGACCCATTGCGAAATTGCTAGACAGTAGGCGTCAACCGCCGTGAAGCCCTCGCCAACCACCCAGCCATCCGCCGGTAGCTTAGACTCCATGAGCGCAAGTCTCTCCTGCAGCCGCTGCTTTGCTTTCCTTTTCACACCAGGCTCCGCTTCAGGCTCGTCGGTAAATCGGAATGGTCGCACGAAGGCGCCCCAGGGCTGAGAGTGTATGCTGGCCGACAGAAAGTTCATCCATTCACACACCCGGACAAACTCCACCGGACTTCGACCAAGGATCTTTCCTTCAGGCGCCAGGTGGTTGATCGCGTGGGCGATGGCTGGAACTTCAGTGATCAGTTCGCCATTCCAGTCGAACACAGGCACTTGGCCCTTTGGGTTCTTCGAGGAGAGTTCGGCCAGGTTTTGGAGGGACACGCCAATGGGTTTGAACGAGATGTTGCAGTGGTGTAGAAGTGTCTGCGGCACGAGACCACATGAGCCAGGCGCAGTGTAGAGGATGATATTCTGTGCCATTTCGAGTGGCTTTTTAGCGATGTCGCCGTGGATGGTTCCGTGCTGGGTGGGCTAAGATGTCCAGGTCTCAACGCCCCGTGAAGTAGAGTGTTGAATATTCTAGGTCTTCTGCAGCTAGGCTTGCAGTGATCGATAATAATATTCACAGTCACGACTACCAATAAGGGGGCTATGTAGATCTGAAGCGGCGTGCATCACCGAACACCAAGAGATGGGGAAGCCGCAGTCGCAGTCGCGCAGTCTAGAGTCCGTTCTCCAACTCTTCCGCGCCCGTTGAAGACGCCACTTGCAATAGATCCACCTTCTGACGACTGTCTGACCGAAGCAAAGATGGAGCGAAATATCAGATGTCAAAGCCACCTCCAAGCCGCAGCAACCTTCAAGCCACTGCAACCTTCCTTCAAGCGGCAGCATCCTTCCTTCAAGCCGCAGCAAGAGATCGAAACTAACTAACATATGGCTGCCTAGAAGGATCACGGTGTTATTTGATCTCATCTCGACGGCTTGCTTTCCGACGTGAGCGCACCAACAATGTCCGCATCTTTCGTCAAGGACGTACTAAGCTGCCAATTGCACAAGCCAGGCGTTTCTCTCACCCTGTTTGCCATTGGATGTGTGAGCAGCAGGGTCATTCCACTGACCGGACTCAGTGTCTGCGCAACGCTTCTTCTAAACTTGTGCTTACGGCTCGAGCAGCCCATATGCGCCTCGCTCGTCAAGCAGACTCCAACTCATCCGCACCCCCCAGACGACCATTTACCGTCCCATGGCGAGTGGCTTGCGAACGGCGGGCTGAAAAAACTACCATTGCCGGGGGATGGCGAGTCTCCAGACGAGATTTGTATCGTCTGCTACGACACACCCAGCGGGCCAGCGCAGATCACACGATGCGGCCACATCTTCTGCGTCGATTGTCTCGACGCGTGGCATGAAAAGGGACACAAATCGTAAGACTCTTAACCGGATTTGCAGCACCGAGATTCGTCTGACGCCTCACTTTGCCAGATGCCCGCAATGCACAGTCGAGCTTTGGAAGGGCGAACGAAGCGACGGATCGCGGCTTGCACTGGAGGCAGTAGTCAAGCTGGCCGCCGCAGAGTTATTGGTCGCTATCCCACTCAGCGTGCGAGCCGAATATGTTTGCTTACTAAATGGTCTCCACCGCGTATCGAAGCTGGACAATTTTGCCTCATCTGAGGTACTGCCCATAGTGCTTTGGTTTGGCCTTGCGTTGGTGAGCATCCTGGCGTGTTCACCTATGTCCCGCTGGCTGGGGCTTATGGTGGAGAAGCGCCTTTCACGTGGAACTGATTGGTGGGGTGCACATGGAGTTCAATGGTGGGGTGAAAACCTCGAGTTGGGCCTCATGAAGAGGCCTGCTGGACTCCTGGGAGGGTGGATCTTGTTGATGTCCTTGGTCTACCGCGAATGATTTTGTGGCCAAGAGTGTGGTCGAGATTGGCTCGACTTGAGCAGCAATTCCCAGACTCCACCAAGCCTGATTCATTGCACCTCTTTCGTTCGCCGGCCCGGCCACAGCCTCCAGCTGGCTACTATGCCAGGACGTGATGCACTGTACAGGTCCACGGAAAATGATGCGGACGAGCCAACAAGATCACTGGTGCCTTGTGTCGAAGTCGAAAGCAAACATATCCGAGTCCAGCTGAGGCCAGCTGTCCCAATCCGTGAACAGACCGTCCGTAGAAAAGTCGTCAAGAGCGAAGCCGAAGGTCGGCCAGGGGTTGCTAGCAGCAGAGATTCCAGGCTGCGCCTCCGGCAGTTGCTTGTGTTGGTAAGGTTTCTTGTGATCGCAGTGTGGTTGCGGGACCTGGATTCTGTACTGTCTTTTCCAGGAACGCATGACGCGGTGAAGATTCCTTATCACCTTTGCGCAGGCCGTAAAGACGCTGCCACAGGCCACGGCTTCGGGACTGCCGCCATCTGCCTCCATACGTTCCAGCTGCCGTGCGGCATTCTCGAGAAGAATCAGCTGCATGTCGACACGGGGGTGCAGTACGTTATCGATCTTGATTCGTACGGCGTTGTTCTCCAAGATCTCCTTACAAGCCATGAGGACGTTGGTGCTGGTGTGCCGCGGAGGACCAACGAAGGGTACGCCTTGCAGCGATACTTCCGTCGCAGCATTGATGAAGTCCGTCAGTCGCTTTTCCAATGCATCCATATGCATGTCGCCGTATCTCTGGAGAAAGGCACCAGCCTCGGTTTGCTCGTTCAACGACACTTTTGCGGCCTCGTGGTTGACCCTTTGAGTCCAGTACATGCTGAGCTGAGCCATTGTGTCGTTCCCAACTCCCGTGTTAAGAGTACTCGGTGCCTGGAAGCCTCTCATGACTGCGAAGAACATTGCGAGGCCAATGACGTTGGAATAACCTTGGCCCTGCTCTATCGTGATGAGCTGCGATAGAGCCAAGCCCTCATGTGTCCTCCCGTCGTTGAAGAAGAATTGCGTTAAGCCAAGATCGTAGTCCTTCCTTCGCTGGTTGCGAAGCTCAACGTGCGTTTCGATGTGTTCAGACAGCTTGGCCGTGTCTTGCCAGTCGATAATCACTCCACGCGTCGCGATCAGATCATCGGCATGGTATCGCAGCACATGAAAGAGGAAAAAGCACTTGTCCAGCGAGAATCTGTCGATGGCTTCTGCTGTGATCTCGAACGCCGCCTGTAGAGCGACTTCTGGCTCATATAACTCTGAGCGGTTCGTTTCCAACTCCTGGAGATCCTGGCTCATGCGTCGCATTGTCGATGCGCACCACCGAAGGGTGTTGAGCACTAAAACTTCCACATTGGCGGGCTGTCCGGATGCAAGGCAACCCCGAAGCTTCTTTGGCGCTGCGTCGAAACCGAGCCGCTGTTGCATGGCGCTGATGAGCGTGCCGAAAAGGTTTCCAGACAGCGTGTGGGCGGCAGCTTCCTGGCTGTCAACGAGTGCTAAAGGCCGGTGGTTCATGACAAGCTCCAGGACGATGAGAGTGTACTCGTCTCTCGGCAGCATGAACAGCAGCTTCTGTCCCAAGTGATAGACAATACATTGCAAGTCGAGCCGGAGATTGCGATACTGCGCAAGTCGTTCACTTGGAACGTCCAATGCAATTGTGGCCAGTAGAGCTAATAATGTGCTTGCGGAGAGGTGACTGGTGCTGCTGGGGCGGGCGGCAGCGATTTCGTCCCACAATGTCCTTAGAGACGGCAACCAAGGCATGTAGAGTTTGTGCCACAGTAGACTGCGTAAACGTTGAGTATCCTATTCCCTCGCAAGTTTCGATCAGAGGACTTACTGGTGATCTAGAAGCTCTAATACATCATGCGGAAGAATTGAATCAAGCGACTTGGGTTTCTCATCTCGCAGGGCAGCAATGGTGCTTCCATACCGCTAACGAAGCGTCAGTGATATGCTTCATCTCGTGGAGATGACGGTAGGCACCTTGTCCCGACCCAGAAGCGATGAAGTGAGGTCAAATGTCCTGTTGACCGCTCCATCTGATGGCAGGAACGGTCAGCGATGGTGTGAAAGGGGTTTGTGGCAACCGGGGACCTACACATATGCATGCCAGAAGGCAGTCGCCGAACCGAGGGGTCAGTCTTCTCCTCTCGAGAGTTGTGCTCGTGCAGTGTCAAGAAGACCAGTTCCTCTGCGTCCGGGCTTGGTGACCTAGACTCCGTACCTGTGGTTGGGACAGTTGAAGACGGCGTCGGCATAGCTCTCTGCTTCTTCTGGTTCGGTCGACCGAGTGTAGTTCGCCGGACCACACATTCAAGGCCTTGCAGTCGACATCGTTGACAGGCTTTGTCTGGTGGTTGTGGGTCGGTTGACGGAACGATGGTTCCATCGTCAACGAGCTGGCATTTGATCCGACGCTCTCGGCAGCTCAAGCATATCAGCTTTGCATAACTTCCGCGAGCACGTTTGCGAGGTTGCACTGTATCGTCTGACATGTTGCAAATCGAATGAAAATGGTGATATAGATTCCAGATTGCGAATTGAGAAGGCCAGTCGCGCTATGAGGCATAATCAAGAGGAAGGTGCGGGACGACGTATCGAAAAGCCAGGCTTTACGGCGCGGAACCAAACAATTTCCGCAATCCCCAAACTCGGAACGTTTCTCGCAGCCGCAGCAGGGCAAGGCGACAACATCGTCAGCACCATTAGAGCATGGCCAGCTGGGGCATCTATCCTTACGAGAGCTGAAACCGCCACCGTCAGATTCGACAAGGCAGTGTTGGTGTTGGATGTCCACCGTGCGAACAACGGTCCTCATTGTATGCACCTCATCGCTATGCATCTGTCGAAGTTCTATGATTCTATCGTAGTGTCCTCATGTGCACTTCCTGCACCGGCAACCGATCATGATCCTCCGACTCTCCCACATTGGCCATCAGGCCAGTCCGACTCTCCTCATCAACGCTGCCTTCTCGAGCATTGTCCTTCTGCTCCTGCGAACGATCAGGATCCTGTTGTATTGCCACCACAAGCGCCGAGCTGAGAATCAGGCTGGAGCCAATGATGCTCATGACGCCAGGTGTATGTCCGAATATGAGCTTATCGAACCCCAGAGCAAACAGCATCTGTGTGTAGGTCATGTTGGTCGCACGAGAAGACTTTTCGTAGGCGAGACCTGCGGCGAGAAGGAATTGCTGAGTTCATGTCAGCGAGCATCTTTGGGACCATAACAACAGGACCTACCATAACAAAACCGCAGATCCCAAGGAAGATCAAGTATCCCCACTCCTTCAAATCAGCAGGCAGGACGAAACCGACGTCTGGCAGCACAACCTGCATGACGATGCTGACCAGAAAGCACCACCCCGCAAAGTAGTTGACGGAGAGCAAAGGATGGGCCCGTTTGCCGATCCATCGAATTGTGGTGTAAGCAGCTGCGCTGCCCAGAACTCCCAGCAATGCAATCCCAACAGCTGTCAACCGTTGGGCAGGCGTAACCTTCTCGTAAGAGCCAGCATCAGCGCCAGGAGTCTCAGAGGTAGTGCCGTTGCCGGATGGTGAAGCATTACTGTTGCCGCTTGCCGGCGGACTGTCACCTCCTCCACTCAAGCCTGCGAAAAGCGTAGTCGGCTTAGCGATGAAGATGACGCCGACTACAGAGACAAGCCCAGCAATCTTCTCCACCCGCGTAAAAGGTTCGTTGATCAAGATCGAGCATGCCCAGCACGCTAAGCTTGGAGCCAGAAAGGTGATCACAGTCGCATCCGCCAAAGGCAGATAGAGCAGCGAATAGTACATCCCGAAGACGCCAAAAAACCCACATAGTCCACGAGCGACCAACAACCCTCGTACCTCCGGCATGCCGAGTGGGAAATGCGGAGTCTTCTTCCACCACATGTAAACGCTGGCCAGGAAGAACGTGATGCCCATGCGGGCGAAGAGGATCTGGAATGGATGCATTCCTTTACCTCTGTTGCCTTCGATCTCCAGTAACCGGGTAGTCACGTTCATGAGGGTTCCAAAGATTTGGGCCAGTAACATATACGCAAGACCTTTGTTCCGGACCCAAAACTTGTCGAAACGCCCTCTGATGCCACCCCGAATCACCGGCGCGGGCGATAGAGAAAGCGTCCGGGCATGATCTTGAGAGCGGTGACGTGAGCGGCCTGGCCTTATTGCCTCGTACTCGTCAAACGATAGGTTAGAAAGTGTGTCGGGCGACAGTGGTCGTATAGGGGCTGAGAGCGGCGCTGACAGGAAAGCATTGTTGCGTTCGAGGTTCTCAGATTTGAGCAGTGGTTGAAGTTTAGGGGTGGCGTTCGCGTCGTTCTCAAGCCTGTCCGTGGCTTCTATAACGCTGATATCGGCCTTATCTGCCAAAGTCGCCGACTGTGGTCCTGGTACGCTCATCTCGGTCAACTATCGGATGGCAGGCCGTCTGCGATGTCGCTCCCCGGGAGTGCTAGGAAATGTGTAGCTAGGAAAATCATCCGTAATGATCGACAGGAAGAAGAAGATGCGACGTAGTAGGAAAGCCGGCCAAGGTTCATACACTCATATCTTGATGCGGTCTAAAAGGAATGGTGAGGTGCCACCGTTCCAGGTTGGGCCGGAACACGAAAGAAAAGGTCGTGCTATTGACTCAGCCATCACCGTTGCAACAAGACTCCACAGAGTCGGGTGAGAAAGCGTGAAAGACCCACAACGGTCCCCACGCGTCCAGTGGCATGGCAGGAACATGGCACACTAATGCCAGCGTCATCGGAGTCGCGCTTGGCCTTTCCGAGTGGTGATGAATTGCTGGCAGTTGCTGGTCTCACAGAACGGGAAGACATGCGTCGCGGAAGAGAGTGCTACCTGTATGCGTTGGGCGTGGCATGTTGAAGGAGCATGAGGTGAAGTGCCAAAGTGTTTGATCGACGACTGCGCTGGACGTCCTTGGCGAACCATTCCACTCCGGATTGATCGTCTTGAGGCTCTGCTTCACTGTAGTCTGTGCATCCTGCCGAGTGTCACCACCTCGGCTGTCCGAAGTCTGTCGGCCCTCCATAGAGAGTGACAATTCCACGCACCGTTTGCCTTCCATTGCACTCAGCAGCAGGACGTCCCAGCTGTGACTATGGCGCCCGAGAATAGCTTCCGCGAGATGACGGCCACCTTCGAGCAACTGTCACCAGAAGAACGCATCAGGACGATCTTAAGAATTGGCGAGCCAGGCAAGAAACGACTAACTGCCGCGTTCATCGAGGAGCAGTGCAAGCTGAAGTCCTTCGAGAAGCTCTCTGATACGGAAGCCAAGGCGACATACACCTTTAAAGTCGAGCACTTCTACACGAATGGGTCGGGCAACCTCCAAGGTCAGTTCCATCAATTCAACTAGCAGAAGAGCTCGCCTGACAAGATCATACAGGCGGCGCGCAGTCGATGATTTTTGACATTTGCACGAGTCTGACATTGCAAGCCATCTCGACTCCAGGTCGCTTTTTGAACGGTGGAGTGAGCCGGGTACTGACAGTCAACTACCTCCGACCTGCGCCGGAGGGCTCAGAGCTAGAACTGGAGACTGAAGTGATATCCGTCGGCAAGACCCTCGCTATGACTCGAGGCACCCTCCGGCGGGCCAGCGATGGTGCGGCCATTAGTACCTGCGAACACAACAAAGCGGCTGTCCCGACAAAACCGCAATGGAAGCTGTAAACCTCTACACTTTGCCGAGCTACCATCCATTGCACCACGGCCCATCACGCAACGAACCGAGAGTGATTTGCCCGTTCTTGCTCTCGGCACAGCTTCGTTTCGATGGAGCAAATGGGAATGTTTGTCTTCAGAAGAACAATCGGCAATCGACCAGCGGGTGGCTACAGTCCGGAAGGCTCACCTCTGCCTAGGGAGGCCCGGACAACACAAGTTGCGTGGGCTAAGCTCGTCGCTTTCTTCTTCACATGCTGCTCGTCGAGGGCCATTCCGTTGGGGTAAGGTATTGTCTCTCGGGAAAGGTGGTGCGTAACGGCACATCCTGCTAAAGGTGGAAGTCCCGATTTGTGCGAATCCTGACAGCTCCCGTCCGAGGAGAGACTCGGCCAGAAGGTGGATGCGTGCAAACCGTATATAGTAAAGGATGCGCAACACCCCAGGAAGATAGAGCTGAAAAATGGAACACTTGATAGCGAACATCCAAATGGCATTGACCTACCGCTTTTGAGACCCTATGTGCCCACGTAAAGACCGTATGCTTCGGTTTGATGCATATATACCGTGTACAGAAACATTGAAAGATGCTGAACACCTGTACGAACGTGCAACAAGATTCGTCTCAGTATAAGACGAAGAAGCAGCGCCCAGTGGAGAGCACCCAGAGGTCTGGCAATCAATGCTGACAACAACATTCCATCAGTCCAATGGTCTGTTATCTCCTGTCGGACGCAGGATCATTCACCACTGGCGCGGATATGCTTGTGACGGGTAAGAACATTCTTTCTTGGACCGGGAGCATGGAAGCTGGCGTCCCGATAGGATGTATTCACGCCGGTATACTGCCATTGATGGGAGATCCGAGCTTCGTGATGTAGTCGATAGGGGATGTAGTGGTCCGTTGTTGCACGTGGTTGTCTGACATGTGAAATTGTGAATCTAGAACCGACATTTTTAGGACGGCGCTGTTCCATGCGGGCCGCGCTCGCAGAACTAGGCCAAAGTCGGACGGCATCCGCGATTTAATGCTGTTCTTTCCCAACAACGCAAATACTTCGTGCTGGCAGCAATCAGTACTCACCGAGATACCAAGATCGAGTTTTATATATCAGTTCTGAATCGTACCTTCGGGGCAGATCTTCCAACTCGCTCTCACCACACTCTCAGAAACTTTCGAACACACCTTCAGCACAGCAACACCACACAGCCATGGCCCGCGGGAACCAGAGGGACAAGGCCAGAGAGAAGGCGCAGAAGGCCGCCGCCGGCGTCGTACGTCTTGCTCCCCCCTGAATGATCAAAGCTGTGCATCTCACTGATACTTCCTGTCAGAAAAACAAGAACACGGCATCCGGCAGCGAGATGCAGAAGAACAAGGAGGATGCCGCCGCCATCATGAGGGCCAAGCAGGCAGCAGGTGAGTTGAGATAGGCGTTGAATACCATGCCATGGGATGCTGACTTGGTCTTGCAGCGGACCAGAAGAAGGCCGAAACGAAGAAGTAGACGACCGTCGTAGGTCTTGGTGAGCGTGCGGCTTGGACGAGGGGATGCGGTGATTGCAGCCAGTTGTGAAGCGTTGTGGGCGGGCGTCACGGGGGTTGCGGAAGCATCACGATTGTTTCTTGAAGGTCGTTATAGCATACGAAGCAGACTTAAAGACCACCCGAGAACTCGAAGTGGTGTTCTCATGTCTTCATGTTTCTTCCGACGCGATATGGCGTGCTTAGTAAAATCGCCGTTGCCTCCCTCGACGCTGATCTGCATTGTTGTTTTCTTGGCAATTTCCATCTCGACCTCCGAGAGGCAGCATTTACCATTACCTTACTCTTTGGACCACGCTCAGCTGTTGGACACTCGGCCATCTGTCGCGACTCTGTACATAAGTTGTTGCAGCAGTCCAGCAACGTAACGAGCACGCGACAACTCCGATTTGGAACCCCTTCAAGAACCAGATGAGGTAGCCCGCGCTTGTACTTCCAGCGCATCGAAGGCGCAGAGATGCTCTCCAACTGGCCTGGGCAGCGCTATCGCTCCCTGTCCGGCTCGTTGGTCGACCATGAGAAACGACGATACTCCGACGCGAGCGACGATGATACGCCCTCCCTTTACTCCTCCGATCAACCCATGCTCTCCAACTCTTCTCCGCCCCGAAAGAACTATGCGCTGTCATACCACCTACCTCGGCGGCGCTTCTCGCGTTATTTCACCCTCATCATAGCGTCCATACTTGTCCTCATGGTCGTCTACCTGGTCAAGATGGGCTCCAGCAGCGACGCCCAGATACGGATGGGGTTGCGGAAGGGTCCTGATCCTCCGAACCCGTGGGAAAGCTTTCCATTCTTGAAGCGATATCATGGTGGAATCAGGAGCTTAGTGAAGAGAAAAGACAACGTCGCCGAGTACCCCACGGGCGACGAGGCGGATATGCAGGCGGTGATGGAGGCAGCCATGGCTCAGAAGAAGAAGGATGACAAGGTCGACCCCAAGAAGGATCCCGGGTTTCAAAAGAGAGATACGCAAGAGGATGGTTCAGTGAAGGCGGAAGCCAAGCAGGATTGGCCAGGTCTGAGGTTCGACCCCTACAAGCAGTACTCGTGGGGTGCGGAATACGAGCAGCCGGTGCACTGCTACTTGGACAACGTCACGAAACGGGAGATACCGCCCCTGCTCGTGCATGAAGGTATCCCAGAAGGGTTTCCAGACCCGGTCATGGGTAGCTACGATCTGTTTGGCTTGAACAACGATGTTTGTTTCGAGCGGTATGGCAGGCTTGGGCCCTACGGTTTTGGCTACAGTCGGAAGTACGGCGGCAGTGGGGCGGGTATGGAGGGTGAGAAAGATGGGTCGGAGAGCGTTTGGGGTGGGCGTGACGAGATCGACTACCGGGACGTCAAATGGGCAAAGGTGCAACAGAGCTGCATGGAGGCAAACGCACATCGGTTCAAGCAGCCTTCCAAGGAGATGAATCACTTCTTCAGGCCGATGGGTACTGGAGGGCCAGTGGGCGACCCGAACAACGTTAAACAGAAGCTCGAAGATCAGACAACTGGGCCGAACGGCAAGAAGTTGGTGCCGAGAACAGCCATCATCATCAGAACGTGGAAGGACTACCAATATGACGACGAAGATATGTTCTACCTTCGAGCGCTCATGAACGAGCTCACGATCCAGTCGGGCACAGAATATGTCGTTCACTTTTTGATCCAGGTCAAGGATCTGGATCTCCAGATATGGGCAGACGAAGAGACGCACGAGCGGGCGTTGAAGGAGGCTTTGCCGCAGGAGTTCTGGGGCATGGGCACTCTCTGGAGTGAGCGACAAATGAATCTTGTCTACGGAGGTGTGCAGGAGACGGTCTACCGAGACCTGCCGGTGTTCGGTGTTTACCGAAGCACATACCTCCCTCTACAGTACTTCGCGCACATGCACCCAGAGTACGACTTCTTCTGGCATTGGGAGATGGATATCCGGTATACTGGCCATTTTCACCATCTCTTCGACAAGGTGACGAAGTGGGCCAAGCAACAACCTCGAAAAGGGTTGTGGGAGCGCAACGGACGCTTCTACGTACCCGCTGAGCATGGTCCTTGGGAAGACTTCAGGCAGCTGGTGCGTGTGCAGACGGAACATGGTACCGCAAGAAAAGACAGCATGTTCGGCAAACTTTCAGAGGACGCAGGCTCTCGCCACCCCCTTGACTCAGAATCACGGCAGCCCGCCAAATCGATCTGGGGACCTGAAAGGCCTTCAGGGAAGGGTGATGAGGTTTCGGAGCCCCACAAAGATCCGGAGCCACCTACCACGTACGAGAAGGATAACTACGAATGGGGCGTTGGTGAAGAAGCAGATTTCATCACCTTTAATCCGCTCTTCGACCCGCATAACACCAATTGGCTCCTTTCCGAAGATGTGACAGGCTACAACACCAGTAAGGGCTTCCCTCCTCGCCGTACCGCCATCATCACGGCAAGTCGACTCAGCAAACGTCTATTGGATACTATGCACAAGGAGACGCTGTTCAAGCGACACACAATGTTCTCCGAAATGTGGCCTGGCTCCCTCTCGCTGCACCATGGCTACAAGGCCGTCTACGCCCCCCATCCAGTGTACATTGACCGTCGCTGGCCGACCTCCTACCTCGCGGCGATCTTCAACAACGGCGTTCACGGCTCCGCTGGCGGGTCGAGAACCAGTGTTTTCAGTGACGAGCGACAGCACAACTTCCTGGGCACCACCTGGTACTATCACGCCGGCTTCTCGCCAAATCTGTGGAAGCGCTGGTTGGGCTACAAGGTCGACAACGACGGTGGAGAGGAGTGGGAGATGCGTGAAGGTGGTGAGGGGAGGATGTGTTTGCCGGGCATGCTGCTGCATCCGGTCAAGCAGGTTGATTTGGTGTACGAGCGGAAGGCTGGGGATGGTTGATGGGGGATAGGAGTCGTATTTGGTTCGTGCGTAGGCATAGCGGGAGGCGTTGGGATATGCTGTATAGCGTGTGAATGTTGGATATACGTGTGTATGGGCTGTGCAGTATTTTGAATATCACGTTCACATGGCCCTTCTTGTAAGGTGGTTTCTCTAGCGCGTCTTTATTAGCGCGACTGACCTGCTCGACTTCACTTCATCCCCGGCCCATTTCTTTTCCTTTCCTCGACACCAAACCTGGACACTCGTGCCTCCACAATGACGCCCATCGCGAGCCTGAGACTCATAGTACATCTGAAACACCAGCCACAGGATATATCGCCACTTTGTGGCGAATCTGCCCAACGCAGCATTCTGAAACATGACCGGCGCCAATCGCGCGCTTGACGGCAGTGAACTCTTCACCAATTGCTGCTCCTCTTACACCAGAATCACGACAAGCGCAGGAAGCGTGCATGCGTCGGATCACTTCACAGCCAACGGAGCCTATTTGACCACGACGTCCAGACTCATCTCTCCCTCCACGCCAGGCATCCTCACAGCGTCCTCGAAATGATCCGTTTCAACACTCGCGTGAAGCAGAAGATCGCCCTGCATCGTTCGCAACGATACCAAGGAGCACTGACGGCAACGCGTGCTATTCACGATTTGGACCCGCGAGCGCGACAATAGCACAAGTGTCACAGACCCGTGATGTGGGCGCGACGGTGAGCAATATTGTTACAGTCAAGTCCACCCTCTCTCTTCTCTTCTATTGTTCCCTATTGTCCAGCGCGTTTCTATTGTAGATCAGTAAAGAGGTTTCCATTGCCTTCGCGAGGCTCTGGAGACTCTTTGCATCTTCTTTCTTTCTCATCGTCCTCGTTTCTATCGATCTTGCGTTCTTGAATGACCGGCTGCGTCGTCCTACGACTCATACAACCATCTCCAGGTCTACGAAGGACTACGTCTTTTTGCAAACACAGCTGCTACGGCACTTCAAAGCAACGCTGCTGGACAGCTTCTCGCTACGATCTAATACACACCAACCACACACTTGCGATCCTTCGCCTCATTGACACATGTTCGTGAGATTGTATCCTTCCGAGAAGTGAGTCCTGCCATGCAAACAGTTGTCATCCCGATGCCGGCAGGTTTGCTAACATTCGACACATAGACTGCTCTACATACCTATCGAAGCACGACGCATCGAAGCCATCATCAACAAATTCAGCACTACTCAGAACGAGACCGAGAAAGCTTCAGCCAAGATGGCGTTGTCCCGCAAGTCGTTGGCCGGTCCTGGGTACATCATCCTAGGCGGCATTCGCGTTATGAACACCATCGGGCTTCTGGCGGTCATTGCAGCGAGCATAGTGATGCTCGTGAAGACATCGGTGGCATCGAAGTTCTTCTTCTTTGATGCTATCACACACGTTCTGACGGCGTTCACTGGCAGTAAGTACATGTTCTCGACCTGCGCTGCGTCCAAACATGCTAACTTCAAGCAGTGTTCTTACTCGTTTCCGAATGGCAATTCGGACCCATAGGTCGCTACTTCGCCCGCAACTGGCCGCTACTCAGCCCGTCTCACGGCTTCGTGTTCCTCGCGCTCACAATGCAAGTGCTCGGCATCAACATGCTCGGCAACCTCAACAAGCCAGCCACAAGCAAGAAGTCTCTCGGCCTGGCCTTCTGGCGTATCGTCATCGCTGCCGGGATTGTTATCTTCATACTCGGCTGGATCAACTTGATCGCATCCTACGTCTTCCGCGACCGCAGCGCCGGCATTACCGCACGCCAAGTACGCTCTCATGGTGCGGTGGCCGCGTTGAAGAGCCCGAAGTCCAGCGCTTCATTCACACCATCAGCGCCCGAGCTTGCGCAGACGTACATCCACCAAGAGACCGTGTCGCCAACGAAGACGCGCAGCCCATTCCACTTCATGACATCGGAGCGCCGCCAGTCCACTCTGCCATCGTACCACGCCTCCTCGCCTACCGCGGCGTCGCCACCATATCCCGCCACCAGAGATCCTGTCTCGCCGACCAGCCGATACTCACGCGCGACGAACTGCTGCCAAAAGGGTGTGAAGGGGCTGTTTGGTCGTGTCCGGGACAGCGTTGTTCCGCCGCTGCCAACCGCGGAGCCTGAGATCACCGGGCCACTCAACAGAGATGGGCGCTTCGACGGCTATGGCAGCCCTATTCGTCCGCCGAGCGCACTGCATCCAAGCCGATCCGGAGAGGGTGACACCCGTCGCTGGAGGGCTGGTGCGTAATGACAAGGCTTCGACGGTTATGGCCAGTGATGGCAAAAAGCTTTTCGTATGGCAAGAGTCTGTCTTGGGGCATTCATTGGAGACGGGTCGATTTGCATGGTGCTTTCGTGGTCCGGGTTCCTTCGTTTAGCGGTTTCCTTGCGGGCGCACACAAGATACCCAGCTGCTTACGGTCGTTGATGATAGTAATGATGAATGAACATTCCTTCATTTTACCACACCGTTCATCTTCACGTCTTGCTCTCGCTCACGCAGTCCAGGAAACTTTGCTTCGACTGCAGCAACGATCTCCTTCCACTCTTTCATGGCGCCACCTCCCGTGTCGCCACATGCAAGGCCCTTGTCGATCGGCTGCAGGATTTCAAACCACCCTCCATTGCCGACGTTCCAGTCGTCTGCCATCACGTCCAGATGCCGTTTCGTTGCAGGATGATTCCACATGGCTGTGTTCATTGACGGCGCAACCATGATGACCTTCTTCGCCTCGCCGTTCTCAGTAGGAGCAAGCTGGACGCCCTCCCGCAAACCATCGATCAACCCCGTCGTATCCCACGCCCTGGCCACCGAGCTGACCATATTGTCAGAGAAGCCCAGAGCAAGCTTCGCTAAAGAGTTCGCGGACAAAGGCGCAATCACCATCAGGTCAGCCCATCGTCGAAGTTCAATATGCAAGATACTGTCGCCTCTGACCCAGGGTTTGCGCCATTCGTCTTCATCACGGTAGATGGCTTCGACATTCTTGATCTTTGTGATCTCCTGCAGACCAGGCTGCTCTCCAGCTTGACCTTGCAGGAACTCTGCCGCTGAGTCGGATAGCAGGACGCGGATGCTGAGGTTCTTGTACTTGGCTAGGGCAGAGAGGATATTAGGGATCTTGATCGTTGCTACTGAGCCGGTGGCTGCCAGAAGGAGGTGATATTTGCCGTCGTGGACGTGATTTGAAGCTTTCAGAGGCGGCGCCGGTCGGTCGAGCTGAGCCTCGCTGCGTCTCTCATCTTGTAGTCCACGTATACCAGGCTCAGTTCGGGGAATGAGAGAAAACAGATGGAACGTTCCGTAGATGAGTGTACAGCTGAAGATGAGCAATACCGCTGTCCCTACTGTTTCCCACGACGGCAACATAGTCGTAGTCTTGCCATCCATTGTGAACTTGGGAGTAAGCTCATTATATGTTCGCCGAATGATTAGTAAAGGTTGTCCTTGGAGGTTCTGGCTGCTTCCTAAAACGGCATCCCTGCGTCATTGGTTGGGTGATGTTTCTACACTTCGAAGTGAGCTTGTACTTTGACACATTCATCAACACGACCACGATGTTTTCCAGGACAGCGTTCTCAGCGGTGAGCCGTCCTTATGCACGTCAAATGCGCACTGCTAATCCATCCAGGTCGCGCAAAACACGCTCCGCCCGCGCCACAACCCTCTCCTCTCGCCACGCTTCGCCGCCCTCCAAAAGTCCTTCCTATCAACGGAGGTTCAGAAAGCGATCGACAAGGCCGTATCTACGGCGCCAGTGGTGTTGTTCATGAAGGGTACACCAGAAACGCCACAATGCGGGTTCTCTAGAGCGAGTGTGCAGATACTTGGGTTGCAGGGCGTGGATCCGCAGAAGTTCGCGGCGTTCAATGTGCTTGAAGATCAGGATCTGAGAGCAGGTAGGTCTACATAAGCGTGGAAAAGATGCAGCCAGGGGCCAATAGGAAGGCTGTCGTGGAGGAGAGGGTCGGGCATAAGACCACATGCGCTGACAGAGTTCGTGCAGGCATCAAAGAGTACTCGGACTGGCCGACAATACCTCAGCTGTATGTCAACAAGGAGTTCGTAGGAGGTACGGATATCATGATGTCGATGCATCAGGATGGCACTTTGGCGAAGCTGCTGGAAGAGAAGGAGGTGCTGGTACCGGCGGAGAGCGACAGTGGTTCGGCCAGTAGCTCGTGAAGCCTCCCTGTAACAATATTGTATACTGCGACTACACTGTGATTGATCAAGCTCTTGCAATACTGTGTATCTAGGTGAGGCAAAAAGATGAGATCTTGTCCTGCACTTGGTGGTAGGTCGGTCGCTCTTTCCCTCGATATTCTACACGGGCAGACTTTATCTCGACGTCACCTCTTCTTCTTCTTACTATCGTCATGACCACTCCCCTTGCCAGACTTTCCTCGACGCCTTGCTTTCGTTACTACCATGCCGCTAGATTCGGCAGCCAAGGAGAACCGAGCACCTCGACCGGCCAAGATGGCAAAGGGCAAGGTCTCAGTCGGAAGTCTCTTCGACCAACAAGACCGCATCACCAAAGGCTCTAGTCGAAAGGATATCCGCGCTCCGCGCGACGGCGGCATCTCCAAGACTCACCGGCCGACGAACCATTTCTCGCAGTACACGAAACCGAAGAAGCCAGCGTTTCATCCAGCGTATCTCAGCTTCGCAGGTCCGTCGCTCCTCGCACATGGCTGTGGCATAACTGACGCCGAGCAGAAACATCGAACGACTACCGCAGTGCACTTGGTGTGGCCAACGATCAGCAGCTCAAGCCGATCCACGATGAACTCGTTGCGCGTGTTGATGGTTTCAATGTTCACAGCAGGACGGCGGAGGAGGCTTCAGGCCTGCCAACTGATGCCGACTATGACGCGCTCGGAGAAGATCATGCCGCGCTCTCGAGGCTCCTAGACGACGACGAGATGATCGTCCAGACCCAGCACAAGGACGGCACCAAGACGAAGAAACAAGTCAAGCTCGGCGACACCATGCAGGCTTTCGAGAAGATGGCCGCCACGAAGCGAGCCGAGCTGCAGCGCCTATGCAAGGACTTGAAAGACGTCGTCGCTGAAATCTCTGCAACCAGGGAGAGCATCGTTGCTACAGAGGCGAGCGATGTGAAGAGGGCAAGGAAGACTTTCAAGGCCGAGCTTGCGTCTATTGCACAGGATGCTGGCGCGGTGAGGGAACAGCTTCACGGCGAGGTCGAGGAAGCAAGGAAGGATGATCAAGCGTTCAGAGCTAAGATTCGCAAAGTCTTCGACCAGCTCATGGCGGAGATGGACGAGATGGAGTGAAGGGGAGCTCCTTGACAACAGCGGTGGTTCGCAGGCCAATTGCCCTGCTATGAGAATAGAATGATCCTCGCTAAGCCCTCATGGCATCCATAGTGGTGTTCTTGCTGCTTTCCAGCCGAGGCTGTCACTCCACGCCCTGCGTCGTTTCAACCATATGCATCGAAACACCCAAACGCCTTCGCTAAATCTTGAATTTCGCATCTCTGCCCACGCAAGCTCATTCGCCTATCAACAAGCTCACCTGCGAGAAGTCAGTCAACTTAGAACAGCGACCCAGTAGCTTCGATTCGGACTTACTGCCATCGCCATACAGCATAAGCTTACATATGGGCTCAATCGCTCCCCTATCCTCGCTGCTCGCCAGAATGTGCCCAGTGGTCTAGTAGACAGCATTAGCTTTCGAGCATTCTTCTGGCCACATAGTTGATATCGCACTCACCCAGACTTATTCCGATCAAGCCATGCCGGAAACACTCCGTGAAGATATGTGCAGGAGCAGATGAAGAGCAGCACGACCAGGAGGAAGGTTTGGAACTTGAGGATGCCGAACATCGTCCCGAGTCAGTCTTGGGATGGGTTCTGGCGGTTGTGTCAAGCTTGAACGCAGCGTTTGGATTCGAGCAGGGTAGATCGTTTTTATGTCGTTTGGTTATCCTAATCGCGTCTCGAAAACTGTCCTCACCTTTAGCCGCCAAGCGGGTGCAAAAGTGGTGGTCACGGAAAGAGCCGCCTTGCTCACTTCACATGTCGAGAACACAAGCGACACGTCTTCAATCGCACCAGACACATCAGCAAGAGCCTGATTCACTGCATCTGAGTGACAGAACAAGCGCGCCCGTTCCGCCATCAAAAGACCATTGTGCGCCCACGGAACCCGAGCACACCCCTTGATCACCAGCTCTGCGGTCACATCATTCCCATGCATATTATCTAGGACACGAGGCCCTTCAGTCAGACCCTCCCCGGACATCACCTATTCTTCATCCACAAACAACACCATGGCGGAACCTCGCGCCCGCCCGCGCAACAACAAGGCCGTCTTCACACCCTCCGAAGTCGCAGACCTCCTCTACGCCTTCGGCGACACCCACCGCACTCAGACAACACCCCAACCCCTCACAACCACCGTCAACGTCCTCGACGAGATCCTCACCGACTTCATCATCGAAACATGCCACTACGCAGCCCTCTCGGCCTCCTACTCGCGACGCCAAAAGATCAAGGTCGACGACTTCAAGTTCGTGCTGAGGCGCGACGAGCGGTTGTTGGGTAGGGTGTTGGAGCAGCTGTGGAGGGAGAAGAAGATGAAGGAGGACAGGAAAGTGTTGGACTTTGAGGGCGCAGAGCAGGGAGCAGGCGGGCTTGGGATGCTTGAGGGAATGGCGACGCAAGGTGGGGTTGAGGAGGGTGAGATGAGGGAGCGGAAGGGGAGGGGCAAGGGTAAGAGGAAGAGGAAGGAGAAAGATGGGGAGGATGGGGAGAAGAGGGCTGCTAAGAGGGTGGCGACGTAGCAAGCATGACACATCGGCGGGCGTGATTTTAGCGATGGCGTTGGCGGGTGCATTGATACGGACACATGAGATACCCACTCCAGAATGGCTGAGGAAAATACTATTGATGCCAGATGCGACATTGTCGGATAATCATGTCTTTCCGCTGCTCCTCGTCTGCAAGTTGGCTTAAAACTGCGCCATAGCCACACCGGTTGGCCCTGCGCTCACTCCTCAACCTCGTACGCTTGGATTCCCAGCCTTGTACTCGGAGACTGTCCCGATTGCGATCTTGGATCCGTACGACCGCGGTCGAAGGTGGAGTAGTGATAGTGGTGTGAGTACGGTCTGTCTTCATCACGTGGCTGTTGCTGGTTGTTGTTCTTGCTGATCATAATTCATGGCGATGAACAAGCTGGTCCTGCCTCGGCTTCACGACGCCACTTTGTTCAGCGCCGGGAAATCAGGCAGATTTGGTGCCTTGCTACCAAAAGATGGCAATAGCCCTCCAATCTTGCCCAGTGCCGTGACCAAGCCCGCCTTCACCGCAAACCCGGCAACCCAGACCACGTTGTTGAGCACTCGGATGCCGAGCTTGGTTTGAGGGTTGACGATCCAAGGAACGCCAGGGGGTAGGTCCTGCGAGCGCTCTGCGAACGGTCGGACCTGCTTTTCGTATTGCCTCAGAGCTTCCTCGACATCGTCGTAAGTCACCAGGCAGCCGGCGAGGATGTAAGCTCCCACCAAAGCAAGGCTGGTACCTTCGCCACTCAACGGTGAAGGACAGTAGCCAGCATCGCCCAGCAACGCCACCCTGCCATTCGACAACGAAGCACTCTTGGCCAGCGCGATCTCCTGTCCGTAGAAGTCGGATCCAGGCTTCTCAACTTCCTTCAGTACTCGTTGGGCCTCCCATCCGACGTCCTTGAAAAGAGTAATGATCTTTTGCCTCTGCTCCTCGAGGTCGCCCTTTGCGGTCTCACTGGCAGATGGGCTGATGTGGCACAGATAGGCGCTAGATGTATTTCGTTTGGCATCCGGTCTTATTGAACAGTTGAGACCCCCCTCTGCGTTGAACCAACGGCTCCACATGTCATCCGATTCCTGCCAAGGTATTGACAGGTAGCTGGCGTACATGCCTTTGCTGATGAGCTCAGTGTTTGCTTTATCGAATGCGAGATCCCGGGTTCTGCTTCTCAGACCATCGGCTGCAACGACCACGTCGAATCGACGTTGCTTGGTCGAGTTGGCGAAGCTGACCGTCACTCCCTCACCATCCTGCTCAAGCTTAGAGATGTACTCATCCAGCACGTACTCAACCCCTTCCGTCCGCTCGTAGATCACTTTCACGAGGTCCGCCCGCATGATCTCCAGTTCCTTGACCAGACTGCCTTCATTTCCAACTGGAAAGGCGGCGATGACCTCGTCCTTCTCGGTCACAAACTTCATCCCTTTGTCTTCGACACGGGAAGCCCACATTGCCTCGTCCACTCCCATGACCTTGATGACCTTGAGAGCTTCGCCACTGATATCGATTTGCTGGCCTGATGCTCGAAACGCGGGTGCTCGCTCGACTATGGTGCAGTTGTGCCCTGCGCGAGTTAGGAGGAGGGCAAGGGCTGGGCCTGCCACGCCCGCTCCAGCGATCAGGATGTTCTTAGGTTTCGACATGCTTTGGAAGACGTCTCTTCAGAACCCGTGGTGTGCGCTTCACCAAACGAAAGGGAGACAGTGCGACGGTTAAGTATAATAGAAAGAGCGTTGGAAGTCCCTCTACCTTGTTTGAGGCATGCTTAACTTGTTTGTGTAGGGCAAGGTGTCTGCTAAAATACCTGTTGAGCGCATATTCGTGACCGTAGTGACGCTCTCGTGCGGCGTAAAGTCGCCGGGCACAGGCGTGAGGTGGCCGGTTCACGGCGCCAAGACAAAGCACGTGGTCTCCAACCTCATCTGCTTCTCGCCGTTGGTGAACAACTGTGCACTGGTTTGCGAGCAGGTCGAGAACTGTATGTCCTTCCTTTGAAGACGAGGAGGTATTCTAGAAGCGCTCGAGAAGCTGGAAAGACGCTGACTTGCATGAACACATGTTCCCGTCTGGTCCGGAGCATTGGTCCGTTCTTCGTAATGGCGCAATCGAGGGGAGGTGTCTGCGGACACAGGCAGACTGGTTCAAGCTGCTATGTATAATTGATCACAGTCAATTGCAAGGGGGCCTTCCACACAGCTACTTTCGACAAATGATTAGAGACTCACAAGCTCACGGACTTGCACGGAATAATCGTCTCGTTCGGAGATCCTTTGGCCAGGGTTCGCGCAGGCCAAGGCTGAGAAGCTCGTCACCCTGCAGACTCTTCCGCGCGGCTGGACCCGAATCCAGGAACCCATATCAAACAACGCCGATGGAAGTCTCTGGGAACGATACGCATCTCCTGGTGTCCGTCTCGGCCTCAACTGTATGGCGTGCTAGCTATATCAGACTAGTACTCCTGGAAAATTCTACCTAACTTGGTTTGACACCATGTGGGAAGGCCTGGCATCACGTCAAAAGCACGCCATTGCTCTGAGGCCTGGGCAACCCTGATTGGGTCGTCATCCTCAACCATAGCGAACAATGTCGCCCGTGGGGACACGTCTTGCCAATGGGCTATCCAGGTTGCCGCCAGAAAGCGCAGGAGGGTGTGCCGCTGTCGTCAATGCCTGTGTTGAAGGTAGGATATAACGTTCAGTAGAGACTGCCCTTGTGTGCTTGCTCCTACCCTAGCACAGACTTGCTAGCATCCGCAGCAATGTCCATCCTTGACACCACGAAGGATCTGTCTGCTCTCTTTAGCCTCCAGGTCCAAACCACGCCGGAGGCCATTGCATTAGATGACGGTACCACCAAGTACACCTACAGCGAGCTTGAGCAGAAGATTGACGACCTTGCGGAAACCCTCAAGAGTCGTGGAGTTGCGAGAGACGTCCTTGTTGGCGTTCTCCTTCCGAGGAGCGCAGACTATGTCATAGCCTGTCTGGCAGCTTTGCGAGCGGGTGGCGCATTCCTGGTGCTGGAGCTCGCATACCCCCCAGAACTGCTCACAGATGTGCTGAACGATGCCAACCCGGCCGTGGTAGTAACGTACAGTTCCGAAGTTGGGAAGATCAAAGACGGCGTTTCTCTGGTTGTTCTCGACGAAACCAGCAATGGCGCGAATGGGCACGCTGTCAATGGGCACGCCGATGGCATTCCCAGCGACAACGATCTGGACCGCCTGGCGTTCGTTGCCTATTCCAGCGGAACGACGGGCAAGCCAAAGGGAATTGTCAATCCGCACAGAGCTGCGGTCCTGTCATACGACCTGAGGTTCAGACTGTCCGATCAGAAACCTGGAGATCGTGTGGCCTGCAATGTTTTCTTCATCTGGGAGATCTTGCGACCTCTCCTGCGAGGGGCTACAGTTGTGACTGTTCCGGATGAGACCAGCTACGACCCGTCAGCTCTCGTAGACCTTTTGGCTTCAATGAAAGTCACCGAGACGTTGATGACGCCTACGCTGCTTGCTGCAGTACTGTCTCGACACCCACACATTGGCGAGCGAGTACCAGAGCTGAGAACGCTATGGCTGAACGGCGAAGTCGTGACCACAGATCTGGCTCGACGAGCTATGAAAGCTTTGCCCAAAGTCCGTCTTCTGAACGTCTACAGCGCTTGCGAGACGCACGAGATTGCCTGTGGTGATTTGGCAGAGATGATGGATCCAGATGCCAATTACTGCCCGGTTGGCCCGCCTGTTGAGCCGCACAACGTTTATGTGCTCGACGAGAGCGGGCAGAAGGTTGAGCCAGGTGCGACGGGAGAGCTCTTCGTCGGCGGAGACATGTTGGCGCGAGGCTATCTCAGCCGGCCCGAGACAACCGCTAAAGCTTTCACAATGAACGAGTTCGACGACAGGGAAGGAGCACGGAAGTACCGCACTGGCGATCTTGCGAAGATGCTCCCGTCCGGACTACTTGAGATCAGCGGTCGTGTGGGCTCAATGATCAAGCTGAGGGGATACTCTGTTGTTCCAGGCAAGGTCGAGAACGCAATTGTCAGCCACCTGGCCGTCAAACAAGCTGCCGTAGTCGCCCATGGGGAGGGACTGGATCGCCAACTCATCGCTTACATCGTCAAAGACTCAGATGTCGCGGAAGAGCGGCCGGAGATCGATGTTGACAATGCTGGCTACAGCCCAAAAGCTCGCAAGATTCTTTCTGAGCATCTTGCACAGTACATGATACCTGCTCTGTGGGCCGAGCTTGATTCTCTTCCAACCCACGAAGTCTCTGGTAAAGTCGATCTCGAGCGACTGCCGCCGCCAACACGGCCCCATTCGCCCGCCAGCAAGAAAGAGGTCAAGGATCCGATCGGCATTGACGCTGTCGCGGAAGTCTGGGCAGCTACGCTTAAGGTGCCACGAAATATCTTGATGCCAGACCACAGCTTCTTCGACCTCGGAGGGCATTCGCTCTCACTCGCCGAGCTCGCAGCGAAGCTCTCGAGAAGCTTCGGCTTCCGTGTTCCAGTTGCACGGCTTGCTGACCCAACGACGCTCAGCAGCCACGTGCAGACTCTCCGTGATGTGAGAGACGGCCAGATCGCAGCAGTTCAGGCAGACCTTCCAGCTGTCTTGCGAGCAGACTCGCAGCTTGACAAGGACATTGAGCCATCGAACGCAAAGATCACCTCCCTCAAGGCGGCCGACAATGTGCTTCTGACCGGCGCCACTGGCTTCTTGGGAGCCTTCTTGCTCAATGACCTGCTGGAAGGCACATCTGCTCATATCATCTGTCTCGTCCGCTCTGCTGAACCGTCAGAGCACGATGTCCCAGGCTGCATCGCAAGAATGAGGCGCAACTTGATTGATTTGGGCCTGTGGAGAGACTCGATCATGGAGCGGGTGACGATCCTGCCTGGAAACCTGCAGCGGAAGCGCTTCGGCCTATCGCCAGACACCTTCACGGATCTCGCTGAGAAGGTTCAAGTCATCATCCACGCAGCAGCGATGGTCAATCTTGTCTACCCGTACGCTGCGCTGCGAGCGGACAACGTCGGCGGTACCCGCGAGATCCTCCGCCTTGCTTGCCTTGCCGGTGCTACGGTCAACTACGTCTCGACCAACGGCGTACTTCCACCGTCAGCTTCTGGCTTCGGCTGGCCCGAGGACTCAATGCTGTACGTTGATGCTGTGCCGGAGAAGATCAGCGACGGCTATGGCCAGACGAAGTGGGCAGCGGAGCAACTCGTCTACGAAGCCGGTCGCCGTGGCCTGCCAGTCCGCATTCTGCGAGCTGGCACAATATCTGGTCACAGTGCAACTGGCGCCGCCAACGCCTGGGACTTGCTCACAGCACTCTTCGTTGAATCAGCCCGCATTGGCTATGCCCCCGATGTTGAAGGCTGGAGAGCTGAAATGACGCCCGTCGACTTCGTTTCCAAAGCCATCGTTCATTTGGGCAACCAGACCCATGCTAAACAGCTTGTGTTCCACCTTGGCGACCCGGATCCAGTAGACACGAAGCAGGTGTTTGATGATCTCGCCGAGCTGGGATACCCAACCAAACCTTTGCCGTGGGAAGAGTGGGCGGATCTCTGGACCGAGAAGCGAGGTGCTACTTCTGGTGGCGATGGAGCCTTTACAGTAGACGTCCTGCGCGGCGGAATGCCAAGCGTAGAGTTCTTGCAGGGTATCGTGGTGCTCAACAACGCACAGACGCGGCCGTACCGTGCGATCGTGGAGAGACCGAAGGTCGACATCGTTCTACTCGAGACCTATGCCCGCCACTGGTTCGCTCGTGGCTGGCTTCCACACCCACCCAAACTGCAGCTCGCGCTGGGTGGTGCAGCACAACCGGCTCGCAAGAGCATCTTGACCGGTAAAGTCGCTGTGATTACTGGCGCCTCGTCTGGTATCGGTGCCGCCGTAGCCGTCGCTCTGGCACGAGAAGGCTGCCACATCGCGCTCGCCGCTCGTCGTACGGACGCCCTCGAATCCGTGAAGCGCCGTCTCGTGGTGCGTGAAGGAAAGGTGATCACGAAGAAGACAGACGTCACCTCAAAGTCCGACGTCGACGCTCTGCTCCAGCTGGCTGAGACTGAGTTAGGGCCCGTGGACATCCTGGTTTCTTGCGCGGGCGTGATGTACTTCACCATGATGACCAACCCGGCCAACTTGGCACAATGGGACCAGACCGTGGACGTGAACTGCAAAGGCCTGCTGCACTGCCTCTCCTCGACTGTCCCCAGCATGCTGTCCCGCGGCGCTGGCCATGTGGTCGCTATCTCCTCTGACGCCGGGCGGAAGGTCTTTCCAGGTCTTGGTGTCTACAGCGCTTCCAAGTTCTTCGTTGAGGCTACGTTGCAGAGTCTGAGGTTGGAGACTGCAGGGAAGGGGTTGAGGGTCACGAGCGTGCAGCCTGGCAACACGGCGACGGACCTGTTGAATATGAGTTCCGACCAGGAGGCCATCAAGCAGTACGGCGAGCCCAGCGGAGCGGCGATACTGGAGGCTGATGATGTGGCAAATGCAATCGTGTATGCTTTGAAGCAGCCTGAGCATGTGGCGGTGAACGAAGTGCTGGTCGAGCCGAGAGATGAGCCGATATGACGGCATGGAGTTGAGTAGTTGAGTGCTTGGATGCATTGGCTGGCGTTTGCTCGTTGGATATGTGTCTGGAGGATCTCACATCCGTGGACGTATGTCCTTATGATTGATTTATGACGAATTGTCGTTGCAATGTATAGCGGTTGTGTATGCTTTGTTCGGTCTACTTACCTTGCTGCATACCTCCTCATTTCTCATAGCCACATTCCTCATGTCGTGCAATCGTTAGCCCTCTGCAAGCCAGTAGAGCAGCAGTCATTCAGCCAACGCTCAGTAATCATCCCATCATCTGTGCGCGCCCTGCTTCATCTTTTCACGTCCCACTGGCCTCTCGATAGAACGCAAGGGTACCACCAGCACCGGCCGTCACGAAGCTCTCGTTCCTCGCCTGCGCACCCTTCACCAACCACTTGACAGCCCACAAGCACTTCTCACTCTCCGTCTGCGTCGCCACGCACTCTCTTCTCTCCACGCTCCAGATCTTGACCTTCCCATCGTACCCGCCGCTGACCAAGAACTCCCCGCTCCAGTTCCAATCCAGTGACATGATCCAGCTTGCGTGACCGCTCAAGTTGGCAATCTGTCCGCCAGACTGCGTGTCGTAGAGCGCGATGATGCGTGCGTCCCCGGCTGCCGCTAGATATCGGTTGAGAGGCGAGAACTTGAGCGTGCGGACCGGTTTGATGAGGCCCGGCAAAGAGTGTGTGAGGCGACGGGTGGTATTGGAGAAGATGTAGATGCTGCCATTCTGGTGACCGGATGCTGTCAGAGAGCCGTCGGGTGAGAGGTCTACGGAGAGCGCGAAGGAGCCTTTGGTCTCGTACTGCGTTATCCGCTCTGGCGTGGTGTTGGATGGGGAGAAGGTAGTGGTGTCGTAGACATTGAGCCGGCCATCGTGGGTGGATGCTGCAAGGTATTGGCCGTTCTCGCTGAGGGCGAGGGCCCACGATTCACCAGAGTCACTGGCATCGCGTTCTTTCTTGGTTTTGGGAGGGAGGATGTCGCCGCGCTTCGTCCATGTCTCCTCGCCGTTACTCTCGTCAACACTTAGCTGCCATACGCGGACCTCGCCGCCGAAACCGCCGCTTGCTGCTACTTTGCCATCGGGACTGGCGCAGATATGGTGGGCACCCAACGGATGTGCTTTCTCGAGCGTTTGAATGAGCGGGTATGGGTGTTCATCTTCTGCGGTGTCGGCGTGAATGGTCTGCCCGCGTATGCGATGCACTCTTATGCTCGAGTGGCCGGACGCGACGAGGAGGTGTGACGGTGTTGTAGCGAGGGAGAAGATGTCCGCGGATGGCGCTGCAGGATCGGGCGGGAGGGTTTGCGTTTGGAGGTATTGTTTGGACTGTGGGCGGAGGTCAGTAGGATGTCAGTGGGAGCGTACTTCGCGGGCCAGTTACCATTGTTGCTACTGCTCGAAGGGAATGTTCGGTTGCATGTTTGGATGGGCTGTGGTCGAGAAAGACGAAAGAGGAAGGAGCGGGGAATTCTTCGCGCTCTGACGCGGTGTCACATGTTAGGAGCCGCAGAGTGGGAGAAAGCAACGACAATGATATGTTTAGATGATCATGATACAAGCAAAATCGCTATGTTCAACGCTCGGAACGCCAGCACATATCAAAGACAAGACTCTACGCTCAATGCTAGCGAACAGGACTCTTCGCAATCTCCGCTCCGTACCTCGACACGTTCTCCAGCATGATCGTTGAGTCGCTCGATGCGTTCTGGTAGAGCAGCATGCTGCCGCCGTCTATGAACGCCGCGGAGAGCTTCGTGCCGACTGCCGCGGTGACGAAATTCTCACTGTCAGGCGTTAGCTGATATGCGATTTGTGAATGCGTAGGTGACAACTCACAATGTGTCGTAATGGTTAAAATTCGGATTCAAGATCCCGCGAGTTACCTTCCCATCCTCAAGCTGATAGTACACGTACTCGGTCTGGCTGTCGTCACTAGCAACGGCGATGTCTGAACCGACAGCGATTGTCTTGTTTGCCCAGGACTCTGGAGTCTCTGTAACAGCAGTATGTCAGCAACTGTCTTCGATCTCCCCAACGTAAGACCTTCAACTCACTATTCTCGTTCCAGCCCCACTCGCCATCAGTGAAATCATTCCAGAACTGTTTCACCACCCCCGAGCCTTTCATCCGCGTGTACAGATTCAAGAGTTTCCTGCCTGATCCTTCATCTTTCACCGCACACGCTATGCCCGAGCTCGTATCGGCTCTGTTCCAGAAGTCTGTCTCCCACCAGCTCCCATTGCCGCCGAAGTCGTATCTCAGCATTTGGACGTATCCGTACTGGGAGGGGTAGAAGACACGAATGCCGTTCATCAGCTCTTCGCTCGCGCAAGCCGCAAGCCCAATGCTATTCGGCGCTACGGTATCGCGGTGAATGACGTGTGCTGCGCTCCAGGATGTTGCGGTTGATGTGTCCGAAATGTTCTCGGTGCTGTTCGTGGTCATGATGTTGCCGGTGTCGGTCACGAAGAAGATTTGGCGGTAGTGTTGATTGTCGTAGTCATACGAGATCGCAGCAAGGGGCGAGCCGGGGGTGGCGGCGGTGGTGACGACTGAAGAATTGATCTGGGAGTGTTCGGAGAGTGACCAGGTGGAGGACTTGTAGGAATTCTCCAGTATGCGGCCGGAAGGGTCTTGAAAGTAGGTGAGTAGTAATTCAGGGTCTGATGACGAGATCGTAGTGGCTAGGCCTGTGTTCGGCATGGTTGGGAGAGGAGCATTCGAGGCGCCATCTGAAGATGACCTGGAACACACAAGTCAGCGACAACGTTCGAGCCATAAGACCTTGCAAGAGCTCACTTCTTCTTGTTCAGCAGAGTCCCCAGCACACCACCCAGAACTGCGCCAACCACTACTATCAGAACGATCGCAGCGATGAGGATGATCAGCATCCGTCTGCTCATCCCCCAGTATCTTCTTCGCCTCCTTCCAGAATCAACCTCCTCTTCTGATACCCCAACAGCCTTCCCATTTTGCATCCCGTAGCCCTGGTCGAGCGGTCCATCGTACTGCATCCCCTCATATTCCTGCCTGTTGATATGCTGAAGCCCCTCCTCGTCTCGAGACATCTCCTTGCCATCATCGCCATAAGCCGGTTTCGCGTGCAGCGCTTCAGGGACCAACAGAGAGGACTTCCTGTCTTTGGCAAATTGTCTCCGCCAGAGTTCGTCGTGCGCAACTTCAGGTGCCTCGCTCGGCGGCAGAACTTCTAACCCTCCATGGTCCAGCGCGGTATATTTTGCTCGACCCATTGATTCCTCCTGCGCATGGTCTTTTCTCTCCATATAGTAGTTGTCCAGCAACAGAAGAACCAAAAGTTTAAGATGTGACAAAGAAATATGAGAAGGAACAATTGCCCTACCTGTCAAGCCTCGATCCTACATAGGTGCGCCTCCACCAGTTCCATGTTCTCCGATGCGTCGATGCATGGTATGGTCAGCCCTGCATAATCAGTCGTTTTGGCCCCAGGTGAGGTTGTATCTGGGCTTCTGGCCACCCGGACAGTATTGATGTGGCTTGCACTAGCGGCAGATACACGGGATGAAAGACGTTCTGTACTGCTCCTCAGCCTCCACCGTCTCGAAACTTCAGCTTCGTTGAAGATGCGGTCGACTGCGCAGGAGTCAACAAGAGCACGTAAACGATGGGCGCCTGACGACAAGGAGAATCGACCATCAGACATGGTTTCTCCAGTGACAATGCTCCCTGAACTGGAGCCTTGTGGTCGGCTTTCGAGGTGCTTGCTTGAAGGATTGCCGTATGCCGTCCCGCGCTGGAGGCCTTAAGGTACCTGCATATACCTCCTATTTGAAGTATCATCATGTGCATGCATGCAGCAACCATCCTGCCGCGCAACAAGAGAACCTCAACAAAGTAACGATAACCCGCGTCAGGGTTGTGTCTGCATCTCATATACCTCAGGTACAGTGGCACATTCTACGAGGCGCAGGCTACGTCGAGAACGTGCAGTTAACTGCATCAGGTCGAGTGCTGAGTATACACATTACTCCTCAAAGCCCCTCCATACTACGCAGTTACACTACGCCTCCATTCCAGCAGGCTAATCAGACGCCTTCGCTCCCACAACACAGCACAAAAGAGATGCTTCCTGTTCCAACATACTCCCTCCATCCATTCAAATCCCATATCAGACAAGCCCACCCCTCTCCAAAGCAAGCTTATACTCCTAGCCCTGGCTCGCCAAGTTCCGCGCATGCGCACGCGCTGGCGTCGCAGAGTACGGTGGAGCACTTCACGCAGCACATCAGCATACAGCCAAGCCAAGAAAGGTGAGCGGACGGGTGGGAAACGAGGATTAGAGGGTATATATGACAATGCTCGCTTGCTAGAAGTATGTTGGAGGGGGTGCAGGGATGGTGTTGGGTATGTGGATCTAGCTGTACCCGTTCATCGTCATCCGCTGGCTTTGCCGACTGAGCTCGCGGTCTGCGCTTGGTGAGATGGGTCTGCAGAACCAGAGATTAGCACTTCTGCAACACTAATACCGCAAAGACTTGGACAAGTCAACTCACCTGCTCCCGTGCCCACCACCAGCCGCCGAACTCTCCTTCAATGCCAATAGCTGCTTCGCGCGGAAGCTCTCGTAGTGGATTTGGCTCGTGGTCTCGATCAAGTCCTGAAGATGGGTGCGGGTGAGGAAGTCGCGCAGATAGACAAACTCGCAGTGTCGCTCGTCTTCAACGTTGATGGTACCCCAGCGGTTCTGGCGCGCGGGAACGGTCTTGCCGTTGAGGGTGAGGCTGTTCTCGGACCCGACGACTGCGAAGGGGATGATGGACTGGATACGAAGTTAGCAGTGGGTTGGTGAGTTTGAGCATGTTGTAGCGATGTACCTTGATCTGCGAGTTCATGGCTGCCTCCTCGGAATCGTACTCCTCATTCTCGTAGGGGTACATGCGAATGTTGTGGAAAGCAAATTCCTCCTTGATGCGGTCCTTGAACATCTGCCTCTCCTCCAGCGTCAAGCTGTCCGCCTTGGCGATCACAGGCACCACGTTCACCGTCTCGCTCAGCTTCTTCAGCACCACGATATCAATCGGCTTCAGCGCATGTCCAGTCGGCGCGATGAAGTACAAGCAGCAGTGGATGCGCGTATCTTGGATGTACCTCTCACGCTGAGCTGTGAGTTCCTTGCGCAGGTAGGCAGAGTGCTGGTCCTTGATGTACTTCACAATTGGATCCCAGCAGCGGTCGTTGTTGACGAGGTCGCCGTAGCCTGGGGTGTCAACGATATTCAGGCGCAGACGCACGCCGTTCTCCTCGATGATGTGGGTGACGGGGTGGATCTCGGTGGTGCTGCGCGCTTGTTCGGAAGGCGAGAGGCGGCCTTTGCTGTCGACCAGGTGGGAGGCGAAGATGGTGTTGATCAGGGTGGACTTGCCGAGACCGGTTTGGCCTATTGAAGCATTAGTATACAGGGGGCGTTTGGAATAGGTCGCATATTGCTACTAAGACTTACCGACGCAGATGACATTGAACTGAAAGCCGCGCTTCAAGAGCTTCTTCTCAATCTGGCTGGTGATGCTGTCGAAGCCAACGTGTGCTTTGGGGAAGACCGAGTTCTGCGGTTGCGCGGACATGGTGGATGCAGCCATTGTGATCCTCTTCTCCGCCTGTTGTTCGTGATATGTGTTTCCAACACTCTCGGTACCTAAAGCTTGAGGGTCTGTGATCGCGTTCAATCAATGAGTGGTCGTCGGGGAGGTGAAGTGGGTGGTGTGGTGGAGGAGATATGGGTTGGCAATGTTGAAGCAAGTCCTCTCCGCAGGGTCGACCCTGCTCGACGCGGAAAGGGGAAGGAAATTCTGAGCACGGCTCGCGGAAGGCACCACGCTCACGCAACGCTTCCCTTGGCCTTGACATGAAGCTCGACGACCATTGAAGCACGCCTACATACTCGACCGCACCTTTGGAACAAGCAGGACGCAACCATGGCAGCTCTTCACGCCCCCTCACCCTCCTTTCTGGCCACCTTCCTCCCCGTCGCCCGCGCCCAGCTCTTCCCTCATCTCCAACAACCAGTCCGGCGCATACCCTTACTCCAACGCCTCCGGGCATCGGCATCCCTCCTTCCCGCCGCTCTCGTGCCCATACCAGGATTACTAGGTGATCTCTGGGATGGCTTGCTCAACGCCGTGCCCAAGAAGAAGACATCCCATATGAAGAAGCGGCACCGACAGATGGCTTCGGGGAAGCACTTGCGGGACGTGACGGCCTTGAATAAGTGTAGCGCGTGTGGACGGACGAAGAGGGCACACGTACTTTGCCCTTATTGTGTGCAGAGTGAGTCGTTACATGAATGGGGAGTTCTTCAGTGGAAAGTTGGGCTAATGGATGCATAGGTATACGAAGATGGATAAGCACAGGCTTCAGGACGACAAAGGAGTTGGAGGAGGAAGACACCGAGAGACTGGTGCGGATCAACGAGGAAAGAAGGCTACGAGGAGCGAAACCCCTGGACCTGCCCAAGCCTAAGATCAACGGGGAAGGCGAGAGGAAGGCTGACACGCCGTGAGCTTGATTCTTTGTCTGGCTGGTGGTGGATGCTTTATCATAGCAATGGCGTTCTGCATCTTACAACGGGTGGGGCACTGACAAGGTTGTAAATATACGATTGTACAAAATCTACGGATCCCAGAAATCGAGCTTCCTTGTTGTCCCCTTAAACCTGGGGCACGACTTGAATGGGGATTGAAAATACTACAGGTATGTCAATATGACTTTAATTTCGAAGTTCCTTCTCAGAACTGCAATGCACATATACGCCTCTGGTGCGTAACACGCTTGACTTCTGATCTCCACGACACAATGCTCGCTGCCCATTCAGCTTGTAGCAGAACCTTCCCCCACGCGCCTCGAACGCCTGCTCATGCCTTTCTCATCCCCACCCCATCTAGCTCATGTCCGCGAAGGTGGCCCCCGGCCCCCTCCCTCCTCGGTCACTACGTCCGCCTCGCCCACCTCTGTCACTCCGATCCCCACCTCTCCTCTGCTGCCCATCCTGCTTCTGCTGTCCGTCCGTCGAAGCGCCTTCATTGCCGGTGCCCATTGTTAGTGCTGCGGTGGCCAGACGGTTGGAGAGATCAATCTGCGTGCGGATGGTGTTGGCAAGGTAAGAGACGAGGAGGACGTCTTGGATGTGGTTGTTGCTAGAGAAGAGAATGTCAGCATGGTCTGTGAAAGATCCGAGGTGTATTTGGGACGTACAAGTCCCGTTCGATATCTTCAGCATCCACTTTCGGCGCCAGACTCAGGGTGTTCATCAGGAACTGGCCAAGCGCAGACGAAGGCTCCGCCTCCTCATCCAGCACATTCGAGACATAGTTCGACACCCTCTCCAACATCTCCAACACCTGCTCGATCGCATGCTCGAGCGTCTCCACATCCGTCTGCATCAACAGGCTCCTGTCCTCCCGCTCCCGTGCACCTGCAATGACCTCCAGCCCACTCTTCTCCGCCTCTCCATATTTAATCTCATGTGGCACGGGAATGAACAAACAGCTATCCGCCGCCCTTTCCGCAGTAACGCCAATAGGCGCACTGATGTACGTGTTCGCATCAATATCCTGCCCAGCAACCGTGTTCACCGTCAAATGCACCGCCGGATGGGGGAACGTGCCCTCCCCCTGCTGCGAGTAGAAATTCTGAATCAACGCCGAGAAAGTGTTGAGCTCGCTACTCGTCGCATACCAGCCCACGAGCACCTCCTTCGGGTTGGCGCGCAGGTGCAGGCCGAGCATGGCTTTTTGATAGTCCATATCCACCTCCACTTGCTCGGCGGTCTCGGTGTGCGGGACGGCGTAGCAATTCCGGACTTCGACTTCTGTGCCATCTTCGCTGCGGGTTCCGAGGAGAGTCCCGATCACGCGCTCCTGGTCGGCGGGGCGGCGGGAGGCGTGGTCGAGGATGCTGAAGAGGGCCTGGGGGAGGATGGTGCAGGATAAGGGTGCGGTCGCGGGCGCGGAGGTGGAGATGGCGGCGGGGGCGAGAGGGCGCGCGAGGTGGAGATGTGATTTGGGGTCTGCCATGATTGCCGTTTGATTGTGGCCTCTTCCAGGTCAAGAAGTGTCGTCGTGTGGTTTTGCACGTTCCGCTTGCCAAGATTTCGTTTCCGAGAATTGCTGGCTTATCGATAACAGAACACAATTTCATGTGAAAGTCTCGAGGTGAACTGATCGGCATCAACACACCATGGCACCGTTTCGAGGCGGAGGAAGTCGAAGCGCTCGGGGTGGTTCGCGAGGCGGCTCTCGTGGTGGCTTCAGGGGCGGGTCAAGAGGCGGCTTCAGAGGAGGACCTAGAGGAGGTTCTAGAGGAGGTTCTAGAGGAGGCAGAGGCGTTGCGCGAGACAGCGGGAAGCTTGCACGGAGCGGTATAAGGACAAGATCAGGCTACAGAAGGTTTGATAGCCAGAGAGTAAAGGATGCGGACCAGTCCAGCGAGGAAGACTTGCCAGACGTCGCAGACGAAGCGGAGGAAGATGAGGAAGACGATATAAGCGAGGACGAGGCGGTCGATGCAGAGGCGCAAGCGAAGGCTCGAGCGTACAACATGCTATTGCAGTCGTTCAAGCAGCCTGAGGACAGCAGCGAACGGCAGCGGAAAAGGCGCAAGATCGAAGCCGAAGCACCTGTGGAAGACACGAATGGCCATGTGAGCGTTGCAGATGACATTGCAAGCGAGAGTCTACTAGAGGACGAGGCTACCGGCAGTGAAGATATACTCGACGAAGATGTTGACGCGGAAGAGGATGTTGAGAGCGACGACGAAGATTCCGAGGCGGTGGCAGGAAGCGACGTCGAGGACGTTCAAGACTCGAGAGACCCATTCGAAATGCACTTTGCCAATCCCGACGACAATGAGCTGTCGAGCCGATTGAAATCCGTTCAGGCAGGCAACTGGCAAGTCGAAAAGCACGTTGGCCCCGATCGTTCAACCATCATCTCCTCCGCGCCAATGTCAGCGGAAGGCAGCATCTACCGCAAGACAACTATACGGTCTTCCGACGGCATAGCACTGAAAAAGCGCCTTGTGGCACCCGCGCAGAAGCATCTTTCTACTTTCGACTCATCGCAAGAGACTCTAGCACCCTACGTTTCGCAGTACAACGACGTGCTCTACGGCAACCGATCAGCCGAGAACGCAAGCTCACTCCGCCAAATAGCCTGCCTCCATGCTCTCAATCATGTACTCAAGGGTAGAGACAAGGTCTTGAAGAACAACGAACGGCTTGCAAAGGCGAAAGGTCCAGACCATGCAGATGTACAAGACCAGGGCTTCACAAGGCCGAAGGTACTGATCCTGACTGAGACGAGGCAAATGTGTCACAGCTACGCCTCCATTCTGGTAGATCTCTTCGCTCCCGAACAGCAAGAGAACAAACAACGTTTCGATAGCTCCTTCACTGCTCCTTTAGAAGACGAGAGGAACATGCCTGAAGACTTTAACGAGCTGTTCGCGGGCAACAACGACAACAATTTCACGACGGCGATCAAGCTCACCCGAAAGACGTTGAAGTTCTTCTCTGCCTTCTACACTTCCGACATCATCCTCGCCTCTCCTCTCGGCTTGCGGCGCATACTGGAGAATGAGGACTCGAAGAAGCGAGACCACGACTTCCTCAGCTCCATCGAGTTTGTTGTCGTCGACCAAGCGGACGCGATGCAAATGCAGAACTGGAGCAACGTGGAGACAGTGTTCGAGCATCTCAATCTCCAACTCAAAGAAGCCCACGGCTGCGACTTCAGCCGCGTGCGGCCCTACTACCTCGACGGCAACGCCAAATACCTCCGCCAAAACATGATCTTCTCCGCCTACATCACGCCAGAGATGAACCGCCTCTTCAACACCTCCATGCAGAACGTCGCAGGCAAGCTCAAATTCACTCCCACTTACCCGGACGGCGCCATCAGCACCGTCAGCAACATCGGCGGCATCAAGCAAACCTTCTCTCGCTTCGACTCGCCTTCCCCAGCCTCCGACCCAGACGCCCGCTTCAAGTACTTCACTACTGCCATCCTCCCCTCTCTCCTCCGCCTCCCCAAACCCGCTGAAGGCGGACAGGGCATTCTGATCTTCATTCCTTCGTACTACGACTTCTTGCGCATCCGGAACTTCTTCGCCACCTCGCAGCAAACGCAGAATATCTCCTTCGGCACCATCCACGAGTACTCTGAGGTCAGCGATCAACGACGTGCGAGAGCGCATTTCGTGAATGGACGGCATAGCTTCCTGCTTTACACGCAGCGGGCGCATCATTTCTTCCGGCTGCGGCTGAAGGGGGTGAGGAGGGTGGTGATGTACGGTCTACCTGATAACCCGATTTTCTATGAAGAGGTCGCTGGTGGATTCCTCGACACGAGTCTGCAAGAAGGGCGGGTCCAAGAAGGCGAAGCGGCTGCGAGGGTGATGTTCTCGAAGTGGGACGGCCTGGCACTCGAGCGGGTCGTGGGGAGTAGCAGGGTGAAGTCCATGTTGGGCGGGACGGGAGATATGTTTGAATTCTTGTAATAGTACATGTGTTGAATAGCAGTAGGTCATGACTGTGCCTCAGCCTCACGCACTCTGATCTCCTGTGCTTCCCTTTCTCCCACTTTGCGCAAGTCTAGCAATGCGTGCACCTTGCTCATGACGGCATCAAACTGCTCCACCACTGCGGGAGTTGGTAGTGGGATGAGATCTGGTACTCCGGCATGCTGTAGGATCGCGGCGATCTTATCCGTTTGGATTGTCGATTTGGCGATGCGTGGCCTAGAACACAAGTGTGGTCAGCAAATGTCTCGAGCTTCGGAACGGGGTGACAATGTGGTATCATGTCGTGCAGCTGCATAGGCGTTGATCACGTTTCGGAGAAGATGTGCTTGACTTACTTTGAAAGCTTGTCGCTGGCGAACGTAATCCCACTCGGCAGCTTGTCCTGGCTCTGCACGACTCCAAGGCGGAGCATGTCTTCGTCTGATAGATCGACCGGCAGGCTGTTGCCGGGCGTTGCTGATGGGAGTGAGTCGCGAGTCGCGCGGCGGCCGGGTATGTTCTGGTCTTGTAAACCGGCGTTGGAGTCTCTGGGGCGTGCGGACGTGGAGCCGTTGTTGGGCATTCCATCGTACTGCGGGTGGCCCGTGGAGTTGTTAGTGTTCGGGCGAAGGGAAGGTTTGGAGGGAGGGGGTCATACCTGTTGCTCTCAGTCGCTGATTCTTCTTCATGCGATCTGCGGCGAGCAGCTGCTGCCATAGTCCCGTGAGTGCTTGGGATGAGGTGTACTGGTAGCCGTTCGTGTTGGCTCTTGGGTAGTCCAGGCGGCGACGGAGCTCCTGTAGTACGGTCAGTGATGTGGATGGCAGAACGGAGGAGTGGCATAGCTCACCTCGCGCTCATTGTCGAGCGTGGCCTGATTCAACATGATGCGCTGCAGTTCGCTCAAAAGCACACCCTCCTCATCGACCTCGTTCTGTGGCCGGGAGAGGTGTCCCTCTGCGAGCTGCTTGCGGGAGGCTTCCTGCTTCGGATTGAAGTTTGATAGAGTTTCGTAGAGGCTGTACTCTGGCGCAGTCATGGAGGTGATGGGCGTTCGGAGTTGTAGGATGGTGGCGGAGATCTGGTAGAATCGGGATTTGAGCTCTTCCATCGAGCGATTCGAGCCTTCCGGGTAGGAGTAACGATCGATGATGACGGGCCATTTGCCGTTGCTTTCGAGGTAGGTTTCGAGGAGGTAGTCTGTCTCGCCCTTCGTCCAGTGAGGGTGAGTGAGGTGTTGTTCATAGGTGGCGTCGTCGTAGGTCGGTATCTCAGGTTTGGTGTTGTAGTGAGTGAAATCAGAGGCTCGCTCGTTCCCCCGGGTGTCGACCCGCTCCCACCGCCGGCCTGGGCGTGTTGTAGTAGTGGTGGTGGTTCTCCACGACGCGGGTCGCCGCCGCGCTCCCTTCATGGAGGCCATGGATGGTTTCGGCCAGTCTCTCCAGCCGAGAGAGGAGGTCGAGGAGGTCCTCCGGCGAGTGCTGTGGCGCGGGTGGTGGTGGCGGTGGCCGTGCGGCCGCGCTTGGCTTCGGCCTTGGCCTTAAAATCGCGGGGCAGTTAGCAACGTTCTCCGAGATGAGAATGAACTTGAAAATGTAAGAACAGGCCTGACAGCACGAGATGCTGTGTCGGAGAAGACGACTAGTGAGTGAGGCCTCCAGGTGTCTCGGATGACGGCATGTCGCCTTCTCGAGTATCGAAAGCCCGCCAAAAAGGCTCAGCATGGTGCGAAGCCGTTCATGCTGTCTCGGAGAACAGAGTGTGATGAGAAAGGTAAGCAGGCCTCTCGAAGTCGACAACCAGCTGAAGTAGGCCCAGCATGCCGCATAGCACTCGATCTCAGTCTGGGAGAAGGCGGCATCGACCACGAGGTCAGGCTGGCTTCTCGAAGGCCATGTCCAGCCGAGAGCAGCTCAGCATGCCGCAGAGCTTCTTCCAGGTTGTTTTCGTCTCGGAGAAGGGGGTATCCAAAAGAAAAAAGCGCAACTTACTGCCGATACTTCTTCGCCTTCTGCCCGAAGGCCCCGCGCACCCGATTGCGCAGCACCCCGACCGGGCGGGGCCGCAGGGCCTTGCGGGCGTAGTAGCGGTCGATGCAGTTGGCGAAGCAGATGGCTCCGACGGTAAGGACGGGGGGGAGGAAGCTACGTACACAGAGATCACTACGGGCGTTCTCGAGCATCGGGAGGAGGTGGTGAGTGGGTTTGGGGGTGGGAGAGGAGGGGATTGGGGGTTGGGATGCCGGAGAAGGGGGAATAGCCAAGGCGTTCTCGAGCATCGGAAGGGACTGTTGAGGAGATTAGGGGGCGGGAGGGAGGGGTGAGAAGGGTTGGGATGCCGGAGAGGGGGGCAGGACAGTACGGATTTCTCGAACATCGAGATGGGACGGCGAGGAGGTTTGGGGGTCGAAGAGGGTATTGAGGGGAGTTGGGACGCCGGAGAAGGGGGAGAGAAACGATCACTTACAGCTCGAGACCAGACATTGCTGGTGATTGATGGGGTTGAGTGAATGGGTTGGTGGATGAATGATTGGTTAAGTATGCTAATGGATGTGATTGATGATGGTGATGATGATGATGATGATGATGGAAGAAGTGAACGATGGATTGGAAGTGATTGACAAGAACACGATAAACACTCCCAGTACCACAGGCAAGGGCGTTGCATCTAATTGATGGAAGGTGAGGCATGCAGGAGGAAGGTTTCCTTCATAAGCGTCCATACCTAGTATCTACAAGTGCATTGCTCGTGGCACCAACTCTCCATCGAAGCTAAAGTCCCGTCCCCATCGCCGCTGCCCATCTGTCCATCCGTCCGTATAATACTTCTCCAGAAACATTATCTGCCCTTTATGATAAGAACGCCCGCCTTGCAACCAGCCAGCCGTCAGCGCGCCTCGAGATCATGCCGCTTGCGCTTCGAAAGAACGATTGAATAAAGTCACCGTATGTATCCCAGCCTGTAGAAAAGCCCATCTCTCCTAGAACGCATGACGCAGAGTCAAGCATACTATGCCGGACTGATCAAGTTCATCTTCGGCCTCAACTGCCCGGCCAAATCGTCCCGGCTCGTCACATACTCCTTCGGGATCCTGCTCACGCGATACGCTCCGGCGCGGACAGCATCCATCTGCATCGCAGAGATGCCGCTCCGCGCGCTGCGTATGCTGCCAGCGTCGCTGGCTCCGCTGCCTTCTTGGCCACGGAAGCGCGGCATGGGCGCAAAGTCCAGAGACGTGAATGTGCCGCTCTTGCGCAGGTGGTGGGGTGAGGGCATGGCGCTGAGGTCGTCGAAGGCGGGCACGAGCGGCGAGTAGGCCTTGACCGCAGGCGAGTAAGGACGCGCGATACCTGCAGGGCTATCCGGACGACGGCCGTTCTGGTGTTCGCGGAAAGAGGTTGGTGGAGCGAAGTCGATGGGGTTCATGATCAACGCGGTGTCTTCGCGGAGCATGTACGGCGTGGGGAGGGACTTGAGATCTTTGGGTGGCGGCAGTTGCTTCTTCGGCGCGCGCTGCGCAGGGCGTCCACGAGGGGGACCACGTCCGCCAGACATGGTTGAGAAGTGACGGCTGTGATCGGGACCACCAAAGTGCGCAGCGCCGCGTGGTGGAGGAGTCATGGCGCGACGGCCCATGGGCTGTGCGAATGGAGCCTGCGGTACGAGGTAGTCGCCAGTCTCTGGGTCGTAAACGGCAGCATCGAGGTACTGAGGGTCATAGTCTTCGTAGACGCCTTGCTGTGGGTTCGGGCGGCTGTCGTCAAAGTACTCTTTGTAAAAGGATCTTATCCGATTAGCGCGCTGCTCTGCGTTTTCCTGCTGCTCCGCGGCTGGCGGAAGAGGCCTCAGGCCCATGACCGACATCCGGTTGTCCTGGACTGGGAATTGTTGAGAGGGCGCGGTACCATCGATTGAGAAACGGCCAGTGTAGATCTGGGCTGGATCGATGTCATAGTCTTCCTGCCCAGGCTCCACCACCCGCGGCGGTGGTGGGGCTACTGCTGGCACATCATCGCCGTAGAAGCTGGAGTCGCTTGCTCGAACATCGATCGGAGCCAGCGCGGCGGCAGCTAATGATGCCTTGCGTGGAGGTCGACTTGATGAGTCCGTTGGGGACGCTGTCCGCTCATAGTGCTCAGCTGGCAGTGGCGGGAGAGGTGGCGGAGGCCCCTTTTGTGAGTTGTTCCGAGGCGGAGGATTGCTCTCAGAGATGTCGGCCAGGTTCTGGCTTGTCGAGCCCAGGCTCGTCTTTCGGCTGGGAGTGGCACCACGGAGAGCACTGTGGAGCTCGCGAGTAGGGTTTTCGTCTGAGGGACTTGAGGTGGACATTGAGTCGCCACGCTTTGGGAAGGACTGCGACATGCGCTGAGCATTCGCCACCAGGCTCGACTTTTCGTTGCCGGTCTGCACGGTCGAGGCGGAAGAGTACATGGATCCATTCTCGCGGAAGAGTCTGGGAGAACGCGAGGTCTCGTTTGAACTCCGCACGAAGGTGACAGGTCGGTAGGGATCGTGTTCATCGGCCATTGAGCGTGACATGCTGTGAAGAGACTCGCGCGAGCCGTGCAGGCCCGCAGGCAGTAGGTATGGGTTGCTGTCGAAGTCCATAGACATGCCACGCACTGCTCGGTTGGGCCGCATCGGGTCCGGTCCAAGGTCTGTAATGGTCATCTCAGGCACTTCGCCACCTTTCTTGCTCGTCACGCCGCGCTTGTTCTTCGGCTGGCCGGTGAACTCGACTCCAAAGTCCAGAGACTTGTGAGGGTCGTTGGCATCTTCCAGGGCTTGCTTCTTCTTGTTCCGTCGGTGAAGATATACGAATACGCAGAGCGCGCAGGTTATGGGGATGCTACAAGCACGTCAGAACTGCTTCTCGGATTGGAGGGCTCGCAACACTTACACTGCACCAAGAACGATCGGCAGCGTTGAGCTACTGGTATCGCTCACTGGCTTCTCGCAAATGGCGCTGTCGTCGCCCGGCTTGCACGTGCTCTCCGATCTCGCGACCATTGTTCTTGTCATCTTCTCCACCACTTTCGTACCATATCGGAAGCCATCTTCAAGAACGCTGTTGTCCCTCCGCGTATACTGCTGCTCGCCTCCCAACGCAAAGGGGAGTTTCATTCTCTTCAGAGTCCGGAACGAGACCGCTGACTGCGCGATCTGTCTAGGACAATGTCTTCCCCAGGTTGCCTCGGACTGCGGAGGTGTTGGTGTCTTGGATGACAGGTCGGTGGAGTCAGATGCTGTCACAGAAGCTTCTCCTCGCTGCTGGTGTTTCAGGAGGCTCGCGTGTGGTTTGAATGGACGAGGCGCGGGTGATTAATGCTGTAGCGGTGGTGGTATGTACAACGAGTGACTGCGGTCAGTATGAACCCATGAATGAGCGGCACGCCTAAGGACAGGCTTTGAAAGAATGAACAACACCACCAAATACGAGCGGGCCTGGCCTGTCTTGGAGGTGAATCAGGTGGACGGTGAAGAAGAGGGCGTTAAGCGTTCAGGGTGAACGCTCGCTCGCTCGTTGCGCACAGACGCGCCAAAACAGAGTTCAAGCCACGCCGGCGACTGGCCGCTTCACCTTCGTCTTCTCCCGCCCTCCATCCCATTTCCCACAGCGACAGGGGCCCCCAATTTCACGGTGCGACGTTGACATCTACGCCACTTACCGTTGTGGACATGTCGTGCTTGGGAGTCGGTATCGCTACACGCGCGCACGAACAGCAGAAGAAGGCCTCTCCTCCTGGATGCCATTGCCGTCCCATGTCAGCGCGACTACTGCAGGAACACAATGCCATCGGCCAATCGAATCGTCAATCTGCTAGCCCTATGCACGACACTACCGTCCTGTCCAACTGTCCAACCCACTCTTCAGGAGCTCCAAAGCGACAGAAGCAAGCCATTGGACTGTCAGCGCGCTTCCAATATTTCAATATTTCTTCTCTACTTCGCGCTGCCTTTTCTGTATCTTCGTTCCATCCTTTTACCAGGTTGCCGCTGTAAAGGACTTCGATAGCGGAAAGGATACAACCCGCTTTGGGCAGGGATTTTCATCGAAGTAATCTCCGCCGGTTCCTTTAGGTGGGTACCGCGGGCCTTCCGCTGCTCAACTCTCCGCCTTTATGACAGCGAGAGATATCATTGAACTCCTGTTGTAGGCGGTCACGGCGGTCTTCTACCTTACAGCGACAACAGCATTCGCCATGGCAAGACATCGCACCGTCCAGCTTTAGCTTCAACCGCACTTGACGAACGCGCGATCCTTCGGCTTTCTCTTTGGCTGCATCCTGATCCCTAGAACAAGTTAGAGTCTGCGAGAGCGGCATCACAAACGAGCGAACGATCTAAGTGGCCCGTATATTCACTGTGCCATCATCTCATCGACTTTGCGGAGTAGGACACATGCGCGGAGTAGGTATTCATTCCGTTTCTTCACGGTGGTCTCTGCAGCCCGTTTCCAAGCACTGCACAACGACTTATCCTGCGCCTCATGTCGTGAGAGTCGGACTCGTTGCTGCGGTCAATACTGGTGACGGAAGGTAAAAGCCAACAGCCTCGTACGTGCGCTCTCATCCAATCGACGTTCTTTCCAAACTCCTTCTGCTTCTTGAAGCAAGCATGCCTACAGTTCCTGCTCGTCAACACAACGACCTCAAGATCCGCCTGGATAAAACAAGCCAATTCTCCTTCCGTGGGCTGGGGTGGCAGAAACGTCTGAAGCTTGAACCGATTCTAGGTGTTGCCTTGATCGTCTCGATATGAACCGGGCTAGTATCAATACTTCTCGTTACTCCTTACTTCGTCGATGCCACGTCGCGAATGGCTCTAGAGGCTCAGAAGGAGACGACGTGTACGATCTGAACCTGTGAATTCGAACGTTCATCGCAGTGTCGGCCTCCAAACGCATACAACCCTACCACATCGCCCCCTCCGCCTTCAACCCCGCCCTCCGCCCACAACTCCCCTTATCAAGATACGGCCTCTCCCCCAGACTCACCGCCCGATGCCCCGTCCGCGGCGCCTCCGTATCGAACGTCGGGGTATGGTACACGCTGCGATTATCCCAGATCGCCACGTCGTTCTTATTCTGCCACCGATGCCGCACCTGCAGGTCGTGGTTCTCCACGACCAGACGTGTGAACCAGTCGAGCAGGTGGCGGCTTTCGTCCTCGCTGACTTCGTTGATGCGGCGCGCGTGGTAGCCGATGGGGTAGATGGATTTCCAGCCTGTGACGGGGTTCTGGTGACTGTTAGTCGATGTCGATGGCGTTGGAGGGGTTTGTTGGTGGGTTTCTTACCGTGCGCACGACAGGGTGGATGGCTGTGAGGCCATCGCCTACGTTCTCAGGGGCGCCGCGCTCGTCGGTGTAGAGATTGGAAGCGGCGCCGTTGGCTCCTCGCTGGAAGACAGGTTGTGCGTAGGTTGCGGTGAGCTTCTCCAGAAATTGCTGGTAGGCGGGTGAGATGCGGTCGTAGACCTCGTAGCCGGACGCCCACATGGTGTCACCACCTGTCTCGGGCACTTCAGTCAGGCGCAGGATGCAGTAATCCGAGGGGACTTTCTCGAAGGTGATGTCGGAATGCCAGCCGTCCTTCTGTGTCTGCTTGATCTCCAGTGCAGCGGAAGGCTTGTACGGTCCCTTGAAGCCGTTGTTACTGATGACGCTGATCTGGTTATCCTTGTCCTCCGGCGTGCCGTTGAAGTTGGAGAAAGGGTGGATGTGCAGTTTGGACGTGGCAGGCTTGCCGGCCAGTTCACCGATCTTCTGCGCGAGGCGCTTCTGGTCTTCATTAGTCATGCCGTCTTGTGCTCTGAAGAAGACGACACCGCGGCGGGAGACTGGTCTATACGTTAGTCCACGGTCCGCAAAATTGATAAACAGGGCAACGGTGCGTACTGGTGATGGCAAGATCGCGAATGAGCTCGTCCGAGTTGGGCGAGTAGAGCCATTCTTTCAGACTCGCTGTCGGGAACTCTCGTCCGATCATCGGTGTCACGTCAAAGGACTTGATCCCGTCCAATGCACCCGACAGCTTCATGGGCTCTCTGTGGTTCGAAGTTGTTGCAGCGCCATTCGTCTCAAAGTGCTCGCCGCTCGTCGTAGAGTGTTCGCCATTCATAGCAGGCTTCACACCATTCGTTGTAGGTTGTTCGGTCAATGTTGTTGTGCTCGACATGGCCATAGGTCATTTCACGGATGGAGAGGAGAAAATGAACCAAACGTGACGAAAGAATCAGTACTTACCTCATATACTTGAACCGTGAAAAGCCTTAAGCTAGCCGTTGACTATTCTTGCTTTCTGACGAGTCCTATCTGTCTCCTTCATCCTACGGCATGGTCGACGGAGCAATCCTGGAGTGGAAGGAATGTTGTTGGAGGGCTGAAGGATTCTGAGTGAAACAATGGAACAGCGGCTCTTGGCGGATACCACTGCGAGAATGCAAAACACACGAGTAAAGAAAAAGAGTTAGAAGCAATTGAATTCGAACTCATTACTCGTAAAGCTGCTACTTGTCAGTACGTGATCATTGAACACGCAGTTGCAGAGAGTACCAGCGCTTCTCCTGGCCACTACTCGAGCACAAGGCGTGAATCGCACGCTTCAAGTGTTGTCGCATGAGGCTTGTCCTCCGTATGATTGACCATCATGTCAATACGCTGACGCCGGGGGCGGTGGCTTCGCAGGAAGAGACGCGGGCGTGCCCCATTTCGAGATGCTGCTGTGGCCTTGCTCTATAGGCTTCGGCGGGAGAGGCAGATTCGGTGACGGCTGGCGTGGAAACACGGGCTGCGGCAATGGATGGACCATTGGCTGGCTCGAGTTGCGATGCGGCACTGCGGACATGGCAGGTGGGTGCGGCGAAGCCATGGGAGGGTTGTACGACTGGTTCGAGTTCTGCCTCTGAGGCTGCCAGGCCGAGTTGTATGGCGACCAGCTCATCTCACCACCATGCGCTTGCGACATCTGCTGCATTTGAGGCATTTGTGGCATTTGCGGCATTTGCGGCATCACCTGTCGTGGGTTGTTGACAGTTGTGTGGTTTGGAACGAAGGTTTGGCTTTGCGGGTTGAAGTGCTTGCTCTTGTAGCTGCCTGGCAGTGGGTGTTCGAGCTTGCTAGGCATGCGACCAGGCACTGTCTGGCTGGGCAGCTGTCCATAGGGATAAGACTGGAACTGATTGAATGTGCCTGGAATGGGCTGCTGAGGGCGAGGGTATCCTTGAGGGTAGTGCAGGCCAGATTGTGGCGGTTGCCCAACCGTACCATGCGTTTGCTGTGGCCTTTCGGGTTGGTATCCGCCAAATTGTTGCCCCCAGGCTGCTGCGGAACGATGCTGCATGCCAGGGCTTTGGGCGGCCATTGGCGACTGCTGCAACGTCATGGCACGCTGAAAGTCCGGGAAGAGGTCGAAGCTGGATTGCTGGTTCTGTGTCCATGGAGCATTACTCTGAGCGCCATTGGAATGAGTCGACGTCCAGGTATTGGTACCTTGAGCTCCGTAAGACGAGTAGCTTTGCGTTGCCGGCGTAACGCCGTACGGCGTTGGCGGGTACTGCTGAGGTTGAGAGTTGACGATGTTCGGGTATGCAAACCCCTGCCCTGGCGCAGTTGGCGTGTAAGGAGCAGGATAGTACGCGCTGTACGCTGATCTTGCTTCGAAATCGTCGTCACTGTCGGCTCGCTGCTTCTTCCTGAAGGCTTTCTTTCCAGCAGCAGAGCTTGAACGCGAATCTTCGTTCTGCAGCGCAGCGTCGGGTGAGCCGGTTGGCTTCGCCGAACCCATAATGCGCTTGCGTGCTTCCTCATACTTGGCTTCACGTTCTTCGCGCGAGACTGGCAGCTTTGGCTTTCGCTCGTCGTTGCCATCCTCTCCACTCTCTGACGCAGTCTTCGACGGTGAGTTCGAGCCGTTCGCAATCGTTGGCCCATCAACCTTCATGCCTCGACGCAAGATCTTCATCTGGGGAGGAGCAGGTGGCGGCGTACTAGCAGCGGTGGAAGGGGTCGCGATGCCCGTCAAGGGTGCAGGTAGCAGCTGGTGTCCTGGAGCTTTGAAGATGCGCACCGCCGAATTAGATTCATCGGAAAGGTGCCCCAGCATGTAATACTCCGCGAGTTTGTGCGCAAGCATCCGATAAAATGCATTGGTTTGAGGCAACATCAGAGACGACTCTGTCCCATCCTTGACGAAGTCGACAAGGTCCTGCTCGAGCTTGAGTACCATGATGCGGTCTTTTGGACTTTCTAGCGCTTCCAAGAGCTTTGGATCAGGGTTTGTCTGCTTTCGCTCGCTCGGTGCATCGTTGGCAGGTGTAGCTCTAGGAACGACCCCCACCCCTGAGCCTGACGGTGGCACATAGAGAACGCATTGTGGCGGGTGGCCGGGTCGGCTGAGTGCCTGCGCTCCGCCGGTGTGATGTGGGGACGGCTGTATGGATGAGATTTCCCTCAGTTGATCGCGGAAGGCCCTGGCACCGTCGTCCGAACCAGTTCGTGAAGGCAGACCAGAACTGGGAGGAGCATAATACTCTTCGTCCTCGGTGGCCTTCACACTGGCACTGTCGTCAGGGCGCAAAGACTCTTTCTCGTCGAGTGCAAACGTCGTACCCGACGTGACACTCTTTCCGTCCAAACTCGGTGGCTTGCCAGATCCGCTCGAAGACGACACTTGAGTTCCAGCCTCATCCGCTCCACCAGGTACAAGCATACCCTCCGGCGCACGTGATTCCTGATCCGACGGGGACGGAGAGTCTGCGCTGTGAATGTGGACCTGTGGACCCGATATGCTGTCATTGCCAACCTCTTTCGAGTCCTTTGAAGCCATTGCTACCAGCTTTTTCTGCTTGGGTGTGAAAGTTTGCGCGACAAAATCGCTTGAAGGAGAGACAGAATGGACGCCTTGTTGCGGCGATGAAATTACTTCGGATTGCTCTGTGTGTGCTGTGGTGTTTGGAGTATGCTGTGAGCTTGGCGGCTGAAGTCCAGCTGCTGCGATCTGCGAGGGAAGTCAGTACATGGCATGTAGCATCCTCGCTCAATGATCGGACGCATGTTCACCTTCGAGTATGAGGGTCTTTGCGAAGTTGCGCCTGGAAATGCCGATGCCATAGTACCAAGTCCAACGTTGTCCATTGCGGAACAGAGAGATATGAGTTCAAAGGAGTGACGAACCCAAGAGCCGCTGTTTCCTGAGGCGGCGAGCAATCAAGCTTGCCGGACGGTGAAGAACTGATTGAAGTCTACCGGAAAGTTCTCAGGAAACGGGCGGCTCAAGGGAAATCGTCGACACCACCACGGCAGAACTGGACATCCTGCAGGTTGCACATTGAAGCCGAGTGCGCGATATTCAATGGCTCTTTTCGCGCGCGCGACGTTTCGAAGTCGTCGCTCGTAAGGTGTTCGGAGCCCAGTAGTTTTGGAGTAGGTGATGTCGAAGGTGACGCTGGTCTGCGGTGGGGTGAGGGGTTGGGTCTGTGAAGTGTCAAACAGCAAGACTTCAGGTTGCAAAAGAAGCGACGCTAGTGTCCGATATACTTGGCATAGGCCCGTGCGTCCCTTTCTACATCTCGACAACATTTCAAAAGAAACATAGACGTGCTGGCCTCTATAAGTCCGAACAGAAATTCAGCTGTGAAAAGAGATCCCCACAGTCTCCCACAGGATACTCGCTTGCAGCACTGTCCTGGGCATACACCTCCCCAAACTCAACCATGAACCGATATAAGCCTGGAGGAAGATCACAGGCTTCAGCGACAACACTGTGTCAGAAGTGCCTGAAGAAAGGTAGAGTCTCTTCAGCTGTTCGGAATTGACACCGCTAACACTTCGCAGGACACTACAGCTACGAATGCACGGCGTCTCAGCAAGATCGACCATACACATCACGGCCCTCACGAACTCAACAGCTGCTGAACCCGAAGCTGGCGCCAAAGATCACAGAGGCGAGCCCCACGACTGAGGCAGCGAAGTAAGTACATGGAACCTCATTTACAATTTCACCGGCATGCTCACATCGTCCAGGTCGGACGACGCCACGAAGAAGAGCAGCAGCCGGAAACGCAGCCTAGACGAAGCTACAGATTTCCCACAGAAACGCTCTCGATCATCTTCGTACAGCTCTCGTTCGGATTCAGTCTCTACAATCTCGACCAACCGCTCTCAATCGCCACCGCCAGCCTCCCGACGACGGAGAAGCAGCCCTAAGCGAAGCACCTCAGCTCGTGAAGAGCCAAAAGCTTCAGCAAGTAAATCTCGAGCAAGGGGCGGACGAAGCCGGTCTTGCAGTCCATGGCGTGGATCTACAGGTCGCGGGGAGTCGCGGAGAACACGATACTCCCGATCGCGATCACGCAGCCCTTACAGGGATAGGCGCGGAGACCCTCAGGCCAAAGCGAGCGCGCCAGTAAAGCGCGACGAGAGGAGTCTAAGTCCGTATAGCCGGAGGCTTGCTATGGGTAGATGATGATGCTAGAAATAGACACCTCTCTTTCGTCAGACCAGGAAATCCCACAGTTTGTGCAACTATCTCCCATCGAATGAGCATCGACCTCTGAAGCGAACCATTGTTGGGGACAACACCTTCTCTGCGTTCGGGAAAATACTGCACACTGCATTTGAGTGGGGAAAGGCATCAGCACTCCGCAGTGGAAGTAAACGGAGCCGGCCAGACGTTGCACGAGGTAAGAGACGACAAGGAGGGCAATGAAGGCAATCGAATAGTAGAAAGGCAAAGCAGTACTCCCAACTGAACCATGCTGGACGGTGGGCTGTGTGGCATATCGTTCGCACCTTCTTCAATGACACCACTCTTCGTCCTCATCCTTCCGGAGTTTTGTCTCGCACAGGTACCTACTCTATGCAGCTGTTGGTAGCATGCGGCAAAAGGGCCGTTGTATAGGCCAGCGGCTTACCGTCAGGTTGGAGAAAGCAGAATCCTGAAACCGTTCGACCTCCAACATCGGAGAGCGCCCTCAACTCAGACTCGTCTGCAAACTTGCGAACTGCAACTGCTCCCGCCAATCTTGAGAAGCGCCTTGGCCGCATGAATAGCTCACAGAGGTTTTATGTGGGTAAATGTCGGCAATACCACGTGTCTTCGAATTTTGAGCTTGCTCATCGGGATCTCCGGAACGTTGGATTCACTGCAGATGTCCTCTCTACATCGCCACTCTTGATGTCGTAGCGCGTGGTGTCGGCACAACATTGTGGTGCATAGATGTGGAGAAGTTCGAGGAGTTTTCTGCCGACATGCTGTGGTGTGAACGAGCCATGAACATGAACCTGGCTCTATAATTCGGCATGGAGGCCGCTCATCCCGTTTGGCCGCTGTTGCTCCTGAGTCCATCGCGTCCAGTCCGTGGTGAGCGTTCAGCCAGGTGAGAAACTTCATCTCATTGCTAAATTTCGGTTTGGTGACCTGTAAAGCAATTCTTGTAACTCAGGCCTGAAAGATCCAACCACCAGGCAACGGCGCGAGTGTCTTGCGTGGGTGCCAACACGAGCACCTCACAAGGCATGCCCACAGTCACCGCCCCGAGTCTTGCGCTCCATGCTCATGGAAGGAGTGGGTAAAGGGCTCTCTGAGCCCCATAATTTCCGTTCTCGGGCATTGCTTTGATGGATCTGCTCTGCCTGAATTATGCCGTCGGGTACGGCCAGACCCATCTGCAGGTATCCATCATCATCAGGCGGACTCGCAACCGTAGCCTCCACGCCGAAGTACCGCAAGCTGGAATCCGTCGATGGTAGCGTAGCGTTCGGGATGGCCGTGTGAACGTAGCGATCCTGGAGGCCTCGAGTCACGCGTCTGTACCTTCGTAGCCCATGATACTGCTCGATGCACCAGTCAATATTCGGAGCGACAAGTGCAGTCCATCTGATCGACCAGCAGCAAGAGATAGTCCAGACCAGACCTCACGTCCTACTCCCACATCCCTCCGATCCAGAGCCCTACGATCTCCGGATGAAACGTGCCGAGCCAAGCACCATTCGAGCACGCCACCAGACGCCTTTGGAGTTTCTTCTCCATTTCAGAGTCGTCAACTTGCTTTCGATGCAGCAGAAACCAGTTTCTTCGACGCCTGACGCGCGAGAGCAATTTTTAATCACACTGTGTAGACGGAAGAAGGTATGATCGATCCGGTGTGCCTCCACCGTACCAAGATCAAGCTCACTGGTTTGAGTTTGAGGCTGGTGTGCTGACATCCAGTGTCTCCTCCGAGTGGCGTAAGAGAGGTATGGCGCCCCTTCGAGTCGACGTTTCGCCGGTGTCTTCGAGCCGAGGATTGGCCTGGCCGAATGGATATGCGGACCCAATGTCTGTCGATCCCATGGAGGGTTCCTCACGATACATACCTCGTAGCCCCCGGGAGGACCGAAGAATGACGCGAGCTCGTGGGATGGTAAGGTTGGCGTGGTCAAACTCTCTGCATATAAGGTTATGCTCTCCCATGCAGATCTGTAGCGCGAACTTTAGCCTCACTAGCCAAAGTCAGTGAGGCAAGTTGGACTGCTCACTTGGCAGTCAGCTTTGTCATGCTCCAACGAGGACGACAGGGTGATTGGAGGATGGCTTGCATACATGCGGAGAGAGCTAAAAGTAAACACCATGAGCTATTCAGTATGCCTATAGCTCGAGAAGTAGCTGCATCTACCAATCCTTGCTGCCCAGCTCGGTGGAAGGGTGCGACTGCGACTGACAAGCAAAGTTTCGTGGCAGAAGCTCTACGCTGCTCTTGGTCCTCCTCCGCGACCATGACGGTCCATTCTACCATGCCAATTCCCTCCTCGACCGGGTATGTTCGTGAGTAGGAAGTTGTGTCCGGCTCCAGGCTGGGCGGTGAGATAGGGCCGTCCGAATGAATCCCCAAGTAGAGCCTGGTCGTCCTCGATCACCGTGCCGTTGACCGCCTTGACGTAGCGGTGGAATAACTCTTTGCTGCCTGTGATTGGAGGAAAATCATGAGAGTTCTTGCGTTCGCTAACCCGCAGGCCAGTGAAGGTAAAGTCTTGCGCGGTGGTTCCGAAGGAGAATGACTTGGACGACGTCTCGTTGGCGAGATACGTCGCACTACCGTTCTGTGTTGTAGAAAGCCATGCGCCTTCAAAACGCGGATGAGGGGTCTTGTATTCAGTAGGTGAGAGAGATTCCAGACCTGTGGGAAAGACGGGCTGGCCAAGCGTCTTCACCTCCTTGCCACGGTTAACATTCGCGGTAATCGAGATGTTGTCGGCATATATTGCAAAGACAGAGAAAGCGTAGAGTGGATAGTCGTAGGTCTTCATGTAACCACTAGAAGAGATGTCGACACCATGCGTGTTCTGGTTGTTGATGTCGACGTTGGCCCCGTCTGAGAAGTTGCCAAAGTTGGAAAAAGACAGATCTTGCTGCCAAAATGCTGCCTCTCTTCCGTGTGATAGAGCTATCTCAGAGTGGAATGAGAGGCTCCGGTGGGCATTGACGTGGTACAACAGCGTTCCATTCGTACCGTTGGCCCCTCGGCGGATGGATGACGAAACATCAAATACGGGTGCCGGGGTATGCCTTGTCGGACCAGAACCGGTTGTGATGTGGCCCTCCTTGTCCAGCCACACGAACACCTTGCCAGTCACAAGCCAGTAGCTGTCTGTGGTCTCCGATAGCGATGCTTTGCCATGGCCGTCGTCATTGAGCCCAGATACTCTGATCGTGAAGTTGTGTGCCTTGCCGTCGCACAGAAGCGGAAGAAAGGGTGTGATGTCGATCTCGTCCTCTTTCAGGTCGAAGGCATCAATGCCGACGATGGGACGCCACAGCCCGGGCACCACTCCGCCAGTGAAGATGACTGGGAATGGCCACACAACGCCTGCGAGCATGCCGTCGATATAGAGCTGCACTTCGCGAAAAGCGGAGTAGCCGTATAGCTCGGTGCCATGGTAGGTGTCAATGTCGGACTGCAGGACATTGCTCCACCAGAACTACGGAGTTGATCAGCCTAGTCCGAAATGACGCTACAAGGCTCGCATCCTCTTACCTCCTCTTCGCTTTGGCCTGTTGCCGCGATAGTAAAGACGGCCTTTTTCACGTTCTGCGGCAAGGTGAGGACACTGGAAGCGGTGTTGGGTGGGACCGTGAAGACACTGGGCTTGCCCCGAGGCCCAAGACCGGCAGAGACAGGCAGAATAACATCTGCCGGGACAATCGAGTCGGAAGCCGTAAAGTATGAAGCTGTCAAGGTGACGTTGAAAGGGGCAGTGTAGACGTTGTTGATGAGGTTTCCCAAGTCGAAGATGATCTCTTGTTCCTTCTTGAAGAGTGACAGGTAGCTCGTCATGTCCTGTGTATCCTCGGATCAGTCTTGGACAGGCGGATTGTATTGGGCGTCTCTTGACCGACCTTCAGATACGTCCAACGAATCCCGTCGGGTGTTGGTTCGGCTGTACTGGTGCGGAATACTTCGACATCACCAAGGTAGACGATGCCTTTGCGGGGAAATGCTGTGGTCAGCGATGGACGAACAGCACAGATACTCTCTCAGCTGACTTACCGAGGCGATCGAATTGTTTACCAGCGGAAACCACAGTCAGGTTCCAGGTGACTCGATTGAAGGAACATGCTGGTGGCGTGTAATGTCCTACAAACGGCTGTCCGTAAGAGTTTGCAAAGGAGTATTCGACCTCCACGTGGGTGCGGGTATGGTTGGCACTGTCCACCACCTTGACTGCGGAATCGGAAGAGCCGTCGGTAATCTCCAGTGCCTTGTCAGGACTGACCGCAAGCACTGGAGGATAGACCTGGAACACCTCGAGCAAGGACTTGGGGATGTTTGGAGGTAACCTTGGGGCCGCGCGAGAGTTTGAGGGCCAGGGAAGTCCGCTATCGACGGTCGACCGCGGCAGGAAGGTGTTGTAGGAAACAAGCAAGAGGATGACAAGTGTGGTTCCTGTAAGCAGAGCTTGACCCATGCGCAAGCGGCGAGATCCCATAGACGGATGGGCACCTCTCACGCCTTCCCCCACGCTCGCTCGAGTCCTGCAGTTTTGCGAAGATCCGATCGGATCGGTCAGCTTCTCGCACGGGAGCGTAGCTTGGTCTCGGCTGCAGGGCGAGTGCCGACCACTGAGCATTTTTTCTTCCTTTCGGTACAAACGGTAAGGATCTTCTCCTGCTCGTGCCCAGCCAATCGCGCACCAACGCAGAAAGGGGACGAAGATGCCCCGCGAGATCAGCGCCTTGAAGCGGAGTGCTCAACAGTTGCGCGCCAGTACCGGTCTATGGCTTGCTCAGCGATGGGAGAGCCTTCAAAGCGTCTGATGTAGTAGTTGAAGACGGCGAACTCGTCCTTGGTGAGGACGTAAGTGCTCTGTTGCTCGTTCACCCGGTTCCAGATGTCGGTGATGGCGCCTTCCAGATAGTTGTTGACAGTGGGATCGAGTTCGCCTTCGGTGTTGCGGGCGATATCAATGGCTCTTTGGTAAGTCAGGTTACCTACGCCGTCAACGTTGGATGTGCTTTTGCTCATGATGTCGTCGTTGTTGTCGAAGGGTGACGATGAAGGTGGGCTTGGGTATGGGACAGACGGTGAGGAAGATGCAGTGTCTGTGTACATTGCAACGCTGCCTTGAAGTAGCCCAGTACAACGATACGTATGAGGTAAGACCGGTAGATGATGAAGGACCTGACACGTGAATGGGATGGAGGATGCTCACCCTAGGCCGTCGCACTTTATATGTTTCGCGATTCGCTCTATGTGCTCTCTCATCCCACCCAAGCCGCACTGGGGCGCGCAAGATTCGGCAGCCGGATGGCTTTGGTGGCCTGTGGAACGACCCAGCCCTGAGTGGCTGCAGACGTACGAAGGTTCGGAGCAAGATGAAGCCTGCGGTTAGCACGTTGCCGCCCAGAGAAGTAGAGCTTCAGAGCTACGTGTACTGCACGAGTCAAGATTAACCTCTGATTGATACTGACTCCTGGATGGATAAAACCACAAGACGGGTCTGATGCAATTAGCCGACAGCGAGAAGTACGAGAGTACCACGCTCGCTGTGGAACGGACACAGCAAATCAATGGGAGGGTCTTCTGAATGGCATCTCGTCTGTGTGATCGGTTTCACCCAGAGACAGCCTTCTCCGGCTGCAGCTCAAGTCCCGGCGTGGCCGGCAGTGGCGTCTTTGGTTCGGTGCTCTACCGGCCAGAGTTCGTGCAAAGTTTCGAAACGGCAGGGTTTCTTCTTCTCGTCTTCGACCCCCACATCTTCGCTGACGAGCCGCACCACATGGCAAACTCTCGCGTTTTTGAGTTTGATGTACCTAAATCGAGCCGAATCTGTGCCATCGATTTGGGCTACCACAAAGTATGCTGTGGCTTTGACGTCTATCACCGCGACTCGGCAGATACAATCATGGTCGGATGACGCCTAGAAGCGCAAGATACCGCCTCATTCAACCGTACTCCGTACACCAGCGGTTACTCTTGCCCTCGACAGACATACTATGCAGACGCCTACGGCGGAGCCCCGGGCTTCAACGCTCCGCCAAGGTACAGCCTCGGTGCCACACCTGTCCACAGGTACCGAGTACATGTATGTATGTGGCTCGCTTGGAAATTGGTTTTGATGGGAGATTGGATGCTGCATACTTTGTTAAGCGCGTTTAGCCGCCTTTGCGCGATAACAGCAGACAGTCCAGTGCGGGACTACCTTATACTCTGACAATTCGATGAGCCGCTATTGCCTCGGTATCCCTGGGCACGTTAGGTGGAGTTAGTCGTAAGCGCTGGGTGTGGAGAGTACTTGATGGCGGTGAAGGCCATCTCTCCACTTTCTCACTACGCCGAGCAGGACGGGATGTGGTGAACATCAGTCACGCGCTCCCTCGTCTGTGAGCTAGCGTGGAGGCGGCTTGAAGACCGATGTATTCCGGGCGGTGGCAGACCATGCAAGCTATCATGCTGATGGCCCCTCAAGCCCCCTCGTGCAACCGATGTCAGCCAAGGGGTCGGTCCACTCGCACGTGAAAGTTTCCAGGGGTTTCCCCGTTTCCAAAGGTCCAACTTCGGGCCCGTGGCTGGCAGAGCCATGGTTCAACCACGGCAGCTGAAACGGCGGGGTGGGTGTCATCAAGCTCTGGCGAAGATTCGAAGAACCCTACCGGCGATCAACCAAACCAAGTCAGCAACGTCGGGCTCGGAACAGACCGAAAGAGCTTGGCATTGTCGGATGATGCGCGTCTTCCAGAAATCTGGTCGATGCAGCATGCTGCATGCGCCTGACAACGTCACCTATTGAAAGAGTCTCTAATAACAATCTACCGACGGTGCTGAGATGCTGAGGAGTCGAGTCTTCCTAGCAGCACTTCGTAACTCGCCCTTACGACCTGGACCTACGCAAACACGGCTACCACTTCTCTCGCATACGCCACTGTCTGAAGCAGCCAGACCTTCAGTACGATCAATATCATCCGCCAAACTCCTACCAAAATCGCCAGCAGCTCGCGCACCGTTATGGAGAGTAAAGCCTCGACAGCGCATACGGCACGACTCCAGCAAAAGCTCCCCGCCCATACCGCAGGCGGGGATTAGACAGCCTCCTCAGTCAATACGAGAGCGGTTCAAGCAGCTTTCAAAGAAGTATGGCTGGGCAGCGGTCGGAGTATACTTTGGCTTGTCCTTGCTGGACTTTCCATTCTGCTTTCTGGCAGTGAGGTTGATCGGACCTGATCGGATAGGGGAAGCGGAGCACGCCATAGTCAACGGTTTCTGGAGTCTCGTTGGCATGGTGGTCCCGAGCATGTCTCCCACCGCTGAGCCTGCAGTGGAAGCTGTAGAAGCAGAGGCGAGGGAGAGCCGTGCGGTGGACATAGAAGGGCACAAGATCAAGGAGAACGCAAGTATGTGCTGCCTCATACTCCAATACACTTTTTTGCAATGCTGACCTGCTGAAGGCATCTGGACCCAGCTGCTGCTCGCTTACGGCGTGCACAAGTCCCTCATCTTCATTCGAGTCCCACTCACCGCTGCGGTCACCCCCAAGATCGTCAAGACGTTAAGAGGATGGGGCTGGAATATTGGGCCTCGAGTCAAACCTCCGAAGTCGAAGTGATCGACTCGCATTCCACGTGTACGATATTTCGCAGCACCCTACTTTGCATTTTGAGCGATTGGCGCACACCTAGAGGAGGCGGAGACACTCTACTTGAAATAATTAGATGTACAACATTCAGGTGGTCGTCTGACACCTATTCTATACACGCAATATCTCGCTATATGCCGTTGGGGCGTGTACATTTTGCAAGACGCCTTGCGCCACAGCTCTGCCCGCGCACGCTGCTGATTTACTGTAGAAGATTCTCTCAAGAACGGATTCCGCAGGCTTCCGGCTGCTCCTAGAGCCTGCTCAGGTTCTTGCAGCATCTGGGATCCACATGCTACGCTTTGCTGTACGACAAGTGGAAGCTCTGATGGGCGATTGATGATGATGTTGTTGATGAAAGGGCAAGATCGTGTCTGCGCTACGCCATCTTTGCACCCCTATCATCCTCATCGTACAGCCTCTCACTCTTCACCCACTCCGCTACTGTTGGCATCATAAGCTCCTGAACCTCATCCCACTTCTGCGCCTTCGCCATCCTTCGAATCTTTGTGCTGCTCACACCTACCCGCGGATTAGGAGGAATAAGCTCGACTTGCGAAGCCCACTCTCTCTTCGCGCCATCTTTCTCCATCTCGCCGTCTGCGAGCCTCTGCACATACGCTCGCTGCTCATCGACACTACCATACTCGTCGTCTGGCCGCAGAGTCACCCGAAGTCGATGGCCGGCGTCAAAATATGGATTCAGTGCGGAGAACGGCGGATCGAACTTCTGATAGTACTTTGCAGCGAAGAATCTCGTGAGGGTATCGAAGCCTACCAGATGGATGTGCTTTGGCTTCCCAGGGTACCACGTTTGGCCTTCTTTCTCGATGTAGGCTGACTTGTCGGTGTAGTATGGAACAGTCGTTACGCCGATATCGACAGGGACAGCATGATACTCGTCTGATTTCTGCTTGAGGCTTTCGAGCAGATCTCCTGCAAAGATCGACATCAAAGCCAGTCGTTGGTCGAATGAAGCTGCTGATGGTGCTTTGTCGGCATTCACCGTGGCGAATAGAAGGAGCAATCGGTACGGTCCCGGGAAGTTCTGGCAAGCGGTCTTCTTCAACGCGGACTGTGCGAGGATCTGGTGTGCTATCGAAGGCGGATTGAAGGAGGAGTCCAGGATGAAGATGGTCTTTGGAGCGTCATCGTTTCCTTTTGGTGACGACGGATTCTGCGGTTGTCTGGAAGACGGGTAGACAGTCTTGAAGATACGGAAATTCGATTGTGAGTTCTGGAAGTCTTTCAAAGCTGTTCCAAGTTCTGTCACCATAGGTCGGAATGCTGCTAGTCGAGATGTCATCTTGTCTTCGTTCATGTTGGCATAGCTATGTTTAAGATGGTCTGCCTTTTTGCCAAAATCACAGTTATTGGTTCTGAATCGCGCTTGATGGCCTGTCCTTCTTGAGATGAAGTGAAGACAGTCAACGCTATATAGAGCTCGGGCATATGAAGTGGAGTGAATGAGTGAATGCAGACACATCTGGAAGGTCGGCCGAAGGGTGGTTTTCTTGGCATGTCTAGGGCTTCACCTAGAGTCCGAAGACATCGGCCACCAGGATCACTACCAACACTTGACCGACACATCGAGTAGTAGCGCGACACCGCCGACAGCATGGCGACCGGCAAGGGACCCAAGGAGGTACTGCAGGCCGCCGCGAACCTCGCCTCCGTATCTGGCTTCAAGGTACACGGCCCGACGATGGCAACGATGGTCTTGCAAGCTAACGAATGCAGAAATACACGGTACAACCGACAGGCATCTGGGCAAGAATCAACCAATTCCTCGCCGTGGACCCCAAACGATCCACTGGCGTACCTATGAACCCGCACTACCGCAACCCCCCGCCCGCCGGCAACAAGCCACAAGACTACGACGACCCGACCACCGTGCCCGCCGCAGACATTGCAGACAACCCATACTGGAAACGCGATGTGCGAAGAAACTACCCGAAGCTATCAGTGGTGAACCAGCCGGATGTGGTTGCGCTGTTGAGCGTGGGCTCGGCCGCGAAGCCGAATGAAGAGGTGTTGCAGATCGGAGATGCGGGCAACAAGCAGTTGGTGGAGGTCAAGGAGGAGGGTGAGAGAGGGCTGAGTCAGTTTTTCGAGAAGCAGAAGGGCGCTTCAAAGGGGGTGCTTGCGGCGAATGGCATGCCTCCGATGCCTCCATCTCTGCATCCTCAGGATAAGCGGTATACGGTCATGGATGAGCAGCCATATCCTGATACGTGAGTCTTGCTGTTGAACATTTCAGATGCGCTTGTGTGCTAACATTCACCAGCTACCCTTGCCGAACGTTCATCTAGAGGTTGCGAAGGAGCGAACGATGTACATAGGGCTCACATGAATACAGTTCAAACGGCTGGTAGACTTCTCTTTCATTCATGTGTCGAGGTGCTGATAGGTAAGGCAAGGCCTTGGTATTTGTAGGGGTGCTTAGAGCTGTTGAGCCATGCGCTGCTTGCGACAGGCATGCCTTCAATGGCTGTTGCAGATGCGCGAGAAGGAATGTGCGCTATGCTCTCTGTCCTTCGGCGCTCTTCGCAATGATGAGAGAGCTCGCCATGTCGCGCGCAGGTTGCACCTTCCGATTCTGCCGGACACGCGTGAAAGCTTATTTTCACTTCACGTCTCCTATTTGCAACTTCAGCAACACACGCCGCAATACTGGGCTGAGAGGAGGTCATGGCGGAGGCAGCGCCTCACCCAAACACTGCCCGCGATGCAGTACCAATACAAGAGATCATCTTCAGCTGCGGCGTCTGCCAGGCCACCCCTTCCGAGGTCTACGCGACGGTGGAGAGCAACCATGGATTCCACAGTGGCTCTGGAGAAGACGATGGCATAGTCACGAAGATGTGGATAGCGGAATGCTCCCATGTGAGCTGCTCAAAGCACTTCGAGGATGGTGGTATGTGCCTGCGGTGAGTGACCGCGGTTTCAACACTGACACACGCACAGCCATTCCCTTCCATCCGCAAGACCAGGCTCCTAAAGCACTGTGCCCAACGTGCATCGAGGACAACGGCGACAAACGACCGAAGGAGCTGTACAGCCTGCGCGGCGTAGAACAAGGTCAGTATGATTCCGCCATACCCATCGAGTGGTTTCAATGCCCACCAATGAAACTCGATACGAGTGTGCCTGGAATGAGCGCTGTCCGGGTATGTAGGTTGCTGGCCGTGCGAACGCTAATCAACGCTGATACGCTTGTCCAGTTTCAATATGTGGCTCTGTCGCATTACGCACGCAAAGCGAGGATACATTGGAAGCAGGCAGAGAGCAAGCTATATGCATCCGAGAAAGCTCACTCGCAAGAGCGGAAGGTCAGACGGTTAGCCCAGGCAAATGTCGCAAAGTTGGAAGAACGAGTGCAGGTGCTTGAGCAATCGGAGCGGCAGCTACAGAAGTGGGAGGGGCGGAAGCCCATGATCAGTCATTATCTGGATCGGATGGGCGATATGGCGAAGTACTATACATCTCTCCACCTGTTTGATGGATGCGCTCGCTGACCGGCAGCAGAGAGCTCCGCATCCTTCGAGGGCAGCTCCGCCATCTGGGCTACGACGTCCCGGAACCTCAGTATACCTTCGAGCCATATTCTGGCGCTGATGAGAAGCACCCTCGCGAGCAACACCCTGCTGGAAACGACCTGCCCCCGGCACAACCAGGCGCTTCGCCCACGATCCGACCTCCAGTTCGGCAGGCAATCGAGCTCGAAAACTCTTCCTCAGCGCGGAAACGGAAACGTGAGCATTTCGACGACGTGCAGTCCCTTCCTCAGCGAGCGGATGTCCATCGACCTCGTGGGTCCAGTCGCGATCTCATGCCACCTCCGCTTCCTAGACTGAACGCCGTACGACCGGCGGTTCCTGCTGGTCCTGGAAGCCACGAGCCTCCAGCGTCCCGACTTTCCACCTTTGGCCGTGCTATGCCAGCTCCTCGGAACACCGAATCAGCCGTCTATCCCAGCATCCGAGATCATGGCGAGCATAACCAGGCTACGATGCATGCGCCACAGTCCTTCCACACATCTCGCCCGTGGCAATCTGAAGAAAGCAATGCGCGCCGACCTTTGGACCGGGAGTCTGACATTATTCACCATCCCAAGGAGAATGGTATGGGAGCTCAGGGTCAGATACATGGCGTACAGCCATTCTCAAGACTATCCATCAACTCCCCGCCACGACCACAATATCGCTTCAGCGGCCAAGATGGACGGGGCTATGACTTGACTGCTCACGGCGACATTGGACGAGAAGACCAGAATCCGCAACCTTTCCACCACAATCCGGCGTACAGAAATCGTGTGCCAAAACACAGTTACGACTATTCGCGCGATGGAGTACCGAGCGCTGAGCGCCCATCAGTTCGAGCAACACCTTCCCCACGCAAGAGGCACATAGAAGCCCGTCCAGCAAACTCGGTCATCAGTCCTTTCTTCAAGCGTGGGTCGACAGCAGTCCGCGCGCAGCCTTTCCAACGCCCGCCAGCAGGAGCACGATTTGCCAGACCAGTCGATGAGTTGCCTAGCGATGCTGCTGCAGGATATTATTCGGCGGGTATCAGCGCTTTCAGTAACCCACGATTCGATCGTCCGCCAACAGAGAGAGTGGGCCGGCCACCGTCCAACGACCGCCTATATCGCTCTTACGAACGGCCGGCTGCTGCGGATCTTGTCCGTGGGAATCTGCATGTCCCTCCACCGCCCAGCAATGCTCGTGCCCAGCAAGGTTTGCAGAGGTTTTTACACCGCCCTGAAGTTCCATCGCCACGGGCACCGATGGCACCTCCAGTACAGCGGAACCAGCAACGCATCTTGCTCCCACCCTCCAACTATCGTCCAATACAGTCAACTGCCGGGCAAGACTACGCATTGTCTCAAATCCACGGCGTTCGTGGAGTTGGCTCACAGCGGGGCGTTGCTCGTCCTCTCGAACCCATGCTCGGCTCTTCTCGCGACCTCTTTTCTGCTGCTGGTGCGAGACGGAGTGTGAGGCGGTGACGCTGCACTCAGCACACGCAGCGACGTCTCCGTGAGCCAGCCTGTATCCGAAAGGAACGACAAGCGATCTCTACAAACCTTTTCGATAGCTACAAAGATAATCTTGCTTGATATATATATATATATCATCAATTCCCCACCACCACCTCCAACTATACACACCCCCCATCCGCCCTCTCCCCTCCCAAACAACAAGTACATCAAAGCCTCACCCTCGCCCCAATCCCCCCACCCTCAAACCAAACCCCCTCCCTCCACTCCCCCAACCGCACCCCCACCTCCGCCCTCGCCCCCAACTTCAAAGTCCCCCCCAACGCGTTCTTCACCGCCTCATACCCCACGCTGCCCAGACTCCACTCTACAGGCAACCGGGGGCTCTGCACGCCGTTCCCCTCGCTGTCGACCGGTGGAACCGCGAAGGGGATGGAATATTGAATGTGCCCGACGCTGTCGCCGTGGTAGTAGGCCGTGGCGTCGAGGTTCTCGATGATGAGGGTGCTGTGGCGGAGCGGGGAGAGGAGGGTGAAGGTCGCGGTGGAGGTGAGAAGATGCATGGTGGCGTCGGAGATGAAGTGCATTTTCCCATCGTCCTCCTCGTCGCCGTCTCCCGGGGAGGAGGAGCCATGGTGCGGCACACCCAACCTCGGCGCCCGGACCTCTGCTCCAAACCGGCCGAGCACTTTGCCCCAGCCCGGTAGAGTCGGGATCGAACCCTCGTGCATCTTGATCGTGACGGTCGTGTTCCAGCCGGAGATGTACTGGCTCAGCATCTCCCTGCCCACCTTCTTCCCCTCCTCGCCGCCCAGCGTCAGAGGATCGTACGTCGCTTCTACTAAAATGTTGGAGTTATTCCCCGGCACGATCGTGGTATCCCGTAACGTAGCATTGGCGAGTAAAGAGTTGTTCTTCATGATATGCAGGTCCAGATACGGTATCGTCGCGGTATAAGGGGTTGGGTTCGTGAGGTTCAGCAGAGCGGTCAAGGTGAGCGAGGACGGAGTGGTGGAGAGGATGTGGAGGTCGACGATCTTGGGGTTGAGTGCGCCACCGATCGAGACCGTGTCGTTGGATGTGGAGTTGGACGGAGCGCCGTGGGAGGGTGGAGAAGGCGAGGAGGAGATGGCTAGGGAGAAAGGACGGGTTTTAGCCTATCTATTCATTTCTATTTGTACAACGCCTGCCAACCCTCGCCCGCACGTATGCGGACTGAAGGATGGTAAAAGGCGAGAGGAGATCAAGAAGACCTACGCTTAACAGGCACCTCCCCCTCGGCCGGAATCCTCCTGACCTTGAACTCCCCCAGCGCCGTCTCGACCTCTACATCCACATCGGCCTTGATCTGCATCACGACGCCTTTGTCGCCAAACACCATGTCCTGGATCACGTCCGCAAACACGTCGTTGTCCGTGATGTTCAGCGGGGCTTTGTCGACTATGCTCTCGACCATTAAGCCTGGTCCTTCTTTCTTTGTGCCTTCTACTCGTGTGGAGTTCGCAGGCTGCCAGCGGTGGAGGTCCAAGTTGCCGAGTTTCTTGTGCTTGTAGTAAACATCTGCATCGGCTCGCACGCGGTTGGCGGAGATGTTGAAGTTCATTTCTTCCGGCAGAGCGACCAGAGCCTGCACCTTGGCTGAGATCCTGGGCTGCGACTCTGGTGCGTCCGGATCGGCGAAGGGATCGGGAAGGCTGAAGTGCGTGTCTGCGAGTGTGAAGTTGCGGATGAGATGCCCCATGCTCTTGCCTGGAAGAGGGACAGGAACGACGATGTCGCGGATCAGTTCAGTGATCCAGCTAGGCGTGTCTTTAGAAGGCGACTTCGAACCGCGGACGTAGATGGTGTTCTCCTTGCCACGCATGTAGTTGCCGAGAAGGGTGTCGAGGGGTGACTTGTCGGAGTCCGGGCAGTCCTGTGTCAGGACATCTGGCAGCTTTCGCACCATACCCGTGACGTCCAACTCCACCTCTCGCTTCGGTCGAACGTGCGTCTCGTCCGTCTTCGCGTTTGCAACATGGATGTAGGGATCGCTATCCACACACCCATCAACCAACACCTCAAACCCCAGTCCGGGCACCTCGAAATCAATTGGGTAATCGTTCATCGCGCTCAGCCTAACATCCGCCTCCATCCCCTCCTCGTCGCCCTCCGCCTCATGGACATTGATCTTCCTAATATCATACTCCGGCACAGCCGGCACATCACCCTCCTCAAACACCACCTCCTCCCTCAACTTCTGCGTCCCAAACCCAAAAATCCCACTCTTCACCGGCACACTCGCCTTTCCCAACACCCTCATCCTCCCCAACCTCCCTTCCACCCAATCCCCCGCGACCCTCCTCAAACCCTCCTTCTGCCCCGGCTCCACCTGCGCCAGCACATCCACAGCAGTCGTGTGCCCGTTCCGCAGATCCACCACGACCTTCGGCACCTTGGCCGTCCCCAACACCACGTTCCCGTACTCTGGCAGACTGATCTCGACCTCGCTCTCCCCGCTCTCTGCGTACCGCGCCACCCACGTTCCAAACCGCCCTAAATCCCTCACGGCCTTCTTATGCACCCTCCTCGCATCGAGGGTGAAATCTCCCTGCACCCTCGCCCTTACTCCCGACCCGGTAAACTCATCCACGCTCAGACTCCGCGGCGTGAACACAGCGGCTTCTTTCGCGTACTGCTCGACGATATTCGGCGCGAAGAACGCAAACACCATAATCAACACGACGACCAGACACAGCACCGCTAGCGCGAGGAGGGAGGGCCATCGCTGACGCCATGACTTGTGCTTTTTGGGGGAAGAGGTGGAGGAGTCGGAGAGGGTGCGGCGGAGGAGAGACTCGGCGCTGCGTTCGCGGTGGGGTTGGGATTGGTCGGGGGCGGTGGGCGGGTCGGAGGGAGGGAGGAGCGGGGAGGTTTCGGTGGCGTCTTCTTGCTCTTCTTCGCGGTCCATTGGGTCCTGGTCGTGGGTATCTCGTGAGGTTGCCATGATGGCGGCGGTGATGACGTAACTGCGCAATTCAGGCGGTGGAGGTGGTTATCAGTTTCGCGAACAGCGCGGTGATGGGGATATCGCTAGGTCATTGAAACAGAGAGGTAGACGAGAGGCGAGAATGCTGGTGCCTGAGGGAGTGTGAAGTGTAAAGAGGAGTGGTGTCGCATCCTGCTGCGAATGCCTGTCGACTGCGCCCGCTGACGTTTCGGGACAAGCGTCATGGCTGATAAGCAGCCGCTCACGTGGAGACACCACAGACCTGCAAGAGAGATCCATTCTCGTATCGTCTGAAATAGCTATATCACAGCGCAAGGAATGTCCGCCAGTTGACAACCTACCATGCTACGAACAATCGCTTATTCGAACAAGCAGCCTGCAAGCACCTGTCCATTGAAACAATCCTCCCGTCCCCTGCTCTGCATCCTGAAAAGCCGCCCTGCCGCCCTCCCAACAAAACACGACCACGCTTTTGAAAAAGACTCACGTACCTGGTGGCGGCGGTGGGGGCGGAGGGGCCTCACTTGCTCCAGGAGGAGGTGGTACAGCATTGTATCCACCGTTCTGCTGCTGTGGGCTTCCAGCGTACCCGCCTGCTTGCTGACCACCGGCCGGGACTGCGCCAGTCTGAGCGTAGTAGCTCATGATGTACGCGTACCCTCCATACGGCTTGTACGGGTCTTCGTCGGGGTTCTGGGCGTAGTAGGCGGTCCATGCTGCGATTTGGGTACTGTCCATTGCCGGCGCAGGGGCCGTCGGGGATTGGGCGCCGCCAGCTGGAGCTCCGTATGCTGGTTGCTGTTGGTATGGAGTGCCGCCGTAGCTGCCGCCGTAGCCGCTCATGTCTTGTTGAGGGTTGCCGCCGTAAGAGCCCGAGCCGTTGCGATCCTGGTTGTAGCCTCCTTGGTAGCCGCCGTTACTACCACTACGCTGGTTGTCGAAGCCGCCGCGATGATCCGGTCCAGCACTGCGAGGCGGGCGCTGCTTGAACGACTCGTAGTTTTCGCGCACTGAATCAAGGAGTTGTAAGCACATTTCCTTGGCCTTCTCAACCATCGTCGCATCCGGGCTCCTGTGACTTATCATTAGCACCTGCATCCCTGCAATATGTGCTCAGTGTCAAAGAAGACTACTCACGCAACATGCAAGTACATCTGCTCGTCGCTCTCCCTCTGTGTATCGTGCTCCATGAATCCACTGCCTCTGCCCTTGATTTGGACCCTGCAGCCCGTCTCGCTCTGGATGTACTTCACGTAAGTTCCACCCTGGCCCACTACCTGCGCGCGGAGGTTGAAGCCCGGAATCGGTTCGAGGTCGACGGGGATGCGCTCCTCTGGCCACTTGCGGCGACCAAGGTGGTCGCGCTCGACTTGCTCGGGTTCGCGCTGGCGGCGGAAGCGGCGCTCGTCGATGAGGTTGGGGAGGTCCTTCTGCATGAGCTCGTCGATCTCTTTGATCGCCATCTCGAGGCCCTCTTTGGTTCGGCTCGTAACGTGAAGGTACAAGGGCGGGTTCTGCAGCAAATGTTAGCGTCGAGTATGACAGCCCTGGAGTGCAGGTCGGCGTGGTGTAAACGTACGGCTGGAGTGGCCATGCTCTTGTCCGGGTAGTAGTTTCCGCGGGTCGTGACATCTTTACACACGTGAGCAATTCGTCCCTAAACGAGTGGTTTGCACTAAAGGCGGAGGGAGGAAGTCGTACCAGCGCCAGTTTTTTCTTTAATCTAGATAGCACATGTGAGGTCAGCTGATGTCAATCGGGTGGCTTGCCGTCGGAGGCTGTAGTGAGGGTCAAAAGTGAGCCAAATCTGTTCTCTAACAATTCGTTTTTACAACAAACCCATGTAGATGTAGATGATGGCTGGGTGTATCAGTGGGACATGCAAAAGGGTGTGATATTTACCATCTTCTGTGTGCTGCCTTTGGTGAGGGTGTAGCGGTTGCGCAGGTCGTTGACCTCAATATCTTTGATGAAGTCACCGTCTTGAGTGTAGCCGTCTTCTTGAGGACCGCCAGGCTGTGAGGGAGACTTGGCTGCGCCTACGCCTGCGCCTGGGGACTCGGTCTGTGGTAGCATGTCAGCATAATATATACATGTGAGTGGTGGTTCAGCGCATACCTTGCGAATGGGTGGAACGTCGACCTGCTGCGCGCCCTTCTTCGCATTGATGGAAGCATTGATCTTGGCTGCCGCCGCCGCCGCAGCAGCTGCCGCATCCCTCTTGTTCGTGCTGGGGCTCTCGACGCTCTTCGCGATTGGGCTGCGAGAGCGACGAGCCTCGGTGTCCTTGGATGAGGGGGATCGCGAGCGGCGGTCGAAGCGAGACTTGCGCGCGGGTTCAGGCTCGTCTTGGTCGAAGCGCGACCTCTTGCGCGGCTCGTCCGACATGGCGACGATAGTGCTATCGGGTGAGTCTGTAGGGTGGGGGGGAGGTTGCGGTGGTGGAGAGAGGAAGATCGAAGTAAAGGTCGGACTCGATCGAAGAAAGCTCGACATTAAGCTAGCGCGCGCCAAGCCCGCTCGGCTGTCGGAGTTTAGCCCCAGGAAGTGAAGATTGAAGTCTGGAGCTCGACTCATCTTCTCAAACACTCCAATTCTTCTGCATGTGAACGAAGCCATTGACCTACAACGCACACTTCAATCACATTCACGACTGCGATACCTGGACTGTCCGCCAACATGGCCACCAAACGCGCCCTCCGCGCCCTCCACACCACCCTCTCCACCCCCCAATCCGCCCTCCCTAGAACAACCTCTCTCACAATAAGAACAACCCTGCACCCGACACGACAATCCAGCACAACCGCCCCCTCAGCCTACAAAGCCGTCCACCGCCGCATCTCCCCGCTCCCTTCAGCCCACACCTCCGCCCCCGTCTCCCCCGCCGCAGCCGTCAGCAACATCCTCTATGAAACCCCTCTCCCCTCCTCCGCGCCTCGCGCCCGGCATATCCTCAATTGCCTCGTGCAGAACGAGCCGGGCGTCTTGTCCCGCGTTTCAGGGATTCTCGCCGCGAGGGGCTTCAACATCGACTCACTCGTTGTTTGCAGCACCGAGGTCGCGGATCTGAGTCGTATGACGATCGTCTTACAAGGACAGGACGGGGTGGTGGAGCAGGCGCGACGGCAGTTGGAGGATCTGGTGCCGGTGTGGGCGGTGCTGGATTACACGGCTGCTCCCTTGGTGCAGCGGGAGCTGCTGCTGGCGAAGATCAGCACCCTGGGACCGGAGTACTTCGACGAATTGCTTGCGCATCACCGGGAGATGACGGGCGCGGAGACGATGGCGCAGGGAGCCGAAGACATGACGCCAGAGCAGCTGGCGGAGGCGAGGGAGGGCGAGGGAAACCAGGCGATGCAGACTCCGGATTTCCATCCAAGCAATCTGGCGCCGTCTGAGGCTTTGAGACTGAAGCACCAGCATTTGGAGACGATTACGCATCTGGCGCATCAGTTTGGTGGGAAGGTGTTGGATATCAGTACGAATAACTGTATCGTGGAAGTGTCGGCGAAGCCTAGCAGGATTGACAGCTTCATGAAGCTCATTGCGCCGTTTGGGATTCTGGAGAGCGCGAGGACGGGTGAGTGCTGCAGACTTGCCAGCTCGTTATTTATCTGTGTAGAGGTATATGCTAATCTATGCTGTCCAGGTCTCATGGCTCTTCCACGATCACCCTTACACGCTCCCGCAGAACTGGCGCAGGAGGCGGAAGATGTCGTGGACCACAGCTCTCTACCGCCAAGCTAGGGGCAGGGTGGTCTTCCTTTCCCCGTTGCGACTCTTCGGCTTATCTTCCACGCCATTACTGTATTAGACACCAGGCTCCAGGGCATCCCTTTTGGCAGCGTGTGGTGTTCGGCGTCGCACATCTCTTCGCTCGGCGGATGGCGCATGGCACCAGGCAGAATGAATGTACAGTTAGCCCCAGTCGAAACCAACAACCTTTCGAACCACTTTTCTGTTTCCCTTCTTCCACCTTCACCGAATCACCCCCTTATTAACCACGAACCCCTCCAGCGCCCCGACAGCGGCCCACAACCTATTCTCCGCCTCCTGAAACACCAAGCTCGCCGGACTATAGAACACCTCATCGCTCACCTCCTCCGGATGTCGGGGCAAGCAATGCATGAACTTCCACCCCTCCCTCGCCCCGCCCCTCTCCACCAACTCTTTCGTAATCTGAAACCCCGCAAACGCCTTCATCTTCTCCGCCTTCTCCGCCTCCTGGCCCATCGAGATCCAGGTGTCCGTCACTACGATATCGGCGTTCTTCAGCGCTTCCTCGGGTACATTTGTCTCCGTCAAGAACGCTGATGATGAAGTCGGCGAAGCGGACGTAATAACCTCCCGCATATGACCCGGAATCCCATACCCCCTCGGCGTAGCCACACTCAACGTCACGCCCAGCTTCGCCGCGCCAATGGCAAGATCATACAGCACATTATTCGCATCTCCCACCCAGGCAATCTTCAACCCTTCCAACCCCAGCCCTCCGCCTTCCCCCGCGCCTTCTTTCGGAAACGCCTCGTGAATCGTAAGGAAATCCGCAATCGTCTGCAGCGGGTGAAACGCATCGCTCAGCGCATTAATTACCGGCACACTGCTATGCTTCGCCAGCTGCGCGACGTCCTCGTGTCCATTCACGCGCGCCACGATCGCGGATACCATTGAGGAGATCACCACGGAGGTATCGTACAGCGACTCGTTCACGCCTAGCTGTATATCCCCCGCACCAAGGAACATCGGATGTCCACCCATGCTCGCTACAGCGGCTTCGGTGGACACCCGCGTCCGTGTAGAGCGTTTGGCGAACATGACTGCGATCGTCTGGCCGAGGAGGGAGGAGGCGAGGGGCGAGGGAGCGCCGGATTTGGAGAGGGTTTTGTGTTTGCGCGAGGAGGTGATGAGGGCGGTGAGTTCGGAGGGGGTGAGGTCGGCGATGCTGAGGAGGTGGCGCGGGGCGAAGGGGGAGGTTTGGGGGGTTGAGGGGGTGCTTGTGGTATTGTGTCGGTACTGCTGGAGGTTGTGTGGGAGGCATCGAGGTTGTTGTTTGTGGAGGGCGCGGAGGCAGGCTGTGGAGGGGCGGAGGAGGCGGGTGGTTGCCATTGTTGGTGGTGCTGATGTAGCTGATCGAAGGGTAGGCAGGGCAGGGTAGTGTTCGTTGGTGACAATGGCTTTGTGAAATTGTTGTGAGTAATGTTTTGGCGGTGACGCAGAAGCTTTCCACACCTTCCCCATTCGGTGGATGTGGGGTGATGTGGGGAAAGCTCGTGCGCAGCGCATGGGTCCCTGGAGACGTCCCCGCTCCATCCGACACTCCATCGTCACACTCGAACAACATCAGTACGACAAAGAGTCCCACCCGTAGTCATATTGGTTCGCCGGCTTACAAGAAAGCGACCCCAGCGCTGTACTTGCCTTACAGCCATCATATACCAGATTCGATCACAACAGAGCACGGAAGAACACTCAAACCCTGAACGATGCACTACTCCCGACGATCCTCCAACCTCCACATGTTAGGCCCGGGGTATAAATGACACCATGACCCGCTGGTCTCGCACTCTGTACCTCGCCCTCTTCTTCCTCCAGGCATTCCTCATCATGCGAGTTTTCCTCTACCTCTCCGCTGCCGTGACGGCTCTACCGCCGGTTCTCGCTGTATCCTCAACGGTACATCTTAACTACACTTCTTACCGCGGGACAGCATTGAAGAACGGCGTTACCCAATGGCTTGGTGTCAGGTACGCGGCACCTCCATTAGGCGACTTGAGGTTTCGGGAGCCGCAGCCGCCACTGGCTGAGGACGGTGTGGTTGACGCGGATGCGTACAAGCCGATTTGTCTTGGTACCGCCGCTGGACCGCCGACGAACGAGAGTGCTGAGGATTGTTTGTACATGAACATCTTTGCGCCGAGCAGTGCGAAGAAGGGTTCGAAGCTGCCGGTGTACTTCTTCATCCAGGGAGGAGGCTTCAATACCAACAGTAATGCGAATTACAATGGTTCTGGACTGGTGATGGCGAGTGATATGAACATTGTTGTTGTGAACTTCAATTACAGAGGTAAAAAGTATTGAGAACGTTGAATTTTGCCTTGCTAATGGTTCATTACAGTCGGCCCTTACGGCTTCCTGGCCGGCGAAGAAGTCCTTGCAGACGGCGGCATCAACAACGGCCTGAAAGACCAGCGACTCGCACTCCAATGGGTCCAGCAGTACATCTCCCTATTCGGCGGCGATCCCGGCCACGTCACCATGGGCGGCGACAGTGCTGGAGCTCAGTCTGTCAATCTCCAAGTCACAGCCTACGGAGGGCGAGACGACGGGCTCTTCCACGCGACAGCCGCAGAATCTCAATCCTTCTCAGGTCTCCGCACAGTCAAAGAGAACCAATTCGCCTACGACAATCTGGTCATCCGCACGGGCTGCACGCGCGCTGTAGACACCCTCTCCTGCCTGCGAAACCTAACCGCCACCGAGCTGCAAGAACAAAACTTCAACACGCCCTTCCCCGGAGCCCAAGACCCACCACTATACATGTACGGTCCCACACTCGATTACAACTTCATCACAGACTACACCTACCGCGCCTACGCCCAAGGCAAATTCGTCAAAGTCCCGGTAAGCCCCTACCCCACCCCACCCCTTCCCCCCACCACCACCCACTAAGAAACGAACCCAGGCCATCGGCGGCGACGACACAAACGAAGGCACCATCTTCGTCCCCATGACCACCGCCAACCTCAGCGACACCGACACCTTCCTGCAGTCCCAATGGCCCTCCTTCACGCTCTCCCAGCTGCGCACCTGGAACTCCCTCTACCCCATCGCCGGCACGCCCTCCTTCCCGGACTCCGGACGCGCGTGGCGTGAAGCGAGCAAGGGGTACGGCGAAACGCGGTATATCTGCCCGGGAATCTTTATCTCCGGCGCGCAGGCGAATTGCAGCGTGCCGAATTGGAATTACCGTTGGAATGTCATTGATCCGCCTGCGGCGAAGGAGGGGTATGGCGTCTCCCACACCATCGAGGTGAACGCCATCTGGGGCCCGGAGAACACCAACGGCGGAGCTCCCGACTCCTATATGCGCGGCGGTGTGAACTACCCCATCGTGTCCGTGGTGCAGGGATACTGGACCAGCTTTATCAGAAGCTACAACCCGAACACGCATCGCGTGAAGGGAAGTCCGGAGTGGCAGCGCTGGACGAAAGGGGAGGGGTATTGGAACCGGTTGGAGTTTCGGACGAATGCGACGGGGATGGAGAAGGTGCCCCGGGACCAGAGGGAGAGGTGCGCGTATTTGAGGAGTATTGGGGTGGAGTTGAAGCAGTGATGCGTGTAGTTTGTACAGTGTATAGACAAAACGGTGTTCAGAACATGGCACCAAGTGTATCCTGCCCTGCCTGCCTGACCGATCGCCTTGCTCAAGCACAAGCGCACGTTAAGTACCATTACCGCTCATCACATCATCCCACCCTCCCAACCAAATTCCCACCCGGCCCCCCGGGGAGAGGACGACATCACCCCAACACCCAAGCAAGCAACCCCCCACTCCCCACCACCTCCCCCGTCACCACCGCCACCACCACGGCAAAACTCCCCCAACTTCCCCCCTCCCTCCGCATAACAGGCACGCACCCAATCACCGCCAGCGCCAACCCACACGCCACGGCGAAAATAATGCCCACGTCCACTTCGGCGACAAACTTGTGTTTGGAGGTGGTGGCGAGGATGTAGGCGACGAGCAGGATGGAGAGGGAGGCGAAGAAGCAGATGCCGGTGACTTGGGGGAGGAATGGCGGCCCTTCGTTGTGGTGTTGTGAAGGCCAGCCGGGAAGGGGGCGAGGGAGCGTGCCGTAGGTTGCTGCTGGCGCGGTGTCTTCTTCGTCGGAGGTGTCGTCGTCGTTTAGTGGGGTGGAGGGGGATGGCAGTAAAGATTCCTCTTCTTCTGCGGATGAGCGGCCGAAGAACCCGCCGAGTCTGTCGAGGAGGCGGTCGAGGGTGGACTTTTCGTTGGGGTCGATGTAGAGGACGTAGGCGTCGGAGGTGTTCTCGCCGTCGGAGGGGTTGTCGTACTCGGACCAGTATTTCTGCTGCTCTGCAGCGCGTTGTGCGTAGGTGCGTCGGCGTTTCTTGCGGAAGGAGCGCAGGGGTGGGGTGGAGAGGTCTGTTTGCACTACCGAGGAGGAGGGGCGGGAGGTTTCGACAGCTGTGGTGCTGTCGGTCAGGCCGCGGATGGAGTTGGTGGAGACCGTGCCTTGGGTGGCTGATTGCGAGCCAGAGCCTCCTTCTGCTTTGGTTCCGTTACGCTTGAAGGCGGGTGGTGGAAGCTTGCGGATATCCTGCGAGAGCATCGGAATCCAGAATGGAGGTGACATGTTCTTTGGTCGGCACGTCTGCCATAGTGCGTGATACTGGAGAGAAAAGCCGCGAACGCGCTCGACGAGGTGGCTGGAGTCCAGCATGGCGAGAAGATTATTAGTCGTGGATCCTTCTTTGCGTACTTGAAGCACAGCGAACGGGAGTTGCGATGCTTCGTTATCGGGCTTGCCGTTGGTGATACGCTGCATCGAAATGGACGAGTCGAGCGTCGCAAGCGTGAGCGACTGTGAGCCATCGTTCACCCCAGCGAACCTGCAGCGACAGCTCGATATCTTGTACAACGGTCGCACCGCAGCATCCTTGAGGAGCTCTTTGCGCACCGCAAGCAGAGCGTCGCTATCTTTATCCTCTGCTTGCTTCGGCATGGAGCCGTCTCGGTCGAAGAACGAATCGATCTGTTTCCTCTTGAGCATTGCCGTCTTGGTCTTGTGTGCCCCGGAACGCATAGAAACCATCGCATCCTCCGCCTCATTCCAGTGAAGCAAGGCCTTAGCCATTTGTGGAGGAGCGCCTGAAGCGTGCTCGCGCTGATTCACGGTTAGTCTGCTCTGGTCTTGCGCAAAGCGAGCTTGGTCGTCGGCGACAAGCATGGAGTAGTCCGCATCTTGGCCCTCGGTATTAGCTGACGGCCTTCGAGGCGTGGCCGGCGTCACTGGTGTCGCCGTCGAGTTTGAGCGACTCCTCGAGGTGTAGTACCGCATATACTGGAGTAGTGAGATTTGCAGCTCCACCACATTCTCCGTGTGGACGAAGTAGTTCGCCACCTCTCCCTCCTCACCCAGAGGCACAGTCGCGATAGCCGTGTCGAACTCCACTCGCGAGCCATTGCGCAGAGCCCCCCGCAACCGATCCACAGAAGATGGTCCAGGAGAAGCAGGGGCTTCCTTAAAGCCCTTCCTCGCCGCCGCCCGCTGTAAGCTAGTCTCATACAAACTCCGAATATCCTGCAGCGTCACCGAATACTCATCTAGCAAAGGCCCCAGGTCCAGTTTCGTAAAGCTCTTCGGATCATCGAGCACTTCATCTCGAAAGCGCGCCTCAAGACCAGAGGAGCCGGTCCATTTCTTGTACTTCTTCAGCAGCTTGCGGAAAGCTGTGCGCTGAGTACCCGTGAAGCGCGCGAGACTTCTAATCTCGTCGCCGGCTTTGAGCACGTCGTTTTCAAGCTTGCCGTAGCGCTCTAGACGGCCGATGGGTACGCGGTGTTCGGCGGCGGATATTCTCCGGGTGGAGAGCTGGATTAGCTGTTTCTTTGCATGGTCTGTATATAATCAGTATCACACATCCTTTCGTAGAACATATTGCTTAGAACATACCCAATCGCCTCCTGATCTCCCCAGCCTTACTCCTCACAAACAAATCAATCCGCTCATGCTGATCCGCGAGAACAGCAAAAAGCGTATTCTCAAGCTCAACGAGTTTCTCATCGCCCTGGCCCGGTATCGAGATCGACTTGCCCGAGCCAGGCGACGTCCTTTCTTTGATCAAATGCTTGACATCGTCATAATCGATATTGTCTGTTCCCACAGACATCAGCATACACTGTGGATAAGGAGATACGGAAGGGCTCCACGGCCACCCGGAGCGTGCCGACGTGACCGCGAAAGCCATTGGAAAGAACCTACGATGGCTCCAAGCAGGTATGCTCCTCTGCCGGAGAGTCTCTCCGTATTTCATCGCTCGTGATTGATGTTATTGATATTCTGTTCATTACGGGGAGAATAGCAATGTAGAAAGACCGTTGAGGCGGGTGGATGGGCGGAGGCGGAGGTGGAGGTGAAGTCAGATTGGCATTGGCATTGAATCGTTTCCAGGTTCAGATGGCTGGGACCTGGTCTAGTGCCGGCAAATTGAAAAGACTCTGTCGGAGCAAGAACCGTTATCTCGTGGGAAAAGACTGCTTGTGATAAGAAGTGGCATAAAAACATCTCATATTCATGAACAGCTTCTGCTTCCAGCTGTGATGGAGTTCTAAGGCGACGAAGTTTCTGTGCCCTCGCGAACATTGAAGTTTTGGTGAACTTGAACGCAGCCACCAAGCCACTAGCTCGCCACGCTCGCAGCAGGGCAATGCGCGGATAATCCTGGAAGTTGGCGACTACAAGCTTGGGTCACGCTGAGCATGCAGGAGTGAGAAAGACTGCTAAGCCAGAAAAGAAAGACGCTGAACGGTGGCAAAAGATATCTTCTTCAAGCTCATCTCATCAACCGCTCAAAAGCTCTCCAAACTCCGTCCAGCCTCCACCTCCTGCTTCCACATCTTCCTCTCCTCCTCCGCGTTCACCCCCGGCCCAGCATAAGTACTCCCATACTCATTCCCCGTCGCCCAATCCTTGCCCTCTCCCTCCTTGCTCTCCTTAGTCGCTCGTCTCCTATACCACCGTCCATAAACAAGCAGATAATACAGCCGCCAAGCCAGAAACGTAAACTTGTCCCTCTCCAAATCATGCGGATACTCCGCGCCCAGATCCACCGCAGCACTAATTCCAGACATCACCGCCACTTCATGCGCGTTCACCATCGTCCACGAGGCGGCGAAGCGCGTGTGTCGCTTCCCTTGTAACAGCCACATCCATGGCACGACGAACAGGTAGTGCGTGAAGCTGTGGCAGAGCTGGTGCCACCAGTCCTTGCGAATGATCTTGCTCTCGTCAATCTCGTCGATGGTCCAGAGGTGGCCGTCGCGCTCTTTGTTGAGGAAGATGGTCTGGAAGACGTGCTTTTCGAATGGCACGGAGGGCGGGAATTGGGACTGGTAGTTGGTGCAGTCGAAGCACATTTCGAGTTTTGTGAGGTCCTTGGGGTACATCCGGATGAGGTACATGGCTTTGAAGTTATCTTTGGCGAATTCGTTGCGTTTGGACATATCGACGCCGTTGAGTTCGTCGACGGCGTATTCTTCGCTCCAGAAGTTCTCGTAGTGGCGTTTCATGTAGTCCGTGTCTTGGTGGGTGACGGTGATGTCGTTGGCGAACTTTGCGGAGCCCAGCACACGCTTCTCCATGCCGGATATGGAGGGTGCGAGGAGGCGTTTGGCAGTGTCTGTGAGGACACAGAGGACGATCTCATCGTACTCCTCAACCACCTCCTTAGCATCGGCGTCCCGATCAGTCTTCGTTCCGTCTTCGGTAGCCCAAGCTGAGTTGGGATTGTGAGAGTCTGCGGCTGGAGTTCGCTGGATGACCTTGACAGCAACGCCCTTCTTGTCTCGCCTGATAACACCAGTCACCTCCGTCGATAGACGAACGTTGACGCCTCGCTTGATCAAGTTCTTCCGCCAGGTTTCGTAAAACTCGCTGAAGTTTGGAAAGACGACCATAGGCGGTTGATTAGAAGCAATGCTGTTCTTGTCCGGTGGATTCCACATGCCGTACGTCGGACTCGTGCACAGCCTCTCCAGCATCATAGTTGGTACTTCAGGAGCATAGTTTCCAGTCCCCAGGAACAGCGCGACCATCGGCAGCGCCACCACGTTCGCAAACTCATCGCTAAACCGGAACATCTTGACCAGATACTTGATCGGCAGAAGAGCGAAGAAGATTTCGAAAAATCGGACGATCTTCAGCATGTAGTAAAACCTCCGGATCTCCTTTGCGTGCTTCTTCAGCATCTGCGTAGGAAAGACGTTGGTCCAGAAGTGCTCCCCCTTGCCGAATGAGACCTGGAGCTTCACTGGATCCGCGAAGTAGCCTTGTCGGGCAAACATGGTCAAGGTGTGGTGGAAGATGTAGGAGCCGCCTTGGACACCTTGGTTCAGCCACGATGCGCCGGTCTTCTCCTTGTCGACGGGGATGCTGAAGGCCTGGCCACCGCAGTAGTCGACAGCGTCGACCAGAGTTACGTCGAATTTATCTGGGTGGTCGGCTAGGTGGTGTGCGCAGGACATGCCTATCTCCTCAATTAACAATTACTCATTTAGTATCATTCATTTGAAGACTTACCCGCTGCACCAGCACCTACAATCAGCACCTTCTTGCGCTTCTGGTCCTCCACGCTTTTGCCCATGTTGTAGCGGGCCTGTGATCCGTTTGACTCCAGCAATGGCCTCGTTCCGTCTGGCATGGCAATCGCCTAAGGGATATCGAGTGCAATCCTACGCATCAAGGCGACGCAGAAGGCGAATGACCAGAGATATACCGCCCTCCCTCTCGCAATCTTCGCGTCACCAAAGGACAAACGATGCAGCTAGCATCGCCAATCTAGCCGTCATCGGGGAATGGCCCAAGCGTTTTGAGATCGGGAGCATAAGCGAGAGATTAGGTTGTCGATCACTTAGATCTGTGAGATCCTGGCAAGAACACCTCGCTTCCATCTCTTCTTTAGACATTATTTTGCTTCCACTGACTTGCCAGAGCCCTTGTTCGAGGAGACCTTCTCACCCAGGACGGATCTATTGCATTTCGGCGACAGTACATCAACGATGAAGTGGCGACGATGGCACGCGACTCTGGACCAAGGCTCTGTTCGTTATGAGAACCACTTGTGACATGAGATCGCTTCCTTGTGATGGCAGGTCCTTGTATCTCAGTCCTAGGAACAGAGGTTCTCATGAGTTGCAGCTATATCCTTGCCGGTATGCCAACGAGGTTCCCTATGACTCCCTTCCACGAAACCGCCTGTCCACGACCAGTATAGGCCGTCGAACACCGGCTACATCCCTTTCCGCAACTGCATGAACGCCTCCAGAACGTCCCTGGGTTCCTCAACCAGCTTCGCCCTTGCGAGCCCAGCCTCGTGCAGTTCGCGGACTGCCCGAGCCTCCTCGTCATCTTCAGAGACCTCCATACTATGCGGGACAGCAATATAGGTACCGTTCACTTCGGTCTCAAGTCCTGGAACGACGAACGACAACCTTCCCTTCTGAACAGCTTGGGTGGGTCGTTCCTATAAGAAAGGACGTCAGCAGATCTGCAACTTCTGTCCAGAGCCTGTCCCTCGAGAACCTTACCTCTCGTGTGAACTTTCATACCCCCAAACCCTTCATGCTCCCCATCACCCTGAGAACTAAAGACCGCCGCGCCACTACCCTCCGAATCCGTAGCATTCATCACGAGCCCGCTCAAGCGCCGCAAATCCCCCAGACGCAAGTCTTCGGCATCAAACTGGAAGATCATCGCATGATCCGTGGGCGTCGTTGTGCGTTTGTCGATCAGCGCAATAGCGAGCCCGACTGCGGCGCCGATGTCGATGGGTGCGCTCAGCGCCGCGAGTACCAAGAGGGGCGGCAGAAAGGACATTGTGGCGGATTTGGGAGCGGTGGTGACGAGCTTGGAATGTGTGCGTTGGGAACTGGACTGTGATGTTCCTGTAATGTTCCTGTGATTTTGTGTCCCAGCCCGTCGATCTCAGCAGTGCCCCCACTCCAGCCGGGAATATTGACATGTGGGTTTTGTTATCTTGGTTGGGCGTTTCTTACCATTGCAACGTCCTGAGTGGATGAGCTGAAGTCTTTTCATTGCGGACAGTTAACTTGGCAAAGTGATTGAGCGAATAGTCCTCTATCCATTCATCATCTATGGCGACTGGCGGAGTATTGGCTCAACTTCTTTCAGGAGCATGATTAGAGCAGCCAGATTCGGTCTTTGCCACGTGCGTCTTTGGTTCCCACCTTGTTCATCCGTCCGTAGTTCCACCTCAACGTCAACGCGATCAGTCCAGTAGCGAAGGAGCAAGCTGCGCAAACGTAATTGCCAGTAGGATATCCAGTTTCTGCCTCGCTCGGTCGCCAGATCCACTGGGCGATAATCTGGCTTACGCCTGCCATGCTGTTGTTCACTGTCACCTCATCGTCAGCAAGCCGCCTGACTCCCTCTTCACCTTTCAATCGGATAGGATGGTGTACTCACTAGCAGTAGCGATAGCCATAGTAGTAAACGCCGGCACATTGCACGTCACCCACGCACTCAGCGGCCCCGAGCTCGGAAACGCCCCACAAGCGCACAGAAACAACATCCCGTACCTCTGCGCATATGCATCTTCTGGCAAAGACCCAGCAACGACCCATCCAATGCCTCCAAGCATGGAGGAGATGAAGATGTGCAGCCCGCGGGCGTTGTGGCGGTCCGCAGACCAGCCGAGGAAGAGGGAGACGAAGTAGCCGAGCACCCAGGGCGGAACGGTCATGAGTTGGGCTTTGATGCTGTCGAAGCCCAAGCCGGTCACGATGGTGGGGGTGAAGAAGGTGAGGGAGCCGAGGGGGACGCAGTCGGTTAGGTAGGCTAGGTAGTGGAGGAGCATGCCTAGAATACCCTGTGTCACTAGATATCGAAGAGCGGGGTTCGGGTGCCAGGTATGGACTCACGAGGAGAGCAGACAGTTTCCCAGACTTCGTGCTTCGTAGCGTGTTCTTTCGTATAACCACCACCTTTCACTGCGATCCGGCCTTCCACATACGCCTTGTCGTCCTCGCTCAAGAATTTCGCTCGAGCAGGATAGTCAGGCAGGAAGAAGATGACCAGCGCCACCGAGGCCACAGTGATGAGTCCTTCGATGATGAACAGCCAGCGGAAACCTTCGAGTCCAGCGTTGCCATTGAGATGACCGACCCCGTACGCAATACAGCCGCCAAAGGCTCCGGAAGCGGTCGCTGAAGCCAGAACAACGGCGATGCGGACCGAGCGTTCTTCGACCGGATACCACATCGCAATCAAATAAACTATTCCTTTACGCACGTAAGAAGAACTCGTCAGCAGAAGTCTTAGACAACGAGCCAGGAGCCGGCCTCATTGGAATCAGGAAGGCCGTATAGGGTTGTTCTGCGCGTGACAGAACGATGTAGATGAGGGATAGAGTTCTCGTCACGAGGCACTTACCAGGGAAGAAGCCGGCTTCGAAGACACCTTAGGACTGTCAGCCATCGTTGTAGCGCAGAGGAAAAGAGACCATACCAATGAAGAACCGCAGCACAACAACAGTAGTGTAGTTCTGCACGCCCGCAAATCCAATCGTAAACACCCCCCAACACCCCAGCAGCGTCCCCAACCAAATCGAAGGGCGAACATATCGTTTCATGATCCCTGCACCACCATCATGAGTATGAGCTTCCATCCCGTTTCCATCCTCCTTAACCCTTCAGAAATTAGGTTGGGTACGTACAATTACTCGGAACCTCGAACAAGAAATACGCCAACGAGAACAAGCTCACCGCCACCGCGTACCCGCTCGCCGTCGTGCCGGTCTGGTCCAGCAGGTCGTCGTTCGTCTCTTCGTTCAACACCTTAGAGTTCCCAATATTGCCTCTATCGAGGTAGTTCAGAAGATAGATCCAGGCGCAGAGCGGTAGGATATGCAAGTCCATGCGGCGGACTAGACGGCGAGAGCGCTGTCTGTCTTCGACGAAGCCCGCGCCTTCGAGAGTGACGTGCTCGACTTGTTGTTCGCCAGGGCGGTCGTTTTGGGAGGACTTCTCGCTGGGCGTGTCTGGGGTGGGGTCGTGTTTTTCCATGATAGCGATTGACCGTGAGTATTTAGGCGGAGGGAGATGAGTAAGGAGAAAGTACGAGACGTTAGAGACCACCTTCGGCCAATACAGCAAGGAAAAGTTGAATGAAGAGGTGAAGAAACCCACAGACCGTCCCAGAAAAAAAGACATCCTGTGCATCGCCCATGTCGATGATTACCCCCATCAAGCAAGCCCCGAAGCTCCAAACCCCCGGACCACATGGCCTTGTCCTACTGTCCTGTGTGGAGAATCTGTGGAGTTGGTATGCCGAAGAGAACAAATGAAGTCGAAGAAGTCGTCGGAGGAAGAGCACGAGATCGGCAAGAAAAATCTACTGGGGCAAGTCGGGCGGCTGGTATTGCCGGAGTGGAGGGGTGTGGGGGTTGTTCTCCGACGACGATCGAGCAGGTTCAGCGAGGAGTGTGTTAGAGCGGAGCAACGTGAAGGAGATAGGAGAGGGGAGGAAGAAGGGTGTGAGCCACTGTTGAGCTGGGCATAAACACTACATACACTTGACAGTATCAACACTTTCACTGTGAAGAAGCAACCTCCAACTCTCCCTCATCCGGATTCTCAGACCGCCAATGACCGAGCAGCACCCACCCTCCGCGCAGGCACGACCTCAATCTCATCCCCCTCATCCTCGTCCTCACTCTCCTCCCCCAACACCCCAGCCATGCTAACCACGTGCCCACCCTTTCCCCCACCCGCGCGGCCCTTCCCCGTTCCCATGGAGGGCTCATCAACCATATCGAGCGCCTGCAGCTTCGCCAACCTATTCTGCTCATCCATCGCCCTATTCTTCTGCTTCAACCGTGCAGACTTGTCCGTATCCGGTGCAAACGTCACGCTCTTCCCCGCCGTCCCACGCGCAGGGTGGTTGACAGCAGCGAACCCCGGGGCGTCCACGACTTCGTCGACATCCATCCACTCCCCATTCGCAGCATCATCGATCGCGCCTATCGTCACATCATCGAGCTCCATATCCCCCTCCGCATCAGCGTCGAGATCAATAGTTGTCGGCGGAGGCCTCACGCTCGGCCGCTTCCCCGCAGTCAGACTACTCTCGACCAAACTAGCAGATTTCCTCGATCTACCAACAAGACCATTCGCCTTCTTCGGGCGAGAAGAGCGGTCTTGATTCGTGCGATCGCGATATTCCGATGGCAGCTCGTCGGGGAACTCCTCCTCGGCATCGTCGCCGCGGCGTTGGAGGTAGTTCGGCAGACTACGGCGGTCTTTCGGTTTGCGGACGGCAGACGAGCCGGCGCGGGAGGCGGAGACGAGGATGAAGTCGTTGTCTGCGACGCCTTCGTCGTCGCTGCCGATGTCGACTTCCTCGTAGTCGACGTTGGGCGCGTTGCGGCCTTTGCGGTGAGCACCGCCGCCGCCGCCGCCGACTTTCTTCTGGGAAGTGTATTGCCGGTAGTTGTCGTCCTTTTCCACGGGGATGAGAGCTTTGCGCTGCCCGCCGACTACTACGTGGCCGCTTTGTTGGCGTTGCTGGTAGTATGCACGGGTATCTTTGGTCTTCTTGGGCTGGATGTCGCTCTTCAGCACCATCTCGCCGTCGTCTGCCTCTGTGGCTTCGGGTGCTGGTTGTGGCACGCCGTCATCCACTCCGCCATCCGCATCGGCTTCATCGCCGGCGGTCAGTGCAGCCTTGGCCGCTTGCTGTGCCATGATCTGAGCCAGCTTCTCACGAGGAATGAGTAGCCGCACCACCCTACGCTTCCCTCGAAGCGCAGCTGAGAGCATGATGAAGCGACCCTCCGCTTTCGCCTTGTCGAGCGCCTTCCGCTCCTTCTCCTTCTCGAACTGCCGCTGTGCCTCGTTTTTCGCCTTCGAAGCCGAGCTCGGCGCCATGCCATCAGCCAGGTCAAGACTGCGGAAGCCAGCAGCGGTCATTCTGGGTTTCTTCGACTTTGGACCTTTCGTCATGGCGATGTCTTCTCCTTCGGCGTCCTCTTCATCAGCCGGCCGCGACCGCTTGAAAGGCCTGAGACCGCCAACAAGCTCTTCGCTGCCGTCTCGCATGGGCTCGACACTCGTCGGGCGAGCAAAGCCAGGGTAGTTGTACGCGCCATTCGCTTCGTCAGGCTGAGGATACATGTTCGCCGGTGGTGGGACGTAGCCAGCGTGGCTGACAGGCGCATACCCGTCAGGTGCCTCGCCTGAATCTGAAGCTCTAGGCGCGCGTCCTGGCGTTGGCGCCTTGTTCGCCTGCTGCAGTCTGAGGGCGAAAGACTCGTCGTCTTCGTAGCCGTTATTTCCGGTAAGTGCAGGATCGATCGGTGGTGCCTCGGTCTCGATGTCTTCCATCTCCATCTGTGTCTCATCGACGCGGCTCTCGTCAACATTGTCCGCCTCCACATCCTCGTCTTCGAGTGTTGGGTCCGTCTCTTTGGCCTTCTGAGCCTCGAGTTGAGCTCTCTGCAGCCTCTTGCTCTGTGCGCGATTTGCCGGATCGTCCTCCTTCAGCCAATTGAGGTTGCTGACCGAGAAGTCCACCAAAGCTTCAACACTCCTGGCGTCTGCAACCTGCTTCGTGTCGTGGCCCAACAACGTGCCCTTCGGCTCATAAGGATTCATCTTCCCAGACGTCTTGCAAGCACCTGCAAAACAGATGCCAAGACAATGCGGACACTCCCAATCCTTGTCTTCCATGATCTCGATAGGCATCTTGTCCCAGCCCCTAAATAGCGAACCATAGCACCACCTCCGTTCACATTTTGTGCACTGCGCCATCTTCCAGTTCGGGTGGCGATGGCAGCAGACATGGCAAGGGCTGTTGTTGTTCAGCCAAGCTTTCGACCGCTTCTTCTGGGTTTTCTTGACGTTGCCGTTGTCGTCGACGATAATCTCCTCTTCCTCTTCGGCATCGCTCTTGGGCTCGCTGGAGGACTTGTGGACGTCCTTCCACGGTCTCTGCTTGAGCTGTTCTTTGCAAACTTGCGCGAGAGTCGTCTTGCCTAGCCGCTTCCGCTCTTCGTTGATCGGCAATGGAGTCTTGTCTGTGACCTGTCCGCCATCAAAGGCGATGATGAGCTTGCGCCACGTCTCATACTTGGCCGCCAGCTCTTTCCAACGGAACTGCTCCGCCCATTTCAGATTGCTGATGCAGGCGCAGCTGCGACCCATGGCATAGCAGTCCATGCAGACATCGTACGGGTCGCCTTCTCCGTCGCCGGTGTGGTGGCCAAGTACATCTTTGCAGGACGGACACGTCAGGAAGCGGTTGAAGATGTTCCCGCGGCAGTAAGCGCAAGTCACGTTTCCATCGAAGGGCAGATACTCGACCTGCTTTGGTGGGGCCTCGTCGGGGTTGAACATCTCGGAGAGGAGTATTTGTCTATAGAGGTTGAAAAGGCGCTTGAAGTCCTTGGCCAGTTGTTTGATCTTGGGGCTTGTCAAGAGCTGATGTGCGGCTTCCTGGTTGGGCATGCGAGACGCTTGAGTCTGCGCTAGTGTGAGCAGCCCACTGTACTTCTGCAGGGCGTAGTAGATGATGGCTTTGTTCTTGTATTGCTCGTCACGGCACACGATCCTGCTGCGTGGTAAGGCTTCGTTGAGTGCCATTTCAAGCGTCTCCACGGTCGTCCTATTCCAAGCCACCTTCATCGTTCTCGTTCCACGGTTCCAGACTTGATGCGGCGCGAGCGGGGGAATGAGGATGAAGTCTCCAGGGCGTTGCTCGACGACATATGTGTGGAAGGGCGCTTTCTTCCATGCCACAACCTGCGCGAAGTGGTTCTCAACTTCGATGTCATGGCCAAGCACACTCAACCAGTATTCAGACACCATGTGCCGTTCTTTCGACTCAGTCATGAACCAGATAGATGACCCAGGCTTCTCGGCTTTGCCGTCATCGTTCACTGTGTTACTCGCCTCCACCATGATATTCTGGCCAAGAGAAGCGCACATCTCGCGATGAGAAGGCGTGTATGTCCCTTCGTGTCCGATGTAGCACATCAAATTCTCCGCACGCATGTCCGGTGGTAGCGAGCTCATCAAGTCCCCTGCTCTTGCGATGCCCTTCCCCAGCCTCCGTCCTGACACGTTGCTTTCTGGCACTGCACCGGGTCCCCCAACATCGCCAGTGCTCTCGTTCAAGTAGTAGAGCATGCTCGGGATATGCTCTCTCAGCTTGTCCTGCCAGACAGGCGGGCAATCGATGTCCTTCAAGTACACCCTCTGTCTCTTCGGCTCTTTGTATGCGCCTGGCTTGCCGAAGAATTGGTTCGTGAGCATGCCCATGTTCGAGAGGTAATGCGCCATAGTCAATGGGAGGTTGTCCTTGCTCGTCAGGTTGCGCGAGTTCTCTTGCTTGTCCCCGCAATTGGACTCGAGCCATTTCGGGGTGAAGGTCCAGGGATCCAGGCGGTCCTCGAAGCCGTCGATGACCAGCGGCTTGCCTCCCACGATCACGTGGAGCAGTACGAGCTTCTCGAAGGCGGGCAGACCTTGCTGGTCGATCATATCAACACTGATGCGATCGACATAGCTGAACTTCTCCGTCGATTCCACGAGCGCTTTGAGGTCGAAGTCGGGGGAAATGGGCTCGAAGGAGGCGCGTGGCCGTGTCGCCGGCATCGCCACGGGGTTGTCTGTCTCGCGCGACAGCTGTGGTGGGCGGTATGCGAGGTGTTCGCGGTGTTCGAGGTATTGCTGGTTTCAACTCGCGGAGCAGATGCGCGACAAGTGCCGCTCATTTCGTCGCATAATATTGCCGTCGCGCTCTTATCCTTCGACTGCCGCCCAGACGAGCGCCCTCTGCACTCCTGCGCGACAGCTTCACGTGAAAGTGATATGAGTCGGAAGTGTTGTCGCGAAAGCGGCGGAGGCAGGTGCCCGCGAGTCAAAGTCCCGAGCTAGTGTGTGGCACGTGCACTCGGCGGTATAGCAACACAACTTCCAACCTCCTTCCTCTTTCGCGAAGAATGCCCAAATACGACAGTCATCAAGAGAAGCAAATTCTCGGTTCAACGTAAGTCAGACAGCCATACCACACTACTAGCACATGTTGAGGTAAGTTTTAGTTCCTGCTTCTCCATATCGTACATCCACCATGGCTTCACTCCCTCTATGCGTCTTTCCAACTCGCGGTCTTCAGTCGTCCTTTGCAAAGACCTCTAGACAACTGCAATGCATTCGTACTCAGCGTCTGAGCATGCCAGGCGGCGGCAACATCAAGCGGCAGGCGAAACAACCACCCTGGCGTATGCCTTCCACGCTCTCCCAGACTCGACACCATGCTACGCAATTACGAAAAGACCCGCCAGTTGCAAATGAAATAACGCGTCCGAGTCTTGCAGAAGCTCGTTCGCGTGCGCAAGCAGCCTACCAGCCTCCGACAACCGGCCTCATATCATACCTCCCATCCCGAATACTACCATACGCCGAGCTCATCCGTCTGGACAAACCGACAGGAACCTACTACCTCTACTTCCCCTGCCTCTTCAGCACTCTACTTGCTGCTCCTCTCACAAACCCTGTGACATCACCCTTGACAGTCCTGACCACCAGCGCCCTCTTCTTCGCCGGAGCGCTTGTCATGCGCGGCGCGGGCTGCACAGTCAACGATCTCTGGGACCGCAATCTGGACCCGTATGTCGCGCGCACCCGCTTACGCCCAATCGCTAGAGGAGCTATCACAGTCGAGCAAGCAGTGCCATTCCTCGGTTTCCAGCTGCTCACCGGTCTTGCGATCCTGCTGCAGTTTCCGACGCAATGCCTCTTCTACGGCATACCATCACTAATCCTCGTGGCAACCTACCCTCTGGCCAAACGAGTGACGAACTATCCACAGTTCGTACTGGGACTAACGTTCTCATGGGGCGCTATCATGGGATTCCCTGCCCTTGGCATTGATCTCCTTTCCAACACCTCATCCCTCATCTCGGCAGCTTGTCTTTACGGCTCCTGTATAGCCTGGACGGTGGTCTACGACATGATCTACGCCTACCAGGACATCCAAGATGACGTCGCCGCCGGTATCAAAAGCATAGCGCTGGCGCAGGAGAAGAACGCAAAAGCCTTCCTGAGTGCAGTAGCATGCGTGCAAGTCGCGGCGTTGGGAGCAGCGGGTTTTGCTGTGGGTGCAGGTCCGGTGTTCTATCTCGGCGCTTGCGGGGGTGCTGCTGCGACTGTGGGCTGGATGGTTGCTAAGGTCAACCTGAAGAGCGTCCCGGACTGCTGGAGGTGGTTCAAGAAGGGTGCGTGGTTCACTGGTGGTGCAGTATCACTGGGTCTGGCTGGCGAGTACCTGGCCGTGTACTTCGACTTGTATCCAGCAGACACCACCAAGTCTGACTTGGAAGTACACTCGGATAGGTGAAGAACAAACCATTTCTAAACCAACATCTACACGCAAGCCTTGTTTACGAAAATCGATACTCTCAGCGACCTAGCTTGCTGTACTGAGATTACGACAGCTGCTCAACACTACACCATTGCGTTGTGTCGACCGCGCTTGACTCTTGGACGCCCCACTTGTGCAACTAGCTTGAAAACTCTACTTCACAAACACATTGTGTTCTACATAGCCGCATCAGCAAAATACAAAGAAAGACAAAAACTGCCACGATGTCGAGACCAGACTACACGAGAACGTCTTCTACCAACCTCGGGGCCCGTGGAGGGTCTCGGGTGCTTGAAGGCAAATTGGCCATTGTTTGTATCACCCAATGCTCCGAAAGAACGTTGCTAACACCACAATTCGCAGATCACAGGAGCATCAAGGGGTTCGATATAAGCACAGCCGTCCACAACCACTCACGCAACTAACGAGGACCTCCTCCAACCAGGCATCGGCGCAGCAACCTCCCACAACCTCGCCTCCAAAGGCTGCTCCCTCGTCCTAAACTACACCTCCGACAGCTCAGCCCAACTCACCTGCGACCTCGCCACCACCCTCTCCCGCACCCACGGCGTGAAATGCATCACCGTGCAAGCCGACATGGGCACCGAAACCGGCCCCGCCCACATCATCACCACCACTCGCAACAACTTCGCCCACCCTAAGTCGGGCAAGCTCCAACTCGACATCATCGTCAACAACGCCGGCGTCGCGGGCAAAACTGCCATCGAAGACTGCACCGCTGAGGAATTCGCACGTCTCTACAACGTCAACGTCCGCGGCCCGCTGTTCCTCGTCAAAGCCACGCTGCCCTACCTCCCTACCGACCGGAGCGGCCGTATCGTCAATCTCAGCAGCGTAAGCGCCTCCCTCGGCTTCCACGAAGACGGGATGTACGGGGGTACCAAAGCCGCTTTGGAAGCGATGACGCGGACGTGGGCGCGGGAGTTGAGCGAGCGCTGCACGGTGAACGCTGTCAACCCGGGGCCGGTGGCGACGGACATGTATGCTGCCGCGCCGAAGGAGTTCCAGGCGGGGATGGCGGGATGGACGCGGAATACGCCGTTGGCGGCGATTAGGAAGGGGGTTGATCGCGAGGATTTGGTGGAGAATGCTGAGTTGGCTGGGGGGAGGCCGGTGAGTTGTGTGCTGTGCGAGAAGGGATGAGATGATCGCTAATGTGGTTGTAGGCCTACGATGCTGATGTAGCGGGAGTGGTAGCGATGCTGTGTACGCCGGATAGTGCCTGGTGCACGGGATCGGTCATCTGTGCCAATGGTGGTATGAAGTTCTCTGTGTGAAGTTGCTATGAGTTGCTTCTTCGAGCCGCTATGAATACAGAAGTCATTAGACATTATGCTATTCTTCCAGCGTAGCAATACAGCTCTCAAGTACAATGCAACAATGCCAGCCTTCTCCCCCCCTTCCCCAATATGCCACTCTTAATACCTCTTCACCCCAATGAGCACACTCCGCCCCAAAAATATCGATGCCGGGTCGCGACGCTCAGAAAGCAACACCCTTCCCTGTCCCACCCGCAGTTCCCACCAACTTCTTCTCCTCCCCCCTCTCCCTCTCCTTTACCAACTCAACCAACTCCCCCGTACTCCCCCGCTCAAACCCCGCCTCCTTTCCCCCCTTCACCGAAATCAACGAAATACTCCTGAAATGCCCTTTCCGATCATCAATAACCGTCACGGACGGGAAACGCCGGATCGTCGCGTTCGGATCCGTCTGTTTCGGCTGCTCGGGGGAGCGGGCTTTGACCGGTTTCAACGCTGGAGGGGGCATGGAGGAGGAGCGGGAGGGGTCGGCGGGGGGGCGCAGGGTGGTGTCGTGGGAGGATGAGGAGGGGCGGGTGAGGCATTGGCGGTAGATGTCGGACCAGAGTTCGGCTTTTGAAGGGGTGGTGGGCTTCACTTCTATCTCTGTCGGGTCATGCGATGCTCCGTCGAGCTTTAAGCCTGCGTCGGTAGTGACGCTGCCACCACCAGGCGTCGGTCCCTCGTCCTCCAGATCGTCCATCGGTCCAATCGCCATAGTATCCCTGCGCTTCGCACTATCTTGGCTGCGATCACGGGGGACCTCGAACAGACTGATCTCGCGGAAGGGACTCTCCCTTCCAGTGGACTCGCGATCGCTCGAGTGGTGGCGCCAACGGTGATGCTTGAACTTGTCCTCTTCGGCGCGGACGTACTGCTTCAGCTTGCCTTCTTCCTTCTTGATCTTGTCTTCTTCCGCGCGGACGTAGTCTTTCAGCTTGCCCTCTTCTTTCTTGACGAAGCCTTCGACCAGGTCCTCTTCGCGGCGCACGAAAGTCTCGAGTTTCTCTTCTTCTTCGTGGACGTACTCTTCGACTTTGTCTTCTTCTTCCCTGACAAGTTCACGAAGCTTGTCGGCATCCTCCCTGGCATGTTCCTTGAAGCGGCCGAGAGCGCCTGAGTGCTTGTGGTGAGGATGCACGACCGGCTCAGCAGCCAACTGGGGTGGCAACAATTCCAGCTCCGGATACTCCAGCCTTCCACCCAAAGTCACGGACGTTCTGCGGTTCTGCCCAACACTGCTCGACGAGAACAAGTTGGAGTAGTAGCGCACGATACTGCTGAACGTCATGGACCGGCTCTTTGGCAGGGGGGCCTTCGAGCGCTTCGCCTTGTTCGTGCGCTTGCTGCCAGGACTGACGGTCTGCTCGGCCTCTGTCTCATCAGTCTCATGGATATCGGCGTGGTCGACATCGACCGCAAAGTCGCGCGTGATGACATTGTCAGGACGTCCGGCTGAAGCACAACGCTCGCCTCTGTTGTGAGAAGGGTAGCGTGACCAGGACTCTAGAGAAGTGCCGATTCTCTTCTTGCCCAAGCGCAAGCTTGACGATCCGCTCCCTCGTGGTCCTGCCCTCGAGGCTCCAGCAGTGCTGCTGACGCCGGAGGAGGCATACGTTGCTGCACTAGGAACAGCGAGGTGCGTGCTGCTCACGCTCCTACCCGCAAGACCGGCTTCACGATCATTGCCGAGAGGATCCAAGAGCTCGCTGCGAGTATCCGGCGTCGGCACACCAGAGCTGAATGGCGAGGACTTGAACACCGGCACCGTCTGTGACGGGTTCAACGACTCGCGCTGCTTGCTCGCCGACCGAAAGAGCGCCTTCTCCTGCTGGTGCTTCTCCAGCGCTTGAGCCATGAGTGGGTTGGCATCGTCCTTCAACGGACGAGCCCTGCTGATTCGGCGTCTGATGCCCACTGAGTCCCGATGGTCATCTTTCTCCACTTCCATCGCGCTTTGCAGGTTGATGACTGATGGGCGGCGGCGGTCATCGCCAATCACGGAAAGGTTGCGTTCGTAGTCTGCGTGTGTTGGACGTCGTTGAAGTCCGGTCGAGATGGGGAGTTGGCTCAGCGTATCTGCGTCTTCGTTGGCCGCAGCGCCGAAGTCGATCATGCTCACGGATCTGGTTGAGCGAGATGGACGCTCGTCAAGTTCGTACTGCACTGTCAGTAAAGCTGGATCCTCCGACTGCCCATCGTAAGTCTTGAGGTTTTCGTGGCCTGCATTCTTCGCCGGACTGATCTTGTCGTCATCAGTCGTTGCCACGCCCATCTGTGCCTCCGGCGTATCCAAATCGCCGTCCATCTCAGACATAGTAAAAGTACTCGGAGCATGCTGTTGCTTGCGACTACCTGGACGCAAGAACTTGAAAATAGACCGACGCTTCTTCACAGTCTTCCTCACCGGCTGATCGTCCTTGCACGCATATGCTAGAGCTGAGTAAAGAAGCCTTGGAGGCACTCTGAAGTGATGTTCTGGCGGCGAAGACCATCTCACAGACCTGTCTCCAGCGCTGTTGGCTGCTGTGTGGAAGGATGCTGTGCCAGAGTCCTTGCGGTTCTCGCCGGGTGTGGATGGTAATGGTTTGTCGCGATAGGCGCTACCACCAGATCGTTGCGAGCCCTTGGTGACGTTGACTTTGGAAGTTTCTCGGGATGCTGAAGGCTTGGATGTTTTTAGAGGCCAGTCCGCAAAGAGCGCATTCATGTCGATAGCAGGCACAGGAGTCTCCGTACCTGGCGTCTCGCTCACAGAAGTAATCTGGACTGCACTGGCTCCAGCACTCGTCGGCCGGCTGTAGACCGAAGATGCCGTCTCAACGCCCGGTGAGCGAACTCTACCCCAACTCGAAGGCACGTTGCCACTGTTGACTCCCGAGCTCGACATCTGTCTGGGACGTCTGCCAGGACCGAGGTCTGAGCGCTCTCTGTAATGGAAGGTCCAAGGATGAGGCGATGCGGGCATGGAGTCGTCTTCTGCTACATCGGAGAGCTGGGACATGCTGCGAAGCTGCTGTGAGATCCCCATGTTGTAGAGATGGAGGCCGCGGTCCGATGGTTTCTGCTTGAGTTCTGGTAGCTGGTCCGCCGGTGGTGACTCGAGCAAGTCCTCTCGTGTCGGCTCGCGGACGTGCAATATTGGAATAGCCGGAGTGTCGGCGGACGCAGGCGCAGATGCATCCCCAGTACCATCACTGGAGCCAGCTGTGAAGCAGATTTGATCCGATTGCCGTCTGAATGCACCAGCAAGGTCCGAGTCCGACCTCGAGCGCCGTGCGGTCAGTAGTGCTCCTGTAGACCTGGACGAGGCCTCCCCGGCGATTGGCGTAGACGGAGAAGTTCCAGCATCCGCACAAGGGAGCAGTGGCGCGCTGAACGATTTCGGCAATGGCGGCAGCGGTCGTTGATTCCCACAGCCCACCATCGCATCAGGCTGGTAAGTGGCAACAACATTGGCGAGCCCAGCAGTACCGCTTGCCTCATCCGCCTCGTCCTCAGATCTGGATCAGGTACCTCGTCAGCTGCTGCCCCAACACTCCCACGCACCACACACTCACCTCTTCACCGCCGGCTTCAGATACACCAACCTCTCACAATCCTCACTAGTAATCGGACTCATACTCCCAAAACGCCTCAATTCCAGCATCGGCGGAGCCCCTTTCCCTGCCCTCCCACTTGCACTTCCACTTCCACCATCCACCTCCCGCATCATCTCCCTCGTACTAACCACCCTCGCGTCCTCATCCCACCCTTCGCAATCTTTCTCTTTCGCCAAACTCATCTTCGACCGCCGCCTCGAAAACTGCAACTTCAGTTTACTGCCCAACCCAGGACTACACACGATCCCGGTATTGACTTCAGGCGCGCGATGCTGGAACGTCAGGGCATGCGGGTGGTCGTCCGGCAGAGCGGCGGCGGCGAAGATGCCGTCGAGGTTGGCGATGGGACGGGGTGGGGGCGAGGGGGAGGCGGTGCGGTCGGTGGGGTGGTGGCAGCAGAAGGACGTCGCTGCTGCTGCGGCGGCGGTGGTGGTGGAGGACATGGTTGGTTTTGTATTGCTGTTTCTCGTAACGTGGATATCGTTCTGATGAAATGAAGAAACCAAGGCGCTTCCAATGTGAGCGGCAGAGAAGACCAAGAGTTGGGCGCTCCAAAGACCCGAGAGCGGGAGTTGGTAGATGGATGGATGGTGTATGATGGGAAGAACATGTTGATGCTGGATGAGCGGATGTTGATGCTTACCCTGTGGCAACAGCTGACCATGGCGGCGTTAGCAGGCGCTGTGTGATTGAGATGGTGGAGGCAGTTGCGGTACGCTGTTGTGAGAAGGAAATACTCTGAGACCCACGCACACAGACGTCGTTGCCATATCGATGCTGCTGTGAGTAGAGGAGCGCCGCCATCGGGACTGCACAACTGGACCAAATAGGATGCTGGCAAAGAAGAGGTTGGTGAAAGCGATGAAGGTGGTGCTGCGTCGGAAGCACGCAGGTCGGCGAGTGCGCCGGGTGAGCGTACAGGTTGCTGCTCGCCATGATCATGAACTGCATACTAGAGCAAGGATGTTGTCAGCAAGGAGACAGTAGCGTGAGATGCTGGAGTGAAGTACCTACACGTGGACTTGCAGGAACCCAAGCCTTCTAAATGGCCTGCTGAGAAGTATGATCATTCAAGGAAAGAAGAGAAGAACACAACGCAATGCCCGTCAGAGCAAGGCCATAGCAGCAAAAGCCATCTCATTGCCATGTCTACTTCTACACCACCACTCCCATCCAACCCTCCTCGCAAAGCGCACAGCGCTCAAGCCACGATCGTTGAGATCACAGCCATCCTCCTCCCTCATCCTCCACCATCTTTCGAAAAGAACACAACCTTTGCCTTTCCCAGTTTTGTTGAACTCCCATCCATTCCCGTCTTGTTGAACACCATCGCTAACACACACTTTTTTCGACAGACGTTGAGTAAGACTGTCTTGTAGTTGGGGGTATCACATGTTGAATCATCACATCATAAAAGGGCGAGCAAGGTTAAACTGCTCGCCGTCATTTTCGCTTCCCACCCTTTGAACGCCAAAGACGCCCATCCCACACATCCCATCACGCAGAGACGACGAGTCTACTTCGACTCGTGCTTCTGACGGAAGTACTGCGCCGCGTTCACCATGTTGCGCAGCGCCTCCTTCGTCTCCTTCCACCCGCGCGTCTTGAGGCCGCAGTCCGGGTTGATCCACAGCTGCTCGGGCTTGAGGTACTGCAGCATCTCCTCGATGCGGTCCTTGATCTCCTGCTCGCTCGGCACGCGCGGCGAGTGGATGTCGTAAACGCCCGGGCCGATGTGGCGCGGGTAGGACTCGTCGATGAAAACTTTGAGCAGCTTGGCGTCCGACTTGCTGTTCTCGATGGAGAGCACGTCGGCGTCGAGCGCGGCGATGGCGTGGAAGAAGTCCTGGAACTCGGAGTAGCAGAAGTGCGAGTGGATCTGCGTGCTGTCCTTGACGCCGGCGGTGGAGAGCTTGAAGCTGTCAACGGCCCAGCTGAGGTACTTCTCTCGCTCGGCACCAGAGCGGAGTGGGAGACCCTCACGGAGGGCTGGCTCATCGACCTGAATGACGAGCACACCGGCCTCCTCAAGATCGACGACTTCGTCACGGAGGGCGAGTGCGAGCTGCTGGGCCTGCACAGACTGGTGGACGTCATCACGTGGGAACGACCACCGCAAGCAAGTGATGGGGCCAGTAAGCATGCCCTTCATTGGCTTCTTGCTGACGCTGACGGCATACTTGCTCTCCTTGACGGTCATCGGCTTGGGACGCGAGACGTCACCAACAACGATCGGTGGCCTCACGCAGCGGGAGCCGTAGGACTGCACCCAAGCGTGAGTAGTGAAGACGTAGCCGTCCATACGCTCGCCAAAGTACTGCACCATGTCGTTGCGCTCCGGCTCGCCGTGGACGTAGACGTCGAGGTCAAGCTCCTCCTGGATGGCAATGTTGTCCTTGATCTCCTTCTCGATGAACTTCTCATACTCGTCCGCAGTGATCTCGCCCTTGGTGAACTTGTTGCGGTTGACACGGATCTCCTTGGTCTGAGGGAAGGAGCCGATGGTGGTGGTGGGGAAAGTCGGGAGGTTGAGGTGCTCCTTTTGCTGAGCGTAGCGGGAGGTGAAGCCAGACTTACGCTCGTGCATTTCCTTGGTGATCTGTTCCTGCCTCTTCTTGACCTCGGGGTTGTTGATCCGCTTGGATGTAGCACGAGATTGCTGGCTCTTCTCGTTGGCCTCAAGCTCGCTGCGGACGGAGGCCGGGCCTTCAGTGACAGCCTTGGCCAGGATGGCAATCTCGGTGGCCTTCTCGACAGCGAAAGCGAAGAAGTCCTTAACCTCGGGATCGAGGTTCTTCTCGTTGTCAAGAGTGTGAGGCGTGTGGAGAAGCGAGCTGGAGGTGGCCACGATGACACGCTCCTTGCCGAGCTTCTGGATAGCGGTCTCGACAAGCTCAATCGACTTCTTCATGTTGTTCTTCCAGATGTTGCGGCCATCGACGATACCGCAAGACAGGATCTGCTTAGGTCCGAGGTGCTCAACGACCGGGCTGAGCTGCTCGGGGTGCCTGACAAGGTCGACGTGCAGGCCGTAGGTGTTCTTCAACGCGGAGTCGACAACGTCGAAGTTGTGGACGATGTCGCCAAAGTAGGTTGCAAGGACGAGCTGAGGACCCTCGCTGCCCTGAAGAGCGGTGAGCTTCTCGTAGGCTGGCTTGAAGGCGTTTCGGGTCTTGGATGGCAGGTCGAAGACGAGCACTGGCTCGTCGATCTGGACAGTCTCGGCACCAGCCTTCTTCAGCTCCTTCAGCAACTGCTCGTAGACGGGCAACAGCTTCTCGAGGAGAGTGATCGGGTCGACGTTCTGCTTACGGTCCGCCTTGCCAAGGTGGAGGAAGGACACGGGTCCGAGAATGACCGGGCGAGTAGTGATGCCAGCCTCTTTGGCCTCAAGGAAATGCCTCACAGCCTTCGGGTCGTCCGAAAGCTTGAAGGTCTGGTTGTCCTGCAGCGTAGGCTTGACGTAGTGGTAGTTCGAGTCAAACCACTTCACCATCTCCAAACTCGGCACATCAACGCCGTCCTTCTGGTGTCCACGGCCCATGGCGAAGTACTCGTCCAGCGTGTTGAGCTTGTGCGTCGAGTACCGCTCGGGCACGGCGCCGAACATCTGGATGTGGTCGAGCACCTGGTCGTAGTAGGAGAAGTCGTTGCTGGGGATGATGTCGACGCCGGCATCCTTCTGGATCTTCCAGTGCTCGAGGCGGAGGCGCTTGCCCTCGGCCAAGAGGTCTTCGCGGGACAGCTTGTCGCCCCAGTAGGCCTCGGTGGCTTTCTTGAGGTCTCGCAGCTTGCCCATGCGAGGGAAGCCGAGGATGGAGGATTGCACCATTGTGCCGGTTGTGTTTGTAGTTCGAAATTTGTGGTCAGTGTGGTGTGAAGGGTGTGAAGATGAAGATGAGGTCTGTCTATGGGGGATATGAAGAAGAAAAGGTGGCGTTTAGCGGTGTGAATGAGGAAGAGAGGGATGAAGGAGGGATGGAGGGGCTGTTTCTGGAGAAGAAATGTCGTGTTGAGAAAAGCATTGACTTTTTCCAACCGCCAAGAAAAGGGTCCACAGACATCATCACATGCAGTCATCCATCGCTGGATCACTGATACGAGGACTCGCGCTTAACTCTGAAACCACGCAGCTTCAACCGCCACATTCATCGCTATGTACAGGACATTCTAAAGACTCCGAAATCACAGTCCAATCATCATTCCATTCGTAACCGCTGGCTAAGGCGATGAACGACGCGTATAGTAAAGCACCGCGGCCCCTCGAGCCGGATCAGCGGACCAGCATCAGCGAGAGCGACATCGAGATAATTCATCAGTCATCTTCTCCGTCTCCTTCCCTCTCACCAACCCCGTCACCCTGCTCCGCTTCACCCGTCGGCGACACATCCATCGCTTCACCGCCGCTCGTGGAAGGCTCACCCTCACCCTCACCCTCTTCACTCTCGGTCTTCGGCGTCCGCTCCGCCATCTCACTCCCTTCTCCATCCCCATCCCCATCCCCCTGCGTCTCACCCTGGTCATAAGACCCATCCTCTTCGTTGCCTTCACTCTTCGACCGAGGGTACGACTGTCGAAACGGCGAGTTCTGCTCCACGTACATCGACTCGCCCCGGCTACTGCGGAGGCTCTGATGGTAACGGCCATCGCCAGGCGTGCGCACGTGGGAGGAGCTGTAGCTGTGCTCGGAGTAAGCGTCGTCGGGGCGGCGGGCGGATGCGGAGCTGCTACGTGTTAGTGTATTGTATGGGTGACTCGCTCTTATGGTAACCTACAGTTGTATAAGCCGCTCCTCGTCAGTACCCGGATGCTTGCGTCTAATATGAGCCTTAAAATTGTCCAGCCTCGGCCACCATTTACGATGCGTGCCGTCTGTCGGATCCGGACACGCAGCGCAAATGTACCCAATCTTATTTCCGATACGCGGCGAAGCTCCATGCACCGACTTGCGATGTCTCTGTAAATCATTCTCCGTAGCGAAGCCCTGCGTCCGCGTACAACCCGGCTCAGAACACCGATACGGCTTCGAGTGCTGTAGATAGTGCTTCCTGCATCCCAGAGATCAGCAATACGTGCCAGCTGGCAAAAAGCGGGTGACCTATACTGACTGCGCATCAGAGGGGTTCTTCAGCTCCTTGCCGCACGTGGTGCACGGCGGGACCGTCGACTTGGACTTGTTGCTCGATTTGCGCTGGAGCACTTGTATGATGTCGTTGTTGGTGTGCATGTTGACGTGGGGAGGCGGGGGCGGGATGAAGGCGCGCGGAGTGGCTGCGGCCTCGGCGTAGGGGTGGGGCGGTGGGTGATGACCTTCCTGACTCGCGTCAACACGCATCGGCTCCGCGTCGACGGAGGCTGTGGAATGGTGGCGAGGAGGGTGTTGAGGAGGGGAGTGCTCCTCACCTTCTTCTCGCTTGGGCTGGCTTGCGTCTCGCGGTTGGGGTTGGGGTGGTGGTTGTATCGGCACCGGAGCAGCTCTGAAGCGCCCAGGGTCGAAGTCGTATTGTTCGGGTGATCGCACTCGTGCGGCTGTCTGCGGTGGGGGTGGAGGAGGTGCTAAAGGGTCCCACAGCAGCTCGATGAGGGACCGGTCTACTTGGGCACCAGCGTAGTCGTGAGCTTGATACTTCTCCCAGTCCCACGTAGCGCTGACCCTGCCATCATCCATCATCTCCCAGATACGTTCTAAACTCCTCGCCGCGTGCATGACGGTGTCAATGCTGTACGACGGGTCTAGTCTGTTGAGAGAAGTCCAGATCTCTTGTCTTTGCCCAGCGTAGAAGGAAGTCGAGCCGAGGATGAAGATTGGTATGAGCAAAACAGACCTGTCACCATGAGCTCCGAGTTCATTCTCAAAGGTGCGGAGGAAGTGTAGGCCGTCGTCGACCATATGTCGAAAGGCAGAAGTCGACTCGGAGGGCTGGATAGATCTGGAGAAGAAGATCCACAAGCATTGTTTGTACAGTATACTGGCCGGGTATTGCAATACACCGGGCTCGTATCGTGAGATCCAGTTGCGGAGGATGTTGTCGATAGCGTAAGTGTCGTTGAAATATACATGATCGCACCAGACAGCCCCCGACAATCGCTTTGGCCGGACGTGGTGACGAAGGTAGTATGCACGTCTGAACAGTTCCATAAGGTCTGGCTCGACCACTGCAAAGCTCAGATCGCGAGGGTCACTGTGTATGGCAGCCGGGAAGTCTCGAGGCGGTGGAGGCGATAGGAAACGATGCGTACCCTGCTGAGAGTATGCATTGAAGCCCGTCCGTATCAGTCGTGCTGGCCCAGCTCTTTCGCTGTCGAGGAGAGGCTGCTGCGCGATCTGCGGCGGCATGACCTGTCGCATCGGCGGCAACGGGTGGTTGGCCGGACTGCTCTCCTCGACGTGTTGTCGCTTGCGTTTCGGCGCACCTTCTTCCTCGACCGTTGCGTTCCTCCATCCTGTCACCCGCTCTGGCCGCGTGTGGTCTATCAATCCGTTGCCATTTCGCAACGCCTCCGCCGAATGCGCAACCTCGCTGTCTCTTTCCACGCCGGTGGGTGGTGCCCTGGGCAGGATCTTACGAACGCCGGGCTCCATCCACACTACCTTCGCCAGCTCGGTCCACTTCCATGGGCGGTGCTAGCAGTCTCTTGCGGTTCTGGTCGTCGAATAGAGGGTTGTGCGAGCTGTGAAGGCGTTTGACTATATCAATGGCATCGCCAGCTCGTCGAGTCGAGTGTGTTCGCTACGAGCTGCGCTGTTGGTCGCCTGAGGCTGTCGGAGTGCGAGCAGGGGGGTGCGACGGGGCCGAGAGCAGGTAACGGAGGGCAGAGAAAAGGTGGTGGTGGTTGAGGGGAAGGAAAGACACCCAAGTGGAGCGGGAGCGAGCTGTCGAAAGGTCTGGGCTGGATTTCTGCAGCAAGACTCCTCAAAGGCAAAAGTCACCGCTTGCGAGGCGTCGACTCGCGCACGGCCAGTCCTTGCTTTTGCGCCTTCTTCCACCAGGCAACCTCTTTTCCCCTCTTCGCTATACCACAGCATCCACTTCTCATTACACATCCATCGCACCTTCCTTCTTCTTATTATACAATGCAATGCTCCTTCCCCCGACAGCTCTCAACTCTCGCACCCTCCTCGCCTAGGGCCGCCTTACCCTTGGCGCGAGTTGCCTGACTTTGCCGATCCTGGTTGGCTCTGCTTTCTTCAGCCCCGCCCTTGCTCCCATCCCTGCCACTCCCTCTCACCAACTCATCCGCCGAATCACACGCAGCGACACCGTAAGCTGCAGCTTTCCAACGTGGCAAGCGTGTGTCGTGGGAGGCATGGCTGCATGTGTTGTGCGCTGCATCACATGCTCGCTCTCGCCACGACATCGTCCGGGTCGAGGACCGAGAGGTACAGTAGACGGGCAGATACGAACGCGATGTATCCCCGTCTGCGACCCGGATTCGAATGCTTGACGAACAGGGCATGTTGACCATTGCGCCATAGCTCACAGACTGTACGCTGTACCCAATGGTATGGCAGATGATGCAAATGAGAGAGATCACTCGGATACGATCGAAGAGATCTAACAGTGGCGTATTGACACCGAACTCCATGCCATGTTTTTCATCTCAAACGCCATGTTGCTCAGAGCTGAGCAGATGCTATTCTGTTCAGGCGTCAGAATTCCGTGGAAAAGAGGCAAATGCTCGAAGACGGACCGTGGGAAGCCATGTAAACATCCCACCCGTCGTGAGCAACAGTAAATCTCTCTATTCCGTAGAGCCTCATGAAGTAAGTACTCGCTGGGTAGTAGGGATGATAGTCTCACGGTGGTCAGCAGCATGCTCAAGACTGGCCCGCTTGAAGCCCCAAGAGCGAACAGCATGATACACCACAAAATGCCAACACCAACGAGAAATATCACAGCGATGACGACCGCGAAGTAACAGGATTCAATCGAAAGTGACAGGATCAAGTATCAGTTGTTCTCTCGAGATAGGTACGTAAATCTCCGACCACTACAACGTCGATCTGAGACATGTTTCTTGACCCTCAACTTCCTTTTGGACATCCTGATAATAACTCAACAGCAGTGGCCTGACAGCCACTTAAAGAATCCGCCAACATCTACTCGTCATCGTTGATGTCGACCTCCGTCTTGGTCCACTTGCGGGCCGGCACCTTGCGCTTGAAGAGAATGTCGATCTCACGGTACGACCGGTTCTTCATCTCCGGCAGCTGGTAGTAGGCCGTGACCAGGCAGAGGAAGCCGGTGGCGCCCCAGACGTAGCCGCACTTGCCGCGCAGGTTGGCTTGGTCGGGGTTGAGCATGTAGGAGGCGACTGTGGAGGTTGTTAGTGCTGTTCATCGAAGGAGGTGTGATGATGGGTTGCTTACGGAAGATGCAAGGGAACTCGACAATGTAGTACGCCGCACGACCAGCACCGGTGGTGAGCGGCCTGAGACGAATGGCCGACGTTTCACCAATGATGACCCACGAGGCGGGCGCCGGACCCAGCGTGAAGAGGACGGAGACGATGAGACCGAGGGACGCCTGCGCCAGCTTCGCCGAAGTGGTGTTGGGGACCGAGCCGGCGACACCGAGAGCGATCAGAAGGATGGTGTTGGCTGCCGAACCCCAGAGGTAGATCGGACGTCGACCGAAGTACGTGGTCAGGATCCAGGAGAGCATGACAAAGATCATCTGGAGAGCGGACGTGATGAGACCCAGACCGAAGGCGAGTTCGGTTTCGATACCAGCCTCTACACATTATTAGCAGTCGAACAAACTGAGGACAATGACAGCGGAGACCTACGCTTGAAGAAGTAGACGGCCTGGTTTGCAATAAGGTTGCCAGTCAAATTCTGCGCAGCGTAGACACCACAGACGATGAGCGTGCGGCGGAGGTCGGTGCCCTTGAACAGTTCGAGATGGCTGGGACGGTGGGACGACTTCTCCATCTCGATGACACGGCGCATCATAGCAACAGTCTCGGTCGTGTTGGTCTTCGACTTGCGTCCGAGACGCTCGACGGACTTGGCGGCTTTGTCGAACTTGCCCTTGCGCACAAGCCACCAGGGACTCTCGGGTGCGATGAAGATGAGAATGGCCAGGGGGGTGGGGAACATCCACTGGAGGGCGATGGGGATCCTGCACGGAGTGTCAATCGAGTACTCAACTTGTGATAGGTATTGGCACATACTTGTAGGCCTCCTTTCCGGGAGTGTCGCTGTACACATATGTGACGGCGCCGACGATGATGCTGCCAATGGCCCAGAACATCTGCAGCATCTGCGTCGCGGGTGCTCGCAGCTGGATCGGCACAATCTCACTGCAGTAGGCCGGGGCGTTGGCAATGAAGATACCCCACGGAATGCCCTCGAGAATCTGAGAGGCGAAGATGACCGGCATGGACTCCGCAAAGTAGAAGGCGAAGATGAAGACGTTCAGCAGCATGAGGCCGCCGATGAAGGCCCATCGGTAGCCGATCTTGCTGGTGATCGGACCGGCGATCATAACGCCAATGAGAGCACCGAGCTGGCCAGACACCTGGAGCGAAGACTGCCACTTGGCCGCGACGGTACAGTGTTCACCATTGGCGTCGCAGTTGATGCCGAAGCGGTTGTAGAAGGCGGGCAGAGCCATGAAAGATCCAATCAGGAAGACACAGTACGACTCCATGATCTGCCAAGCATTAGCTGTTACTCGTCGTCGACAAGGAAGCAGCTTACAATCGTGCAAGAGAAGACAAACGCCCATAAGGAGGCCATGGGGTACTCCTTGACGGCCTCGATGACCGTCATGTTATGCTCCGCATTCTCGGCCTCAATGGCATCGGCCTTGTAGTCGGCCACGCCAGCCTTCTCCTCGTAGACGGCATCGTGCTCCTCGGACATGTTGTCGCGCTGCACCGCCGTGGACTCGAGATCTTTGTTGTCCGACATGGTGACCGACGTGCTGGCTCTCGAAAGAAACGTGGTATGGCAAATGATACAGCAGTAGGGAAGGGAAGTGGACGAGGGGGGGCGTGGGAAGATAAAGCTGAACCCAAGCTACCCGGCCATGCTTCGCTGCGGGTGTGGAGGTGGAGGGGCTTGAGGGGGCAATGTGGAGGGTTGCGGGACACGGAGAAATTCTCTGGGCACGTGTCCACATTTATCCGTCCAGCTAGTGCATCCTACCATATATCCACCGCTTTGGTCTAGCCAATCAGTAGCATGGCCTCGAGTCGAATCCACAGTGGAAATGCCATCTAATTATTCCAATACGAGGATGGCGAATCTCGAGAAGCAAAAAGAGTTTGCATCTGTTCATGCACCACGTGAGCCCTGGGATGCTGAACGCACAACGCTAACAGCACGTGTACGAGGAACCTTCGGGGTAGAGTCTACCGAGTTATAAGGTAGCCTATCGAATCTGGATAATTCCCACGCGACGGCTAGCAAAGCCTGGAGCTGCGAGCTGCTGCACGCTGCCGCTTAATACAACGGCATTTTTCGAGAAGGCAAGTGTAGCTCGGTGTGGGTTGACTTTCCAACCAGTACGAACAGTGGTGGATTCTGTCAAGAACCGCGGGGTGGCGCCAGCAGATTGTGGGCTACATTGTGGCCTGCTCCAGCTAAGCACCAGGCCATGAAGACTAGTAGCAGCGCTTGTTATCACGGTCCCCATAGTCAAAGGCATCCGGTTTGAACAAGCTTCTGTCATCCAGTAGAGTAGCTCCCCACGCGACCGTCGACCCGGCTGAATTGAGATACCTTACCTCAGAGTACCAATTTCTCGGAGAAATTCAGAGGTCACAGCCAGCTTCATGGAGTCGTACACCTCCGTATAGCCACATTGACGGTGGAACGCTTGCCAAAAGCTTAGGGGTATCATAGCTTGTGTCCCATGACCACCCGCAGCAGCTAAAGATGGTGGCCAACACGACGACCCACGCCAGTGAGATGGGTCGTCTGGAAACCTTAAGGCAACATCACGAATTCTTCCTTGGCCTAGAACCGCACGGTGGCCGCCGAATGACTGTCTCGTACCTCCACAGGATCTGGCGTCTTGCTCAAGTCTCGTCTTTTAGCATGGCACTAGGGTCTGCATCGATGCGAGGCATACCGTCGCGCAATTTGTCCCTTCTCGTAGAAGATGCAACATGACAGCGCAGTGTCTGCTTGAGGATCGCCATGCAACAGATTGGGGCTTGCGGCCATCCAAACATGCCTGAGAGACATTTGTCCACCTTTGCATTGCCAGTGAAACTCATTCGCTAAGCGTTTGTCGGTTTTGGTGATTTGTGGTCGTGAGGTTGTCGAGTTGTTGCAGTATCAAAGTACTGTATGTCTGGTTTGGCCATATGTCTTTAAACTTCGCCTCGACTTTTTGCCGAACGCTTGGCCTCCATCTCGACTTCTCAAGTCTCCCAATCATTACCCCTTCAATCTACCATTGAACTTTTCTGCAGCATGGAGAAGGTGGCACAGAGGGTGAAGCGGCTGGAGGCTCAGGCGAGCAGAAAATTGAAAGGACGCAAACAAGCAGTTGCGGCGGCCGAGAGATGGGAGCGCAGATTCACTCGACGACGAACCATCTCCGCCAACAACCAGAACATCAAAGCTGCGCGTATCAACCGGCACATCGACTGGGCCGCTGGTCCCCTAGCCCCTCGAAGAGATGTGGGCGAGTTGGGTGAGAAATTCGGGACGGTCTCCATCTTCGACGCAGCACAACCAGAGCGAGAGCCGGAGGACAGGAAATGGATACCTTTGGATAAAGGAGATAGAGTGGTCATCACGTACGGCAGGGACAGAGGCAAGATAGGGCATGTGCTGGAGGTGGACCAAGAGAGGCAGGCTGTGGCTGTCAAAGACTTGAACATGATGGACATCTGGGTGCCGGACTGGTCGAAGCGGTCTACCCAGCAGGAAAAGAGCGTCAGTCCGCAACCTCGCCATGTGCCAGCGGAGCACGTCAAGTTGGTGTATCCGCTTCCGGATCCTAGGGATGGCAGACTGCGAGACGTGATCATCGACCGGCTGGAGAAGGTCAAGTTGGAGCCCCGGCGGGAGGACTACGACAAAAGCGCAGAGCCTCGAAAGGAGTTCAGGGCGATACCTGGCGCGAAAACTATCATACCTTGGCCGGAAGTGCCGGAAGACCAGCCGGAGGAGGAGAACGACGATGATACACCGCGTATCACTGTGGATGAGATCACCTTCCGCCCATACCTCCTTTACCCGCCTATGCCGACTTCAGTGATCGACGAGCTCCGAAACAAGTACAGCAAGTTCCGGACACGGCATACTTGGGAATACGAGCAGAAATTGGAGGCGGAGGCGCAGCGGGAGGAACGCAGGAGTCAGCTCGGTAAGACCATGCGGACGCCGCTGCAGGAGCTGGCGGAGTTGCGAGCGAGGCAGAAGGCGGCAGAGGAGAGGCAGCTGTCGGACGAGCAATTGGCCAAGATTGGAGAGGTCATGGCTGGCGAGAGACAGAAGATGACCGATACCGTGGCCCGACGGTAATTAGAGCTGCTGCATACTGTAGATATAGACCTGTAAAATACCTGCCCTTCCACACTAACCAGAACCATTACCATATCATCCCACAATCAACTCACCTACCCCCCTCCATCGCCCTAAACTCCTCCGCCAACTCCGCACAAGTAACAAACTCCACCTCCTCCCCCAACCCCTGCAGCCACCCCAAAAACCTCTCAATCATACCGATAATATGCGCCATCCCGCTCGTATCCGGATGACACACAATCGGCAACACCTTCAACCCGCCCTCCTCCCCTTCCTCCCGCATCTCCCGTCTTAGCCACTCCACCCGATCCATCCACATCCGCTCGATCACCCGCACGTCGACGTAGCCTTGCGTGTTGGGGTTGTTGGGGTAGAATTGCATTGGGGTGGCGTCTTCCATGTACCAGTTACACGGGACCTCTACCATTTTCGACTTTGGTAACGAGGCGAAGTTGGGCGAGGGGTGCATCCAACTCTCCGCTATGGCTTCAGGCGTGAAGTCGATTGGTTCGATCGGCGCCGGGTTAAGGGGGAGGAAGTAGGGCGTGCTGTCGTAGTGCGTGAGGGAGGAGTCCCAGAGGAAGTCGTGCTCCTGTAAGAGAGCGATGGTGCGTTCTTGGAGGAGGTAGAGAGGTGCTCGGTAGCCTCGCGGTCGCTTGCCAGTGAGGTTCTGGATGAGCCCGATGCACTTGGTGAGGACGTCGCGTTCTTGCTCCGCAGTCATCTGGCTGGCTGCTTCGTGCGCGTAGCCGTGGAGTGCGATTTCTGCTCCGCTGTCGACGATGGCCTTGGTTTGGTCGGGGAAGGTCTCGATGGAGTGGCCGGGGATGCACCAGGTGACTTTGTCAGCGATACCGAGACCGCGGAGCATTTTGAGCAGACGGGGTACGCCTTGATGCGCGCTGAAGTAGCCTTGGCTGTAGTCGGCGGTGGAGTTGTTGGGGTGGGCCCCTGTGCCGAGCCAGCCTGATACGGCGTCGAAGTCGAAGGACCAGGCGATCTTGAGCTTTCGTTTTGGCTTGGAGGAGGACACCTGAGGCGGTATAGATGGCGCCACTGACTGTTGCTGGATGGTGGAAGGTTGAGATGTAGATGTAGAGCCCTTCGAACCCAACACTTCCTCCTCTCGCCACATAATCCTCCCTTCCATGCCACCATCGACACTCAAACATTGACCAGTGATATGCCCAGCAGCCCGGTGACTCGCCAGAAAAGCCACTGTCCTCGCAACATCCTCCGGCTGCGCGATCTTCTTCAGCGCCACCGTGCCTTGCGCCTCCAGATACAGCTCCCTCGGGTCATCCAGCCGGTCGCCGATGAGTTCTGTGTTAACCCATCCTGGAGCAACAGCATTGATCCTCGCCTTCGAGTTCAATTTAACAATCTCGTTCTTGACTGTCGGGACGAGTCCGTATTGCAGACCCGCCTTGCCAGAAGAATAGTCCGCATGGCCTGCTTGACCGAATTTCCCGCACTCGCTGCCAGTCACAACGATAGCAAGATTCTCGAGATCGCTGCCTTGGGTCTCTTGATGTTGTTTGGCGGCGAGTAGGAAGTGCTTGATGGTAAGGAAGGTGCCTCGCACGTTCACGCGGTAGAGGTGTTCCCAGTCGTCGAGTTCAATCTCCCAGATACTCGGGTGACTGGACTCGTTGCCAGTGCCGGCGTTGGCTGCCAAGATGTTGACCGGTCCAAAATGGGCGACTGCTTGCTTAATGCATGATGATATCGAGCTTTCATCGGAGATGTCGCCTTGTAGGTGGAGAAGGTGGTCGTTCGACGATTTCGGACCCGCCTTGAGGTCGTGGGCAGAAACTTTGCACCCAGCGGCTGAAGACTAGATATCAGCTTGACATCAAAGCTTCAGTGCCTAGGACAGACCCAACAGTTCTTCGACTATGGCAGAGCCAATGCCGCCACGTCCGCCTGTCACGAATGCATGGCATCCGGATATGCCGAGATAGGACATTGCGGTTGTATCGTAGCGAAGTCGAAGAGGGTATGAGTGTAGATTGTCAAGTATTAAGACTGACCTACCTTGTGAAGTTTTGCTACTGTGCTCAGTGAATCAAGATGCACTGTCGCACGAAGTGAAGCTTTACGTAACAAGTCAAGCTCTGAAAGCTCTGAAAGCTCTGAAAGCTCTGCCTTGGAAAAGGGTGGCTGGAAGTGAATACGGGTCATGCATAGGAAGATATAAGAGCTAAATACGTGGATGCAGTGGATGTGAGCAATGTGGCGACGTGAAGCAGCAATTGTGAAGAAAATGAGACCACCTACCAATTGGTGACACGTCCAATTCAAATTCAGTTCCAAGATAAGACAATGGAAACCGCATACCCCATGTAGGGCAACATGGTTGTAGGTGTGAGCACCACACCACCTTGCGGCAGTGATCATTCGAAGTGCAGATGCCGTAAGACAATACTCAGGAGTAAAGCTCCATAGAAGACCTTGCAGGCTTGCTCGTCTGACGGCACCCGCTTCAATGATCCACTCAATTCTACCGTGTGTCTTGTCGAACAGGTATTCGCCATTTCCTTTTGGCGAAGAGAACGCCGAATGCGGTAGGTCCAACACAGAAGTGAAGACATACTTCGTCGCTTCTATGGTAATGGACTCAATGATAAGTAGAAACAGGCATGAGTCCTGAAATAGCTCCACGTGGCATCGTGTCGACTGTTGAATATTGGCAATGAAGTGAGCCTTGGTAGAACCGAAGGTTGTCTGGGTCGTAGCGAGAGACTTTCGGTCTGCCATGCGAGGGTCGGCCTGTTTGCTCCTGATGGCGATTGTCAAACAAGCCTTTCGACGGCAAGCGTATAGAGCACTTCAAGTCGGCTCTTAAAGTCTTGCATGAGCTGCTGAGTGCACTCGCCCCGATGTTAGCAGAACGGAGGTGGTGGACAGCCCTAGTTGAGCGCCATGTCGGCCGACAAGAAGCCCTGTGTTGTACTCTGAATAGCCGCGACTCTCCGAATGCCTTGAAGAGTTCAGTGAGAATGTCGACCAGCGGTGCGATCATGTTGAATACGATCCGATACCCCGAAGACAATGGGGACTTCAATACTGGCCTTCTCTGTTCAGTGGACTTTAATGGAGTACTGACCGACCTGCAGGGCAGCCTCACGAATCCGTCAAACCGCGCAGAAACATCGGCGGTAGACGACATGCTGCAAGACCAAGATCCCATCCGATGATCTTTCGACACGTCTACCGGGTTTCAAGCATGCAGTGTGAACCACTTTTCACCACTGACGTGGATCTGGGCTAGCGCGTGCTGAGGAGCAGATGCAGTCTCTACAGTGTGCCAGCTGGAAACACGTCTCGTTGAGCGCAGAGGCGGCGAACCACAGTTGAAGTATATGCATGAAGTGTGATGGGATGGCCTTGCCAGCGGTAGAAATGAATTTGGTTGTTGCTGGCCCCCAGCGGAGGAGAGACGGCAGGCTTCGGCACCCCCCAAAAGCTAATCCTGTTCCTGGAGGACACAGCCAATGGTCGCTCCAGGACCGCATCTCCGGGATCGAGAGGCGGAAGCTAGAGAGGTGAAACGGTGGCATGGATAGGAACGAGCGCACGTTGTCTTCCTCGGTGTGTGTGTTGGGCAATTGTTTAGCGACGTGCGTGTTCCTGCGCCTGTCGATTGTGAAAGAACAGCGGCAGCAAACGGAAGAGGTTGCTTGCTTGCTTGCATCGAACAACCGGGTCCCCTCGCATAGTGCGACCCACGTGGCATGGCCAGAATCGAGAATCAAGCCTTGCAGAAACCTACTGCTGCCGTGCGTGAAGACTTCCACCGCGGTCCGCGATTGCGATTGGCGTGGAGGCTGCGCATCTGCGACAGGGGCGTGCGTTTTTCTCTCGGCCTTCAATTTTGCTGCGGTCCATGACCAGGCATTGGACGGTTCACGATGGGGCTCGCCGGTCAGCGAGCCAGGTTGTCTCTCCCAACTACTGTAGGAGGTAGCTGACCTCTTCTTGTGCGAGTCGTGGCACCGGTATTAGTAGGCCTCCCCTCTCCCGCATTCCTCAAAGGCTTTCTTCCTCTTCTGCACGCTTCACAGGCTTGAGGTCCACCCGCGTTTGCTCGTCCCAGACTCACGCACTCAACACATTCATTTACATTACATTCGACCTCTCCTACACTCGTTGATCGAGAGATCTTACACCTTCGCACGCAGAGACTTCGTGCATTCACTCGTTATCTTCCACGTCTGCAAGACAGCACATTCCTTCGGATCCTTCCAATCCAGGAAACGATAAGTATCTTAGCAATACTCTCGAAACACGCCCATTTTCACCAACCCCGAAAATGATTGCCAAGAACATTTTCGCCGTGGGCGCACTCGTGTCCATGGCCGTCGCCATCCCGATGCAGCAGAACAAGCGTGACATCGTTTGGGAGACTAAGATCGAGGAGGAGGTTGTGACCGTCGATGTCACCAAGACGGTCTGGCTCAACCCTGGCGAGACTCCTCCAGTTGCGCCAGTTGACGGTGCTGAAGCACCTGCCCCATACGGACATGGAGGACCCCACGGCAAGCACGGCCACGGCCACAACCCTCACAGCCCACACAAGCCAAAGACGACTTCGCATATCAAGTCCACCGTCACCGTGCCAGCCCCATCTGAGCAGCCAACCGAGCCTGCGCCGGTGCCATCTTCGCCATCTTCGCCATCTTCCTCATCTTCGCCATCTTCCTCATCTTCGCCATCTTCGCCAACCTCGCCAACCACGACGCACGTTGCGCCAACCCCAACGAGCACCTACGAGGCTCCCCCACCACCCCCAAGCACTCCATCTCCACCACCGCCACCGCCAGCCTCCTCTCCAGCACCTAAGCCATCCTCCAGCCCCAGCAATGGTGGCGGCTCCGCACCATCTGGTCAGACCTACGGCGGCGACGTGACCTACTACACCCCCGGCATGGGCTCCTGCGGCGTCACCAACACCGACAGCGACGCCATCGTCGCGCTCGCGGAGAACATGATGACGGCCAAGCTGCCTCCGAGCGGCAACCCGAACGAGAACCCGCTGTGCGGCAAGTCCATCACCATCAGCTACGGCGGCACGACCGCGACGGCCAAGATCATGGATACCTGCCCGGGCTGCGCGGACGGTGGGCTGGACTTGACGCCGAGCTTGTTCCAGAAGTTTGCGCCGTTGAGTGAGGGGCGGTTGACGGGAATGAAGTGGTGGTATAACTAGATCGACGGTTATCACTACTAAGCGGGACGGCAGGATGCACGTCTAGGCGTGGCGTCTCTGCCGCATTAGATAGCACTTGGATACAGGTGCTTTTTACGACTTTCACGAGCGAAGGGTGGATTTTCTTCAAACAGCGTTGCGAAGGGCAGGGCAGAGGGCTTCAACGACCGGCCGGCCTTTTCGCAGCTGGTTTTTCTTCAGGGTAGATACGTTCGAAAAGTTGATGTTTGGCTGGAGGCCACAAAAGCATTATCGCCCGTCCATCATCTTCACACTGTCATCTAAATGGTAAGCGGCCCCTCCGCTGCTTCTCCGCTGCAACACTGAAGCTTGTGAGCTTCGTCAGCTCTCGTATTGGCCGGCATGCCTACTGCTGCCGCTCACTGATTGGTGGATTGTGACTTGCAGGTTACATCTTCAGCTGCGAGCTGCGACCTTCCGGAATGGTATAGCTATATTTGTATTCGCAGCTGTGGGAGATGTAGCGTGAGATCATGATTTTGCTTGAGAATGGTCGTGTATCTCGTCGTTGAGGATGGCAAGACGCCGTATACAGACACGTGAGAAGGACAACTCGCTGTAGCAACCGATGCGAGGCATGGCGCCACGCGTGGTGATCTTAATAGATTGGCAGACCTGGCAGGCCTTTGGCGGGTTTAGGGGCCGACGATAGCGGTTTAGCTTCTGCTTTTGTTAACGGCCCTGGCTGATGAGGGTTGATTAGAAGCTGGATCGTGCGTTGGTGGTCGAAAGCCTGGCGGGCCACAGCCTTGCTGGAGACGAAGAGAGGTCAGGTCGTGTTGGATCTTGCTGCTGACTCTCTTCCCTCTCACCACCACCATCCCTCCTCCACCACCACCACTGTACACTGCACCTCTCTTTTGTGTTTCATCTTCGTTCTGCCAGACTTGATTCTTGCATGGTTGTTGTCCATACCTTTTAGCCGCGCGCGCCCATACGACGGCCGCATCTCCGAAACGCGGAAAGGAGACAAAGACAGGGGCTTGGCGGGAAGGGCTGTTTCAATAGCACCACCGCCTCGTCGCAGCGCTGACCCAGCTGCTGCCGCCCTCCTCCCGGTTACCAGCTCCTCTCGTGCGACTTTGCACGCGCAATTGCGACTCGACAGCGGACGAGCACAGCGACACCACCCCCATCCCACCCGCCTATGCCGCGGCGGCAGACCCCGAGTGTCTCCCGATACTAAATTAGCGAGTCTGGCCAGTCGCGCCTCCTGCCCGACGCACTCCATTCTTCCTCGCCATGAGCAACTCTACCTCAGTGGCCGGTATGCCCTTCTTTTACTTCTGATATTCTTGTTTTCTGCCATATAACGCGCAGCGATATTACTGCCGCCCTCGCGCACCATGAGCACCAGCGTAGCTGACCTGTCGAGCGCAGTCTCGTCCACGCCCGTCGACACTACGCCCAGCTCCGCCCCCGTCGTGATCTCCTCGACCTTCACAACACCGCCGCCAGATTCATCGACTCCACCGCCGCCGCAGAGCACGACGTCGCTGAGTCCCACTAGCACACGCACCATCGAGCCGAGCACGACACGGACTACCACATCCACACAGGTCGCTTCTTCAGAACCACCCACTACTATCGTTCAGACGCGCTTTACCACCGTCTCGACAGAAACCAACGCAAATGGACAGACTCAGCCGCCTGAAGTTGTCGTGATCACACACACGACCGGTACGCCACAGACGAATGGAGGTGGCGCTGCTACTACGTCGGCGAGCTCGTCCGCCGCTGCGCTATCAGGAAACGGTGGCGGCTCGGGCGACTCAGGCGGTCTAGGCAAGACCGGCATCACTGCCATCGCGGTGGTCATCCCGATTGTGGTTGTCGCGATTCTAGTCGGTCTCGGTATCTTCTTATGGCGGAAACGAAAGCAAAAGAAGGAGTCCGCGGACCAGAGGCGCAAGGAGGTTGAAGACTACAGCTATAACCCGAACGGCGACCCTACATTACCCGCAGTTGGCTCGGAAGTGGGCGGCGCGCAGATGGCGGAAGACCACAGCAGCGGCTACAGAGGGTGGGGAGCAGCGACTGCCTCGAACCGAAAAGCCTCGACGACATTATCAGGCGGCCACACCCAGCAGCTCTCCGACTCGGGCAGCAATGCGTATGGCGGCCCCAGCCCGAACTCACCGGGCCATTACTCTGACGGCCACAGCAGTGATCCGATCATGAACAACAGAGATACCATGGGCAGCGATGACCTCGGCGCACTCGGCGTCGCGCCAGCCGCAGGAGCAGGCGCAGGTGGCATCCGTCGCGGTCCCTCTAATGCCTCATCCGCCTATTCAGCGGGTGGGCGCTCAGAGCATTCCGACGACGCTCCACCCGTCCCCAACATCGGCCAAGCCTACGACTACCCGCAAGCTGGCTACGGCTATGGCCAACACGGCCCTTACGGCGATGGCTCGTACGGCGGCGGACCAGACGCCGGCATGCCTGTCGTTAGAGACGTCTCGGCTCGGCGTAACACGAGGATCAACCCAGGCGGCGCCTACCAGCAGGGCAATTCGGGCATTGCACAGAATTTCTAGAAGATGTCTGGCCTTGCTGGAAATGTCACGACGGGACCGCTGAGGATCGAGCACTTGGAGCAGAGTTTTACCAGTGGGCGGGTGGACAAGCACCCGCATTCGACTTTAACAGCTTCGCGGGTGAGTTTGTTGCAGTTCGAATGCAATCTGAGCTTCAATCTTGATGGGATGGATTGATGTGGTGCACGTCGTTGTGGGGAGGAAGAAACGGGAAAGGTCATGTTGCTCTGCATTTGGATCGGCGCATGCGGTGTGGGTGGAAGTGATCACTTGTGATGTCGCAAGCTGGTCTATGAGTACCACGGTGCTTAGGCGTTTGAACGAGGAAGCGAGCGAACAGCATACCAGCTCGTTCAGTGTTTTACTTTGTTCTTGTTGGGATACGGAAAGCGCGGCAGCTCTTGACTGCCATGATCACCTCAGTGTTGCTACCATTTACGTGTAGGCTAATCGGTAGCGTGGTATATATGAAGTTATCCCTTAGTTTTCGCAGGCCTTTGGGCATTCGGCTGGCTTCTGGTTACATGTCTTTTCATGTTCGAGCGGATATCCGGTTCCCGGGTTACAGCTTTGGCTCATCCACGTGCGACTTCGCTCTCTCGACGGGCAACAACACATAAGAGCACTCTTCGGTACTTCGAGTCCGTCGGATGAACCAGAACGTCAACATAGAAGGCTCTGGAAGCGCTGCGCTGCTTTGCCGCTCGAAAATCTGGCTACGCGCCGACCTGCAACTGGAAGCCATACGATAGCCGCCCAGCAACCTCGCGCACTCTCGAACTGCACTTTCGCCTGCTTTGAATAGTACGATGTCCCAGCATGACGGTGCGGCTTGGTTGGGGTGTTTCAATGGCTCGCTGGCTCTGCGGTTCAAGAGGAGGCGGTTGCTCGAAGGCGACTTCTTCGCTCTGTGTTACTTTTCGTTTGTGTCTTCTTTGGTTGTTCTGCGATGTTTGTACTGTCGTTCGCTCTTGCGTGTTCTTTGCTTTTCATTGGCTTCTCGAGTCATCTGACGAGTTGCACGAAGATACCTGATACTACCCGTTCGGCCGAGTCTGGGCCATACCGACTGCTCAATGTCAGCCGGACGAATGCTCCACAGCGATCGAACTCGAACGCAACCTTGACGGCCTCCAACTACGACGATGCGGTGAAATGCTGGAATGATTGGGATTCTTACTCCGCCTGGTCAACCACATGCCCGAAGACCACCATTCCGTACTCAACATACACTCTATCCGACCACTGGACCTACACCGAGTACGAGACGTTCAAGCTCTGCGATGGCCACCCACGAGCAGTCGCCAACGGCGGCTGGCGCACATCTTACTCGACGGAGAGCGATATCACCTACCCTTTCCAGACCATCACGCTCACAACGATCACCTACGAGTTCCCGCCGAGCGGTATTCCGGCCGCTACTGTTACGACGACCGGCGTGTCAGTGCACACGCAAGAGACTGTGACGTGCGCGAGCCCGGCTCCGACGCCGAGTTGTACGATTGATGATAAGAATTGTGCGTCGTTGTTCAGTGCTTGGACTGCGGATGGATTTACGAGATCAAAGCCGCCTTGCTATTACCCGGAGCCTGGGGATGCTTGTGATGCTTGTGCGCTCTTCGTACCGTCGGTCAAGTTGTTGTATTGGCCTGTTTCTATGACTGGGGATTTTTGTGGGAGCGACTGTAAGTCTGCCCTTCCACACACTCATCATGCTGCGACTAACGAACAGAGACAGACCGCATCGCAACCCCCACTCACCCCTCCAACCTCTCCACCCCCGAAACACTCCTGTACTCCGGCCACACCCTCACCTCCGGCTCCGCCTACCGCTCCTACGCTGGTGTCACCGCTCTCGCTACCGCCGGCTCCTACTGCGGTACCCCGCTCCCCGCCGGTATCCTCCCCCTCCCCTCTGCCTCCCTCTCCTCCTACCGCGGCCACGCAGCCGCCATGCCCATCGCCGACTCCGCACCCTGGCCCTTCAATTTCGCGGACCTCGCGCCGAACCCGGTCCCCTGGGACGCGTGGATCAGTCAGGATTTGTGCTTTAATCACCAGAGTGACCCGGCGTGTCAGACGGTTACGCAGGCGGCGTATCGGCCTTGGTTGGTTTATCCGAGGGAGTTTTTTGGGATGGAGAGGGAGTGGAGCAAGTGTGTGACGGGGGCGTTTGGGATTGTGGATCCGCCGACTGCTTTGCCCAAGGCGGAGGTGGAAGTTGTGCCGACGATGTCGAGGGGAGTGGAGAGGAGCGCGACGGCGGCGGAGCCGGGGATGGGGTCGGAGGGTAGTTTGGGAGGGACGCAGACGCCGGCGCCTGAGCTGGAGACCACAAGAGGCGTTATAATACCGAAGGAGAGCAGGTCCCGAGCCGCTGATCCTACTGACTCTGCGATTGAGCCGCATGTTTCTTCCAGGCCTGAAGCAACATCACAAGAAAAGCACGGTACAAAGCTACATGTACCCAACACTTCCGGGAGCACTGAGAAAACATATCCCAAGCCTGTGCCACCACTCGATTCACCAGCTGATCCAACCGGCGGCGCCAGCGATGCCGACCATGCGAGCTCCGTAAATCCAGTCGATCCAGTCGACCCTATTACAGCACCGCTGAGTGCGTATGGCGCAAGCACGCAAGCACAAGCAACAACCATCTTCAACATCCCAACGACAGCACTGGCCAACAGCAAAGTCTTTGTCGGCTCCCAGCTCCTCTCAGCCGGATCAGAGGGTGACGCCGTCTCGTTGGGCACACACATACTCTCGCAAGGCGAGAAGACACGAATCGGCGGCACATTCGTGTCACTCGGCTCGAAGACTCTGGTGGTCGGTGTGCTTCCAACGCCTCCTCCGACCGACCCGGAACCGCCGAATGCACTTTCTGTCTTGAGCGAGGCGCAGACGGAAGGCAGACCTACTGCTAAGGTCACGGTGGGTGGTGAGACGTTTACTGCGTATTCTGGCGGAATTGTTGTTGGAGGGGAGACGACGTATGAGCCTGGACGTTCTATCATCTCTGCCGGTGGGGAGGCGTTGAGCTTGGGGAGTCATGGAGTTGTGGTCGGCGGTACGACGATCGGTTTTGAGGCTCCAAGCGATGCGCCCTCCTTGACAGCGAATGATGCGTCTGGTGAACAGTCTGCTCCAGCGAAAGCTACCAGATCGCGAATGGAGCTGACGTTCGCTCACGGCACGACATGGAGGACGACAGTTACTGGTACGATCGATCGGTCTGGCCACACCATCGTCTCCATGGGCAAGAGCACATTCACTTACAGCGGTCAAAGTGCTGTGGTGCACGGTACAACGTTCCGTCTGCAGTCAACAGCGAAGGGAAGCTCGCAGGAATCGAGCGACAAGCACAGCTCCGCTCAAAAGACCGGCGGTATTTCTGGCCTTCCGAGCATCGTGTATGCGCCGCGTCCTACTTCTTCCGGTCCACTGCCGTCGATTGTTGATCCCAGCGGTGAAGGAGGGTCGCGAGCCTCGTCCACGAGCACAAGCTCCAGCACCTCTTCGGCTTCCTCGCTTGGTCTGTCGGATTCGCTGGATTGCTTACGCTATGGTATGGCCCTGATCTTCCTGCTATCGTTCTTTGGGTGAACGATTATCCATTCTACGATGGGAAGGAGAACTCGGCTATCGATGTTGGCGCCTACACGACGGTGTGGCCAGAAAGAGCAAGGAGCTTCGACGAGCTTGTTGGACACAACGTATTACTTCTTGCTGTCGACTGGGCAGTGGTGTATTACGAGTGGCATAGCGGCCTGCGGTGCATCTCCCTATCGCTGTCAACACCTTCGTCTGGAAGTCCTTCTATCCGAGATCTCCTGTATGGTACACCGTCAATCTGCGTTCTCTTCAAAGTCCCGCCCACCTTAACCAGGCCACTATCCTAGAAGCGAGGACGGTCGAGGACAACAACACTCTACCGACGATTGCGGTTACCGAGCAACTGCTTTTCCGATCAGCTACCAAGATCGAGTGTGAGGTGAAGGGGACATACGCTATTTCATATGACGGGAGAGGCGGAGCTGCCGGGAGGTTATAGCAATCTGGATCTTCCTGGCAACCATAGCAAGGCCTGCAGCGATGTTAGTAAGCCTCAAATCGACCGGCTTTGAAGATGCCTCGCCAGTCCAGCAGACTGCTGGAGTGATGGCCGTCCGTTACGGGCTACGTCGAATCTGGTCGCCGTTGCGTCGATTACGGAGCTATGGCGTGAGCTCATCACAGGCATGTTGTCGGCGGCGTTCGGATTGGAGGACAGAGGGTAAGGGGGTAGTAGCAGTCGAATCGAGTGGTCTTGAGGCTTGCATAACCTGTGTTCGGCATGGAACCAGGAGGAGACTCTCAGGGGCCTTGCAGGTCATGGGGTTGTGCGCGGCGAGTGCGCTGCAGCGCCGCAGTTGGTTCATCCAACCCGGCCCTCCAGCACTACGATGCAGCCTCATCTTTGGACAACGCATAGCATTCACCGCCATTTGCAACTCTCCCCGATAAACGCGTCTGGCCCTTTTGGCCTACCCTCTACCTTCGTCAACGCTCCCCCCCTCTCACTCAGGGAAGCTCTACTTCTAGAAGGTTCTGTGATTTTGCCGTCCGTGTCCTTGAGCGAAGTTTTCGGCAGGGCTGATCCTGCCAAAGAGCTTGGCCCTTGGAACCTCCGCAGGCGCCACAAATCTGGCCTTGCCGTTCGCTGTCTGAGCACTGACGACGCCAATCCAACTTCACGGCTGTGGACCCGAGGATGCCTGTGATGCTTCCATCGAGGGACAGCTCTGTGAATCTTGGTTCGCGCGATGCGGATTGAATAACGCGTTGTCACTTGCACATACACTCGTGATCGAGCCGAACGAGATGAACGCATCTAGCAGACAAATTTCGTCAGGTTTTCAACGCCCTGACACCCCTGCCGGTCGGCGGGCTGTCAAACAATAACCGTACCTATTTTTATTGCGCATGACCTCGAAATCCCCCTTCAATTTACCAAAGCGCTGTAGTCGGATTGCTGCAGCACATAACGAGGATCGATCAGCGGTCCGAGTTGGGGAGCAGAAGTCCAGATCGTACGTTGTAATAAAGAATTGAGGTGGGACGGGGGCAGGTGGGTTGCAGAAATAGCGTGTCAAGGCAGACAAACAGAATCCCAAGGGAAAGGCTCGATGGCCCGTGGCGCTGGGTAGTCTGGCGGGCCGTAACCTGGACGAATCGAATCGATGTTCGGCGCACTGCTACACCGGCCAATTTCAACTTCACCTTGAACTTGTTAAACTTCGCCCATCCATGATGATGACACCCAAAGTAACAAACATATTCAAACACGGCGGTCGATTTGCATGTACTCAAACCCTCCGTTTGGTCCAGGAGGGTCCTTTCCAGCGCTTCCATAGAGACGACTCGTTCGCCCACTCTAAACCACTATTCCACGTTATTCCCGCGAACACCCAGGTCACTTACAGCGCGTGAAGTGCTTCGTTGCGGGCGGTGGCGCTCACGGAACATCTTACCGAGCCATATACCCCTGTCGCAGCACTGTTCTGGTTCTCGACGAGAGAATAAGAGACGGCCCCTCGCCCTGACTTATAGGCAGTATATCCTAGCTTACGCTTAATCTTTGGAAGTTCATTCGGTTATCGCCTGCTGAAATCGTTGCACTTTACGCATGTGAAAAGGTCTTTTACAGTCAAACATGGAGCATGCCTCCGACTGCGGCCACAAATCAGCGCAGACCTCAACAGCCAACCCAAGAGGAACGATTCTCCTGCACATCCTGTCCAACTTCCTTCGCGAGGGACTATGATCTTAGGAGGCACATTCGAAAGAAATGCGAGGGAGGCTCGGAATGTTGGCACTGCAAAGAATGTCGCGTGACTGGTGATCGCGAAGCAGAGTGTTGGACGCATGCTTTCTCTCCCGGCTGTCACATCATCATTCCTCTGAAGAAAGCCTACGGTTGTCCTTACTGTACGAAACCACATGGAGATCTGGGGACTTGGATCTCGTGCATCCTGAAACACCAAAGACAAGATGACAACCCCCTTCCCGAACTTTGGAAACGTCTCGTAGGCCTCATGCTGCAAACCGACCCTGCTATCAGGGCTGCTGTCGAACATGCCTGCGCCCGACGGGGTTGGACTCGCAATGATTTGATCAATCTCCGGTGGGACGACGATGTTTGCATCAATTGCGCTGATGAGCTTCAATACGGATGCTGTGCCCATATGGACTCCTACCAGAAGGGCGTCAAGAATCCAGGAGAATTCATTGAGCATCTGATGTCGAAGGCACGGTTCCCGGATGCAAGCTCCGCTGGGACTGGGCACGCAGCTGCTGCACCTTGCAGCGTGTCTACCAATGAAGAAGATTCGCAGGCGCAGATACATACAGGATATGAAGCGATGACATCGTCGGCAATGAGGCGCAATCTCTCCCTGGATTCGAACGTCTACCCGGAGAGCAGCGCACAAGACATGCGCATGACTTTCGCAGATCATGCTGCTTACCGTGCAGACCCGTTACTGCTTTCGCTACACCACTTTCCTTCTCGACAACACTATGTTGGAGATAGCGCTGCTCAACCTCTCACTGACTACGTTCAAAATCCCGACTGGGATCTTACACCAGAAGCCTCCCACCCTAACTGGTACGTTGTTCAGAGCAACTCAGCTGGCTCCCAATTCGGTACAAACTCTGAGAACTGTTGGGAAAGCTTTGAGTCGCCCTTGCAGTCCGGAGCAATGGCCAGCGACGCTGATCAACAAGGGCGTACATCCACATCAACGACGACGCCAATCCGCGCTCAACACGATCTCTCGGAAACAGCGCTCTACTACGACAGCACCGAGTGAAAGACGGCACACATCTTTGAACTCAAAGCCTACGCACTTCGCAACCAACGTACCCAACCCTTTTCGATTGGAGCTTTCTAGCATCTTTGATACCTCGCGTCACCACCCTCACCGACCCGACCGACTTGCATTTTTCGATTCTCGGCAATTTTGGCCCTTGTAGATGGCATCCAAGCTTTGTGCATACAGCATCAAGACAGAGCATAGCATTGGCGTGATCATCACTTTACAATTTATTCCGGCTTTATGTGTCATGGGATGGGAGGGGATCTGACGAACGATTTATGTATCATAGACAGCATTGGAAGGGTTTACAGGACATCGCTAGAGAGTGTGAAGCAATGCACAGCCATCACACCACTTATTTCCGCCGCTCAAGCAGCACATTCAGTCCTTCCTGCTTCACCACCCACGAGTTGAGTATCCGCCAGTCCTTCTCCGGCTCCGCCAGCCTCATCTCGTACCGCAGAACCAAAGCAGGAACCAACTTCGTCAGCTCCATCATCGCAATATTCCTTCCCAAACACGTCCGCTTTCCCGCTCCAAAGGTGAGTAAATGGTGCTCCATGTACTTCACCCCTTCCTCATCCGCCTCTAACCACCTCTCCGGCCGCCAGGCCTCAGCGTCATTTCCGAAGATCCGAGGGTCGCGATGGAGCACCCAGGGATTTATCCCAACGATAGTGCCGGGTGGGAAGTCGTGGAACCCAATCCGTAACCCGGGACCATGGGGAACTATACGTTCGAGCGGGAGTGCGAGGGCGGGGTTGAGGCGGAGGGACTCTTTGATTACGGCGGTGAGGTAGGGGAGGGATTGGCATTCGGTCCAGGTCGGGAGGGGGGTAGTTAGGGTGCCGGCTTTCTCGGCGTCGAGGAGTTCTGTTGTGAGGATGGCGAGAGTGGAGGGGTGTTTGAGGAGATAGTAGAACACTGCTCGCAGCACGGAGGCGATGGTGTCGCTGCCGGCGTTGATGTTCATGAATAAGTACGCGAGCAGGCGGGAGTCGGTGACGGTATCTGGTTCTTCGGCGCGGACGGTGAGGAAGCGGGAGAGGAAGTCGGGCTTGCTGGGGAGAGTGCCGTGGAGGACATTTTCGCGCAGTGCTGGGTCGGAGATGGTGATAGCCGGTGCGGCGGTCTCGGTCTCGTTGAGTCGTTCTTCGAGTCGCCGTTGGCCAAAGCCTATTACGGGGTTGGAGACGGGTTTGGCGAAGTATTTGAGGTAGATGGGGTTCTTGTAGGTGAGGAGGTCGAGCCACGGCATCTGGCCAAGGACGGAACAGCGGTCGAAGTTCGCGCCGACGGAGTGGCAGATGCTTTCTACGTCTTCGCCCTTTTCCAGGAAGCCCAGTCGTTTAGAAAAGGTCAATTCGCCAATCACATCGAAGGCGTACCATTGCAGCCACGTGCCGAGATCACAAGTCTTGCCGGTCCCAGCGAAGAGTTCGTCCAGTCGATGTAGAAAAACCGCAGTCGTGGAGTCGATCAACGGCTCAAACTCCTTCAACGTCGACAACGAGTAAGCCGCCGCAATGGGTTTCTTCATCGCCGCGTGCTGGGCTTCGTCCGTCGTGAACACCATACTCGCCACCCGCTTCCCGTTGACAACGTTCTGCCATACTTCGTAGAAGCTGGACTTTACATAGCCCTTTCCGATGCCATAAATGGCCGGGATGAGGTCCGGTTTGCAGATACTGATACAGTTGGGTCCGATGCGAACCAGATCGCCGTGCTTCTTATGCAGAGCGAGGTAAGTCTCATGAGATTTTCGTGAGCGGACGACGAAGAAGCGCCAGAGGTCTGTGAAACCTGCGAGGACGGGACCGGGGATGTTGCCATGGGTTGCTTGGGTTGACGTGATGTAGCCGAAGATGAGGAGGAAGATGAGGAGATAGAGGACGAGTCGAGCGAAGGAATCAGAGATGGACCAGGAGCTGTCTAATGCCATGGCGCAGGAGATGCGGACTTATCTTGTGCTCATGGAGCTGGAGAGTCTATATGCTATTGGTCTTTCCCCTCGCATGTAGTTGAGATGCGGCACCATTCCGTTGTGCTGGAGTCCAGGTTCCGAGTGTTTTGCGAGGTGGAGTCGAAAGAAAGCTCAAAGCTTGGCGAAGTGAATGTTAAACCTTATCTTATCGGGATCAGATCTAAGATCGTGACTTCTCTTCGAATTTTGCTGTCGACAGCATCGTCAAACACACAACGCCATGGCCGCCGCAGCCATGGATACAAACGCGCTGCCGTCGACGCTACAAAATGCACAGCACACCTTTCTGCAACCCACGCTGCCCCTCTACACAGACACACTCGCCTACCTGAAGCATGCGCTTGACCCTCTGGCGCAGGATGTCAGTAAGACGCAACAGCAGCGCCAACAGGAAGTGCGAAAGAAGAGAAAGCGGGGAGAGAAGCTGCTGGACGAGGACGTGCTCCGGCTAAAGCAGATTCACACAGATGGCTTCAGTGTGGAGCAGGTATGGGAGCAGGCGAGGCGGGTCATTGATGCTGTGGCTGTCGAAGCAGAGAGGGGAGTAGAAGTGGCAGAGTTGGACCGGTCGGCAGGAATCAATGGGCACGATGAGGTCGAGGAAGAGGAGGTTTACGATTCTGCGGACGACGATAGCTTGGGTGAGGAGGGCGTGGATTATGAAGTAGAGGGTGCGGACGTCGATGGCGAGGATGCTGAAGGCGAGGACCATGATTTGGACATGGATGGCGTTGATGATTACCATGATCAAGGCCTGGACGACGACGACATCGATATGGATATCGAAGGAGCGGAAATTGGGAATGACGAGCCGGCAGAGGAATTCGTGGCCGACAAGTTCGGGCTGAACGATGGCTTCTTCTCCATTGACGACTTCAACCGCAAATCGGACTTTCTAGAACAGCAAGATGCGCGAGGCGACGACGACGGAGCAGCGAGCGACGAAGAAGACATTGACTGGGATGCGGACCCAGTTGCGCAGACAGCTGGTGCCCATGGAGCTGCAGCAGACGGTCAGGACGACGAAGATGATGACGACGAAGGGCCTACGTTCGGCGACCCAGATGCATCAAGCGAAGATGAAGAAGACGTCGATGCTGGTGAGTTGGATGCGATGGGTGGTCTGTCGAACACCAACGACATCATGTACAAGGACTTTTTCGCTTCACCAGCACAGAAGAAGCGGAAAAATAAGAAAGGACGGCCGAACCCTCATAACTTCCCAGCGCCGGCGCAGAATGGCGGAGGCGATGAAGCTGCTGAGGAGGATGTTGAGCGAACAATGGCAGCGGTCCACCGCGATCTGTTCGAAGATGATGAATCCGAACAGGAAGAAGAAGAGGCGCCGGAAAAGCTTGATCCATCCGACCCAAGATCTCGACGCTCTGCCTACGAGCGCAAGAAGGCTGCTCTAGCTGAAGAGATTCGCAAGCTCGAAGCTGCAAACGTAGCAAAACGTGAATGGACATTATCTGGCGAGGCTCGCGCAGCCGATCGACCCCTCAACTCTCTTCTCGAAGAAGATCTAGACTTTGAGCGCACCGGCAAGCCGGTACCCGTGATCACGGCCGAAGTCAGCGAGAGCATCGAAGAGCTCATCAAGCGCCGTATCCTCGCGCACGACTTCCAAGATATCATTCGACGACGACCAGACGACCTTGCCACAGGCTCTGCAGCCAGGCGGGGCAGACTGGACTTCCAGCTGGACGACAGCAAAAGCAAGAAAGGTCTGGCCGAAGAGTACGAAGAGGAGCATCTGCGCCGCACTGACCCGAACTTTGTCGATGCCAAGGATGAGAAGACGAAGAAGGAGGAAAGGGAAATTGAGGCCATGTGGAAGAAGATCTCTGCTGATCTCGACAGTCTTAGCTCCTGGCACTTTAGGCCCAAGCAAGCAGTGCCGCAACTCGACATCAGGGTGGATGCGCCAGCTATCAGCATGGAAGACGCTCGGCCAAGCGCCGGTGGTGAAGTAGCAGGAGCTAGTCAATTGGCGCCCCAGGAGGTGTATAAGGCTGGAGAAGGAGCTAAAGGCGTACGAGAGGAGGTTGTTGACAAATCTGGCCTGCCTGCTGGTCGTGAGGAGATGAGTCGTGAGGAGCGGAAGAGGAGGCGAAGAAGGGAGAAGGAGAGAATCCGGAAGGCTGGTACGAATGAAGGAGAGAAGGAGGGGGGAAAGAGGGAGAAGAAGAAAGAGATGTTGGGTGATCTCAAGAAGGGTGGTGTGAAGGTTATCGGACAGAAGGGCGATGTGAGAGATGTGGAGGGGAGAGAGGTGAAGGCTGGGAGTGGTGGGGGGCAGGGTGGCGGAAGCTATAAACTCTGATCGTAAATTATAAATTCGACAGAGCTATACGGTAACGTCTTCAAACCCTGTCTAAGATTTGTATGTCGATACAGCCTTGCTCATGCACGTTGAGTGGGGTCGATGGTGGCTCAGCAGAGATGTCTTATCTACCAATTTCGACCTCGCGTTCTCAGCCTTGCACAGCTTGAAAGTTTTTGACCAAACCGTATGCCTAACCACTGATGTAACCAACATGCCAGATCCGCTGAGCATTGCAACCGGCGTACTTGCTCTGCTCCAAGTGACGGGTTTCGTCGCAAGCGAACTCAAGAAGTTCCACGATGGCTCATCCCTTGCGAATAAAACCCTCTCCGACCTCCACAGAGACCTCGAGAGCCTGAACAGGGTCTTGGAGTCGATGCGTAATGCTTTTGAGCACATCACAGCCGAACAAAGTGGCACGACGGGGCATGTTGGCGCTCTGTGGGACAATGTCGCACGCTCGATACAAGACAGCAAAGATGTCATGAGAGAGTTGCAAAACTTATTGATCGAGATCAACAAGGACGCCAGCTTCCTCGACGAGCATCGGAAGCAACTTCGACTCAAACGTGCCGAAGAACGAATCACCCGGTTTCGTCTGCACATCCACTCATACCGGGATGGCCTGCAGCTCTCTATGCAAACAATCATCCTTGTCAACCAGATGTCTTATAGCAAATCGGCAGAAGACAAAGTACTGCCCAGTCTGAGCCAGCTCCAGGACGATGTCCGCCGAATCGCTGTGGGCCTAAACCAACGGATCGTCGGCTTACGAGGCACTCCCGGTACGCCTCAAGATGATGTGCAACAGCAAGTTGCAGCTATGAGCAATCTGCGAGACTGCGTCCGCTCTGCCGCTAGTACGATCTCTTCGGCTACGACAGTCATGACGGCGCGGAGGCTCGACGACGACGCGAAGTCGGATCTTGCAGACTATTTCCCAGCAGAACAGAGCCTTGCCATGCAGAGATGGATGGAATCTCAGACTGTCTGTGAATACGGAGAAGACTCTGCTGTCCATTATCCGCCACCCCAATCAGTGGCCGACGTTCCAGTCTTCGAAGGGGACGGAGATGCAGACTCCGACGATGAACTGCAGGACGAGATTGTGCGACTGCTTTACGAGAGCGGCATGGCCAAGCTACGTGCCGGTGATACGTCAGGGGCAGAAAGGTCGTTACGGAACTGCCTCAACCGGCTACGCCAGGCAGGTATCGGCAGACCTGGGAGCGCACTCGGGCAGCAAAGCGAGACCCTCAGGCTGGTGGTAACACGTCTGTGTGACATCTTCCACTCACAACAACGGTGGATCGAGTGTCAGGACGTGCTATCGCAGAAATTAGCGCTCATTGAGCGTCTTAGCGGCACGAAAGATCTGGAGTACTTCAGAGACTCCATTTTGCTTGCTAATGTGATGAAGGAGCTAGATGACACAGCAGCCGCGCAGCTGCATGCGAGACGAGCTCTCAAGGGCTGTCGGAAGCTACAGGACACTGTTGGGGTCGACGCCTCTTTGGTGTTGCTGATCGATCTCTGTGAGGCCGACGGCAACGAGAACGACAGAGATGCCTACGCTACAATGCTTGAGACGCTGGTAGTGTATGAATCGAGTCCGGCGCATGCTGGCCAGATGCCCGAACAACATGGCGCGTCATTGGCAGATGCACCTTCGAGCATAGGCCCGACAGAAGCCGCCGCCGCGGCCGTATCCAAGCTGAACCTCCAGAGCACAGCAGCTGAGGGCAGGCGAGGACAGTTCGGAGACCGCTCCAAGACCACGGGTCTTCATATGGTCACTCAACAGAGGACACAAGATCAACGCCAGGCTCGTACTACCGCTGAACTTGTCGGTCCCACAGCAGAACCCGTACCAGAAGCGCCAGTCTTCACGGCCAAAATTGTTCTTATCGGTGACTCAGGAGTGGGTAAAACGTGCCTCCTGAAAAGGTTCTGCCAGGGTGTATTCCTTGACGAATATACTCCCACTACCTTCGATAACCATGTGGATAACGTTGAGTTGGATGGCAAATACATGCATGTGGCTCTACGGGATACTGCTGGAGCTCAAGGAAGCTACGACGACCTTCGACGGGCATCGTATCGGGACGCACACGTGGTTCTCATCTGTTTCGCTATCAACGATCCGTATTCGTTGATGAACGTCGAACGAAAGTGGTACCGGGAGACCATGGAGCTTTGCCCAAAAACCCCGACACTACTTGTTGGCCTGCAACTCGATCAACCCATCACGACCCTCGACATGGTACAAAAGCGTCTTGTGGCGCAGAAAGAAAGTGTAGCCGTGGGACGAACAATCGGCGCGCGGAAATACTTCGAGTGCTCTGCAAAGACGGGCGAAGGGGTCAGGGATTTGTTTGAGTATGCTACTCGCACGGCCGTAGCTTACGGGACGAAACCATCGAAGAAAAAAGAGAAAGGCTCTCTGAGAAGACTGTTCGGTTCCCGAGGTTGATGCTGAAACTTAGTGGCACAAGCAAGCGCTATCGTCCGCCCTACATAGGCTCCGGCAATGTCGATGCTATCGCCCATCCCGTACGTATAAAAAGCGCTGATACTTCGCCGCGGTCCGCCGCCTGCAGGCCTTGCCCCAGTAGATCATCGGCACCGTCAGAAGCTGGAAGAAGAGCGACAGAACTCCAATGCCGATGAACGTCCCGGAAAGCCCGCTTGCTTCGAGCCACAGGGATGTGGTGAAGGTGAAGATGCATGCCAAGGTGTTGTTGATAACAGCGACACCGACCATACCTTCGAGAACAATCTCCGGATACGCATCCATCAGGTAGGCCATACTCAAGTCGCCGGCGCAACCCCATCCGAACCCTATCATGCCCAAGCCGATGTAGGCGCCTGGATTCGAATCCCATTGCCAACCATGCCCGGATCCGATCCCGAAGAGCATGAGACCAGCAGGACTGATGATTGCAGAGAGGAGTAGAAGCCACAATCGATCCTCAGCTTCAGTCATCCCACCGCGGTAACGCTTCGAAATCCACTGCACGAAGAAATCTGAAAACCAGCCACCGTAGATACAGCCGATCACGGATCCAATCAAAGTAGGAACGTTCAAGATGTTGACTGCGGCGTTGCCATAGCGCCATGGACGGCCATAGTAGTTGTCCTCTTCGACCGTGAGGTAGAATGTTAGCCAAGCATCTTGGGCTCCCCATTGCAGCCCTGCAAAAATAACGGCAGGCAGTGTGAAGACGCGCAGGATATGGCCCAATCGCTGGATGTACTGCTTGAACCCCCAGCCGATGAGGTTCGGCGCCGGTGTGATGATGGCGATGCGCTTCAGGTAGGGCTTCTGCTGATCAATGGGCTGGCCTGTCTCACTATCGATGTGACCTAAGTCACCTGCTTCCTCTCGGTAAGGAGCATTCTTGCCGTCCCTAATGGTCTCATCCGCCGGAGCAATATCTTTTTCGTGGTGAACACTGTGACGATGTCCGAGAAAGACATTGCGGTCGAAGCTCGTTTCTTCGAGACCGAAGAAGAAAACTACGAAGGTCGCGGCAGAGATGATTACCGTGCACCATCCGACCCATCGCCAGTCCCAGATGGCGACGTAGCCGGCGACAAGAGGGCCCAGGAAGGTGCCGATGGAAGTGGCTAACACGTACAATCCCAGGACAAGGCCGCGTCGATGCTCGAAGAACAAGTCACTCAAAGACTGCTGGGCCAAAGCTTCGGCGCAGCTCTCAGAAGCGCCAACGAAGAGCTGACACCAGATGGAGTCCCTGAAGTAGCGAGCAAGATGGTTAGCAAATTCATGACCTTGGGAAACGTGGAAGGGGGTATTCAGATCCACTGCTTCACTTACTGGACGTTCATGATTCTAGCGAACCAAATCGAACCGATGATGGACCAGAGCAAGCATACAAAGTACTGCAATCGCCGTCCATAGAGCGTTGGCATTGGACTTCCTAGCAGCGCCCAGTAGCCGATACCGATGAATAACACGCCCGCAGCTGTGTTGGCGACACTGTAAGCGATACCGAGCTCTCCTAACAGAGCGTCTGCTGCTGCGCCTACAAGCAGAAGAGCCAGAAGGTCAGCGACGCCTCAGACAGTATATTTGCTGTTACTGTCCGTACCAGCATCATTCGAAGTGGCCGCCGTAAAGCCTGTGATGAACAGTACCAGGCTGGCGTGCCATATCTTCCGCCACGATGCCCAGTTTAATGGGTCGTCTGTCGGTAGTAGGAATATCAGCAAAGGCTTGACGAAAAGCGTCGTAGCTTAGGCTTACTCGGCGATTTGGTCGGTGTTGGCGAGAGTACAATATTCTCCGTCAACTGCCCGGTAACCGGGTCGCGATGGAACAGACGACGGGTCCCTGCAAGCTCTGCTTCTTCGTGTACAGCTGTGGTTTTCGTTGCTTCTTCGTGCTCGCCCTCCACTTTCGGCGGCGTTTCATCAGCTACAACACCGCTGTCGCCAACGGCCGTCGCCAGCGGGTTGTCCTCGCCCACTGCCATTGCGATGTGTGTCCGACGGATTAGAGTGCGAGACCTGAAGTCAAAGAGCAGCTCACAACCTGCATTCACGCGTTATCGGGCGGCACGAGCACATGCCCCGACGTGGCCACCACGCTCTCCCCACCCCAGTGCCACCAGATAACGGCAAGGCCGGCGCGCTGTTGGATGTGTCAATTGGCCAATCTTTCGCTAAGCCTCCAGAAGAAAAACCTTGGAAGGCGCGATCGGTTGTGCCTTCTTCCTTTGGCACGATCTGTCAGCGGCTGGACCACAACCACACTCCAGCTCTCCCCACGATGCGTCTTCGAACTCTTCCTTTCCTTCCTCCAACCTTTCAGCTCCAGGATCTGCCAAGCAGCATTCCAGCACACCAGACGCCACAAGCGAATGTCAACTTGTCAGTTAAGAATGGCACAACTCTACTCCCTGACGTCCCAACGGGATATCAGTAGTCCGCCCAAAAAGCCGTCCTCGAGTCTGTTCCCCAGCGTGGTCGAGGCATCCAAGGATCTCTCAACCTCTCTCACCAACGCCGCAACGGTGGGAGAGCTGCCGACGTCCACGGTAAACGGACAAGGCGAGGCCACGCTGGGGGTAAAGAAGCGGGTGGTGATTGTTGGAGCTGGCATCTCCGGTCTACGTGCTGCATCCGTCTTGCAGCGAAACGGCGTGGAAGTGATTGTCATCGAAGGTCGTGGCCGCATCGGCGGCCGCATCCACACCACGCACACTGATCAGGGCGCCAGGGACATGGGTAAGCAACAACGCAAAGTTGTGGCTGACACTGAGCTGCAGACCTGAGCGGGTCTGCTTGATAGCTGCTACATACGGCATCGGCACCTCCAGGGTAGACCTGCCATCTTACTTATTCACATTCACTTGTAGGCGCTGCCTGGATGCACGAGACCTCGCAAAACAACCTCGTGAAATTAATTCCTCGACTAGGTATTGAATATTACTACGATGATGGCATGGCCATCTATTATACGGAGCATGGACGTGCTGGTGCACAGTTCAAGGCCAAGAAGGTTGCGGATGAGTTCGCTGATTACTGTGAATGGTTCTACGATACGCATCCTGACGAGCCGGACCGCGATGTTGCGGGCTTCGTCGATGAGTTTGTTCGAAAGCACCAGCTCATCACCAAAGACGAACGTGCATGGGCTCCTCAGGCGGTGAAAGAGGTAGAGCTTTGGATCGGAACAAGCGTTGAACAGGCGTCTGCGAAACATCTGAGCTACTTCATCACTGAGCGCAATCTCTACATGAAGGGTGGGTATGACTCGATCGTCGATTGGACAGCGAAATCACTACAGAGCAACCCGGATACTATTCGTCTGGGTCACACGGTCGAGAACATCGTCTGGAGCGAAGATGGCTCGATGACAAACGTTGTTGAATGTCGCCTGAAAGATTGTACGGCAGCCAACTTCACGGCGGATGCAGTCATCTGCACGATTCCTCTTGGAGCACTACGTCACGAGCTTGTGTCCTTCAACCCTCCACTTCCCAATGACATTCAGACTGGACTGACGCGGTTCTCCTACGGAGCTCTCGGCAAGATCTTCTTCGAGTTCACAGACGTCTTCTGGTCGAAAGACAACGATCAGTTCATCTACTATCCATCACCGCCAGAATTGGAGGATGGCGAAGAAGTCTACAGCTCGTCCGCTGGATCGGGCAGCTCCACGACTCACGACAATATCCTCAACTATGCGACTGTCACGATCAATCTATGGATCATGACGGGCAGCAAAGAGCTGTGCGTGCAGGTAATAACTCCACCTTCCATCTTAAGGCCTTCTCATGCTCCAACACCTCGCTAACCTCACGACCCTCCAGATCGCCGAGCCGCTCACCCAACGTATCGAAGCCATGACCAACAAAAAGGACCTCTACAAATTCTTTGAACCCCTCTTCAAACTCTACCGCACCGAGCCCTACAAAGCCCTGCCCTCCCTCGTCAACATTGAAAAAACCAACTGGACCCAAGACCCTCTTGCAGGCTTCGGCTCCTATTCGGCCGATAAGGTTGGCGACGAGCCGTCTCTGCTTCTTGAGGCGCTGGATGCTCATCGGGATAGTCGACTGCAGTTCGCCGGCGAGCATTGCACTGAGGTCGCTAATGGGTGTGTGCACGGGGCGTTCGCCACTGGGGAGAAGGCGGCGAGGAATTTGTTGCGGGCGTTTGGGATGGAGATGGATGGGGGGGATGAGGTGAGCCTCTTCTGAGCTTCCAGTGATTGCAGCATCTTCGTGCGAGAAGGATAAGGTCATCATTATGGTTGCAGTCAACGAGTAGCATGTCATCCTGATCGTTTGGTTGAACACGTTCATGAATCACATCTCTTCAATATCAGCTTTATACATATCTACCGTCACATTAGCCAACGCCATCCCAAAGAACTCCCTCCCCCTCATCCTCGCCCCTACAATCCCTTCCGCAACCGCAATGTTCTCCTCCGGGAAGCCTTCATCCCTCAAACTCCGATAATACCCCTCCACCAGTGCTTTCCCACACTCTGCCACATCCCAGCCCTCCTCCAACATCGCGGGCGAAGGTCGAATCGCCCAGATCAACGTCAACGGTCCTTCGCCGACTTCCAGGCCAGGTTGAACGTGTGCGCTACACACCCTCCCGTCCTGCCCTCGGAGCATCAACGCTCTCGACCCAGACCGCGCATGAATCTCCGCCCTCTCCGTCGCCGTCCCCTTACTCGCCTCCGTAGTCCCGTAGCCCGTCGGTTCGCTCTCGAACAACGTGAACGGCACCGTCCTTCCTCCCCCCAAGGCTTCAGCATCTGCTGTCGCGACGGCAAGGACAAGCGTATGCAGCACCTCACTCAAATCTTGTCGCCGATTCTGGGGCCGGACGTAGATGTACTGTAAATACGGCACAGCGTACTTGGCCCCTGTGCCGGTTGCCGGGAGGAAGAGGACGGAGAATTGTGCAGCGCCGATGGCTTCCCCTGCGTTGTCACGGAGTCCGAGGACGCGGTAAGGTGCGAGGCCAGATCGTTGGCCGGCGAAGTCGGCTGCGAGGCGAGCGGTGATTAGGGAGGGGTTCTCGCGCTCCTGACCATGGAAGAAGGTCGTGTAGAGGGGTTGGTAGTCTTTCTCGAAGGCCTGCGGGGAGACGAGCTCTATCAGGCCGATGTTGGGAAGAGCAGTCGTAGCCAGGCGAGGGGAGGGGAGGCGTGAGAGTTGTTGCAGGTCAGTGTTCTTCAGTAGGTCGTGGAGCCGCGGCGAGAAGTGGTGGGGTTGGAAGGGGTCCATTGTCTTTTTCATCGTCCATTGGATATGTTCAAGTGGTGGAAGAAGAGATCTGGGAATACTTTGGAACAGTCGTACAAACTGGTGGCGTAGAGCTTAGACATTGACCTAGGCACTGTTTAGAGGTCTTGATCCAAGGCCAAGGCCAAGGTACTACCTCGATGGCCCTCAGGCAGAGCTACATGTAACAAACAGATAACGCCAGAAGAAAAATGCAAGCCAGAACGTACGACTGCAGCCCAATCTATCACACCTGGGACGCCATATTGCAAAAACGATGCCCAATCCCATACCCTCAAACGAATGTGACCAGCCTCCAGTAACCCCCCAAAAGCAAAAACATCCTCAGCCCTACTCACATCGTAACTCCCATCCCATCCCCAACTCGTTCACTAAAACCCCGCACGCACCCCGCCATGCCGTTGCAGTGCTTAACAATCAATCGAATAACTCCCAAGCCCCAATCCCTCATGTGCCAAACACCCGTTAACCTGAATCGCACTGCCGGCACTGCAAGACCGGTCCGTGTAAACCGTCACTACATCATCGTCAGCAACACATCTTGCCAACCCTTCACCCCTCTCCTCCTTTCCCCTGCATGGGTAAGGAGTAAATACTCACCCGTGCACCCCTCAGGTTGACTCAGCAGCATGAAAGCGTGCGTGTTGGCGCCCGTTTGCGAGCACTCCGAGCCGCCCGCGCCGGTGACGGTGTTGAAGCCGGCGTTGGGGTCGCAGAAGTTGCCGTCGTAGAGCTGGGCGGCGAAGCCTTGGGCGGCTGCGAGGCCGGCGGCGAGGGGGAGGAGGAGGATGGTGGAGAGCATTGTTAAGTTGATTGGTTGAGTGTTTGGTGGGGTGGAGGTCGGATGGATGGGGATAGGATGTGTATGCTGGTCTTGCTGGAGTCGTAAGTGGTGGTGGTTGATGAAGAAGTGTGAAGTTCGCGCAGCGACAGAAAGTGCTTTATACTGTATCTCCCGTCTTTCTCAAGGTTGGTAGGGAACTAAAGACGGTCTAAGAATGGACACGTTGTCAGCAATGGCGCATGCTTCGTTGGTATTGGCGTTTTCCAGGTGTCCGGGCGGTAGTACTATACATAGGGATCTGCTCGAGGCATTGCTCAATGTTCGAGGCAGCATGCTTGCTCGATGGCAATACGATATACTGACAACCGCATTAAGATCGCCAAGCCCGGCGGTGCGGCCGCGTCTGTCAGCTGACAACAACCACCCAGCCCAGCACCATGAGGCTGAAGAGGGTGCTCGGAGAGAAAAAGTGCATTCAGGGGGTATCCAAGATGATGAAGGAAACGAATAAAAATACCCCATACCCCAAGTCCAAGATCATGGCAGCTTCCTAGTCGATCCCCAGTACCAACCATCTAGCGCATTCGCTAAGGAAGGCACAGTCGTCTGCAGCTCTGGTGGAGGTGCTCTGCGCCTGGGCGTGGTGCTCGACTCCACCGCAGCAGACACCTTCGCCTTTTCGTTCGGTGTTGCCGGGCCAGGCTTCCCATCAGCACCAGACTTATTCTTGGGGCTTGCGGACCTGGGGCGTCCACGAGCCTTCACCTTCACCTCTTTTCCCTTCTCCATCCGCTTCTCCATCGGAGACTGCTAATCCCCCTCCTTCCGATTCGTCGTCTCAAAGTTCTCCGCCTCCAAATAACTCCACTCCGGCACCTCCCTCACCTTCTTCCACAGCTCCTTCTCCATCTTATTTGCCGCCTTCGCATACGGCGTCGTCTCGGCGTTATACCTCTTGCAATTCCGCACCATCAACAACACATCCTTGACGAAGTCCTCCACGTTTTCGTACTGGTCTTTTTCCAGCTTGCCTTCCATGGTAGAGAGGTCCATGGGCTCCTTGATGACTTCGTAGTAGTCGTGGACTTCGTCGCCGTTGACGGGAGCCACGAATGGCCAGCTAGCGGAGCAGTTTTGGAGGGCGGATAGGAGTTGGAGGAGCAGGGGGTGGGAGGGATTGCGGCGGGGTTGGCGAGCGATTTCGTCCATGGCTTTGCTCCAGCCTGTCGCGCGGATGGCGGGGATTTCGAGGGGATCAATCTCGGGTAAGGGCTGGCCGAGCTTGGATTTGCGCCAGGCGGAGGGGGGTTGATGGATCTCGTAGCTCTTGCTCACGGCGCGGATCTTCGCGTGCACGGCGGCTTTCTGTTTGAGGAGCAGGCGGCCAGACTCCAGGTAGCGGATGCGCGGAAGCATGGAGCATTGCATGATTGTTCCTCCTTCGTAGTCTTTGATGTAGCCCATCCACTTTCGCTTGTCGAGTGTGATCTCTTTTGTGAACCCCTGCTTCTTGAAATATCCGATAGCATAGTTGTCGGCATAGGTCAAGAAGTGCATGACATCGCTTGTCGCTTTCACATAGTCCTTCAAGTGGCTCATCAGATGTGCGCCGTACCCCTTCACTTGTTGATCGCTGCTGATAGCACAAAAGACAATCTCAGCAAACTGTCGGCCGCGGAAAGGTCGGTATGTGATTCCACCAACTACCTCGCCTGGTAGATTGGAGCTCTCCGCGAAGCTCCCAGCAGGCGGACGCTTGACAATCGCAATGCTAAGATGTGTCCGGTCGTACACCAGGCGCGCGATGTAGTCCTTGGGCATCTTGGGAAGCTGCTTCTGGAAAATGCATTTTAAGCCCGTCAATATGATCATAGAGTGTGGTTTGCCGTCGTTGTTCACCACCTGGAAAGATATGTCGCCCGTTCGCTCCTCGAGCACAGCAGGCTTTTCAGGGAAGGGCACGGCAGGTTTCGGCGCATTCTTCTCGGCGTCGGAAGTGGTGCCGTTGGTGGTGGGTGCATGGTTTGGAGGAGGAGAGACGGTCTTCTGCCGCTTTGCATCGTGGCCGTTGACGTCGCCGTTCAGCAGGTCATCGGCTTTGCGCTTTGCGCCTGTGGCCGTAATGTCAGCGCCGGTGTCCGGAGGGCTTGCAGAGGTCGAGGAGCTGTGATGGTGTCGCATACCTTCCTCCTGCTTAACGAGGCTTTGCGCCATGCTGTTCGGGGCCTGTGTTATAGTAGTGTGCGGTGGTGGGAGGTGGTGTGGTTGCAAGTGGAGGAAGTGCGGAGTTAGAAGTGGCACCTCCGCGCTCGATTCTGCCGCTTAGGCGGTGAACAAGTGATGATCTTGGCAGGAACGAGTGAAGCTGTCCTCTAACAACATCTCGACACATCGAGCCGCTGAGACAGCACCAACGCACCACAAACACTACAGATGTCTGCAACACCGCTCCACGATCTCTGGGAGGCCTCCGCGAGCCAGCCTTTCCAGCCCACCGTCGGCAAAGACGCCCAGCTGCAGATCGGCTTCACCCTCCTCTTCCTCGGCCTCATCTTCGCTGGACTGTTCGGATTGAATAACTCGCTGAAGAACGTTCCGCTTTATGGCATCCCGGCTTCGTTGGCATTCGGTTTTGGCGCGGTGTGAGTCGACTCGTGGGCAGTTCCAGGGTTGAATGAGGAACACTTGCTTACTATCCTACTCAATGCTAGGTACATGATCTGCGCCGTGGGCGTATATGTGTAGCACTATCGGCCAACTCCTCCCGTAACCCACCATGGCGGCCTCACCACTCCTGTCCGCCGTCACCTCGTCTTCGCGCCAGCTCCTACTACTCCTCCGCTGCATCTCGTTCGCGAAGAAAGCCCAGGTGCGGATATCTCCAGAGGGCATTCGCATTAGCATAGACGAAGGCAGTATAATGGAAGCATTTGTCTTCCTTGAGAAAGCGCTGTTCACCACATACAAATACCAGACTCCACAACCACGATCAGCCCAGGATGACTCTTCCGATCCTCCAGTCTTTGAGATCTCCATGACCGCTCTTCTCGAGATCCTCAATATCTTCTCCCTCTCAGATCCAACTACCTCTTCGAAACGACCAGGATTCAGCAATGAACCGTACGACGCCAACACAGCTCATCGCCTGCACCGCCATGCCGGCCTCAATGCCTTCTCTAACACCACTCTCGGCATCACTGGAACCTGCTCTCTGACCTACGAAGGCGAAGGGAGCCCACTGAGTATCCACATGAGCGAGTCTGATGTCACCACGACCTGCGACTTGACCACATACACCGCCGACAGCACCGAGGAAATACCCTTCAACCGCGATCACTTAGCTCTAAAGACGATCATTCGTTCAGCAAACCTCCTCGACTCCATCACGGAGCTCTCCTCGCTCAACCCAGCTGAAATCACTATCCAAGCCACACCCAACCCCAGTCGCCCTAGTGGAGCAAACTTCACCTTCACTGCTTCCGGACCGCTGGGCTCAGCCAACGTGGAATTCACGCAAGACACGTCCTCCGACACACCCATCCTCGAAACTTTCTTCTGCCCGACAAAGACAGAAGCAAGCTTCAAATTCAGCTTGATCAAGGCAGCGCAGCGGGCAATGGCTTCAGCGACAAAGGTCAGCTTGAGGTTGGATGAGGAAGGGGTGCTGAGTCTGCAGTTCTTAGTGGAGATGGAGGTCGGAGGCGTAGTGGCGGGACAGGGAGGTGGCGTTGCTTTTGTGGATTTTAGGGTTGTGCCGCTTGTGGATGATGAGAGGGGGAATGGTGTGGAGGATGGAAGTAGTGATGAGGAGATGTAGCTCGAGAGCGAGAGGAAGGTCTTGATAGTCTTTAAGAACATGACTGATCACAGATATTCATTCATGGGTGTTCGAGTCTCGAGGTCTCATTAATTTGCTACTCTGTTGCTCGATGCTCGTGGCAGCTGAGGACTCTTCGTTCCATATAACAGTCGACCCAGTTGCCATCGCGTTTGATCTAGCATCCGATATTCAACCTTCTCGAGATCTGTCGCGCCATTGCACGTGAACATAAAGGTAAGCAAATGTATACTTGGCAACGGCCAGCCGCTGTGGAGTTGAAGGACGGCATTCGGGACCCTGAAATTAGATCCGATGTGGGAGCACGGAGGCGCAGGCTACCTCCGTACGATCTATCCTACCTACACCTCCCACTCCTCGTTCGTGTCTTCCATTTCTTGTAATCATACCTAAGTCCCTCCCATCTATCCGCATGCCCTCAAAGACGGCGTGAAGAGCGCCGCAAACACCACTCCTCCCACGCGACCCCTCGACCTCGACCTCGTGCCCGAAGCAAGGGGCACACCCACAGGCAGAACGCCATGCGCACGACTACATTCCACAACCTGCTGCTCCTCCCCGCCGTCCTCCGCCCCGGCATCTTCCTCGCCTCCGCAACCCCCAAAAACGGCCCCAAAGTCCACGACGACGACAACGGCCTCTTCTCCTTCCGCTCGCGCCCCGACCTGCGCGCCCCGAAATGGGAAGTCGAAGTCTACGACCAGGCCGCCCTGGCGCCGGGCTACTGGTTCTTCGGGCCCTACGAGACGCTCAACATGGACGACTCGCTGGGGAACGGGTGGATAGGCCCGCACATCTACGCGCAGGACGGGAGTCTGGTGTGGAGCGGGGCGGCGCTGTTCGATAATGGGAATATTGAGGATTTTCGCCTGAGTAATGTTGATGGGGTGGAGATGATGACGCTCATGGATCAAAGGCATTCGAAGGGCGTGTTTATGGACAAGCATTTTCAAGTCAAGGATCGGAAGATGGCGAATGGGCCGAGCGGAGGGGGTTTTAACTCGCATGAGTTTCACTTTGTGGAGAATGGGACGAGGGCGTTGGTGGTGTATGGAGAGGGGAGATCGTTTTCCAAGGAGGAGGCGAAGAAGGCGTTGGGGTTTGGCGAGACGTGTAAGGTGGCTTGTGATGGGATTCATGAGAGGGAGGTCAAGGGGTGGAAGAGCACGTGGGAGTGGAATAGTTGCGATCACATTGGGTTGGAGCAGAGTTCGTACAAGGTGGATTATCTGAACAACCAGTGTTCGGGAAAGTGGGATTATATGTATGGCAATCTCTCAAACATCCGGATGGTATGGTGATGCTAACGAGCGAGGACACAGCCACGCCAACTCCATCGACAAGACCCCCGAAGGCGACTACCTCTACTCCGGCCGCCACACCAACAGCATCTACAAAATCTCCCACGCCAACGGCACCGTCCTCTGGCGCCTCGGCGGCACCTCCGGCTCCAACTTCACCCACCGCGACGACTTCACCTTCTCCCGCCAACACGACGTGCGCTACCGCGGCGCCAACGCTACGCACACCTTCATTTCCTTCCTCGACAACGCCAAGGGCCTCGACGCCAACGAGCCCACGCACCCGTTCTCCCGCGGGCTCCTGATCGCGTTGGACGAGAAGAACATGCAGGCCGAGATCGCCGCACACTATGACCACCCCGACGGCGAGGGCGGGTTGGCTTTTAGAAGAGGCAATTATCAGCCCCTTGACAATGGGAACGTGTTTATGTGCTGGTCCGAGCGGGCGCTGCAGAGCGAGCATACGAAGGAGGGGAAGATGTTGATGCAGGCAAGATTAAGAGTGGATTGGCTGGGCACGTATCGGGCGTATAAATTTGAGTTCGAGGGCACGCCCGCCGACCCCCCAGACGCAGTAGGCGAGGTGGTAGAAGAGGATGGCCGAGTCAAAACGAACGTCTTCGTCAGCTGGAACGGCGCCACTGAAGTCGTAAGCCCTGACCCGCCCCTCCAAAAAGCTCCTTCATCTTACTAACAGCGGCGACAGAACTCCTACAAACTCTTCCGCACCCGCGCCTCGGGCCACCCGCTCATGCTCGTCGACTCGCAAACCAAACAAGGCTTCGAAACCACTCTTTCCTACGAAGGCTACGCCAAGTACGCCGTCGTCAAGGCCCTGCACGCCAACGGCACCGTCTTGGGCCAAACGAAATTGATCCGCATCGCGGGGCTGAACGAGACGATTCCGGAGGAGGACCCGCAGCCGCCTGTCTCGATGGAGGATCCGTACTGGTATAGCGATATTGGATTTTTCTTGGGGGCGGGTGCGTTGTTCGCTATCTGCGCTGCTGCCGTCGTCCTGATAACCCGGAGGCTGCGCCGTGGTGCTGGAGGGCCAAGGAGGTCTTTACTTGATTTGTTGAGCAGAGGCCGCTACCAGAGGCTCGGGGAGGGGGACAGGGAGTTGCAGGACCGAGAGGGGAAGGAGAGTTTGATGGGGAGGACGAGGAGGAGGGGCAGCGATGATGATGTTTTCGCAGAGCGATTTAGTTTGGGGGAGGAGAGTGAGGGGGAGGGGAGGGGGAGTGATGTTGAGGTTGAGGGGGGAGAGGAATTTCGACGGCGGTAGGTGGGGTGGTGGAGGTGGTGTTGGGGTTTGGGGGGGGTTGATCTTTTTGCCATGTACATCTGTTGGACTAGCGTGCTGTTCTGGACAACGATCACGTGCCACTCTTCTACCTCCACTATCGGCAGCTCGTCCGTGGTTGGCTCAACGTCGTCTATCTACTACTGTATCACGAGTACGCCCATAAGCCGTCAATCTGTCCACTGACCGTCTCATCGATTATCACCACGTCCATGTGCATGCTAGATTCAAAAGTGGAGTCAAGCAATCAGGCTGGGGAAGGCACTGCTATAAACGGAAATAGGACTCGAAGCTCTTCACTCCACGCTCCACGAGAGCTTGACGCGACGATAGCCGAGAATGGGCAAGGGAAACTTTTTCTGGTAGAGCTCAGGTACGGGTTGAGAGAGTGTCAAGCAGGTAGGTCTGGACTGGTGGATGAGTGGGTGAGTATATAGGAATCCGCCCACCCCACTACCCTCTCGTACTGCCTATTGCTCCCATCTCGTCGCTCATCTCACCACATATCCTGCGTGACCCTCCCCTCGCTCCACCCCAATGCCCTACGTCTCCCCCACCACCATGTCCACCCTCTCCCAGCCCGCACAGCCCTCCTACCTCATCATCGGCGCCGGCGTCTTCGGCATCAGCACCGCCTACCACCTCATCAAAGCCAACCCCTCCGCCAACATCACCATCGTCGACCGCGACGCCTACGACGCCGAATCCCGCGTCGCCGCCTCCTGGGACTGGAACAAAGTCGTCCGCGCCGACTACGAGGACATTGTCTATTGTCGCTTGGGACTGGAGGCGCAGGATGTGTTCCGTTCAGATCCCTTGTGGAAACCTTACTTTCATGAAACGGGGATTTTCTGGACGTGTCGGGATGAGTTTAGCGGTGCGGTGATTGGGAACTACGAGAAGCTGGGCAGGAAGGCGGATCTCAAGGCTGTCAGTGTGGCGGAAGCGAGGAAGATGTACGGGGGTTTGTTCGAGGAGGCGGATTATGCGGGCGTCAAAGAGGTTCTCATCAATCGCACCAGTGGATGGGCGGCTGCGGGGGATTGTCTGGGCGCGGTGACGAGGGAGTGTTTGAGGTTGGGGGTCAAGTATGAGGTCGCCGAGGTGGAGGGGTTGCGTTTTGATGGAAAGGGAGCCTGTGTGGGCGTGCAGACGAAGAAGGGGGGTTTGGAGGCGGAGAAGGTCGTGCTGTGTACGGGCGCGTATACGGCGAAGTTGCTCGAGATGAGCGCAAAGGGGAGTGGGAGGGGGAAGTTGAGCGCGGAGGGCAGGATTGTGGCGGGTGGGATTACGACGGGGATGACGAGGCTGGAGGAGGAGGATTATAGGCGGCATGCTTCGATGCCTGTGGGGGTGCAGGGGTATACTTCGCCTAGTAAGCCCCTTCTTTCCCTCAACACCACCTCCTTGTTCATTACCATGCTAATATGTATGTGTCTAGGCCCCTTCATCGGCTCCCTCCCCCCAACCAAAGACCGCGAGCTCAAATGGTGGGGCCAGACCATCTTCTCCAACACCCGCGACGTCTGCGGCAGACCCGTCTCCATCCCGCCGCCCGAACCGGACTACGCGCAGTGGAAGGTCTCGAAGCGGCTGAAGCAGGACATTGATCATGCGAATAGCGTGTTCTATGGCAAGAATGGGGCCGCGTGGAAGATGGATAAGTATCGGATTTGCTGGGATGCTTTCACTACGTCTGGGGGTACGTCTGCCCCTCCCACCATCTCCACCGTCCTCCCTTCGCTATGCCTTTGCTAATGTGGGTGTAGACTTCATCATCTCCCCCCACTCCGCCGCCCCAGGTCTCTATGTCGCCACCTGCGGCAACTTCCACGGCTGGAAGTTCTTCCCCGTCATCGGCAAGTACGTCGCGCAGATGCTGGAAGGGTCGCTGGAGGAGGATCTCAGGGCCAAGTGGGCGTGGGATCGCGTGTGGCCGGACCCGAAAGATTTTGCGGACTGGCCGCGGACGGAGATGAGGGAGTTGACTGGGGAGGCGAGGTTGTAGGGACGATGAGGTGGTGGGGTGGGAGGGTAACGAGTGGGATGATGGCGGAGTTTTGGGGGGAGATGGGGGGTTGGGTAGCATTTTTTGAAGCATAGTTTGCGGAATGGAGTGTGTTGTCTCAATGCATATATTCGATTTTCGTACTGGGAAGTGTTCAAGCAGGGTAGAGACGTTGCACACAAGCACATCTATCGACTCTAGGGACTCGAACCAACAGATCGAAATATGCTCTGGCTGCAGACACAACGAGCAATCCAGCTATCTTGAATTGAGGGGGGAAAGCGCCAACAGTGAATGATAAGACAGCGCCGACGAGAAGCGATAGACGGCGAGATGGAAGCGAAAAACGATACAAAAGCAGGAACATGGTAGGAGCAAGGGAGGATACCACTTTTGACATTTTGTTCAAACGCACTCTGATGCACGATTCAGCAGAAGCAAATATGTTCGACATGTGATGAGATGAAGATGCGAGTTGGTGTCTGAACGATCAAAAAGGTTATAGCATATCTATCCAAAGAGCCAAACGATGCTCCCGAACGATAAAACGCTGAAGTACACTAAAATGATTGCCCCATCATCAATATCCTCAGCGATACTGAACAACTCCCCAACGCTCAAACGCAAGAATCAACAACATCGTAATCATCAGTCGTCAACAATTACCACTCCAACTCCTCCTTCCCCTTCCCACAAGCCAAACCAGAACAAAACTCCTCATCCCCTTTACTCACGCCCGCACTCGCCGGCAGCCTTTGCCTCGCCGGGTAAATCTCCTTCCGCTCCCCCTTCTCCCGCTTCCAATGCCCCATCACCTCATCCCTGACACAGCTCTGGAAATGCAGCGGGCCTTGCTCCAGACGCGGGTGCATCTCGCCGTTGACGAAGACGCCGGCGTTGAGGTTCTTCTGCGCCTGGTCGCAGAGGTACTTGTCCTCGCCCATGATGCGCTTGTAGATTTGGTTCAGGAGCTGGAATTCGTCTTCCGTGGCGTGGCGGTTGCGGAAGACTTGGTAGGACATGACGGAGGTGGTGGCGGAGGTGGGGACGAAGCGTTGGATCATGAAGAAGGGTTTTCTGGGAAGGGGTGTTAGTAAGGGTGAGCTGTGGTGAGGGTGGGAGAGGGGACTTACGTGACGTTGGTTGAGACGTTGGGGAAGTAATATGTGCTGGCGACGGTCATGCCGTCGGCTGCCTGCTCCTCGGTGGTGCCGGGGTTGTGGATGATTTTGCCGCCGGTGGTGTCGACGGAGTAGGCTTCGAGATTCGCCACGGCGACGATGTCGGGGTGTGTGGTCGCGCAGTGGTAGCACTCGTTGTAGTTGTCGGCGAGGATCTTCCAGTTGTAGTCGCCCTCCATCTGCCAGGTGTGGTCGAACTGGTAGTCGTCGAAGTTGAACTCTTTGTAGCGTTCCTGTCGGTCGATGCCCTCGAAGTCGTCGGACCAGGCGATCTCGGGCTCGGCGTTGCCGTCGAGGTTGATCCAGATGAAGTTGTTGCAGTCGACGTGGACGTGGACGGGCAGGAGGCCGTTCTGCTCCTTGTCGAAGCCCTTCAATTCTTGGTAGCCAGGGGCTTTGGCCAGCTTGCCGTTGAGGCCGTAAGACCAGCCGTGGTATTTGCAGGCGAAGATCTTGTTGGTCCCTGACTGTCCCTCGACGACGGGGAAGGCACGATGTCTGCACACGTTGTGGAAGGCGTTGATGTTGTCTTGTCGGTCTCGACATGTCACGATCTGGAAGCCGGCCACGTCGAACTTTAGCCAGTCTCCAGGCTGTGTGAGACGGGCCTTGTGGGTGATGAGCTGCCATTTTCTGGAGAAGATGGCTCGTCGTTCCAGCTCGTACATCTGTTTCGATGTGTACCAGTTAGAAGGCAGTGCCCTCGTGGCATTCTTCTTCTCGGGCTGTGGTGGCGTTGTTGAGCCTGCGCCCAACCACCCAAAGTAATTCAGCTTGTCGAGTAGTGCTGGCCCCATGGTTGATATGAAGGAGCTTGATATGAACAACGACTCGAGGAACCGGACGAAGTGAAGATAGAGTGCTGAGAGTGTATCGATCATTTGGAAGAGTTGATGAATAGATGGCAGTTACCTGTAGATACAATACACATGCCTATGCATTTATCTTTATCATGACAGCCTCTCCTCATACTCCGCAGTCATGAGGTGGCTCACCAAACCCCATGAGGGTTGCATGTCCATCCAAATCACCAGGTACAGCTCGAGATCCAATAAAGTAGACCCTCCCAGACTAAGCTCAGGCATCAGGCGGCTTCGCTTACCTGCATTGCCCAAATTTTTGCCATATTTGGCTCGGCCACACAACTCTAGATTGCATAGATATGATACCATCTGCATCTGCGCGATATCAACAAGATCGAAGGATGTCTGGCCCATCTTACTGTTGCAGTCCGTCGTGCGCAAGTCGACACACTGGTCGGTCACCGGCGTGCTCTGGACTGGCTGCGCTGTACGCATGGGGGAGCTACTTCGGCGACAGGAGAGCCGTCCGGTGTTTGAACCTGGTCTGGCAGCGGTCGCCATGGAAGTTACCTCCACGTATCGAGGGGATATCCTCATCACTGACGAGTGCGTTGCCCCATGAGTGGGGATGGGGTGAGGCGTGCGAATCCAGCTGTCATGGCGTTAGCAAAGTTACCAAGCCGTGTGATCCATCAACGACGCGACCATCACGATGATGAGTCGGCGTATCACTTGGGGACTTACGACGACCAGTCGCACACCTCGCCATACCCACGGGACATCCTCGTCCAGCATACACGGTCCGTCCAGCAGTCTCGCAGTCGGCACTGTGATCCAGCCCTCGACCGGTACTGCCGGCCAAACGCTCTCGCCACATCCACAATGGTCATCGCGAGGCAGATCGCCATCATCCAGCAACATCCTTCTCAATCGAGCAAGCCATCCCCAGAGACCGCGATATGGCGGAAGTCTGATACGTAGCGTTTCGGAGCAAGAGTGGTCGTCAGATGTAGCTTCATGCAAGTGATCCGTTAGCGTGATGTTATCGTGTGGACTGTGGCGCTCCAGCTCTTGCACCAATTACATGATGGACTGTCCTTCCTAGTTGGGCATGATTGTCCTCTTCAGCCTTACGGGTTTGGCAGCAGTTGATATCTGGGGAACGGGATGAGGTCCGTTATCTTGGTATCTCAGTATGAGTGGTGATGTTGTGGAACGACACCTGAATTCGGAAGGTTCGTGTTGTGGACCGGGTTTTGCTGGAACACAGATAACGACGACGATCACCCGGTAGCCGAACGTTATGGGGTGCTATTCTGTGCTATCGTTGCTATCGTTGTCGGCCTTGGGTGAGAGTCGCACCGCACCAAGTCAGAGGTGAAAAAAGATCGAAGATCATGGTATGAAGACAACACGAGATCGGCATCCATGTCATTCAGCAAGTAAACCATAACATCGTTGAACGCCATAGACCGCTATGCATTACCCCCCGTACTACCATTAATCGCCATCGATCATATGCCTCCTACAGCCTCGCTCTGAATTGAGGACGTGCTGTCTTCGACCCTGCGGTCGACATTGTCTTCACTCCACCATCACTCCCTGCCTCAATCGCTGGCTCGCTCGTCACAGTCGCCTTGATACGTCGCTCAAAGTACTCCACCTCCACCCCTCTCCCCTCCCCCATCTCCACTGGCAACCAGGCATAGGCGATCGGTTTCCCAATTGTATACCCGAAAGCTGTGTTCGCCACATATCCCACCGCCTTCCCCTCAACGAAAACCGGCTCTTTGCCCATAACGACCGACGTCCTATCGTCGACAGTAAGGCATCTCAGTCGTCGGGTAGGGTTCTTACGCTTCTCTAGCGCCGCCTTGCCGACGAAATCCGCCTTATTGGAGGCGATGGTGAATTCGAGGCCAGCTTGGTAGGGGTCGTGTTCGCGGGTCATATCGGTGCCGTAGCCTTTGAAGCCTACTTCCATCCAGAGTGCGTGCATGGCGTTTCGGCCTGCGGCGATGACACCGCTGGGTTGCCCTGCCTGCCACAGCACATCCCACAGTCGTCTGCCGCAATCAGCGGTGGTGCAGATTTCCCAGCCTTGCTCGCCGACTTGCGAGAGACGCATGACTGCGACTGGGACACCCTGTATTCGTGCGAGCTTGACGTGGGAGTAGGGCAGTGCGGCGTCGGAGAAGTCATCGTCGCTGACCTTGCTGATGACATCGAGGGCGTTGGGACCCCAGAGACCAATACAACAGGTCCCGCCCGTGATGTCGGAGACGAGCACCCACTTGTTGGGGGACTGCCGGCATTGCTTGCGTGCTTCCTGCGAGAGATACGCGAAGTCGAGGTTGCCGTTGACGCGGACTTGGAAGGTAGTCTCGTCGATTCGAGAGGCCCAGACATCACTGCGGATGGTGCCGTGGGTGTCTAGGAGGAGTGTATATGTGATGGTGCCGACAGGAGTATCGACATCGTTCGTTCCAAGGCGCTGCAAAAGGTGTACAGCACCAGGGCCGGAAATCGTGAGACGCTTTTGCGGGCTTAAGTCGTACATCGCAACCGCTGTTCTTGTCTTCCATGCCTCTGCAGCACAGATTGGGGAATAGTGCTGAGCAGCCCAGGCATCCCGCTCTGCCGGCCGCCACCGTGCAGGCAAAGAATCCAAAAGCGGTGCATTCGCCTCAAACCAATGCGGTCGCTCCCACGCTCCGTCTTCGAGGAAGTATGCACCAAGCTCTTGCTGCTGCGAGTGGAAAGGGCTCACCCGAATGTTACGGGGTGACTCCTTGGGAGCAAGCGGGTGAATGATGTCGTAAACCTCCACGAAGTTCTGCATCGACGTCTCCCGGACGTAGTCGGGCGCAACCTGCACTTCTTCGAAACGGCTGAGCTCGCAGCCGCTAAGGTCGATCGTAGAGCGTCCCACGGTCAAGATCTCTGCGAGTGCCCTTGCCATGCCGGCAGAATGCGTAACCCAGATCGCTTCCGCCACCCAGAAGCCGTCGAGCTTAGGATGCTCACCGATGACGGGTCCGCCGTCTGGTGTAAATGAGAAGATGCCATTGAAGCCATCTGCGATTTCAGTCTGCTGCAGAGCTGGCAGAAGCGTCTGGGATTCCTTCCAAGCTGGATCGAAGTCCTGCGGTGTGAACTCCATCCTTGAGGGCATCTGGTGATCTGTAACTTCCTTTGGTGTGATGCCCAAAGATGCCGCAACGACGGGCAAAGGCTGGTGGCCGTAGTACCCGATTCCGTACTGATCGCCGTGCTCGCGATAATAGAGATCTTGGTCCTGATGTCGGAGCATGGGCAGAGTTGCACCGTTCGGGCCCTTGTTCCGACCTTTTAGAGCCTGTACGCTGCTCGTCTTGACGTATTGGTGTGCAAGCGGGAGGAGAGGAATAGGAAGCCCAACCATCGCTCCGATCTCTACTCCCCAGAAGCCAGCGCAAGAGATTACGATGTCTGCCTCCACGGTGCCATTGGGTGTTTGTACACCCGTGACCCGACCTTGCGTCTGCTCGATCCCGGTTACTGGCGTCGAATCCATGTACCGCACACCAGCTTCTCGTGTCTTCTGGACGAGTAATCGCACAGCATCCTTGGCCAACGCCAACCCATCGCTCGGAATGTGCAGCCCTCCAAGCACCATATCCTTGTTTAGCGGAGGATACATGCTCGCGCACTCCTCAGCACTAATCAGCCGTGCCTCAATCCCCCACGAGGCAGCCCAGCCATGCTTCCGCTTTAGCTCCTCCAGTCTTGCAGGCGTAGTGGCGATCTCCAAACCTCCCACCTGATTGAAGCAGTCCATCGACAGGAGCTTGCTCATGGTGTACTTTGCGAGCAAAGTCATCGTCTTTGAGGAATTTGTCTGGAATACCAGGCCGGGAGCGTGTGATGTTGAGCCGCCGGGGAGGTCAATGGGACCCTGCTCCACGACTGTGATGTTCTTCCATCCTCGCGAAACCAGCTCGTCGGCGACGTTGGCGCCTACGATGCCGGCTCCGATGATCACGACACGCTGATTTGTGTCTGCCATGCTTGGTGGCTCGTCTTCTTGCTCTGGATGCCGAAGAGCCGCTCGTCTTCTGGACTACTCACAGCTTGAATTGCGAGCACGGTAGAGGGAGAGAATAGCAAGGAGAAGAAGGACACACTTTTGCAAAGGCCACGCACGATTAACCAAAAAAAGTTGACAGAAGGACAGCTCAAGCTAATAAACCTCCGACCTACCTTTGCAATGCCTTTGCTATGCGCACTGCTCCATAGCTCACGTGTGCCTGGATGGGCAGGATTGCCCCCAATGGAAGTGTATCAGTAAGAGAGCTCGCGGCAAGGTTGGCGATTCCCGTTTAAGCTGTGTGCCGCTTATCCAAAAGAAGAATACAAATGCTGATGAGAGCCGCAAAGCGACCCTGCATTCGATTCTTCTGCTTGTGCTTGTCATCTGTCGAGTATTCAATGATGATAAGCATGATGTTGACATCCGAATTGTGGGATGTATCAGTGAAGGTTGCAAATGCTTCCTCTTGTTTGAAACGCAGATTAAACCAGTTCGCTGTGAGACTAACACATTAATGTAATTGCGATTGTCGAGACTCGTTTACATCAACGCTGTGGGATATCGAACAACTCAAAGGAGAGCAAGAGAAGAACACTATATCAACAGAGCAGCCATGCCGAGAACACCGGCAATCGGCGCCGCAGTCCTCATGACTGCACCACCAGTCGACGAGCTCGAGGATCCAGACGAACCACCAGTTTGCTGGCTGCTTCCCGTCGGCCCACCGCTTGAGCCCGTCGTCGAGGACATGGCCATGCTCGAGGAGTCGGTGTTGGTGCTGTTGCCCTTGGAAGAGACCTTGCTTGCGTTGATGAAATTGGCACAGGCGACCGGTGCTTTGTACACGTTAGTCTGAAGAACACCGCACCTGTTCGAGTTGCTGAACATACCGCCATTGACATCGTTCACGACGATGCTGCCCTTGCCGAAGAAAGCCTGGTCGCTCGGATCCATCGAGACGTACTTGTCGACGTAGCTGGGCCATGTCAGCTTCCACCCGTCCGCGATCTCGCCCATCAACCACATTATCGTCTTGACTCACTTGTCCGCAAAGTACCCAGTCCCAGCACCGCCACCAATGATCTTCGCCGCGCCGTGCTTCAAACTAAGAGCGCCGACCTGGCACGAAGCAGGTTCTTTCTCACAATTGGTGGTGCCGCCGCTGAAGGGGTCGAGGATCGCGCCGGCGGCAGAGCAGTCGGTCGCCGAGACCTTGCCAGTGTAGAGGCCGTAGGCTGGTTCAATTACTGTCAGCCGAAGTCATCACAAGAATATGGATAGACCGCGCTTACAAAGACTGTCTCCTCCTGGCAGGTTGTAGAAGCTGACTTGGAAGTTTGTCCCGGTGCCGTCGGGGGAGATGGAGCCCAGGACTGCACCGCTGATGCCGTCCGCGCCCATGTCAGGAAGGGTCGCCGAGTAAGTCAGGCCAGTGGTCAGATCAGGGGACTGTGCCAGAGGCGCATCGTCGGCCATCGCGAACGACATGAGGGCCGCGGTGACAGCGATTTTCGAGAAGGAACGCATCGTGATGCTTTCGGTTGCCGGGTGTTCGTGATGCGAAGGTAAGATGCGAGGCTGTTATGCTGGTGGTTCGTATATCGATACTGTCGCGAGTCGAGGAGAATGGTAGGCAACAGACGAATGATATAACGAGCGTGTCGAAAGACAGTTCTGTTGGCAACAACAACGCAGTCAGACGAAGGAGCGCGCAGGGGCAACAGTCGCCCTCGCGACACAGCGCGCCAGCACCATTTTGTACATTCTCAAAGTAGCACGAAAACTTGCGGCTGATTCGCCAACAACACGAGAAACCAAGCAATGCGGCTGTGGCGTTGCATACATTCTCGCGCAGCAATTTCCGACCCGTTGCTGACCTGCATAAAGCCTGATGAGAGATCGCGGGGACGCTCGATCTGGGGATCGCGTGGTGCCCCTAACAAGTCTTAAAACTCTTCAGGTGATGTCGAGCAATGAAAGGTGCTGGTGGTGCTGGAGATGTCGTCTGGAGGCCGTCCAGCCGCAGTGCAATAGCGAGCCGACCGTGTCACGAAATAACGAATCAACAGCAATATAATTGAACACCATAGACCCGAGGACGTTGTGCTAGCTTGACATCGATTCGGCCGTCCAAACTCTTATGCTAAAACACTTTCATGCCCATTGATGCATCTTGGTAGCCTTCCAACCCGAAATGATTTCGACCTTTCTTCTCATCTCAAGCCTGCTTCGAGATGTCCTTGTCCTTAGGGAACACCCGAGTACTAAGATCGAAGACAGGCAAGATATTAGGCAGACCCACAGCCTCCATGACCGTCAGGAGAGCGAGGTACCATCCGCAAATCACGCCGAGCATGCCGAAGCCTCCTCCAACTCTGAGCAACGTACCGATGTGCTCGAGGTCGGCTGGCGTGCTTGCGTTTGGCACTGCGAAGTCTGCAGCGGCAATGAACTGGTAAAGTTTGGTCAGTGGGGACATTGTGATTGTTCGGTCGATGTACTCACAGCAAACAGGAAAACCAGACCGATGAAGACCAGCACGAACGGAACATTGATGCGCAGCGTGCCGACCAGGAGGATGAAGCTGACGAGACACCTACAAGATCGTCAGTCACTATTCTTCCAACGATTCCGATCCTCCGCCGGCAGCTTACATTGTAACATTATGGAACCCCTGCGAGCTATTATACGGCGCTCCCTCCGCACCGCCTTCTCCGAAAGGCTCCGTCGTCCTATGGATAGGGTCCTGGGTGTACGCAAGAGACCCCCAGTGGACCCCGTAGATGATGAACACCGCAAACGGGTACGTGTTCCCAAGTATAAACTCCGCAATACCAGCCAATACCATCCCAATCGAGCCTAGGAAGTAGTAGTCACCGCTGAGCCCGACAAGGCTGGTTGGAGGAGTCGCTCCGCCCCAGCCGATGAGGATGAAGATGGTCGACGTGTATGGGACGAGGAAAGAGATCAAGCCGAGAAGCGTTGGATTACCGAATCGTTTGGCGAAATCGCCAGCAGCTGGTTTGTTGGGCTGGAAGAACATGCGCTCGTACTGCTCGGGCGACATGGTGACGGTGACCTGGCGGCTAAGAGGAGCGCCATTGGAGTGGCTTTCGACGTGTTCCATTTTGTGGTCGATGCCTTCGGAGGACATGATGGGCTGTCTGGAGATGCTTCAATAGGTTCGTTGATTCAAGCTGATCAACGTTTCTTCCACCGAGAGCAACAGCGAGACATCTTCTATATATACACTAATAAGAAAATGCGGGCAACCTGGGACACGTGTGGGAAACAACGGGGAAGCGAATGTGGAGATGTCAAATGTGCAAGCATGTGCGAGAGCCACCTCATCATTCTCTTCATCTTGACTACACCAAAGGAGGAAGGTCGTTTAACCGCAACCAACGGTACCCATGTCGTGGTTGAAAACACCCCGTCAATCGGATGCTTAGCAGACTTGTTTGCGCCTCGGTACCTGCCAAGCTGAGGTTGGCTCGTCTTACATCCCTACCTCCTCGGACTCAGATCGAGCGGTTTAGCGAGGGATCGGACTGGTACGAAGGAACATTTGCCGCGTGCTCAGCGCAACCAAGAGATCTTGACAGGAAGAAGCCTCGGTATAAAGACAGATCTCGGAAATGGGAATGAAGTGGTCCCGAACTGCTGGGTTGCTCTGGGTTTGCATAAACTACCTACGGCCAACAAGGCTCTATATCAACATCATCACATGGGTATCATTACTTAGTGCAAAACCTACTCCTCCTCCTTCTTCTCCTCCTTCGTGGACGCAATCTCAATCTCCCGCTTCATCTGCCGGAGCCTCGCATCCATCGCCAGCAGCAGGTCACGATCCTCTTTGCTGACCGTCTCGCCCTGGGCCTCTGCCGCGGACAGCTTGTCGTAGAGCTTGCTGTACTTTGGATAGAACTCGTACAGGAACCGCTCGGCAAGCTGCACGCCATGGGCGTACGTGAGGTTCTCGGCGACGTCGCCTTTGTCTCCTTCGAATATGGCGTCAGGAGACGGACGCGGGGTTTCGTTGTTGTCGGGACTGCCGTCTGCGTTGGACTTCTGGGATTGGGAAGAGCCCGAGTCTTTCTTCTGGTGTTTCGCTGCCGGAGCTCCGGGTTGGCCTTGCGAGGGCGAGTCTTCGGCTTTGCGTTTGGCACTGCCCTCATGCTGTTTGACGATGCCGTTCGTGACATCCGGCTTAACTGCTGCGCCGTTCATGGTGCTCTTCTGCTCCTTGGCCTTCGGCTTGTCGGGCTCAGCCTTCTCCGGACTGCTTTGTGAAGGTTTCGTCGTCTTCGTAGGATGCTTGCCGTTCCCGTTCGATATACCAAGACCCTTGGGAGTATCTGCACCACTCTGCTTCACCTTCTGCACGCCCACTGCACCTCTGTCGGAGACGTCAGAGGCCACGCGAGGTCGAGCTGCACCCAATGGCGAGGGCACGTTCGGTCTGCTGTCCTGCTTCTGTGGGCTGCGCTGGCTTTTGTGCTGGGTGTTGGGTGCAGAAAGATTCCCGTTGGTCTGCGGTGTTGCTCTACCAGCTGCAGCGGGTTTCGTAGCTTTCACGGATGGTGAGTCGACTTTCTTGGTCGTCGCTGCGGTGGTATTGCCGTGTGTGGTCGGCTTCTTTGCCACCTTCGGTTTCGTTGCAACGTCGCTGCTGTCAGGTGAAGAGTCTTTTGTTGCAGTAGGTGGCTTTGCTCGCTTGGTGGTTGGTCTGTCTTTGGTGATTCTCGGCTGGCTTGTGATTTCGCCCTCTTCACCACTGTCGTCGTCTGAGCTGCGGACAAACTCTGCAGACTTCACATTCGTGGCCGCCTCCTGCGTTGCTTGCTTTTTCGCCGGCCTTCCTTCTCGATCGCTTGCAGCCGCTTCCCGCTCCTTCCTCTTCTTCTCTTTCGCCTGCTCCGCCGCTTGTGCTCGCTTTGGATCCTTCGAAAGCAGTCGCTTCATCACGTCACCCTTCGAACTGCTTGGCCGTGGTGTGGTTGCTCCGAGACGAGGAGTGTTTGCAGCACTTGTGACTCTGCTGTCGTTCACGGCATCCACATGTGGTGCTGGACTCGGTTGGTAGCTTGGAGTGAGTCCTCTGTTCACCGGACCGCCGCCCAAGTGAAGTCGTGACAAGACCCTCCCTTTTCCCCTCTCCTTTTCCGGCAACAACATCTGCCAAAGTTTGTCTTCCTTTCCCAGTCTCATGCGATCATATGCTCTCACAGCGTTGTCGACTGCTGACTGTCTGTCCTGCTGCGACGGGTAATTGAAGTCCCAGACGTCCAACTCTTTATATCCCCTGTCTGTCAATTGCCACTTTCCTTCTACCTTCTTTCCAGACTTATGCAATATCTCTTCAAGATCCGTCTGTGGTACGTGTGTCTTATTCAAGATGCTTTCTATTGTCGTGGGCTGAATAGCAAGAAGGTGAACAATGGGTGTTCTCATTGCCTTCAACCTCACTTCAGCTTCACTTGCTGGTGCAGAAGTCGGTGCTTGACCAGCTTGAGGTGTTCCAATAGTACCCAAAGAAGGGCTGACGCCCTGTGAGCTCAACGGAGTATTCTTTCTTCCGAACTTCTCTTTCCTGGCAGCCTCAGCCCGGTTCTTCGACGGGTCAATAAACGCTTTCGTTATGGTGGTCTGGTTTGCCTGCTTCTGCTGTTTTTCAAGAGCCATCTTGTTTAGCAACTGCGACTCGGCGAGAGCTGCATCGGTTCCTCCGAAGGTTCGATTGGGTTTCTGTATTTCCGCTCGATGGCTGACCGTGCATAGGAACTCGAAGTCGCGGGACTGTGCTGCAGTGGAAGCATATAGTTCGTTTCGAAAGTCCTCAGTGGACAAGGTCAGATCAATGCTTCTGTTGCCGATACGGAGTTTCTGTCCATGCTCAGCATTACTTTCTACGACCAACCTGGGTGTCTCTTACAGGTGTGCTCCCTGCTGTGAATCGAAGCCCTTCCTTCTCTCGAGAAGCCTTTCTCAAATCTTGAACAACTTCCTGGTCCAATTTCAGGAGAAGTGCACAACTGTGCCCGGCCTTTGCATCCTCTACATCCGGTGCACCTCGCAGCGAGATGCTGCCCGCTGGCGTTGGTGCAGCCATTGCTGGTAACGATATGGTGTCAAGGGCGATACATTAGACAGCGAGCCGGCAAGCTTCGTAAAGCAGCCATATAGCCCTCGCTGTTCTCCCGGCACCAAGAGTAAGGCCTGGTTCGCAGTGGGCGTCTGCCAACTCCCCAAGGATCGACAAATGTTTGTCTTCGCTGCAGTATAGTGAGACCCGATATTTGCTAGTTCAACATGCTGAGACAAGTATGCTCACGCAGAAGGAAAAGCACACACATGCAGGTAGCATACAGCAGAGTGCAACAAAGAGAAAGAAGCAATGTTGAAAGCGGGAGGAAGTCCAGCTCTGCCTGTGGTACCTCACTCCATGGTCCACGCTAGTGGACAGTTGGATCATTGAAAGCCTAAATTACTCCATCCAGTCCAGGTGGATCCGGCCTGCACGCACAAGAATGCTCTTGGTTCAGATCAGTAGGCGAACACGAAGAGGTACAACCATCCATCATCAGCTGCTACGCCACGAACCCGACTGTTGCTGCCCGCTGACCCGGCATCATCAATCGGGCACGCCCACTTCGAGAACAAAGCCACCTTCGAGGCTTTCCCGACGGCGAAGGCTGCGTCGGCACGCCGGAAGGCTGCACGTCTTGTTCCCAAGTTGGCACAATCCCTATTTCTTTGTCAGACGATGGATCCGTGCAGACCAGCACGCTGCGATCCGAAGCGCTTGCCGCAGCGCAGGATCGCGGGCGGTAGCCAATCGATCCGCGGGAGGTTCTCGTGTCCGTTGCCTCTAAAAGGCGACGGTGAGCCCGTTCGTTTTTGTGCTAACTCCTACAGCCTGCAAACTACAAGGCAAGTAGGTGTACGTCGTGGGTGGCGGCCTGCATGATGGCTAGAGTATCTTGGGTTTCACAGGCTAATCAATCCCTCGTTACAAGTTGGATGAATGGGTTCAAATCCCTTGCTCCGCTGTGACGGAGTAAGAGGGATCCTGCACGTCTACACTTCCTTCCCAAGGGTGAGACAAATTGCCAGTACATAGACGTCTTCGAGGCGCCGCCGGCGTTGCTTGAAATGGAGCACTTCTTTCACAGCTTGACAAATCGTCTCCAGCGTCTGCTCTCTGATCGTGGGTGACTATTAACAGGGTCGAATGCTCCCTCCCAATGACGAACATTGACTTTGTTCATTGAACCGCCATTGACTCCTTCGGATCTTTGTAGTACCATAACTGACACCGTCTGATTGACCCGATGAACAACAGAAGGGGGAGAGATGGCGGGGGGAGTTGACAAGGCGGAGACCCAGTGGAGAGCCTCGTTGACGTTTCTTGGCTCCGCAACAGACAACCGCGGTGCACGGCCTCGATCAGCTGCATGTATGCGACTCGAATCGTTACTGCAGCGTTGTCCATACGGTATAGTACAATCTCTCTGTACAGCCATGTCATCTATGTGTATACTCACCCTAACTCTTCCGTAACCTTGCTATTACGCGCTGCAGCATGCCAGATTCGATCGGCCGACCGACGTCCTCGAAGCCTCCACGATAACAATCATGCTACGGCATTATGGCCGGCTTGGAATTATAACAGCTGTGTTGGTCATATTCTTGATACTACTTAGTCTAAGTTCACTGCAGACTTCACAAGCATCGTTGGGCGCGACGTCGCATCTATCAGGGGAAGAGATATTGGGTTCGAAGTTCGGGGAGGCATTCGCTTCGAAGCATGACACTCCCAATGCGCCTGGGGTGGTGACAGCTCCCGAGCGAGAGCAGGAGGGGTCGTCTCAAGAGACGCTGCCTGAGAACGCGCCGCTCGACGAAGAGACGAAGCCTGAGACCACGCCCCTCGACGAAGCGACGAAGCCTGAGAATACGCTGCTCGATGCAGAGACAAAGTCCCCGGAGGACACAGCGCCTGATAACGCATCCAAGAACGAGGAGGACACCGACGACTCATCCTTGAGTGAAACAATCGCCGACACAGAAGAAGAGGAGCACGTAGTGAAAACACCTACAAGCAAGATCATCGTGGTCGGCCAACTCAGTAGCGAGAACACGAACTGGGTCAGAGAAGAAATGCTAGAATGGCAAAACGCAATCTACTACGTCGACCTCCCCGACAACGCCACATCCCCCAGCGGTCTCAAGACCAAGATGAACAAGGCCAAAGAAGCCACGCCATACCTCACATACATCGTCGACAACTACCCCGACTTCCCCGACGTCATGGTCTTCATCCACGCCCACCGCAGAGGGATGCCCGAAGCATGGCACAACGACGCACCCAACTACGACGCCGTGAACATGCTCAACGCGCTCCGCCTCGACACAGTCTTGGACAGGGGATACGTCAACCTCCGCTGCAACAACGAAGTCGGCTGTCCCGACGAAGTCCAACCCTTCCGCGACCCGCCCTCCGATGACAAAGAGGCCGAACACGCGTACCCCTACGTCTACGCCAATTTCTTCAACGCCACCTTCGCCGAAATGAAGGAGCAGATCCCCATCGTGGCGACGCAGTGCTGTGCGCAGTTTGCCGTGAGCAAGGAACAGATGCTGCAGAAGCCGAAGAGCGAGTATGAGCGCTATTTGACTTTTATTGAGGAGACGCATTATGACGATGATGTAGCCGGGAGGGTATTGGAGTATATGTGGCATATTATCTTTGGGCGGGAGGCGGTGCATTGTGAGAACGTGTTTGAGTGTTGGTGTGCGGTGTATGGGCGGTGTAGGCAGAGCGCTGGGGCGGGGAGGTTGAGCCATCACGGGGGCGGTGCTTTTGGGCCTTGAGTTGGAAAAGAGATGTTTGTTTGGATACGTGCTTGCATTAGCGGTATGGCGTCGTGGATATCTGCATACGGATTGTGTAGATGCGCATGCATACTTACAGCATTGGACATCCTGTACAGCAAGCCTTAGATGGCCTTCAACCACCACGAGCTGAGTTCTGTGCCCAGTATACGATTGCAAAGGAACCGATCTTCCATCTCGTAGATCTGTTGATACCATATAATATGAGCTTACCGCTTTCTGCAGGACCAAATGAACGCTCGGCGGAGTGGTACAGCAAGTTACTGCAGACTGCCATCCCGCACGACCGGGAGGACACAAGCAGATGCATGGATACCCTCGTATCCTGCAGAAGTCCGCGAGCACCGCAGTCGAACTATGGAGTCTTTGCCTTGGAGCCAAGGAAGTCCTCCATCATTAACGGATCAAGCATTTTGTGCTCGCACATGTGCCTTGTTCTTCCTCTACGTGGCAAGTTCCTCAGGACTGCATACCGTGTTGTCGAAACTCCATTCAGGCCGTCGAATCGCGGATGCTCTCGGCCGTCGATCTGCAGGTCAGCGAGAAAGAGCTGCATGAGATATGCACAGCATGTATCTTCGAATGGCGCAACGCTGATTCGTGGAATCGGCACGTGGAAACCAACAAGCCGCCCAGCAGGCCCACCGCGGGTCAGATCTGGGGCCTGGGCGGCAAGATGTCGAGGATGGTCAGTATTGCTTTCACCTACAACGAAAATTGAGCGTGGTTGTTCGAAGGGAAGAATGTTTTCTGGTCGTCCTCTTACAACCCTTGCTGTTCTTTGGTCATTATCGGGACCGTGATCGTCATCCAAATCGTGGAGAGACGACTCTGTCCCCCAATCTCCAGGGTTTGCAGAGATGGCGGCAAACCTTCGCAGCTCGCAGAAGCTCTGCATACGATCTGGACCACGCCCACATGCCGCAGAGTTTCAAAGCCCTCCAGGTAATCCCATGCAATGCGATGTTACAACGCGATGCTCGGATACCCCATCGTCCGGGCCTTATGATCCCGCGTGCGGCACGGTGAGAGATAGCGATCGTCTTTCATGTTTTTGTATCTCCACACTTGTATGATGTAAAGCAGATGCCCAAAGACCAACATTTGAGGTGCTGAACCCGGCCCGAGTACTTGATGGCCGCGTCGACGGTCTGCTGAAGTCGACCACTCAGAACAAGCAGCAGCACAACTCGGCCAGTCGAGAGATCAGCAGTCGAGACTGGTCATGACTTGATCAGCATCATCATCGCCGAGTCCTTGGTCGATCTCAGCTGGTGGAGCGGCTGCGCTGCGCTGCCACGCATCGGACGAACACAGCCATGGCAGCCGCTGCTTCCTTTCAACGCCTGCCTCACAGCACAATACCTCTCGATCTAGGCTCCGACCCTTACTCTACTGCGTCCTCCTACAAGACTCCAGGCATCGATACTTTTGCGCGCAAGAAGTTGTCGCTGTCGACATCGCTCGGAGGACATGCATCCCGGGCGTCGCCGAGTAAACAGAAGTCATCACTCTGCCATATCGATACGGACATGACTTCCCACACCACCACCATCCCTGCCGGCACAGCGACACGGACGCATGCGAAATTGCACAAGCGCAACTCCTCCGGCAATTCGATACCAGCATCGCCGTCGCCGCTGTCCGGTTCGTACCCGCAGTTCGCAACCCCATACGCAACGCAAGAGGAGCCCTTTCCTTTCATCTCGTCTCACCAACCGACTCCGCCCAGCTCGACTCCCAAGATCAAACCCTACATTCGCAAGCTCTCCTCCAAAGATGCCACTACCAACCAGGGCGCTCTCGATCTATCGAAGTCCACAGCAGAAAATGGCAGCACCCTCGCAGGACTCGGCATCAATGACTTCGTTGGCCAGCGCTCTGCCTCGGACGTCACCTTCTCCCATTCCTCCACCGGTCGCCGCACACCACACATGCGTACCGCGAGCGTCAATTCCACCATCTCCACCGGCTCCGGCTCCTACAAGCCCTCCCAGCCCTTTATCCACCCCATGCGCCAGACCCCAAGCGCCTCATACACTTCCTACGCCTCCTCCCTAGCCAACTCCGAAGAAGCGCGCGAGAGCAGCGACATCGTCCTTGACGACGACTTCCAGCTCGGCCATGGCTTTCGGACGAGACGTAGCGTTTCCATATCCTCGACTCCGCAACAGAACGCCCCTACACCGCTTTCGCAGTCGCACACAGCTGCTGATCTCTGGCCGGCGCCTAACCCAGCGAGCTCCTCGCGATCGAAACTGGCCAGCCAGAACGGGCGGAAGCGCTCCGCAGACCTGTCGCGGCCGAGCTCTGATCGCGCGTACTCCTTGCTTTCGACGTCTCGAAAGTCGGATCCGGAGCAGAGTGTTGATGATCGCATCTCAGCATTAAGAAAGAATTTCGCCGAGAAGGAGGCTAGTAAGAGCCAGAAGCGCGAGAAAGAAGAGACAAAAAGACGTGAGAGCGATCTTGCGAAAGAAGCGAGGAGAGAAGAAAGACAAAGGAGGAAGAGCGAAGCCGATGACAGGAAGCCTGGCAACGACGGAGGTGAGAGGAGGAGGGTAGGGGTGCAGGCGAGGAGTTATGAGAGTATGCGGCCCGGCCGGATTACTGCGTTGGAGGGGAGGAGGTATGAAGAGAAAGGTGCGAGGGTCGATGAGCCGGTAGAGACACAGCCTGAAGGGGGTTGGCATCGGTTCGTCAGGGCTATGAGCTGTGGGGGGTGAAGAAGACATATGGAGGGTTGGCTTTGGCTGGTGCATCGCATTGTGGGCTCGGGCTTGGGCGGCGAACGATTTGATACCCTTTTGGCTTTTTGGATTCAGCAAGGCGTTCGTGGGGTTTGGACAAAGGCATACGCATCGCACGAATTCACGATACACGAGATGGAGGCATGATGTACATACGCTGCATACAGGCATGCTGGCAGTGGGTTGGATGGAACGCATATTGCTATCGCTCTACAAGATACGATCATGAACTAGCACATCATTTGATTGATTTGACCTGTTAACAGGCGCTCTCAGGTTCGATGTTCGTTGCTACTCTCCATATGATCCGACCTCCTGCACAGATCTCACCATGCCCGACACAGCCCTGAACGCTCGACAAGGCGCCGTCGCGATGCAATAACCACAACCTTTCCTACCTCCATCCATTGCAAAAGCTCTCTCATGACCCATTCGCCTCCAGCTCCGCCGGCTCCTGGTGGCGCGCAAGCACCTTCTTCTTGTACTCGACCTGATCCCGATCCCACAACAGCGCCGCCTCCCCATTCAACGGGCTCGAACTGTCCACACCGTCAGCAAACCCCTCCCAGCCCGTGTGAAAGTGCGATACTCACTTATTCGGCTCCCCCAACAAACTCTGAATACTTAACAGCACACTCCCCGTATTCAACACCGCGCTCCACGCCCCCTCACCCCCCTTCCCCGCCGGCTTCAGAATGTCCAGACAGATCCTCCCAGCCATATCCACGTTCGGATGGTACACTGGGGTCGTGAAGAGGACTTCTGGCGGGGCGTAGGGGTAGTTGGAGGGGTAGGCGAGGGAGAGTTTGAAGGTGAGGTTTTCGTAGGGGGTGCTGCTGGGGCCGAGGACGGTGGCGGACCAGCGGGTCATGTCGGTGTCGGAGGGGAAGGCGCTGATGCCGGGGGTGGGGGAGAGCATTAGGGTCATTAGTTCGGATTGCAGGCTGGAACTGATATAAGCTAGGGCTGTTGGACGAGGGGTGTTTCAACTGCTCACCGCTTGATGACGTTGGCGTTGTTGGTAGAGCTGGACGGGGCGGAAGACTTCTTGTTGGAGGATGCGTTGGCGGATGAGGCCATGGTGCTCGCCATGTTGTCGTAGGTATGTCGATGATGGTGGATGTTCTTCGTAGGTGATCGCAGGAGTGACGGTGCTGAAGGAAAACAACTTGCTTATGATCTGCTATGAAGAAGAGCAATCGTTATGGCATGCAAAGTTATGGGCGTGATGTTAGTGGAATTGTAGGATTGTAGGTGAACTCATGGTGAAGCAGTTGAAGCCATATAGCTGCGAGTTGCGCTGTTGCTCCTCGCCAGTAAATAGCAACGAGACTTGGCGTGCCGCCTTCCTCCAACTTCACACCTTGTCCAATCGACTCGCGCCTTGTTCGCGAACGTCGAACGACAACACTTGTATCACTACGATTCAGTGCCGTGAGACTCCATCAGACGTGACCGTCCTCGAGTCCCAGGAGCGGACAAATGGACAATGCGTAACGCAGCCGAGCAACAACTGACTGAGGCCGGCATGCCTAGGGCCATCTTGTTCTACCCTGCAACATCTTCTGCACATTGAGGCCGCATAAGAGATCTTAAGGCTCAGGAACGCCGGTACCTTACTGTTGACCTAATGGATATCAACGCGAGCCTCCATAGCGAGCAAATGCCAGCGTCGTTTTCGGCGGCGGCAAGGTTGCACATCTTTCTAATGCCTCAATCCCGGTACGTCCGGTACACACCGCAGCTACGTCTACGCGGAACGTCCTCAGCGGCCGCGTCCATGAGAATGGCGGGATGACAAGCCTTCGCCGTCTTTAGGTCTGTGTTATCGTATGCTCTGTCAGAGCACCAACGCCACGATGCCAATATTGTTTGCCTTCTGGTGCCGTTCGACCGCACATCGGGACTGTGCCGTTGCCTGGTTCTGGCTCGCGGAGCGTTGGCCCAATGCATGCTAGAGACTCGGTCGATGGTCGTGTCGGATGTGCCTTGTCTACCATCCTGTGCTGTGCTTGTGCTCAGAACCGCGCGGCTGTTAGCGCGGCTACATGCGGTCCAGTGTACACAGCGTACACCATTTTGACTGTGGAGAAACACTCGACTCCTACGACAGCATTGCGTCCAACGAACGCGTTGAGTGGCTCAAGAACATTCCAATTGTTACTCGCATTGCGTGAGTACCGGGGCCTTGGGCATTTCTTTCGGTGAAGAGGTAGGCAATACAGCTTATGCAGTCACGCTGACACAACAATCTGGTGCCCATGCATTCCAGCCGCATCCCCGTCTAATCCACAGCACTATCGCAGGACAACTATTCTTGAAAGGCTCATTCCGGCGGTCGTGATGGGCATAGCTCTCATTACCATCCTCGTGCTGTGGTTTAGGAAGCGCCGCCAACGCATCTACCCGGCTAAGTCCTTACCTGCTCAGACAGAGCTCGACGTCTGGACCCAGTCCGGCAAACCTGCAGTACACGGCGGTCTGCACGAAGACCAGAATCCGTGGACGGGGATCCTAAATGGCCGGCCAAGGCAGTCAAACGGCGGACAGGATGCTGCGGGCCCAAACCATATTCGGAGAAGCAGCGACCGCGAGGCGAGGAACTTCACGACTCCCAAGTCGCCAACGGTCTTTGGCGGGCACATGCAATCTTTTCAACGCGGTGCGAAGCGTAGGAGGGCAGAGTCGAGATTTGGCATTGCGTTGTCGGACTCGTCGTCCTTGCGTGGCACTACCGACATCCAAAACATGGTTCAGGACAGAAATGGTGGTAGGGCTGAGCTTTCGGGCGAGGGAGGGTCGACGCAAAGGAAGGCAAGGTCCGTGGGACTGCCTGCTGAGTTTCGCAGGTCTGTGTATCCGATGAAGTGGTGCGGTGTGCTGATACCCGTGCTTCCGCAACGGCTGATCCAGGCTTTGGAGGCGCCTGAAGCAGATCAATGCAGGTCACGGCTGTCGATAGCGACAGGAGCGTTCGGCTACTCAGAGGCAGCCGCATGATGGGACGCTTGTATCTCTTCCAGAGCGAGTTGTCTTGAAGGCTGACATTCCGCCCGTTGAGGAAATCCACGAGATTTGTCACTACTGTGTTTGTCTTGATTTGTTTAAGGCGTCGATTGACGAAATCTAGGATGAGACTGTTTTCAGGCAATTCATGCCATCGTTGCCAACGAGGCTGCAGGAACCGAGCCAATGGGCGCATGCAGCAAGGCTGGGACTCCGCCACCTCACACTGCTCAACAGCCGTATCGATGGCGGGGTGTTATCATGCTCTTATTCTGCTCTTGCTTCCGGCAACCCTACAGCAGACAATCTCGCCGACTTGCCACCACGGCACCCTGAAACAACAGTGACCGAAGTCGACCACGACCGCCATAACCGCTTACTCTCGCTCTCTTAAGATTTCTTGGATCCCTGGAAGATGGCATCCAAATACGTCTACGACCCAGTGGACTCCGAGCATGGCTTCTGCAGGGTACTCGAGCTCTATCTTGGCGAATTCGACGACGACCTGGTGATTGAGCTCAAAGATGTGGCACTTGAAGCTGAAGACTCGCCGAGATACGAAGCCTTATCGTATACTTGGGGCACTGAGCCGGCGACTAAGAAGGTGTACATCAAGCCACCAGGTCTGGGTGAGCAGCAACAACCATATCCGCACATTCCCATTAGGCAGAACCTGGACTAGGCTCTACGTCACCTTCGCAAGGTGGACAGAACAGTGGTGCTGTGGATAGATGCCCTTTGTATAAACCAGCAAGACATACAGGAGCGTGGCGAACAGGTCCAGCTGATGCCTTTAATCTATGGATACTGTGATCACCTGTGGGTTTGGCTTGGGATTGAGCGTGACGACAGCTCTTTCATTCTCGAGCAGTTGCGATCGGTGAGCACGCTTGAAGACCAGGAGAGAAGACAAGTAATCGATGGCTGGTTTGGTCCAGTATACGCGGGAAGACACCACCGTGCTTTCAAAGCTCTTCTTGGTCGGCCGTGGTTTGAGAGGACATGGGTCCAGCAGGAAATATATCTTGCGGAAGACGCCACCGTCGTATGCGGCAAGGAGACTGTGGAGTGGAAAGCCTTCGATGTTACTTCCACCGCCGTCCTTGACGGGTACATATGGGACCCTGAGGACGCAGAAACTTCCTGGTGGAACTCGCGCTACGACCTTCTCTACTACCTTCGAAAAGGTCCACGAGTGATCGGGCTTCGGAAATTGCTGGAAGGTACCATGAAGACGCTATGCTCTGATCCTCGCGACAAGGTGTTTAGTGTCCTTGGAATGTTGGATCAGACCGAATCCCGAATACTGGACGCGCTGAAGCCAGACTACAGCATTGATGTGGCAGCATTATATAAGCGTGCTTGTGTCACAGTTCTGACCAACCAGTCATCACTTGGAGGTTTGGGCCACTTGATTATGTTGCGCGATTGCAATCGTATTGCAGAAGCTACCGACATTCCAACGTGGGTGGTTGATTGGAGCAAGCCGCCAATTGAAATCAACACCATCGTTTGGCAGTATGCAGACGCATGGTGCTCCACCGGCGAGCCGGCCGTTCATGCAGAAAGCGATGTCTTACCGACCCGGGGCGTCATCTGCGACGTCATTAGCCACGTTCAGTGTTTCGAGCAACTGCACCACGAGAGCGCCGCCTCTGTCCTGCAGAGCATTGACAGCCACTTTCTCAATGCTGATGGAAAATCGACAAGGGACGCTTCCCTCTCGGCAACCGTTCTTTGCATCACTCAGGGCCAAGTCTCTGAGCACGAAGGTGATATAGGTTCCCGCTTCAGTATATCAGCTTTGCGAGAGTCGTTCAACGCGATCATCAGCAGGAGTCGCGACCCAGATGAATCACGATCACCAAACACGTACGGACCAGACGAATGGCTTACCGCCTGCCTCGTTGTTAACCTCGAACATCGCGGATTGAGCAAAACAGCAAGCGGTCGGATGGGCTTGACCTCTTTCCACACGGAGGTGGGCGACGTTGTGGCCCTCTTGCTCGGACTCGAAGCTGTCACAGTCCTGAGACCGCAAACCGGCGGAACGTACAAGGTCGTCGGCATTGCATTCGTGCACGGATTGAATTGGGGAGAAGGCCTGCTTGGGCCGTTGCCTGACACCAAGTGAAGGTTTCAGAGATATACCACTGCAGAAAGCCGCGAGTACTACCAATTCCTGGATATGACGTCCGGCATTACGACGTACTTCGATCCACGGGTAGAGTGGGAGGAGCTGGCGGTTTCCGAGGACGATCCACTCCGACACCCCCGCCTATCTGAGGAGGGTAAAGGTCACTTCAGACAGCCCGACGAGCAATATCTCATACGGCATGGCGTGAAACTACAAACGATCAATCTCGCGTAGCATGTGGGCCCTCTGGACTGCGAGACTAGCAGCCATATCACCATTTCTACAAAGTCTGATTCGAGCGTCAATTGGGCATCAAATATGTCAGACAAGAGAGCTCACCTTTCAATAAGAGCAGGCTTGACCAGAAGCCCAGAGAGCATCGCAGCTGAACGGCCATGACCTACAAGTTTGGAGACAATGGGACCATCTGCTCTACCACCGCGACTCCCGAGCTATCTGTCAGCCTGTTGTCTTGCCTGACTATCATGCCTTTCAGCGTGGTCGACAGGGCCCGCAAGCCCGGTTTCAGCAGCCAGATTGTCATCCGAACACTTTCGGAAAGTCAATTGAGTCGACATCTCGGTACTACATGCATGGTAATGGCCGCCGGCTCTCTTGAGTGTGCTCTACAAGACCACAGCCAGTGCCTCTGAGCAACGACAAGACCCTTGGACAAGGTATACGAGCATCGTGGAGCGAGGATGGGGGGTAGTGCTCGTGTCTCGGGAACAGACCGCCGATTCGGATTTGCTGCACAACACCGTACAGCTACTTCTTTCACTCCCAACGAGCTTCACCGGCAGGAACAAAGCCCAAGGATCTCACCGCACGGCTGCTGTCGCCTTCAAAGATTGGACTGGATGGTGAAGAGATCGGATTGCTCAGCACGGACAACACCAGGGACGACAGCAACAGAGCGCAGGACACCCACGGGAATGCGCAGGTGTTTTCAGTTGCTCAAGCGGCTCAACCCACGACATAGACTCAACCAGGACATCGCAAGCAATAGTTGAGGCAGCCGTTCGGGCTCAGTGCTCAGCGCGCACGGGACAGACGATTGATGCGTCCTCCTGCGGGCTGGTGCCGCGAAAGACTTGAGGATTGGTTCCATCGGATTCATGGAGAAGTTGACGGCGTTGGAACCTCATGGCGGTGAGATAGGGGGCATGGTGAATGTCAAGCAGATGATATATCTCGAATGGAGCAATCTATGGTGAAGGACTTGGGCAGATGTGTACCGTTAGTGTTTTCTTGTTGGCTGCGATCTGAGTGTGCACTGCTCGGAAATCATTTCAGCGCCTTCTCTGTCGAGCCGCCGGGCTCTTTGGACAACTCTCTGGTGATCGCTCTTGGAGGGGCTTGTCTTCACTGTTCTCAAATGAGCCCATCTGACAGCGTTCTGCCGAAAGGGTGAAAGAAGACTTCGACCTCTGAGAAGGACCGGCACATCCCGTGCAGGTGAGCAGACGATCCGTCTGGAAGCTGTTGTGTGGTATGGCTGGCCTGAACTGGCGATCAGTCGTTCACATTCAGCCCTACGCCATCAACAAGCCATTCCAGAAAGACATGCAGAAGTGCTTGACCCATCCTCGAGATACCACTGCAGAGGTTTCAGGCGATTAAGCTCGACGGGTATGCAAGACATCCCGGCGCGAGCATTGGAGGTGGAGCTTGGCGATGCTCCAGACGAGCCGCTGGTCGAGGATGCCTTGTCTTGTATATGCGACCACTTTATCGCCGTTGTAGATGGCGGAGAATTTTGTGTAAATGTGGTCTGATACGGGGGGAGGTCAAGGTGGATGAAGTGAGGTGAAAGAACTGCCGGATCAATGTTTGTTAAGCGAGAGTTGGCGAGATTAGGTTTGGCGGGATCTGGTGGGAGGAGGAAGGTGCGACGGGGGAATAGCATACCATATATTGACCACCTCAGCTTTGCACTGCATTATGCGCCGGTACAGACAGTGTGGTTATGCGAAGTATATCGGCACGATAGCAAGTAAATCTGCCGCACCAAGGATAGACGAAATGTCCGGGCGGGCGCACGCGTATCTTCGATGACAGCGTGGTGGCAGCCAATCTCCCTGCCATTTCCAGCTGGCAGGGCTTCGGCGGTAGCGCGCTCGGCGAGTCCCCATTCGTCCACTCTGAAGCTGTGTCTCTCCTGCCGCAACTCCAACTCTTCGCACTCCCTCACTTCACTCCACCACCCACCCCCTCCGCCCCGTCGCCCACCCCCGTCACCACTCGCCGCTCCTCGCCGCTCCTCGCCGCTCCTCGCCGTCCGGTCGCGCGTGGTTGCAGGTGTCCGACATCGCCAAATCCACCGATCTGCACGTGTTCGTCGCACGGCAGCTTGCTCGAGCGGAATTCCTGCAGGCGCGCTTCGAGGTGCAGCTGCTCGGCTCCCTGGCCCACTCGGAACATTGCACCTGCCCACTTGCCCTGGTTGGCTGTCGCCGTCGCCGGCTCGCGACTGCAGCAGCGTCCCAGCCTCCGAAGCCTGATTCAGCGTCACCCTTCGAAACATTCGTCGCAGCACCGAGCCACGCCGTCTCGTCCATTCACTGGATTCTCTCTTCTTCAAGGTCAGTTGTCACGTGCGTTGTCGTCTACACGTGAAGTCTTGTTCGGCAGCGGGCAGGCGGCAGGTGGAAGCAGGCTATTGCGCGCTGGGAAAGGAAAGGGACAGCAGGGCGTGAATTGGCGGCGATAGGGCGACATTGGGGATTTGGCGGCTTGTCAAGTCATGTCTTCGGCTGCCGTGCAGCAACAGAGCACGCCGCAGCAGTACTCACAGTCTGACCGCTACGCCAGCGACCCCAACTACACTCCCTCCCGACGAGCAGGTGCCGGTAATGCTTCCGTACCGAACACCCCCTACCAGCAGCAGTCTTACTCATCTCCGTTGTCTAGCGCCGCTACGATGACCACCCCCAGAGGGCCCGGCAGCGGCCACGCGTCGCCGTCAGAGCCGCTGAGTAACTCTACGTATCAGCAGTTCTACCCCGACTCAATGGGATCCGGCCAAGCGACTGCTCTACCCATGCGGACATCCGCCCAGCAGGCACCTTCATCTGCCACGAATTCGCCGTACGATTCGCGAGGATACAGCTCACGTTCGCAACAGGCTGGGTATGGCAGCGAGAGCGAGCGAGAAAGAGGGCAAAGAACAACCAGGTCCCAGGCAGATCCAGCCAGTGCAAGCCGGAGCAGTCAGCAGCGCTCCCGTCATGCACCGCAACAAAGCAGATCCACCACAGCGGTCGGCCAAACACCCATGGACACTTCGCTACCACGCGAGCACAGTGCTATCATCAACCACATAGTAGTGGATGACCCACAAGCAGATATTGCTCGTGAGCGTGCACGTGTCCAAGAGGCGCAACCGTACCAGCGTGGCACCGAACCCGGCATGCTCGATCAGACCGTCCCTGCTGAGAACGAGCAGAAGCACCGGAGTCGGCAAGAGCACCTACGGCAACAGCCCACAAATCGATCGAAAGACTCCAAGCTTGGCGACTACATCCTTGGGCAGACTCTTGGTGAGGGCGAGTTTGGAAAGGTCAAGATGGGCTGGAAGAAGGACAGCACTGTCCAGGTCGCCATCAAGCTCATTAAGAAGGATCAAGTCCAGGGCAACCCAACTCGCTTACCCAAGATCTACCGCGAGATCGGCATTCTGCGGGACCTGCAGCATCCGAATATTGTTCGGTTACACGAGTTCGTCGAGACCGAGCGGCACATGGGCATCATCCTGGAGTACGCATCTGGCGGCGAGCTGTTCGACTACATCCTCAACCACCGCTACCTCAAAGATCCAGCAGCGAGACGCCTTTTCGCTCAGCTGGTGTCTGGAGTCGGCTATCTCCACAAAAAGGGCATTGTACATCGTGACCTGAAGCTGGAGAATTTGCTACTGGATCGGAACAAGAACATCATCATCACCGATTTTGGCTTTGCCAACAACTTTAATCCTAATGACGAGCTGGATGAGGAAACGGAGAAGAGGATCGGAGACAAGGACTTCGCCAAGCGGCAAGGTCTGGACGTGGTGAACGCGCAGGGTAACAGAAGAGGCGACCTGATGCAGACGAGCTGTGGCAGTCCCTGTTATGCTGCTCCGGAGCTGGTGGTGTCGGACGGGCTGTACACCGGAAGGAAGGTGGATGTTTGGAGCTGTGGTGTCATTTTGGTGAGTACAGTGGATTTCATGCTCACATGTCAGAGACGCTAATGACCAACAGTACGCGATGCTGGCCGGCTACCTTCCCTTCGACGATGACCCAGCCAACCCAGAAGGCGACAACATCAACCTGCTTTACAAGTACATCGTCTCGACGCCTTTAACCTTCCCCGAATACGTTACGCCGCATGCCAGAGACCTGCTCCGTCGGATCCTCGTCCCCAACCCACGATTAAGAGCAGACCTGTTTGAAGTCGCGAGGCACAGCTGGCTCAGCGAGTACAGCCACGTCGTCGGCTTCATCGGCAGCAGCACTAAGAGTGACCGCGACATTGCGTCTTCTGCGATGCGTCAAGGTGAAGAGCCGATGCTTGGGAGGAGTGCTTCAGTCCGAGATGGCACCAGCAGATCTCCTGCGTCAGCTGGTAACTATGCGCAGAAGCAGCCACCCAGCAGTGCTGACGGGGAGGCTGATGCGAGGACCAAGCAGCAGCGCGATGCCAAGAGGAGGACTGTGCAGCTCGAATATGTTGCGCCGAAAGACCAGACTGCGAGGGGAGAGACAAGTCCCACTGGACCCGCACAAATGCCGGCGGTCTCGTCTGGTACCGGACGAACAAGGGCAAGGGGCGACTCACAAGGACCTGTTGAGGTGCCGCAGACGTCAAACAGAGACATTGGGCCTCAAGTACCAAGGAAGGATGTTCCAAGCAGTTCGCAGGCAATGCCAGCACCCGCACGGCCTGGGAGAGACCAGATCAGAGCAGCTTCTGACTCTCCGGCTACTTTCAGTCCGCACAGTGCTGCACCCATGTCCAGACCCACCACCGGCGGCACTCTTGGCTCAGCAAGGCTCCCTTCACGCGGCAACTCCTACGGCCAGCCAGCCATTCCGGCGTCGACAAATACTAATGCCCAAGGCCATTTCTCGCAACCGAAATCTGGCTCGGGCTACATCATCTCCAGTCCAGGCAGTCCAGATCAGATGCAGGGCACCGACAGCCGACCTATCAGCACTCAGAATCTCTCACAGTATCAGCAACGACAGTCGCAGCCCGCTGAACAGCAAGCACAACGCGGACACAAGCGCTCAAGTACTCTCGGTAGTATCGGAGATCGTATTTTGGGCCGCAGCTCTTCGCGTCGGTCATCGCAGCAGCAGGATCCACCGAATGTGCTCGAGAAGCGCGACCGCAGGTACCCGCCAGTCAGCATGCGCGCTCCTATGCCTTCTGGTAACGAAGACGCCACGCCACGCCAATCCATGGAGAGCTCTCGCCGCACTAGCTTTGGCTTTAATAGGAAGCCATCAGAGACACCATCAGAGAGCAAGCGGTCATCTCGCCGCTTTTCGTTCTTGCCGAACTCCTTCAGTCTCAACAACTTCAGCAAGAACAATCAATCCCAGTCACCGTACGAGAACAGCGACCGTCCTGAAAGCAAAGGCATGGCCTTCGGCCGCGGCGCCTCGCGCAGCCCAAGCATGAGCACGACCAATTCCACCATCCCGCAGTACTACGATCAAGACCGTGAAGCCGGCCGCACCCAGCAACGCCGCTCCAACCAGCAGGGCTCCTCCGGCGATGCACCATACCAGAACGCCCAGCAAGGCCGCTACGAGAAAGCCCTCCCACCGCAACCGCAGCGCATGACCGCCACACCACCCTTCGTAGCGAAGAAGCAATACCGCGATGACGGCTACGGGGGCAACCTCCTCGACTCGGGCTCCCAACAGCAACCGCTCCCATCACCCGGACCCAATGATCCCGTCGAGCGCTACTGGACCCCGGCGGAAGAAGCCGACCAAGACGCCATGATCTCCGGCCCATACGGCAACAGCACTTACAACGCCAGCGGTGGCAACTACGCCGCACAGCCGGCTTCGTCATCGAGGGATGCGACTTACGGGGGCAGCAGTGCAAACTACGGGAGCAGTGGTGGTGGGTATGAGAGTAATGCTTACTCGCGGACGGAGGCGCTGCCACAGGGCCCGCAAGTGAGGGCGGGGAACAATCGCAAGTTTGAGTATGATCGTGGGCATGGGGGGAGTAGTGGGCCGACGAGACGGGTGATGGATTTCTTTCGGAGGAGGGGAAGGGATAGGGGTGAGGTGTGAACGTGATCCAGGAAGAGCGGGGGCGAGGGTATTTTGAGGGTGGTTACTGGAGCATGGGTCACAGCTGTTTCGACGGCGCAGTAGCATTGATTCACTGGACGGCGGATCGAGACGTGCAGCGACCGACGCCAACACTCGTTCACAACTGCGGGAGTGGTTCTGCGATCTGAACCACCGCATCACTGGAGCCAGGAGACAGCAGCACACGGCGGAAAGAGAAGGAGTCATTTCCTTCCGCAGCATCTCCTGAAGGATTCGACAGAACAAACAGGACGGAGGAGAGAGTGTCAGTGTGTGTAATCAGGTTCGTTTTTGGGGGGCAGGCAGGCGATTGATCGGACTATATCAAGCGTGGCGTTTTCATGGGAGGGAGGTTCTTTGGGCGAGACCGAGTGATCTGGGAGAGGTACGGGGCATGGAAGAATGCGATTAGGAGGCTTTCTTCACCTTTCAATGTTTATAGATTGATTGTGTGTAGGTTGTTCCCGTAGGTGGAGAATATGAAACGGTTGATAATGGGTGCTCTGCGCCACTCCTCTCTTGTTTTTGATTCGAGGTGTTGTTTGGGGGAGTTGACTGACAGACCAGGGACGGGAGGAATAAGTGAGCTGGTGGCCGACTTCGGCTGTACCGCTGACAGCTTCTCCGACTCAGATACTTTCACTCGTCTGCCGAGAGAGATGCTTAAGATGCTTGAGATTGACGACAAGCGGGGCTGACAGTTAACGACAGCGGGTCCGTTCGATCGTTCACAAAGACTCTACACTCGAGCCATATCTTCGTGGACCGACGCCAAACATTGGAGCAACGGACACATTGACCAGCGACCCTAGACCGTATATGGCAGCACGTCTACGAGCATTCAAGAAACAAATCAATCATACGGCGTCGGCAAGAACCTCCCAAACCATGGCTTCACAAACTCCGATGTCAGTCGCCGTTCTCGACGACTACCAAAACATCGCTCTCAACCACTTCTCTCGCCTGCAGAACATCAAGCTCGACAACTTTCCGAGTACCCTCAATGCCGCGGTCCCAGAAGGTCTCTCTGCCCTGGCAAAGCAACTCCAACCCTACCAAGTCATCAGCACAATGCGCGAACGCACCGCTTTCCCCGCCGAGCTCCTCCAACAACTGCCCAATCTCAAATTGCTCATGACCACCGGGCCGCGGAACGCTTCCATCGATCTCGCCGCTGCGTCCAAGCGCGGTGTTGTAGTGACGGGGACAGCGGGTGGGAAACCCTCTCGTCCGGAGAACTATAGTACAGCGGACCTCCCGCCCCCGGCCTCAGCGGACTCAACGAGCCAACACGCCTGGGCGCTATTACTGAGTCTCTGCTCCCGCATCCCCCACGACGATCCCGCGCTCAAGACGGATCCAGGAGCATGGCAAAGCGGTTTCTCCATCCCACTTGGCGGCAAAACGCTCGGGGTCGTCGGATTAGGCAAATTAGGCGCGAAAATGGCTCGGACAGCCGTGTTGGCTTTTGGAATGAACGTGATTGCCTGGAGCGAGAACTTGACGCAGGAGAAAGCCGATGCTGCTGCTGAGAGCGCCGGGTTGGCTAAAGGGACGTTCAAGGCGGTGGGGAAGGAGGAGTTGTTCCGGCAGGCGGATGTGGTGAGTTTGCACCTTGTGCTTTCGGAGAGGAGTAGAGGGGTGGTGGGGAGCAGGGAGTTGGAGATGATGAAGGGGAGTGCGGTGTTGGTTAATACGTCGCGCGGGGGGTTGATTGATGAAGAAGCGTTGTTGGAGACGGTGAAGGAGGGTGGGATTAGGGGCGTAGCGTTGGATGTCTTCTGGACCGAGCCGCTGCCAGAGGGTAGTGCTTGGAGGAAGAGAGATGGGTTTAAGACGGAGGTGGTGCTGAGCCCGCATATGGGGTACACTAATGCGGGGACGATGAACAGGTGGTACGAGGAGCAGGCGGAGAATCTGGAGCGGTGGTTGAAGGGGGAGGAATTGAAGCTGAAGATGAACTGAGCAGGGTATCTACATAACTCACCAGGCATCTCCCTTCGACCTCACTGGCCGCGTCTCATCTCAGCAAACCCTTTGAAAAGCGGCGGCGGCGGCCCCTTCACAAGCGTGCCCACATCAATATCCGGATCCCCCTTCTCCATCGCCTTCCTATACGCCGACCTCTCCGAAACCCTCTTAAGATACTCCAGAATCTTCGGATACGCACTCAGATCCTCCTGCGTAAACTCCCGCATCCCCGTCAGCGAAAAGACACACATCACATCCGCCGCCGTGAACTCCTCGCCCGCCAACCACGTCGCTTCCCCCAACCTCTTCTCCATAAACGCATAGATCTGATCGGATCGATTCTGCATCCGCACCACGTAATTGTTATCCTCCCCCAACCCCGCGCTCTTCAACATGAAAGCCCGGAAGACAGCAGGCTGCAGCGTGCCGTTCCCGAAATGCCACCAGTAAAGGTACTCCGCGTAGTTCTTCTCCCCAGGCTTGACTGCCAAACGGCCATGACCGTGGATCTGGATGATGTATTCAAGACACGCGCCGCTCTCGGCGATTTTCACCTCGCCGTCTTCGATGACCGGGGCGGCGCCGATGGGGTGCAGGGCGAGGTATTTGGGCGGGGAGAGGAGGGGGCTGCGGTCGTATTTTTGCAGGTTGTAGGTGAGGCCGAGTTCTTCGCAGAGCCAGACGCAGCGGTCGGATTGGGAGTGGCCGAGGTGGTGGATTGTGAGCATGGTTGATACTTTTTCAAGGTCCGGTCAATGGATGTGGTGGTGGTGTTGGCTTGTGGCTGTTGAAGATGTGCTTTTGAGTGCAGGTGGTAGTGGTGGAAGTATTGACCGTTTATATACAGAACTGTAGGCTACGTACTGTTGCGCGGTTCGTCTGGAAGCTCTCCCACGGTTGAGTTATTGTTGATCTTCAGTGAGCCGAGGTGGTAACAGAGCTTGCCAGAGCTCCGTGTAGGGCGTGTTCAAGATAGCTAAGGAAGCTTATCCTAGTAAATCCGCGAAATATTCCCGTGCTGGATGATGTGATGGCACGGAGTTTGTACGGTGTTGAGTTGACAGTCCGTTCGACTTCCAACCGACAGCGCCCGTTTCCTTGATATCCCGCATACCTCTTCCAGCATGTCCATTTCGGTAGCAGTCCATCGTAGTAGTTCGGAAGCAAGAATCCTTCGACAGCCTGAGTCACCGCGCCCTACGAACTCCAGCCGAACTCCAACGCTGTAAATGCTGATACAATAGGCCCAAGGAGGTAGATCGGGTCGGAAACTTGGCCAGGTTATTACTCACAACTCCCTCGGACTCGCGATAGCCTTCCAAGCCGCTGCCGCCGCATCGCCATGCTTCTTCTCGCTAGCCAAAATGCCGAACCTCAAGAACACTTCCGTGCATGTGACGAGAATGCTCAGCACGATAAGCACAATGATGATCCAGGTGATGCGCGTCATCTTGACGTCCGCGATGGAGTCACTCAGGATTTCTGCCAGGTCTAGGAAGACTCGGCAGCGCTCGTTGAGCACCTGGATGCGCGGCTTGATTTCGAGATACTCTCGGACGGCCTGGTAGAGAGGGTGGAGTGTGGGTTCGCTGTCCCAGAAGAAGTTGGGCGTGTCGAGCATGTTTGATGCTGTGTGAACTTATTAGCAAGTGCAACGACGCTATGAGTGAGCATGACAACTTACAGAGGTTAACATCAACTCTACCCTCAAACAACCGACCTACAAGACCAACAACTTCGTGACGAGTCATCCCGAGACGGCCTTCCAGTGCTAGCCGGCGGGGAACGTATTGTGCTTCGGTCATCGTCCGCTGCATCCGCTCTTCGAAGAACGACAGCTTCGTGCTCTGCGCGATGGCATGGCTCATAGCAAGCTTGATCATGTGATCGCTCGTCCGCAACGTGATCATGTCGTTGAAGATGCGCGGCTTTTCGATACTGTTGTCGTATTGGAAGTGGAAGTCTTCCGTCTCAAAGTTGCTCTCATCCAAAGGCCGCGTCATGAGCGGAATACCAGTGGACGGCGGTGCGAGCGCAGCAGCCTTCTGTGAGAGCATCGTAGGTGCCGGAGCTCTGCCGTTGGCACCACCCAAGACTGTGCTAGAGCTAAAGGTAAGGTCGGCAAGCAGATCCTTCTCCTGGTTCGGGCTGAAGTTCCAGAGGACTGCTACGCCGTAGCTGAAGATGAATACCTCGGCGACTGTGCTGGCATACGGGCTGACCGTGGGCTGTGGCGACGGGAACGACATCGCGTTGGAGGAATCACTACTTTCTCTCCTTCGCTGGTAATCGGTATCCTCAGGTCGCCAGTCTTCATGGCTGGTGGAGACGTGATCGCCGTTCTCCCGGGACAGCTGCTCCTCGTGCTCAGCATCCGTAGGTGGTGTGCCGACTTGTGCTTGGTATTCGTTCCCCCTTACACTGTACTCTGCACTCTCGCCCAGCCAGCCATCTCTGTACTGCCGCTGCTCGTTCGCTTCGATCTGCTCGTCCAGCACACTTCTGCCACCTGGATTCTTGACCACCGGCGAGCTTCGCACCCTGTAGCCCTCACTGCCACCGAGAAGCGGCAGCTGATAGACACAGTAGAGGCAGTCATCGTATAGCTTGGTCTTCGCTCCATGTTGATCCCGCACAAACTGAGCCGTGCTCCTGAGCTTGTAGCTTTGAGCCGTGCAATACGCGGTCACCCGGGCCAGCTGCATATCTGCTGTCCTTTGCGACTTAGGCAAGCGTTCGGCATCACTCCTCCCTCTCTTCAGCTTCATCCGTCTTTGCCTGAGCTCAGCATCGTTGGGTGGCGCCTCTTCATCCTCCTCTTCCTTCTCGTCCGCTTCTTCTGTGGTCTCCGGCAGCAGCACCAACTTCTCGCTCGTCTTCGAACTTCGCGTGGGCAGGTGTGTAGCTCCGCTCAGCTGCGCCGTCAGTGTGTTCAGAGCAGCTCCTCGCCCTGATAGCTTCGGATTTAGAGGGTGCCTGCCGGAAGGTGTCCGGTTGTGAGCTTTCGGTCTGCTGCTGTCGGTGGGAGTGATGTCGCGGCGCTGGGCTGAAGGGATCTCGGAAGCATATTGCAGGACATTGTCAACGGATATGAGACGCGTTCCCTGCCTCTGGATTTGTGGGCGCTGTGGTGGTGGTGCTCTCTCGCGCGCATCCGTGACCTGAGATGGTGTCAGTCTCTCTGGCAACGGGTGTATCTAACGACAAGCTCACCAGGACTGTAGGTCCGCGCTTCTGGCCTCGCGGAGCAGCAACAGACATCTTGTCGTAGGTTAAGCAGTTGATGGGTCGGTGACACGATGATCACGTTCACGACTTCAAGTTCACATGCTGTTGCCGCATTGGGCGCGGTGCGGGCATTCCCGTCCGACGTCACCTCCTTAACTCAATTCACTCATCCCTCTTGACGCGATCGGGTCTTGTTAACAAGGCTGGAAGAAGGACGAGCTGCCAATGACTTCTATGGTTGGCACGAAACAACAGCCCCCTTGGTGCCGCTCGAACATCTCTTGACCGCCCATCCAGAGCTGTATTGTATCACGAATGATGACATACAAGAGTATTCTGCATCATCTATCTATCCGACCCAGCTTTCTCCCAACCACCATAACCACCATCCAGCTCAAACCTCGGCGAAGCATCCATCTCAATAGGCTGCGGCGTTCCAACACCAAACCCATCCTTCTCTGCCACCTCCCCCTTATCAGGCATCTCATAGAACGTCGCATGTGGTGCATCCAACTCCACTTTGCTCTCACTTCCAACTTCATGGATCGCCGTGCCTTCAGCGCCCATCTCTGCAAACAATGGAGTGGCGGTTCCGGATGGGTCTGGATCCTTCTCGTCGGAGCGATGCTCGTAGATCTCCTCTCCGGACAGCTCCGCGCGTGCGGTGCTCTTCTTTTTCCGTCGGAGGAAGAACCAGACTGCTATACCGGTGAGGGCTGCGATGGCCGCGGCGGCTACTGCGATTGCTGCTGTGGTGCCGGTCCCGATGCCAGAATCCTTGCCATCATCAGAGCCAGAGCCAGAGCCCGAGCCTGATTGTGTGCTGTTGTTGTCGGTAGGATAAAGCGTCGTGATCTTCTGCTCCACATCTGTGCCCGGATGCGCCGCCTGCGATACCTGGAACTGCTGCCGATCGTAGTCGGCAACCACATACGCCTCCTGCAAGAACACTCGGCCGAGAGTGTACTGTGATTCGTTCTGCGCTTGCTTCAATGGAAAGTAGTACGATTTGCTGCTTACGAGCGGCGGGCTGATCTCGAGATCAAAAGCAGCGTACGGGAACTTGATGTCGACGGTTTTCGACCCGGAGCCGAGCGTGAGGGTAAGTGTCGGATTCTGATCGAGCAAGGCGTTATGCTGGCTTGTGGAGAGCAAGTACATTTCGCTCGAAGAGTCCCACTCCAGGCCGAAGGCTTTCTCGAACTCTTTGCAAACAGGTATAGGAAGCCACATTGCCGTGACCATGCTATCAATGAAGACGGAGACGCCCTGCGATAGAAGCGGAGAGCTGCCGAGGGCGTTGTGTGTGATGGACTGTAGGTCGACCATGAGATCGCGAGTAAAGTCGGCGCCAAAGGGGATGGCTGAGAGAGTCTTCGATGCGTCCAATTGCGCTTCGTCGTAGCCGCCTCTGATTGCATTGTTAGCAGGTGTTCTCGGTGTCGTGATTATGCTATAGATGGACGCACAGCGTCAGGCTGCCGAAAACAGGAGACGACAGGTACGAGCTGCCCGCAGTGTAGCCCCAAGATGTTGATGCGATCTGGCCAGTCTCTCGCAAAGTGCTCAGCATGCTCCGCACAGGAGAGTCGAGAGTCGTGAAATTGTGTGGAATAGGACTGATGCCCAGACTACCGAGCCAGTAGTTGTTGCTCGCGATTCCTGCTACTAGCTGGTTGTGCAGTATCGGCAATGCTGAGCCTTCCAAGCCCAAGGAGACCGTGTCGAAGCCGTAGTATGCGTTCCCATCGTAGCCCAAAGAGCCCTCCACGTATGTATCGAGCTGTTCCATTTCTCGTCAAATCCATGATCCACGCTATCTTTGAGAAGAACTCACCTCATAAAGACCACCATTGCTCAACCGCTCGCTCGACCATGTCGTGCTAGTATTGCTCTTGAAAACGTAGCCACGCTCGTTCGCGCAATTGCTGATGTTGGCATTATATGTTGCGCTGCATCCTTCAGGGATCACGGCCCATATCGCATTGCCCGCGTTTGCACTGGTGCCGGGGAGGAGCCTGACCGTCTGCCCAGGCGTGCCGACTTGGACGTGAAAGGTAGACCATGAGCCATCGACGCCGTCCCAGTAGAGACTTGGGGGTATTGAGAGGGCTATCGGATCGCTGGATGAGAGTACGAAATGAACGAAACAGAAAGAAGATAGCAGAACGCCTGCAGCAGACCCCATCTCTGAATACCAATGAATAACAAATGCAGAAGTGAAAACAGTAGAAAGACGCACTCTGATCTGTACGGTAGCACAGATGAAGTGGCAACCGAGACGCCGTATATTGTCTCGCAGGTCAAGGAGAGCGGAAGTTGGTCCCAGCTGAACCAACATCTGCGTGCTTGGTGTGTACGAAGACCATGTTACCAATAGGGCTGGATCGTGGCACGGGCGTTGAAACGCGGTGAAGGTCTAATTTTGTCAGAGAATAGCATCTGTCTGTTGAGTAGATCCAGAACTATCATTTCGTCCGGAGCGTGCAGCGCTTGGTATGATGGTGCACAGACGGGCACAGAATCCTTCGAGGTTGTCATCCGGGGCAGCATTCTAGGGCAGGCCTACCGCTTCTGGGAGCCCAGGAGTTCGGAAATAGTCTCAAGATACTCGACAGAGCGTGTACAGACGATGATATCGTTGTTGGAAGCTCTCTAGCTCAAGATGAAAAGGAATGAAGAGTTAGAGTTGTTGATGCCCTCAAAGAGATCTCAAGACCAGGACCAGATGTACGCCAGTCAAGCTTTTGGCGTGCTGAAGTGCACTGCGATTACAGGTAGATGGCCCAAGCATCGTCTGTACGACGACCTCGCGTGCTCTCTTGGTGCTTCGCATTCGGAATTCAACCTCAACTCCTTCAACACGTCGACATAGGTTGGCTCCAAGGGATGCTGCGTGGCCTACCGCCTCCCTACACCCCGGCAACCTGTGGAAGCGCCATCGTAAGGCTGATCCAGCACCGGAGACGAGCTCGACGCGAGATGAGCCTCAAGGCCCCTGGGCCCAACCGTCTGTCGCAGGTGAGACAATATCGTTGGCATAAGTTCGTCTACACCTCCATGTAGCAGTTGCAGCAAGTCTTGATCCTCTTCGTCTTTCGTTGCCTATCTCTCGTTCCTGGTTGGAGAATCTGTCATGGCTGTCTTCAGTGCACCTCGTTTCGCACTATGGGCTAGTTGCTTCCTCCCGCTCGTTCTTTGCAGCAATGGTAAGAGCGGGAAAGACAATCAATACATTGACAAGACTGACGATTGTAGCTACCTCCAGTACAACAGGATACCCAGTGTCTATAACGCCGTCGCCATCGTACGGCGGCACCGATGGAACATGCTCGAAGTACTGCGGCTTTGTCCCAGTCTTCTACTCCAGCTCTTACTGGTCGCAATGGTACGTCGTGATGGTCACAGTCCTTCATCAGCGGCGGGAGAATACAGCTAACCCATCATCTTCCGACCTACAGGATCACGCCAGTCACAGTGGGTAAGTAGAGTCGAAGCCAGCCCGGTTGTCGAACGATCAAAGCTAATGTTTCTCCCCAGGAACTGTGATGGTCGTTGTCAATGACTCCGAAACACGCACAACAACCAAATACAACTCTGGAGAAGCTGTGGTGGGTTCATCGACCGTGGCTATTTCGGATCTAATCAGCGATGGTCTGCTGGGCACGAAGGCAACCACCATGACAGCAAAGGCTACCGGGTTCGATGGCTCGCCAACAGTCGTGTGAGTGCGAGCTGTTCCCTAGTACCGCCCCTCTTACATTGAGCTGACGCCCGAGATAGTACTTATCCTACCCCTTGGTGGACGATCGATTCCGAGATTTTTTGGGGTGGTAGTATCCCTGTGTCCACCAAATGCTCAACCTGGGCAGGATTAATCACTGGCTCATCATCGTCCTATCCATTCTCACTTAAGGCGTCGCCCCTACCTACCCATGCTCCCTTTACGACTAAGCCCGCACCGGTCGATCAGGATGATCCCTACGGCAACCTGTATACACTGGTTGGCGGCCTCGAAGAGACCCTCGACAAGGAAGACATCGCTTCTCTTTTCCCTGGCAATGACTTTCTACTTGAGGTCTACGGCTGCTCGACGGGAAATTATGTCCTTCCCGCAACCGCGGTGCAAGCTGTGGCCGGTCTGCTTGCTACCACAACGGAACACATCTCACCGGCGCCAGAGAAGCCAACGGACACGGCGAAGCCAACAGACACCGCAAAGCCGACCGATCCTCTGAAGCCAACAGACACGCCGAAGCCCACGGAATCGCTGGAGACAACTCCCACTGACAAGCAAACTGACGGCGGTCCGCCACCGTCTCCGCTTGTGCCCGAACCTTCACCAAAAGACACAAGCACTCAGCTCGATGGTAACCAGCAACCGAAACCCGAAGCTACTCCGCCTACAGACACAACCCTCGTGGCTGGTGGGAAGACCTTGGTGCCAGGCTCTGCCGTGATCGTTTCTGGGACCACTTACTCCCTCCCCTCAACTGGCGCGGGAATATATGTCGACGGCGAATCGCGAACCCTCGCAGCGACACCTACTGCTCCACAAAATGTCGGCGGTATTCTGGTGACTCCCGAAGCGGGTAGCGCAAGCAGTACCACGGAGTATCTGCTCAATGGACAGACGCTAGCGCCTGGATCGACGGTGGTGGTGTCTGGTACGACGTTCTCTCTCCCCAGTTCTGGACAGGGGATCTATGTCGATGGAACGTCGACGGCTGTTCCGACGGGTGGTGCTGAGACACCGTTCGATGTGGGCGGTGTCAAAGTTACGCCGACGGGGGCAGCTGTGCCATCTGGTTCTTCTGGTGTGGTTCCTGCTTCTGAGAATGGTGCGGGTTCGAGGGGACTTTTAGGTTGGGCTATTAGCCTGGGAATATCCTTGGCTGTGGTGTGGGCGACTTTACTGTAATGCTATAATCATGAGCAGAGGAGGCGTGGTCATGGGTTCCCGACCGCATGTGTTAGATCTGATTAGAGACAGTTGTGAATAATGTCTTCACCAAATTGGTAAGAGCAGAGTTGCCACTCAGGGTGGCACGAATGTACATTGAAGTGCCTACCCACAGCTCGTTGTTTATCATCTGACTGTGTGTTTATCTCAAACTCGTCGACGACGATGCTCTCCATGAGCCTGTAATAGAGGTCTTGCGGGTTTGCCGAAGCTGACACTGGGGCACCCATTTCGTGCCATCAAAGCACCGTCTCACACTGCGGGCTAAGCTCCTACGCAGAACCACCCGACGAAGCATTACCGGTGCACCCTCAGTAAGTCGCCGGCAGCTGGCTCATTCTACCTCCATCGCTCACCATCGTCTCCCCATTCAGATACGCACCTGCCGGGCTTGCCAAGAACAGGACAGCACCCGCCATATCCTGCTCAGATCCTGTCCGACCCGCCGGACAGTTCTCCGGGGCCATCTTATGCGCTCCCTTAAACATGTCACTTTCGACTGTCTCAAGAGAAGAGACAGTGCCTTGCGTCATCTCGCTCGGGTATAAGCTGTAACAGGTCAGTTCGAATACCATCTTATCAAGATTGATAGGACGAACCCTGGAGCGATCAAGTTGCATCTGATGTGATGTCCTTGTTGGGCGAAGAAGGTCGAGAGCATCTTCACCATGTGGTTGGCAGCGGCTTTCGATGTGCTGTAGGCGAAGCTCGAGGCAAGGTGGCGACTGAAGCCTGCCTACAAAGGTGAGGACGCACAACTCAGCGGTCGCCGGCGCAGTGAAGGACTTTTTCAACATACGACTGACGAGGTAACAACAATCTGTGACTCCTGCGGTACATTCTTCTTCTTGTTCCCAGCATCTAGAAGATCCAGAAAAGCAACGGCTGTGTAGTAGACGGCGCTACTGTTGACGTGATAGGTCTGTGAAAAGAAGTCCATTTCTGGCTCCCACATGCCTTTCTGCAACTCCTCGATCGTGGGCTTTCCTCCCTTCGCCAACGTTGGGAGGTAATCACGGGCTTTGGGTCCCGACACTCCGGCACTGCAGAGCGTCAGCTGCGCCAGCGATATGACAGAGGGACTTGTGATCTACTTGGCAAAGAGGAAGTTGACGTAGCCCTGCTCCTTTCGCACCCGCTCCGCGACTGCTTGTAACGACGCCTTGTCTGTCACGTCTCCCACGATCGGGATGATGTTGTTGTGGTTCGAAGCGGCTTCCTTGAGAGTGGCTTCTCGTCGACCGACGATGTAGACTGCAGCGGCTCCATTGGCGGCCAGAGCCTTTGCAGCGTATAGCCCTAAGCCAGAGCCTCCCCCAGTGATGACTGCGACAAGTCCTTTGACGGAGAAAAGGTCATTGATAAGGTTCGACATCTTGATGGAAAGTGGTTAAAGTTAAGCTTCTTGGGGTGTGGAGTGCAATCTGTGGGAGCAGTTCGGTGGTTGTAATGAAGAAGACAGAACAATCGAAACAACAAAGCATTGATGTGTGAATGACGCAATGGAATCATTGACCGATACCGGACACATTGTCAGACATTCTAGTTTTTCGTCAAGGCTCCCTGAACGATAGTTAGATTAATGAGATCCTACAATGCCTCCATCACATAGATCCACATACCTTCTGTACTGCTTCAGAGTTGACCCGCATTCTTCTTGTGCCCTCTTCACCTACTATATGTCAGCTTCTTGTCGAATAGTTCGGAGAACCATTCAGAGAACTCACCCAACCACTGCGGCTGGTATTCGAGGAACGTGTTTTCGAATTCCCACGCACCACCGCCTTCAATGTAGTAAGCTTTGCCATATATGCTTGGATCTGCTTGAAGACCAAGGATGATCTTGCCAACCGCATCCGGCCTGAGTTGAAGCACAAAGGTTAGCGCTGTCTGAAGGGAGCTTGGAGCTTTCGTCTTACGGCTGCCAGTATAGGCCACCCGCCTTGAACGCCGATATAATGTGCTTCGTCATTTCTGAGTCGGTAACCCCGGGACAAACAGCATTCACTCTTATGCCGTCTCGCTCCCATAGGATCTTCCTCGAGCTTCGCAGAGTGCCATGAACCGCGTGTTTACCGGTTTGATAGATATATAGCCCCGGGCTCTCCCGGAAGGCATTGACGCTGCTCAAGATGGTCAAGCTGCGGTCGTCCCCTTGCTGGCGGCCTTCTCGTAGGAACACAGCGGCGATTCGAGCGAAGTGAAGCGTGCCGATCACCTGAGCGAAGCCGTCAGAAAGTCTCTCAAGATAGCGCAGCGAAGACATACGTTGACTTCCAGTGTCTTCAAATCGCCAGAGTCACTTCCGACGGAGTCGACAGTCAGGTTGGGATCGAACCAGTTTCCCACCTCTGCCTTCGTCAGTCATGTTCATCCAGACCACAGTGGAGCAGCTACTTGCCGAATATGCCAGCAGAGCTGACCGCGTGGTCGACCCTTCCATGCTTCTCAAGCGCCGTCTTGAACAAATCGTAGATGTCGTCGTACTTCGTTACGTCACATTGGGCGAACGATACTCCTTCATGCTGCTGACACAGCTGCTCAGCCGCCTGCTTGTTGACATCGCCAATGACGACCGTGGCTCCAGCTGTAGCTAGCAATTTTACGGTAGCAGCTCCAATACCGGTACTCCCTCCTGGAAGGTCATTAACTCGAGGACTCTGTGGCAGTATGGTAGCCTTACCTGTGATGACGACTACTTTGTCTTTCAATGTAGTGAATGTCTCTTCGCTGGGAGCGTAATGTGCCATCTCGGAGGAAGAAAGTTGTAGGTTTGGGTAGCTTGGAGAAGTTGCAGGAGGTGGAGAAGCTGTTTTGTACTTCGGGTTTAAACCTCTGGCCGAACGCGGGCAAGGCCTCGACAGGATATCGTAGCAAGAACAGCAACATGACTGCTACACAAAGCGCCCAGGGGTACATGTAACTATATTCGAGTCTGCAAACAGCTGCACATTGGACGCATTGACGTTTTGCAAAAGTTTTTCAATAACCCTGCTCGCTAATCCGCTTGAAGGCACGAGCAATGAAAGGATTCGATTCCTTGATGTGCTTCACGGTCCACGGTGTTGCGTTAGCCTCCTCAGCCTCTTTGCTACCGAACGCCGATACGTCGTCCACCTGTCAGAGAGTTAGCAAACAAGCACTTCGGCCGACATTGACTGCAGAGCGAACCTCATGAATGGCCAGGAAGGGCTGCGTCTCGCCCTTTGTCAATGGCGTTCGAGATCCGATCTTGTATCTCAGAGATCTTCTGTAGCCAGGCAGTTTTGCCAGAAGTCCGAGATGCTCTTCGCGATACTGCGGTAAAGGGTCAGCACTGAGAACCAGGAGCTGACCTTGACTCCGGCAAACAGGAAGCGTACCCATTTCTCAAAGTCGTCCACGTCGGCGGGGTTCATGTACACGCATAGAATGTGCGGCGAAAGCCCTGAACGGTGTCAGTCAAGAGCATCAAGAATGCTTTCGTGGCGCTTACGTTCGCCTGTGCCTTTCGGATCGTATTCCTGCCACAGGGAATAATACCGAGCATCAAAGTCACCGTTCTGATGGAAGTTAGCATACTGCAGACACTCGCAGGGCCATTGGCAGTGGACTCACATCCTGGTTGACCGCGCTGTTGGCTCCGGCCTTCTCGAACATGTCGCTCGATCTGCGGACACCATTCTTGTAACCATCAGAGTTCAGGAGCTCTTCGATCTGTCGAGTGTATCAGTAATCCTTGATAGCCCCGGCGGCCCGACTTCTTGGCTATACCTCAGTCTGATATAGAGCCAGATACTTTCTGGGATGGTCTGGATTGGGGGCCAACGGGTGCCCGATCTCCTCATAGAAAGTCGCTCGGGCACAGGTTTTGGCATTGTAGAGGTCGGGCAGGTGTTCGACCTTGTACCTGCGGGCCGCAGCTGGTTTTAGCAATGCTCTGACGACCAAACAAGCAACACCGTGATCGATGTCTTGCGTCGACAGCAACAACAGGCTGTAGGCTTTTGGCTGCTCAACTTACCACTCCTCCCAGGTGTCGTTCGAGACCTGGGTTGGCCGGGAGTTGACGTGGAGAAGGTATGGTGGTGGAGACATCGTAATTGCAACAAGAAGCGATCCAGTCAGCACTATCGAATCCTCTGGGATGTAGGTGATGTTAAATGTGCTGTAGGTTTGGAGTTTTGCAAGATGCTTGTTCGGTTATTGGGCGACCTCGCCTCGCCTTTCTACCCCGCCCAAGCAATGTGGAGCGGTTTGGAGACTGCAAGCGGAACGTGTAGACGACTTACCTTGGTCTGGATCTGTAAAACTCCAACTGCAGTGCAGTGTAGCACTTCGGCAATAGCAGACGAGAGACGTGGCTCACTGGATGCGTTTCGATGCTGGTGGTTTTCTTGTTGAGGGTTCCATGACAGGCACGCCGAGCTCTGGAGGGTGTTTGCCGTATCCTGTCCGGCAGCCCAGTCCCAGGATCGGCCCATGCAAACAACTTCTTTCGAAAATAGACAATCATAGCTTCGCCTTCCGTCGGGCTTTCTGCTCAACCTCGAATGCAGCAATGGCCTGCCTTGGCTCATCAGTCCGCCCTCGCTCTGCCAATCCTGCACACTCCCGTTGGTTCGCTGCCAGTAGCTCGTCTCTAATAGGCGCCATCATAAGTTCTTTTGAGAACTGTCCTTGTGTCAGTCATGTCTATCGATTGCATGTAGCCAATCAGCCCCGCCGTAAGAACGGCGTGGATTTACCTTAAGAGCACCAGGCGGCTGTGCCACGACCCGCCTCGCAATCTTCATAACATCCTCAAAGAAGTTCTCCTTCGGCAGGATCTTGCTAATTAATCCAGCGCTCTCCAACTCCTGCGGCGTCATGCGTTCGCCAGCGAGGATGAGAGACGCTGCTTTCTGGCGTCCCATGATCTTCATGAACGTTACGCTGGAGCAGCCTTCAGCACATAAGCCCCATTTCACGAAAGGCGTGAAGAAGATGGCATCTGGGACCGAATACACGAGGTCGAACAGTGCGATACTGCTAGTGCCCCATCCAGCTGCTGGGCCATTAACGGCCGCGATGGTTGTTTTTGAAGTCTTGATGAGGGTCTCGTGGATGGAGCTGGCGAGGTCGCTGTTTCTTAGTGAACACTTTCAGCAGTTTGCGGGCAGCGTCTGGTGGACGTACGACAGAGTGTCAATAGCCTCGTCAGATAATACTGGGCCGTCGGACGGTACGCCCACCAGGTCCTACAGCGTTGATGCAAAGATCAGCATTTGTCTTGAACTTTTGAGCAGGCGAAAAAGCGTCAAGGGCGCTGTGGGATGCCAGCTCTTCCGTCTCACGCGGAGGCTTACCATGCCAGAGGTGTAGAATCTCCCTACTCCTGTAAAGACGATCACCCTCACATCTGCTTCGTTGGTTGCCCATTGGAGAGCTGCAAGGACATCCTTCATTAATTGGGTACCTGTGCCGATCTTAGTTCACTTCTATCGTATGCCCGACAGTCTTTCCGGACACGATAACTTACTCAAAGCATTGGCATTCTTCGGCCTGTTGAAGCGTATGATTCCAATGCTGCCATCCATCTCCGTAAGGACAGTGTCTAGTTGAGGAGGCGCCATATTCGCCGATGCAGAAGTCGCGAAGCCCCTTGAAGCCTCTGTTGAAGTCGCTATGCGTTGTCTGCTACTGACAGTCGTATGATACGATCGAATGCTTGCTTTGTAGCAACAGCTACCGCCCTGACTGCACCGTCTGATAGGGACCCGTAGAAGAACGGAACACTTCTTCAGAAGCCCTGCTGAAGCGACTCGCAGGGACACTAGAGATAGCATGCGCTCAAATAGTGTACATTGTCAATTTAAAGAAGCCAATATACGGCCAGCCAGCGCGTTGCCCGTCCATTCAAGGAAACGGACGAGGGAGTAAAAGATGGAGCGACGAACCTCCCGAAGGAAGGAGTCCGTGCTGTCAGGGCACAAGGCACAAAGGATTCCAGCCTCGCAGATGACACCGCGCTGCTGTGCTGTAAACTGCTGGCACGCGACGCGTTGACGAAGCAAACACTCCAAAAAGTACAACGCAGCAAACAGCAAGGTACATGTACCTAGGTACGCCCCATATTCATTCTCTCGCCATCAACCACTTTCCATTGCACAACATGGCTCTCGCAATGCTATCAAATGCAGCCGCTAAAGGCGGTCTCGCGCGGATGAACTCACTCCCACAAGCGCCTCACCTCTACATCGGCGGAATTAGAGCACTGGACGACCCGGACGCATTAGATGCAGCTAACATCACTCACATCCTGTCCGTGCTCGAGTACGACGCGTGCGACTGGCCAGAGTTCTCGAAGTACCGCCGCCAGCTTATCAAGATCGAAGACTACGCATCCCAAAATATAGTCCAACATTTCTCATCCAGCAACAGCTTTCTCGACGCCGTGCAGGCAGAGGGAGGTATTGTACTGATCCACTGCTACATGGGCATTTCCAGGTCTGCGACGGTGCTTTGCGCCTATCTTATGCATAAGAGAGGCGTGACTGCACAACAGGCGCGAAGAGGACGATGATGAAGATGACGAGTCGGATGACAATTCGGACGACGAGTCGGACGGCGTGAAGGAAACGACATCGTAGAGGCAGAGCGTCAAGCGCTCCGGATTCAGATACTCTGCAGAACGTCTTCCTGGACTGTCGATCGGCCAAAGGAGCTCAGCTGTATGCATAAGGTGCAGTCTTATACTGGAAGAAAGTGTCCGCACAGTGACCAAGGATGACGGTGGCGTTCGTGCGCTGTGAGGGAGTTAGCCGACGGACAACACTGATTCGCTTTGAATTTCGAGGGGACATACCTTTGCAAGGCCCTGGAGTGACGCGATGAGGAGTCAGCACTGTCCTTGCTACATTCGAGAAGTCCTCTGCGGAAGCTCACCTTGATCATTTGATTGCTTTGGACCCAGTCATCATGGTCCCTAGCCAACCATCCTTGCGGTACGTCGCTCTCGTAATTTTCCTTGACGTGGTACTGACTGCAATAGTAGAACAGAGAATCAGTGGCCGTGTTCAGACAAAGCTCTAATGAACTTACTCAGTGGTGAAGATCCACGTCCCACTCTCCTTCAGATTCACCTGCATGATCGCAAGACCGGGTGTATGACCGGGCGAGTGTCGCAGATTAATCCCAGGCGCCAGCTCTAAGAACGATCCGTGCCAGGCTTTCCAGTTGAGGTTCATGTCCAAGTCCTTGGGTAGGTAGACCCCGATATCAGTCTTGGTAGCGACGGAGTAGAAAGCGTGCTTTATCTCCTTCTCGTGGCAGTCTACAGAAGAGGTCAGCTCCGCTTCCAACATGGTGAAGACTGTGGGCATCAGATGTACAGATCGGCACAGTGGTCCCCTTGAAGTTCTCGAGACCACCTGCATGGTCGAGGTGCAAGTGGCCCATTATTACGGCCTTGATGTCTTTGATATCATGGCCAGTCTTCTTGATTTGCTCAGTGAGCTCGTGGTCGGATGTATAATCCACCCTCGCCTAGGAAGAGAAGCCTGTCAGTGCACCAGGACAATGAACCATGTCTATTTGCAGGGAGAGCATTTCCGGACTTACGAAGATGTCATTCAACGGCGCCTATTCCAAACAATAGATCAGCCTCTATCGACGATCCCAAAGAAGGACTACTCACCCCCCAAACCTCTGGATAGTTTTCGCCGCCACCAGTCTCGAAGAGCAACAAACCCTCAGTCGGATGCTCGATCAAGACCGAAATGATAACACCCTTTCGTCGAGTAACGCCGGGGTTGGGATTGGAAGCAGTCGAAGTACCACCGCCTCTCATGAACCAGCCCTCGTCTGCTTCGATGTTACCGCAGTGGAGGAGCTTTCGAGATCAGCGTTGTGCGAGACGGTGGATTGGGAAGATGTGGATGCATACCCATAGTTTGGTGCCCTGTTGCGATTAGCAGTGTGTTTGTTCATGGCACATCGATGGCAGGGATCTTACTTGTGGGGCTTGATTGACGACGTCGAGGCCAAATGGTGTTGACATTGTGACTGTTGTTCAATTCTCTTGCGATTGAGATACTGGGGGAGAGAGATATTTTATTGTAGTCTGTCTTTGTCGTTCATCTTCCTTGTGCCCGCAGTTCCGTGGAGGAGGTGCGGGGATGCTTCATCATCATTAAAACTGTAAGATACCTTGAGGTAGCAGTTCGGCAAAGCTTTACGAATAGAAGTTATTGTGACATTGCGATGGACATTGTTTCGATTAGATATTGTGCACTGATGGTGGGAGTCTAGAGAGACTGCCTTGACTTCGCGAATCGCAAAGCAAATGTCATCACCCAGCTCGCAAGAATACTAACAATCAGAATCCCGATCATAACCCAGTTGGAGCCCAGAAACACCGGGCTGCTGTTCTCGTCCGATGGCCAGCCCGAGAACAAGGCGTAATTTGTCAGAATGCTGCCGCAATTGCCCAGACCGGACACTGCAGCGGCAGCGGCTGCTACACCAACCTCACCATGTCGGGCCTGAAAGATCTCGGCCGTCCAGGTCATGGTGATAGGAACCGTCGGACCCAGCCCAAAGCCAACGATGAGAAGTCCAACATATCGACCCCAGTGCGCAGACATGGTGTCACCGGCGTAGGTCGCTACAAGCAAACCCACTATCTGCAGCGCAGTAGGCACCGTGAAGAAGAGCGCTCTATGCTTGTGAAAGTGGTCACTGATCGGCGTAACCGTCAATATGCCGATGAGATCGCAAATCCAGATCGGTGCATACAGCAAGCTCAACGTCACGCCGCTGAACGAAGGGTTGATGGCGCTCAAAATCACCGTGCCATAGCTTTGCACTCCGTTGCCGACACCGACTACGCCGAAATACATGATGATCAGCGGCCATAGTCGCCAGTCTAGCAGGACTTTCCAGAGATCCTTCAAAGTCCAGGTTGAGTTGTGGTATGCTTGGCTGAGGTCTTTATAGTGGAGTGTGGCATCTTCTCCAGTCAGAGCAGGTTTTGTTGTGGGAAGCCAAGAAGTCCATTTGCTGCGGTGTCGAGTTTCGCCTGGTGGTAGTGGACGGTCTGGAAGCCACCAAATGAGGGTAAAGCCAATCACAAGAGTGACGAGGCCCCAGATGAGGAACATCCACTGGAAGCCCACGAGACCACCATCGCCGTCCATCTTCTGGAACCCGGCACTGACCAAGCCAACCACTGCAGCAGAGACTTGCGATGCGGTGAAATAGTAGCCCACCCGTTTCGCCATGCGCTGTGGCGGGTAAAATAATGTGAGGAAGAGCGACATGCCCGGCCACATGCCTGCCTCCACAGCACCCAGCAACAGTCTCAGGACATAGAAGCTGGCGGCACTTTTCATGCCCACCATCGCAGTGCCGATGATCCCCACGCTGATGACGATTCTAGCCAGCCAGATGGACGGAGAGAGCTTGCTCATAGCCAGGTTTGACGGTATCTCCAGGACGACGTAGCTAGCATAGAACAAGGCTAAGCCAGTTGAGACCTGACGAGATGTGATGTTTAGGTAAGTCGACAGGTCGTGGCCTTCGAATGTGTTCATGGTTTGTGCCAGGCCCACGGTTGATCTGACAGCCGAGCACAGGAAGTAAAGGACCCAGAAGGGTGGGATGATGCGGCGATCGAGGCGATGGTAGATCTTCCGCATTCGTGCGACCTCGTCCTGTGAGAGTTCCTCATCATGGTATGCGTTACGGTTGTTGACTTCGGGGCTGTCAAAGTGTGCCTTTATGGCTGGCTGTTGCTGGTCCATCTTGGCCTATATCCCCAGGCGGTTGGATTGCCTCCTGTACAAGAGCGACCAAGAGTTGGCGATAGTTGATGATGCATGATTTCAAGAGGTGAGAGGAGTGAGTAAAATATATTCTTCAATGGGTCCAAATTATGACGAGCCTCAACGACGTTGCGCCGCGATTGCGCGAAGTCCAATTTAGGCTTTATTTGCTCTAGTGTATCGCGCCATTAAAGCTTGGCTCCACTCCCATTCACCCTGTGTCAACCACACGCATCTGCCGCGGTCCACCGACCCACAATGTCAAAGTCTGGACACGATGCCGACGTCGAGCTCAGGACCTCCGAAGATGCTGCTGAATTCCTCGAAATTGACCCCCTGCACGGCGGAGACGGCGACGACGCTGTCGGTGGAGTCGAGGCTTTTGCGGCAGAGTACCATCTCACTGACGAGCTAGACGTGTTGTGGAAGGCGGCGATACTACTCCAACATGGTGGTGGTGTAGATGACGATGCCGACGTTGACGGGCTTGCGGTCGCAGACTTGGCCGCATGGCGGCGCGAACGTAGTCACAAATGGCATCAGCCGAAGATGCTGTACTTTGTAATGTTCTGCTGCTCGCTAGGTGCGGTAGAGCAGGGATTCGGGCAGTGAGTACAATCACTCTCATGTCCCGCGCTCCTACAGTCACGCTCGTCTAACGTAAGACAGGACCAGCATGAACGGCGCGAACCTGTTCGTAAAGGAGGTAGGAGAGGCGGAACATCGTTGCTTGTTTCCGCACCACTGACACCTTCTCCTTGTTCTTCGGAGTAGGCACTACATGTCGATCCTGCCCAGCTCGGCCTCATCAACTGTGGTCTGTTCCTCGCCCAGTCACTAATTGGCTCATGGATGGCTCAACCGGTCAATGACCGCATTGGCCCTCGGGGAGCAATCTTTGTGGCGACGTTGCTCTGCTTTATTGGTAACGCCTCGTCAGCGCTCAGTGGATCATGGCCCGTCCTTCTCGTCGCTCGCGTCGTACTGGGCATTGGACTCGGACTAAACGCAAGTACTGTTGCGGTCCTGGCCGGCGAGTCTGCACCAGCATCGATTCGAGGCGGGCTTGGGGTGAGCTGGCAGATGTTCACGGCTTTCGGCATCTTTCTCGGTTGTCTCGCTAATGCCCTGCTCAATGGTCATGCCGCGGACGTGGTATGGCGGCTGCAGCTGGCTGCGCCTGCCATTCCGACCGTACCGTTGCTCGTGCTCATCTTCGTCTGTCCAGAATCACCGTCTTGGTACATCAATCGCGCGCACTATGGTAAAGCCTTTGCTGCTCTCACGAAGTTACGCAACACCAAGCTTCAGGCGGCCTGTGAGCTGTACGCACACTATGTTGCTAAGCGGGAGCAGACGAAGGTCTCCGCAGATGGTAAGCTTTCTTTTCACAGGCGAACATGCATTGTGGGCCTTGATCAGATGCAGTGACATTGCTGACCCAATCCAAGAGTCTGAGCCTGCCACCTTTGCTTCAAAGTTGGCCTCGCTTCTCACAGTGCCGAGGAATAGACACGCCGTCTATGCCTCATACATCGTCATGATCACTCAACAACTCTGCGGCATCAACATCATTGCATTCTACTCCTCGACCATATTCTTGAGTTCTGGCTTCCCAGCTGCTGCAGCTCTTTGGGCCTCCGTCGTCTTCGGTATCGTCAACTTTTTAGGCGCATTCCCAGCCATCTGGACCATGGACGCCTTTGGACGCCGGAGACTTCTGCTGTGGACATTGCCACCGATGGCAGTAACGATGGCTCTCGCCAGCCTGACTTTTGGGCTCTCGCACGGCAAGGCACAGCTGGTCCTACTGGCAGGTCTGATCTACCTCTTCTGCGCCTTGTACAGCCCAGGAGTTGGCCTGGTCCCTGTTGCCTACTCCGCTGAAGTCTACCCCCCAACGTCCGCGAGGTGGGCATGAGCCTTGCAATATCTACAGCCAACCTTTGGGCCACGGTTCTCAGTCTTACTTTCCCGATGCTCTTGGCCGGACTTGGAAGGCAGGGCAGTTTTGCCCTGTACGCTGCGCTGAATGTCGTGGCTTGGATCCTCTGCTGGCTATTCGTTCGGGAGACGAAAGGTATTGAGCTGGAGAGGATGGATGCTGTGTTCGAGTCCTCTGCGTCAGAATTTGCTGGCGAAGTGTGGGTTAAGAGACCTGGGTTTTTGCTGAATGGATCATGGCCACGTGGGGGCTGGCACAAGATCCAATAGGCTGATCGTGGGGAACTGTAACATCGCCGGCTCGAGTTGTTGGCCGCTATGGCAGACAGGTGCAAAAACTTATGGTATGTATTTTAATTACACTGCCAGCTCGCAGGCCTCTCTTTATCTACATGACACCCATACTGAGGCTTTCCCCGAGGCTTACTACAGCGCCCTCAAGGATTGTTGCGCTCCGGGAAACTCATTTTCCAAAGCCGCCAACAGCGGCTTACCACCCATGGTTAGGTCCCTCCACTCCGGGCAGCTCAGACTGAGTAACGGGGTCGCCAGCGAGTTCTTGATGAGCTCGAGGGGCTCTGCTAACGTTGAGTACAGGTTGTTTAGATAATTCGGCGACGCCAGCTTGACGACTTCCAACGCGAAGCACATGAGACTGTTGTCTTCCAGGAGCTGGTCGGCGTTCAGCACACCTCCTAGCACGTCGTCCATGTCGACGCCGGTGAAGGAGTCGGTGCTGCCGGTATTTCCACCGATGTTCTGCGCGCGTGTCAGCTCAAGAGGAATGCTCTCAGCGGAGCTGGAAGCTCTGAATACTTACACCAAGCTCAGGATACTTTGAAACCAATTGGACCGTGTCAAGGTTCAGCTGGGTGAGGCCGTAGTCCACCGGGTTACGATACCAGTTCGACGGAATCCGCTCCCAGCCTTCTTTGTACCGCATATTCGAGCCGTCTCCGCGCACGCCGAAGAAGCTCTTCAGGGTGTCATGCGCTACAACCATCAGCCTTCAGCTCACTTCGTTCCGGCGAGAATCATAATCAGCTTACTCAAAACACCCTCCGAGCTACCCTGATCATAGCTGGCAAACAACCTGGTGATGAATAGATACCCGGCATTTCTTGCAACCATCCCTGTAAACGGCCCGTAATAGAAGTACGGATTCGTCTCCACAGAATCATGGAACCGCTTCGAGGCCCATTTGGCCATTACGTCGAAATTGAAATTTTGTCGCGCGGGCACAGAGTCGTATAGCTCCTGGAAACGGGACATATTCATGGTCCAGGCGTTGCCGGTGAGGTAGAGGTCGTTTCGGGTGGGAGAGGAATCGGCTTCGATGAAGTTGTGGGAGTAGTCTATGCCTTGGGGAGTTCCGAGAACGCCTTGCAGGTTCCCAAGGGCATTGGAGACCGCTGTGTCGTTGCCGCCAATGGAGAAGGACGGGTCGAGGGAGATGGAGTTGCCGGTCCAAACGACGCCCATTACTCCAAGGGCGAGCGCGAGATCGAGACTCATTCCGTACACTCGATTGATGGCAGGAACGACTTCGAGGAGGGAGACGATGCCATCACGACTGATGTATCCATGCTGCAGAACACAAAGGCGGAGGGTCAGTGAGAGCCAGACTTCGGACATGCTTCGTTGATTAGACCTACGTTCGCGAGGGCATTGAGTCCTGGGCATGGCCCACGCTGATCAGTCTCGGTAGGTGGATGGAACGCATGAACACCATGCACATTGATGGGCTTCGAGGTGTCGAGCGGGCCAAGTGCGTTCAAAGTCGACTGCAGCTTCTGTGCAATACCCTCCACGACATCGGATCCGGCGTTGAGCAGTCCACCCAGTAGTCCACCAAGTAATCCATCCTGACCGGCGCTGATTTCCTGGATGTGGTGTGCCGGAAATGCAATGCTCGCTGCAATCAGGAAAGCAGGTACAAAGAACGAACGTACTCGCATGACAGAGAATGCGGCCGAATGAGTGAATGGAGTTGGTGTCGCTACGAGCGGCAGTTCACACGATGCCGGAGAATATCTACCTGGTTCGTCTCTACAACATACGGGCACTACGCACTCTGCCATCGATGCAGCACGCCTATAACAATCATCCGTCGATCCGTCGATCGTACTCTTTCCACTCAACCGAGCGAACGGAACCAGCATCGTCAGTGGCCTAGTTGTGCTAACATTGACTACAAGGGACCCTTGGAGATGTGCCTGAAACCAGCTCCAGACTACTGCAGGACCCCTGCACACTAAGAAACGATCCCTGTGACAGCTCTTTAACCACCAGACCCACCAGACTACCAACGGCTGTCCAACGGCTATCCAACACCAGCACCCCCCGACTACATACGATCCTTCAGTTCCGACTCAATGGCTGTCTCACTCATCGGTGAACACTCCGTCACTTTCAGACTCGAGCTCACCGCGGAGCCGGGGGGCCCCATCCGCTGTCTCAGGTCTGCTTGACGAGTTGTCAGCTCTTTTAACCATCTCAATCGAGAAATTGCCGACAAACGGCCCCAGACTGACAATGTCAGCTAAGGCCAGAATGCGAAAGCCACGCGAGTCACTCACCATCGGATGCATCCGAAAATATTGGTTGGTGGAGCACGCAGGGCACCGCAGTGAGAGAAAGGTGGAGGTTGGTTTCTGCTGTCTTTGCTTGGAGGTCAAGGAAGGTTGAGGGCAGTTGTATTGAGTACGTCGCCCCCTCCACCAGGCCGTTGTCCTTCAAACTTTGTCGCCCATCGCGGCCAGCAGACCGGAGTGGTTCTTGACTGGCTTCAGCAACACCACGACGTTGGATCACCATGAAGTCTGTTATGCGAATGACAATATGGTGTGCCGTGCTTACGGCAAGTCATCCCACGCTCGCGGCGGAAGCCCTCAGTCCCGAGCAACAGGAACAGCAGGCCGCTATGAAAGCCGCCGAGGCTTTGCTCAAAAGCATGCCAACGTGTGGAGTGAGTGGATAGGGCCGATGGTATCTTGCTATGGACTGACCTTACGCAGCGTGAATGCCTGTTACAATCGATTGCTGCGTCGCCATGCCGGGTCGACGATCTTGCATGCAGCTGCTCGAACAACACAATCACCGCGGAAGTGGAAGCATGCGTTGCGGCGAGTTGCACGATAAGAGAGTCGCTCAGTCAGTATCATGCCCGACCTATGCTGTCTCGATGCTCGTTTCACTGACTCTTTTATAGCGACGAAGAACACAACAGAAACACTATGTCAGCGACCAATCCGTGACCGTACCCAAACGGTTTCCTACACCGGGGCCATTGGCGGTGTTCTTGCCGTACTTGCCTACATCTTGCGAATGATCTCAAGAACACCATGGTTTGGTGGCTCGCCTGGATTGGACGACGTTGTGATGACCGTTGCTGTTCTCGAGGTCATTCCGTTGTCCGTTTTGTCTGTTGTTTGTAAGTCCCTTCTCACAAAGGCTGTCTTACGATAGACGTTTAACAAGGCGCATAGTGGCCGATCTGGGACTCGGAAAAGACATATGGACGCTGCCTTTCGAGAACATCACCCACATTCTGAAGATCTACTACTTCGATGAAGATCTCTACCTCACGTCGCTTCCTCTCGTCAAGGTCTCCATGCTGCTCTTCTACCTCCGCGTCTTCCCGCAATCTTGGTTTCGCATTTCGGCGTACATCACAATGGCCTGTTGCGTTGGCTATGCGATCGCTTTCCTCCTGGTGTCGGTCTTTCAGTGCAGACCTATACACCTTGCTTGGGAGCATTGGGACAGGGAACATCCTGGAAGCTGCAATAACATCAATGCTCAAGTGTGGGCCTCTGCTGGCTTGAATATTGTTCTCGACATCGTGGTACTTTCTCTGCCTATTCCGCTAGTAAGACAACTGGCGTTGAACCGGCGGAAGAAGATGCTTCTGTTCAGCATGTTCGGGATTGGCTTCATTGTCACGGTCAGCTCTTCCCCAGCAAAAACCGCTTCTCCGATTGCTCTAATTACTTGCAGGCCATCAGCATCATCCGTATGCAAGTCCTTGTTCAATTCGGCGCAACCTCGAACTTCACATGGACCTACACCTCAGTCGGATATTGGTCAACAATCGAGACGGATTTGGCTATCATCTGCGCCTGCATGCCTGCTCTACGAGCACTTCTCCGACATATCTTTCCAAAGGCAATGGGCGACAGCACGCGCGGGCTCTCGCCCGGGCCGCCCACTCCAGGACAGAGTGGCTTGTCTTATTCTCGACAGTCGCGCGGGTCGAAGGGATCACGGGATGTTTTCAAGGATGATAAGAACTTCTATCCGCTTGTGGAGGTGAATACTGAGGTCGATATGCAGTGGGATAGGCAGCGGCCGGTTGATAATTGGCCATTGTAGGCCTGCTGGAGACCCACAGGCCAGGTTAACTCGCTCAAGTGTTGAAAGAGCAGGACGAATGGATACCCAAGCGAAAACGTTTGTTAACATCGTGACTCGCTGAGCAATAGTTTACATGACCTTCAAACCGCCGTGTTCACCAGGTTTTCGTCGCTCTGTCCGTACACATACAACCGTTTGCCGCTGTGTTGTCTCCGTACCTTCGTACCGCACGGAGCCCTACTGTCTCACCATGATGTATGAGTCGAGCCCTTACTCAATCGCCTTCCCTTTTGGTACTATTACCGCTCGGTTGGGAAAAGAGACCCAGCTCCATGGTTGTGAGACAATCTAATTGGCACTACTGCAGACCCCAGCGCCACCGTTGCTCCCCCGGATCCTAACGGTCGGAGATGCTTGACTTGAGCACCGGCCAGGATCGACGTCCGAGACACGCCAGGAGGGCCCTGCTTCAATGAGTCAAGCGAGCCCCCGTCCTTCTCCTGCTCCTTGCACCGGGATCAACGATCGACACACTGCCGACAGCGTGCTGTGCTCTTCCGGGAATCAAGACCTCTGAGGCCACGAAGAGAGCCCTTGCTGGCAATGTTACGCGGGAAGCTCCAAGGCAGTCCAGGCCAGAGACTTGGGGGACCTTTCGCCCGCATACGAGCAGCATATCAATACAAAACGTAAGACAGACCAGAGGGTTGCCGTATCGCAAGTAGGCTGCCTTACTGCCTACAGACTACCTCTGGAAGGATGCTCGAGACCTCGGCCATGACCTCGAATGGCAGTCGCGGAACGAGCGTGGTCCATAGGCAACAAGGGCAGACCAGCTCACGACAGTGACCTCCACTTCGGAGAACCCATCATTATCTCAACGACAACGTAGCCTCGCACTGCGCGCAAAGAATTGACTACGAGATGCAGGTCGAAGCGCCGAACTACTGTAGCAGCAACACTACAGCAATCCCCCATGTCTTGGTCTGTCCTCACGTCTGGAGCTAGTTTCTGTTCGCTTCATCTCGTTTAGGAGATCGGCCCTACAGTATGGGCGGCAGGCGGTCATCATCACTTCAGCGTCTCCTTTGGGCGACGCCGGATGGTCCCAGGCTTACATTGGCTTCAACTACTGACTCCGACATCTATGTATTAGGTGAGGATGCTTTCTTCACAGTACTGATGCGTTCTTGAATGCCAGAAAGAGGCACAGCTTGTCTCACACCATAGGCATCATTCCATTCTTTTCGGCCTGAAGGCATTCCACTCATTACACACACGGATAATGCTCTTGAAAAACTGCCTTGGCCTCTTCGGGCTTTTGACGCTGACAAGTACAGCAGTAATGTAAGTTGAAGCATACATAATTGGATGCAGCAAAAGCTTACGATATTAAGCAATGAGAAGGAACGTCGGGCTCCTCAAGGCGAGACCATCGTTCACGGCTATGACAGCAGTGTCAAGTATGACTATGTGGTTGTTGGGTCGGGACCTGGGTGAGCACTTCTCCTCAATTTTACTACTCAGACCAGAATTGCTGACGTCGGAGCCTTCAGTGGCGGTCCTCTTGCATCCAGGCTCGCGCTTGCGGGCCACAAGGTCCTCCTAATAGATGCTGGCACCGACGAAGGCAACGAGATCACGACCGAAGTCCCTGCTCTCATGCTGCAGTCCACCGAGTATGAACCACAGTCCTGGAGCTACTACGTCCAGCACTACTCCGACCTCGAACAACAGAAGCGAGACTCGAAGATGACCTACCGACAGTCGGACGGCAGCCTATACGTTGGCCTCAGCCCACCGTCTGGAGCTGAGCCGCTGGGGATCTGGTACCCTAGAGCAGGGACTTTGGGAGGGTGTTCTGCGCACAATGCTATGATTTCATTGTATCCCTTTGACTCAGACTGGTCCAACCTCCAAAGTCTGACAGGTGATGAGTCCTGGGAGGTATGCCAATGACTTTTTGGGGTTCTCCTGCGATAGAAGTGTGCGTTGCTAATCTTTTTTTGTAGCCGTCCAACATGAGAAAGTACTTTGAGAAGCTGGAAAAGTGCGAATATCTTCCAAACACAGCGGTCGGACATGGCTTCAATGGATGGTACAAGACCAGTCTTACGAGCTTGAGCCTTGTTGTTGAAGATCAGAAGCTGTTGAGTCTCATTCTGTCGGCAGCCACAGCTATGGGAAAGGTTGGTATTTTACGAGCAACTTCAGCTATCAAAGATTAAACGCCGTAACTGACGAAAATGTCGGGCAGAGCATTCTCACATCCATCATCACGACCGTGACTGGTCTTGCAGGCGTCTTAATCAAAGACCTCAACTCAGGCCTGCCGGGCCGGGACAGAATCGAGGGCCTCTACCAAGGTGGGCGTGAAAACCTTGGATTTGGAGAAACGGGCTGATCCAGAGCGTGCGTAGTACCCATCGCAGTTGATGCTGAGACTCTCAAGCGAAATGGACCTCGCGACTTCATCATGTCCGTTGCCAACGCAGAGAACTCAGACGGCAGCCGAAGATACCATCTCGACGTTGCGCTCAAGACCTTTGTGACCAAGATCCGCTTCGACAGGAGCAAAAAAGGCACACCGAGAGCTATCGGGGTCGACTTCTTGCAGGGCCAAAGCTTGTATGCCGCCGATTCTCGTTACGATGGTGGGAAGCCTGCTAGGAAAGGTGCTGTTAATGCGGCAAAGGAGGTTATCATCTCTGGCGGCACCTTCGAGACGCCGAAATCGCTGAAGTTGTCTGGCATTGGTCCAGCCAAGGAGCTGCGGAGTCACGGTATCAAGGTCGTAAAAGACCTACCTGGTGTCGGGACGAACCTGCAGGACAGGTACGAAGTCGGCGTAGTCGCAGACAACCCAACCGACTTCTTCATCACGAAGGATTGCACTTTTGGTTACCAAACGCCCGATCCCTGCCTTGAGAAATGGCAGAATGGCTTGACGGTATTGGAGAAAGGCACTTATGCGACAAACGGCATTGCCATCGCCATCACGAAAAAGTCTTCCACCGCTGGCTCAGACGAGTCTTCAGATGATCCAGATCTCCTGATCTCTGGAGCACCGGCCTACTTCAAAGGTTTGTCATCAAGCATCAGATCTGTGTGGAATGATCTTTGCTGACACGGAGAACCGCAGGATACTTCCCAGGCTACTCCTATGACGCCTTGAAGGACGCGAAGCATTGGACCTGGATCATACTCAAGGCTCGCTCCCGCAACACTGCTGGGAAGGTCACGCTAGCTTCCACGGACCCTCGCCAACGGCCTTCCATCGAGTTCAACAGCTTTGGCGATCCGAGCGCATCGCCGCAAGTCGGCGATAGTGATGATCTGCAAGCGATCTACGAGGCTGTTCAGTTGTCCCGAAAGATGTACGACGTCCAGGTTCCCTTGGGTACGTTGACAGAATTGCATCTATGCACCATGTCACTCCTTAATTGACTGATTCGACGCAGATGGCAAATTCTCCGAAGTGTGGCCCGGCACCAACGTATCGACCGAAGCGGAGGTCAAACAGTTCATCAAAGACGAGGCATGGGGCCACCACGCCTCGTGTACCTGCTCGATTGGCGCAGACGACGATCCGATGGCCGTGCTGGACAGTAACTTCAAAGTACGAGGAGTAGAAGGGCTCAGAGTGGTCGATGCCAGCGTGTTCCCAAAGATTCCTGGCTACTATATTGCTGTGCCGATCTACATGATCAGTGAGAAAGCGGCAGAAGTCATCATCAATGGGTCTTGAGGAAGCCAAGTAATCCGAAACTCAAACATCTTGTGTACATACCACCATCATTGACCCGACCATACTTTTCAAAGTTGAGATGCAGACAGAGATCGTGACTGTCGTCCAATAGAAAGACAAGAAAGTGAAGATGTTGGCCGGATTCCAGCCATGTCATATCTGAGCATGGGCGAAGTAGGCTCTTGGTGAGTACTCGGTTTCACAGCTACGTGCAACACTGTTTCAGTGCTTGCTGCTAGTGCCTTGCCTTGCATCCGACCTCTAACCTCTGCGTGCGCGTGCTTGTTGCGTTGTTCATGGAGCTTAAGATCGCATGAAAGACATCGATTCGTTGGGTCACTGGACCCAATGCTTGATCCCGGAGTGAAAGGTGAAATCTCAACGCCTCTTGTATTTCTGTGAAGAGTCAGCCAGTAAAACCGTACCAGAGACCGAAAATTACTCACATCATCGACCCTACGGACATTGTCACGATCGATAGCGTTCCCAATACCCATCAAAGCCGTTCCCACCGCACGTGAAGTGCCGATGATGGGTCGCAAAATGACCGTCGGAGCATGCCTGGCGACCACGCCAGCAGCAGAACCTGGGCCCGCACTCTCCAAGACCTCGCCTTGGACAGCAATCAATGCATCTCGTGCGGTCAACAAGTCATGCTCCAGGTATCTTCTGGCCGACCGCAGGCCTCCAAAAACGCTCAAAGGCTGATTGGCGTACGCAGAGATCGCTCGGCGTTCGGGCTCTTCGTCTTCGTCGTCCGCTTCGTGCCAACCTTGCTCCGAAGGTGAACGTCGCGCCGAACCCGGGCGTCCAGATGGAGATGACGGAGGCGGCGCAAGCAAGCCTTCAGCGCCTTGCAGAAGGTTCTGAGTGCCAATGGCAACTTTGGCTCCCAGACGAGCGAGCTCGGAAGCAGTAGTCTTGCCAAAGTGAAAGGCGCCTTTCTGTATGCTTCGTACGATGCGCCCATCTTTCTTGTACTCGCGAACAGGTATCGCGACGACATCTCGAACACCAGTACCGATATTGACCAGACTTCTGACCGGCGCCAGACCGGCCAAGACCGTGGGAAGCTGGTTGCGCTTGACGTCCGGCATCCAGATGTCGTTCAAAGTCTTGTGCAATGGCTCAAAGCCCTTGATGCCATAGATGATGGCATGCTTGAGACGGATGTCGGCGGCGTCAAGGATGATGAAGTTCATGAACTCGTTTGTATGTCCGGACCGTAGGCCAGCATAGTCGACCTTCTTTGGCTTATAGTCCAGGCGCATGTCCACAGTATCAACTTCGAGGCGCTGGATGAACGGTTGGTCTCCCGAAGAGTCACTCGGAGGCGCGTTCTCATCCTTGAATTCGAAGAATCGAGTGATAAAGTCGAGAGCATCTTGGTCAACATGGAGTCGGAGAGGCAGTACGGAGACGTGCATGGCAAGCTCTGATGCGGCAAAGCTTTCCAGCGTTCGCAGATTCAACAGATTGATATGAAGCATGGGCTTTGACATCTCCCGTCCGTGCTGGCCAAGCTCCAAAGACGTCAAGAACTTACGCCAAGTCGATGTTGGCACGTTGTCGAATATCTCAGCGTCCCGTATCCGGACATCAACTGAGCTCACGAGATCCGCCCGCTCAGGTGGGAAAACGAGCACATCAGCTGAGACGCCCTTCAGCTCGAAGGCAGCCTTGTGCGCTCTGCTTCTCTCCAGCTTCAATCGTCGACGTGGCCTCGTGCGGCCCGAAGCTGAATATGTCGACGGCCGTGACATGCCAGACATCGGTACGCTTTCTGTCTCGCTGGCCATGTCGTCAATGTGGCGGTTGATCTGCCGCCGTAGCTCTTGGGCATCTTGATTGCTCGGGACGCCAATGTAGATGGAGTTGAACAAGAAGTCACCGATGACAGACTCCTCTTCCTCATTCTGCATCTGAGACTGGCGCCGTTTAGACCGGCGCTGCTCCGCTCGCTGTTCGACCTGTTCGACCGCTTCCGTAATGCCATCGCGCGTCCGCTGCCAATCATATCCGTCGTAGATGTTCCAGATTGCATGCACATCTCTTACACGCAGCCTGAAAGGAAGGATGCTTTCCGACGAGGCAGACGGCGGTCTCCTGCCGCTAGTTGCTGGTGTATGGAATCTGTGTTTCGTTCCAAGCACAGACTGGTCCCCACCAAGAGCATCAAACCCAAGGTCTTCGATCTCATAAAGCCCAAGGTCGATGTTGTCTTCTGCGATGGTAGACTTGCACTGCTTGCTGAGTTCCCGGATCAAAGCTGCGTCGCTGAGCGGTGCGTCACTCGGAGACAACGTCATCTCGAAAGGATCATCTTCCAACAAGCTCTCAGCAGTTTCTGGGAAATGCTCAGGATCGTTCTCGTCTTCAGGCCTGCCAACACCTCCGAGCATACCGCTGACTGGCCCGTAAAGACTGGATGCCATCTCAGACTCAGCAAGTAGACCATCGTCTTCTTCTTCGCCGAAAGGTGGCATGTCGTACATCATGTCCGTCTCGTCCTCAGGTTCCTCTTCCATATCGAACAAGGTATGTGCAGGCTGCTGTGGCTTGGAGTAAGCGTCGCCGGAGAAGGAAGCCATCATGTCTTCAATCGGAAGGGGTTCGGTTAGATACTTTGGCTGCTTGCTTGGAGGTGTGGGAGGCGACAGGCCACCCATTGTCGCCATGAGAGTCTGTGTCGAGTCTGCGCAGGTTTCTAACAGCAGCAAGTCACTCTTGACATCGACGTCGACAGAGCTAGCATTGCTGCCTTTGTTACTGACCACACAAGCTGCGATCTGCGCCGACATCATCGAACCAACGGACACATAGCCTTGTCTCGATAGAGCAGATGTTAGCTGCGTCTTGACCGCCGTGTTACTCGGCGCACTTCGAGGGTGGATGGTCGCATCGCTGTCGTCCGCAGTGGCGCAATCTGCAAGGAACAATCCGACTTTGCGAAGTTCAAGTGCAGCTTTGAAGGTCTCTTCGGGCGGTACCGTGGCCGCAAACTTGGCATCGCTCAGCACCAGCAAGGCCTTTGACGACAGGTGTTGAGGAGAAAGGCCTACGGCTGACTCGTGCACTAATACGTCCAGCTTGACAGCCTTCTTCGCGGTTCTAGATCGATCGATGTCGTCTGCAGGCTCTCTGCTTCCAGACTGTACGAGATCGGCAACAGACTTTGCGAGTTCCGAAACGACCTCCTCAGGTCCAGTCTGAACATCCATACCAGTGAGTTGAAGAAGCACCGGCACGCTATACTCGACCGCAAGGTTGAACAGCTTGACCTTCGCTATCGGCTCAGCTTCATCGCCGAGCATTCTGAACATAGCCATCGGAAGATTGTCGACACCTTGTGATGAGACAAGCGGATGAACCAGCTCGACCTCTCCAGCCTGAGACGCTTGGACTGTACCGATCGATAAGGCCAGTAAAGCTGGAAGACCAACTTGTGCGCAGTGCAGATCTGCGAGCCCTACATGGAGCATTCCAAAGCGGTCATTCACGGGTATTCTGGCTTCACAGTCTTTGACACGGAGCAAGGCCAACACACCAGGTCGATCGTCCTCAGGCAGGTACTTCGCCACAGCGGAGAGCCTGCTGAGCTCGGCGCCCAGGCTCGTCAGTGTGTCGAAACAAGCTAAATCAGTGCACTTGACTTTGACACCACCAACGGCGACTCGCGCAACTGCAGCCTTCCTCCGCTGGCGAAGCAGAGTATCAAGAAGAATGTCATCGTCGGTGTCGTACTTGTCCTTGGACGGTGTCAACAGCGAGAGCAGACGCTCGAGGTCCTTGTCTTCAGGTGAGAGAAGATACTCCAACCGCAGAGTGTTCAGATCAGCAGTGAGCGGCGCAGCTTCACTGTCTTGCGTATATGGCCCAGACGCCTGAATCTGCTCCACAGTGGCCTTGATACCAGTCTCACGATAGACTGCTTTCACTGTTGACGTACGCAAAGCCAGATTGCATGTGCTGCCTTGCAAACTTGCAAGAAGACCTCCAATGCGAGCGTTGACCTTCAACTCAGGCCCACGCTTAGTCGACTCTGCCTGCCCTTCGAAGCGGACCCCTTTGGCGGCCTTTCGCGGAGATGGTGGAGAGCTGCCAAAGCCGCTGTCAGATAGCATAGAGTTGCCGAGCTCCAGAACGCCGCTGAGGCCCCCAAAGCCCTCGAAAGCTCCGTCAATGACAGGTAAGTCCAACAAGACCTTGAGGGGTAGCGTCTCGATTGCAAGCTCGGTTATCGGCCGTCCCGCTACCGTCTGCTTGTGGCCAATCGTGACAGCGACATCTGGAGTTGTGTCACTCAGGACGATCGAGCTGTTCTGATATAGACTGCTGTCAAACGAGAGCAGACAGCTCGGGCCAACAAAGGCTTTCACAGTGCCTGCGCGGACTTCGGTCTCCCCGGGGCTAGCCGTAAAGTCGATCGCATTGCATGACAACGTTACTGCGCCGTCGACGTTGTTGTCGCGATCTTCGTTAGGCCGGATAGAGCCGTTCAGTGAACCTTTGAGGGCGACTGAAAGTTGAGAAACTGACAAGTTCAGGGGCATTTGACCAGGCTGAGCGTCTGGATCGCGCTCGGTCGCTGTGTTCGGCTTCCGAGAGCCATTATTGTCCAGGGCAGTCTGAAGTATAGTTATGAGCCGATATAGTAGCCTGCCACATGGGACATCTATCTGGCAGTTGACCGAGCCAATCTCGATGCCCACGGCCGAAGCGATCGGTGACGGTGGCCTTGGCTCTTCATGTCTTGCGATCCGCACCGAGCTGTCCAGCTGTCCTCGTGAGGAGGCCATCTGCGAGTAAGCGGAGAACGTCCCAGGCATGTCGTGGGCCATTGAACTCCTGAATATGGTGTCTGGTTGTGTAGCCTGCTGCTCTATCTCCTCGCCAGACGTGTTGGTTTGGGGAATAAGCAAGGCAATAGCATCAATGTAAGCAAGTTGTTTCGCTGTACGCCGAGCAATAGGCGGCGACCCATCTACAGCTGCTTTCGAGGGCTCTGGCGAAGCAGCTCTAGGTGTCGCATTCCCGGACAGAGGTGCTTTCGGTGTAAGATAAGGCTTCTCACCATAAGCGAGGTCATCACCCCAGGCAGATGGTTGCTGTTGTGACCTCACAGGACTACCACTCGGTAATGGTTTGGCGCTTGTGGGAGGGTCATCCTCCACACCATATCGGTAGGGTAAGATCTGGCTTGGTGGACCGTCTGAATGCCACCCACCGGGAATGTGCATAGAAGGGGCCTCCGACATGGCACTCATATACATGCTCTGAGCCTCTTCATGCGAATAGATTCGAGATGCGGTGAGGTCTTCGACTGTCTTGTCCGGGGCTGACGCTTGGATCGTGGACACTGCCGCACGCAAAGGGTGATTCTCTCTTTCTGTCTGCGGAGCATCGTCTTCAACGTCTACAAGCGCTGTACTGCCTGCTTCGAGCGGCTGATAGATACTTTGCTGGCTCTCGTCCAGAGTTGGCCAAGAGCCTGGGCTGGGATGCAGGTGTCTTCGTTCACTCTGCTCCGGCATGTTCGGCCAAGAATTTGGACTTTGCAGATTTCGAGAATATGGCGAGACATTGCGACGAGTCCTCGACATATTGGGACTGACATGGCGAGATGTACTGGCTCTAGGTGTGGCTGGGCGCTCAAGCAGAAGCGAATCTGGGAGATCGTCATCAGATGTCATGGACTTCCACAAATCCTCTGCAGGTGCTGAGCTCTTGCTTCTTCGTGAACCCCAACTGATGTTGTCATCTCCAGGCTTGATGTCAAGTTCCGACTGCGAAGTGTTGGCAAGTGCTTCGTCCTCGTAGCCGTCTCCTGCATCCGCAAAGCGGTCCTCGTCAATCGTGGCGACCGAGGCCTTCATCATCTCAGGTGATCTGGGAGAAGCTCCCGATGCGTCATCTGCGTTGGTGGGCACTCCTCGCACGTCGATGCGAGAGGACTCCGCGCTCGCCGGCTCGCGCTGCGACGCTCGCATGGGTGGTGAACCTGGACCAGAACGTCGACTCAACACTGGCGAGGACGGAGAGACCAGCTCTGACAGCTCGTCGAAGGTACTTGCGTCGGAAAGTAGATCCAGTGAGATATCGCTTAGATTGACCCTACGTCTTCCATCATCGCTCGACCACGATGTGGAGGTCTCCAAGACCGCGCCTCCCACCTTCAGTTGAACAGCAATCGGTGTTGACTTGCTTCCATCTCTACCCGAGTCGGTCTCCAACGTCGCCACAACGTTTCGAACACTGACCTGCAGTCGGTCCACAATGCCTTGGAGAAATCCAGCCAAGAAGCCTGGCAAACCAACAGCACCGCCTGTACCAACCGTATCGCTGTCACTGCTCTCACTTGCAAACGACTCTTCCATTCCTCGCGAGTTGGGCGCTATTGAGGCTTCCAGCTGCCTCCTCTCTCGCGCCGGCTCGTCGAGCAGGAATGACTTTGCCAGCTGTTTAGTGGTAGGGATATACGCCTCTTCGATTTCGTCTGATCCAGCATGATGGTATGGCGGAGGCGACCGTAATCTCCTGTGGACCTTCCTGTGCTCGGGACTCCTTGCTGTAGTTGGAGACCTTTCTCTGCTGCCTCTCTTCTTCTTGATACTCTCTTGATCGACATCCTTCTCTTCCAAAATCACATTCAGCTCCACACCATCAGCCTCGGCAACGATGCTGGACTGGTAGATGTCCGCCGGCACTGTCAACCGCAGCGTCAGGATCCTGGCAGCCTCAACTCGCAGCCCAGGCGGAAGCTGAGCAAGCTTGGTGATGTGCTTGATATTGAGTCCAACGTCTTTCAACTCTACCACATTCTTCCTGCCAAATGTAATGTCTAGATTGTCCAGGTCAATAGCACGATCGTCGAGAAGGCCAGTCCGAGACAAAGCGTAGCGGAGCAGCTTCTTCTGCCACCAAGCCATGGCCGCGTTTCAATACAAATGCTGTGCGGTGTTCAGCAAACGTCGGGCGTTATCGGTGTCTTTGCGCGCGAGTTTGAGAAGCCAGGCAGGCGAGTGATCGGGCAGTGAGGATGCCCTGGTGCCTCAGGACTGCAGGTCTCGCATCCATGCTCGTCACCTCATTAGACAGACGCGGTCTGAGTATGTGTGGATCGTAGGAGACTCTCAGGAAGCCGTGTTGGGTTGAGAATCGCTAGGCTGTACAGGTAGACGTTGTTGATACATTCACGAGACGATCGGGACGAGTGACGTTGATCAACTGCTCGACATCGGAGGTCGGGAGCGTGGGGTAGCGGCTAGACAAGGGCCGTTCCGCGGCGGGGAAAACTCTAATTGGACGAAGTGAGATCTGATCGCACCTACACCTTCTGTTTCGCTCTTGTATATGACCAGTATGGCGGATCCTGACCAAAAAGCTGTCGACGATGCCGCCTGGCTGGAAGAACAAGGCGTGCCAGATCTGGCTGAACCGTTTATCGCGAAGTATCTGGACGGCCGCGATGCTTTGATAGCCCGCGAGAAGGAACAGCGTAGCGACCATGCCTTCCGCTCAACGCTCTCCCCAATGGCCGCCGAGGCATCAGCGATCGTCTCGGCCATCCGCTTCGAAGAGCATCAGACCCTCTGGAACCACGAGTACGAAGACAACCTGGCCACACAGGATGGCGTTGCGGTCTATCCCGGCATGATGTTCTCTCTCGCCAAGGAGCGCATGGAGAAGAGTAAGCTCTGGAAGATCGTGAAGCGGATGCCGAAGGGAGCTCTACTGCACTGCCATCTCGGCGCGATGGGTGACCTTGAATTCATCTTCCGTGAAGCATTGTCGACCGAGGGATTTTGCATCTCCGCAGACCGCCCCGTGACTGGCGATGCAGCGAAGGAGAAAGCGGAGTTTAGGTTCCGCTATGTACCAGAAGCGTCAAACGATGCTGTTCCTCCCTGGTCCGATGCTTATGAGCCTCGGACGTGGGTACCTGTTATCCCGGCGGCATATGCGTACCCCCATCATGGCGTGGATGGTTTCATGTCCATGCTCAAGCAACGAGTGACGATCGATCCGGAATACTCGCTACGCCACCATCTGGGGGTGAGCGAGATCTGGGCCAACTTCGCCACATCTTTCCCAATCATGGACTCGATACTCCGCTATGAGCCTATCTTCCGCAAGTTCATACGGCACATACTAACACAGCTGCACGAGGATGGTGTACGTTGGGTCGACATCCGTTCAGACTTTACTTCTACATTCACCAAGACAGGACACGAGGAACCCGAGGTGGGCCAAGAGGCCGCTATCGCGGCTATGGCAGAGGAAATTGAGTCCTTCAAGAGCTCAGAGGAGGGTAAAGGTTTCTGGGGTGCACGACTTATCTGGACTGCTCTCCGTGCCTTCCCCAGTCGATCTATCGTTGAAGATATGATGGAGTGCATCCGCCTCAAACAGCTGTATCCTGATTTGATCTGCGGCTACGATTTCGTCGGACAGGAAGAGCTAGGCCGCCCGCTGGCTGACTTGGTTCCGGAGATCTTCTGGTTCAAGAAACGGTGCATGGAGGAGGGCGTTGACATTCCCTTTTACATGCACGCTGGCGAGACTTTAGGATCCGGAGATGAAGTGGACGAGAACATTTTCGATGCGGTTTTGCTTGGTACGAGGAGGATCGGTCACGGCTTTTCGCTCTACAAGCATCCATTGCTGGTGGAGATGATCAAGGACAAGAAGATCCTCATTGAGAGCTGTCCGATCAGCAACGAGGTCTTGCGGCTGACGAGCAGTATCATGTCGCATCCTCTGCCTGCATTACTCGCCCGCGGAGTGCCCTGCTGTTTGTCGAACGACGACCCATCACTACTAGGTCAAGGAAGCAGCGGCCTAACTCACGACTTCTGGCAGGCATTGCAAGGATGGGAGAACCTAGGTCTGGAAGGGCTGGCAAGTATGGCGGAGAACAGCGTCAGATGGGCCTCGTTTGATGATTGCACCTCGAAAGAATGGCAGCAGGAGATCAAAGATGGCGCTTATGGAAAAAGTGTACGAGCAGAGCGAATGCGGGAATGGGCGAAGGAGTTCGAAGATTTCTGCGCATGGGTGGTGCAAGAATATGGTGCTGAGGTGGACATCAACACGCTGGACTGAGTTCTGACGACTCATCTTGAAGATCTAGGCGATTGCTTTCGCGCGAATAAATACCGGGATATTCACAAATTACACAGCCTCACCGACGAAGCAAACCCAAGCGTCTCCCGCCCAACGATCCACTGCTTCCAGCGGAGCACAGAACACCTTGACGTCCTTCCCAGCCAATGCAACAGCAGTCGAGAAGGGCTTGCGCTCCGCAGCTCTCTGCGCAACTATCACAACCACCTTGGCCCTGAAAGCACGCCTGTCTTCTTCCGGCAGCTCACTGTGGAGCTTCGTTTCGAAGTGCTCGGAGATCCACGGCACGCCTGCTCGAGCTGGCGCAGCTTGAGGGTTTGTTGGGTGCGGCTTGGTTGAGACGACGACGAAGTCCTGGTGCTTGCGCTTCAGGCGCTCGAGGTCAGCGAGCAGCGCCAGCGTCTGGGAGGTGCAGTTTGTGGCGTCCAGGAGCGAGAAAAGCGAGCTGGCGGTCTCGACGAGCGCATCGAGCTCATACTCGGACTGGAGATCGTCAGCCAAAGCACACCAATCGATCGCGTTGATGCTGTCGTTGCTGACCACCGACTTGACCTCTTCCGGCCCACCAGCCTCGATCTTGACATCGCTCATGCCGGCTTGTTGCGCAATTTCCGCAAGCACCACAGAGATCACGGCTTCCGTAATATCCACCTCCGCCACAAGATCATAAATCTTATTCCCCGTCCACCTATCGACCACCGGATCAATGATACAAGCCAACACCTTACACTTCTCCTCCGCGCCATGCCCGCTCCGCTCAACATGAACGCAGCAATCATACGGATACCCAATTCCATACGGCTGGTTCAAGAAGCTCTCGCCCCCCACATTCAGCACGTTCGGACTGTCCCGATACCGTTCCGTCGCGAACACGACCGGCGCCCCCTGTCTCTGCGAATCCGTCAACGCAATACCTCTTAACCGCACCCTCATCTGCTGCTGCTGCTGCTCCGCCTCGCCCGTTCCCTCCCGCGCTTCTGCCCCACCCGACAGTGGCCGATACAACCCCTCTTTGACCACAGGCGCCTCCACGAAAGCCCGCGCAAGCTTCTCCAAATGCCCCTGCCCCAACCTCACAATCCCCTCCCTCGCCTTCCGAAAAGAGTCCCGACGACAGGGACGCTTGCGCGCCACTTCAGCCCGATTGAAGGACTCCTTCGTAGGCGTCGGCGAAGCCGCTGGGGAGGGCAAAGGGTCGAAGGGCTCACTAAGCGCGAGTTTACTCCCTTTGGTCGCGAGGGGGGTGAAGTAGATTACCTTATTCGGATTTGTGGGTGCAGGGGCGCTGCGGCGTTTGCGGGTGGGTGGGGTGTATGTGGTGGGTTGGAGGAGCTGCTCGACGGGGTGGGATTGGGAGCGTCTGTGGGATGGGGGCGTGTAGGTCGTTGATGGGAGGACGAGCAATGGGGCTGGGGCTGCGCGAGTCTGTTTGTCGCTGTCAGTGGGCTCAGAGTCGACGGTGGAGACGTGTTCCTGCTTACGGGGGGAGGTGGTGTAGGTTGTTGTTGGGGTTAGTAGGGGCTCCATGGTTCTGTTTCCCGGTGGGGTGTTCCTGTCTCACTTTACTGTCCTGCAGTGTCTGATGCGTGCTTGATTGGGCTGTGTCACGTTGGTATGGTTAGCGAACTGGAGGAGAGCGAAGCAGGGGCGAAGGGCTGAGACTTGGGTCTTGGAGGTCAAAGAGACATTGTTTCTTTGATGTCGCTTTGTTAAGAGGCGGGCTCGACCGGTGCTGAAAGAGTGCATATGATAGCCATTTCGGCTGCAGAACAAAGAAGACGGCATATCATGCGCGTGGCGGACATGCTAACATCGGATGTGAAGTAAATGGAGGCAGCGTAGACCGCGAGTTCGCCGTTCCATCAAGACATTGCCAGATCGTAAATTGTATAGCATGTACATCGCATCTGTAAGTCACTCTCGCACCTCATAACTTACTCCCACCCCCCTGCGGCACCTTCACCACCACCTTCCCCCACGTCTCCCTCGCCCCCAGCGCCCTCAACGCCTCCGGCACGCTCTCCAATCCCACATACTCCTTATCCGTATAATTCGTCCCCTGGATCTTCTTACTCTTAAACAGCTCAAACAAGCCCTCCCACACGCGCTCAATCTCCTCGGGCTCGTTCTTGCTATACGCGCCCCAATGCAGTCCCATGACGGAGATGTTCTTGAGCAGGATCTTGTTCGTGCGGATGCTCTCGATGGTCCCGCCGACGAAGCCGATCACGACGAGCCGCCCGCACCAGCCGATGCATTTCATGCTCTTGTCGATCAGGCCCACGGGGTCGTAGACTATATCTACCCCCTTGCTGTTGGGAGTGAGTTTGCGCACTTGGTCCGGCCAGTCGGCGTCGCGGTAGTTGATGCCGTGGTCCGCGCCGAAGGCTTTCGCGACGTCGAGTTTGTGCTGTGTGCCGGCGGTCGCGATGACTTTTGCGCCGAAGGCTTTGGCGATTTGGACGGCGGCTAGGCCTACGCCGCCGGCTGCAGCGTGCACGAGAACCCACTCGCCGGCTTTTATCTGCGCGCGTGTTACGAGCGCGGCGTAAGAGGTTGGCATCGTGGTGAAGAAGCCCGCTGCTTCGAACAAGCTATTCGCCTCCGGTACCGGGCGCAGACTCGCCTCTGTCGTAACGACCTGCTGCGCATACCCGCCTTGAGCAGCGCCGAAGACGCGGTCGCCGACGCGGAATTTCGCTTTGCCGTTGGGAGGGGAAGTGGGAACGGCGGTGATGATGCCGGCGAATTCGTGGCCGGCGGTCCAGGGGAGGGGCGGCTGGTATTGGTATTTGCCGGCTATTTGGAGGAGGTCGAAGAAGTTGGTCGAGGTTGCGTGGACGTCGAGGGTGTATTGGTCGGGGGTGGGTTGGGGGGCGGCGAGGGTGGTTACGTTGAGTTCGAGGGGGCCCTGGGGGTGATTGTCAGTATACTTGTCTCTACGGTGTATGGTCCAGTCAATCATTGGGATGTTACTCACGCCCACGTATTCTTTGACCTGGATCGCTTTCATGCTGGGCGGTTGTGACTTGGGAGTATGTGGTGTAGAGAGTGGAACGTAACCAGACGTTTACGGGATGCAACACTCTGAATAAGAGGGACTGTTCTATCGATCTATACAATCTCCACTTATGCTGGTCGGCAGTGGACCGACCAACGATCAAGACGAAAGATCAAGGTGTTGTTGAAAGCTCACGAGCCGAGGTCCAGATCCAGATTAGATTGATGTGAAAGAAGTCGTTACTACGAATAGCCACCCAGCTAATAATCGGCCAGACGTCATGAGCGCCGTTCGCCGTTTCCGTTCTTCTGTGAGGCTCGAACACGTTCGATTGCAGCATCCAACACCACACACCACTCCAAGACACCTTGCCTTTTCCAATACCTTGATCCACATCAAACCTATCCAGCCTCCAGCTACTGCTCACCAAGACTATCACCAGGTCGGGCGATTACTGCAGCACACCTAACGGCGAAAGCGAGAGCAGATACGGCACAGCTACCACTTGCAAACAGGCCGTCATGGCCGACACGGAGCAGGAGCAGCAGATTACCTTCAACGTCAAGTCCTCGGCGGATGCGAAATATGTCATCACCATCTCAACCTCAACCAGCGTGGCAGACCTGAAGCAGAAGCTATCAACCGAAGAATATGCAAATCTCCCACCCGAAAGACAGCGGCTGATCTACTCTGGCCGCGTGCTGAAGGATCAGGATACTGTCGGCTCATGCAAGATCAAGGATGGCAACACGGTACATCTTGTACGGGGGGCAGAGAGCAATAGCCGGCAGAATCCAGCCAACCAAGGCGGCAGCACAGCAGTTCCACCTGGCGCTGGCCAACCAGCAAGCAATGTGCCCTCCAACATCGCAGCTGGCACCGGCGCTTCCAACCCACTCGCACAGCTGACAGGCGCTCGGTATGCTGGATTCCACGGCCTACCCGGCATGGATGCATTCGGCGCAGACGGCGGGATGGGCGCACCACCCAACCCAGATCAGATGCTGCGTCTACTGGAAGACCCAAACTTCGCCTCCCAAATGAACGAAGCCATGAACAACCCCGCCGTCATCGACATGCTCCGCCAGAATCCCATGATAAGAGACAACCCCATGGCACGGCAAGCCATCGAGAACCCGGAGTTCAGGCGGATGATGATGAACCCAGACATGATTCGCATGCAGATGCAGATGCAGAGAGCGATGGGCGGGGATGGTGCAGGTGGCGGACAGAGTGCATTCCCAATGCCAGGGCAGACAGACACGACGCCTTCAGCAGAGGGTGCAGCGACGGGTGATGGAACAAGTCCAACGCCAGGCCAGACCAACACGACAGGAGCTCCAACCACCGGCGGCGGAGCAGCCAACCCCTTCGCAGCACTCTTTCCTGGCGCGGGCGGAGCAGGCGCAGGTGCAAACCAAAACCAAGCGAACCCCTTCGACAACCTCTTCGGTGGCCAGGCACAAAACCAAGACGGCTCTGGCCAAAACTCCAATCCTCTCGCACAAATGACACAACAAATGATGCAGAACCCAGAAATGATGCAATCAATGATGAACATGATGGGCGGCGGCGGTATGGGCGGCGGTATGGGCGGCAACAACCCCTCCAACCCCTCCGGCAACACCGAAGGCACCAACCCCCAACAACCAAACCCCTTCGGCGGCTTCAACCCCGCCGCCTTCGCGAACATGTTTGGCGGAATGGGCGGCGAGGGCAGTGGTTTCGGCGGTGGTGGACAGCAACCGCAGCAACCGCCTGATAACCGGCCCCCGGAGGAGAGGTATGAGGAGCAGTTGCGGCAGTTGAATGACATGGGGTTCTATGAATTTGAGCGGAATGTTTCGGCGTTGAGACGGAGTGGGGGAAGCGTGCAGGGGGCGGTGGAGTATTTATTGGGGGGAGGGGTGTGATCTGCGGTATGGTAAGAGACGAAGGGTATTGTGAGAGATTATGACTTCGTTGGCATTGCTGGATAGTGGCAACGGCCATACGACGATGCGGTACTCGCAACGGAACGACGCTGAGCGTAGACAGCGAGCGAGCACGACATGTTATACATCACGACATGAGCGCAAGCGTCCCAGTACTTCGTTGCACCAGTTCCTGTGTCATGTTCGCGTCTATCTCCACGTGCCAACCCACGACGCTCCCGTGGCCCCCAACCCTCGAGCTCCGTCTGCTGCATGTTGTGCTGATCGCATCCTAACAACCACACACCAACGGTAACTATCCCTTGCAATTCTAGTGATTACCTATCCAACACCCCAGATGCCGCACGAAAATGCCTTTGCCCCGCCAAGGTGTCCAAGGCCTTCGCCAAGGTGTCTATTCGCCGCCACCACTGCACCCGAAAGCTCTTGTCGCCAGCATCTTCCCCAGCTTTTGCATCGGATCGTGCATGCGGGTTTGCGTTGACAAGCGAGAAGGGCTGGAAGTGATAAAGACCTCAGAAGTAGTCCTGCTGATCCGTGAACGTGGACGCACTTGTTCCTCAAAACTCATCCGGAAAGGTATAAGCCAAAGGCTTTGACAGGACGATGAATCACTCAAGCCCGCCACCGGACACCAAGCAGATGCGCGAGGAAGATATCGGAGCGCACAAGGAGAGCGCGCACGATGCTGCTGAGAGAGGTGTGCTTTGTCCCTTTCCCCCATCCTCATGCCATTCGTATACTGAGAAGCGGTTTCTGCAGGACATGCGGCGACAGACAAGTACATCATCCCCCACGACGCCACATACCACCCAACAGGACGTATATTGACAGAGCAACAGCTACGGCCGCGCCCTCGTAACGTTCGACCGCGCCGCCGAACGCCGCCTTCGTCTAAAGATCGACCTGTACATCGTGCCTACGGTGGCGCTGCTGTATCTATTCTGCTTCATTGACCGGGCGAATATCGGTTCGTCCCCCTCTCTTCCCTCCAAAACACCCCTCCCCTAACGTATGTGATATACGACAGGCAACGCCCGCCTCGCCGGCCTAGAAGAAGACCTCCACCTCGACCCGGAATCCTACGACTACAGCACCGTCTTGTCGGTGTTTTACGTCTCGTACATTGTGTTTGAAATCCCGTGTAGTCTGTTGAATAAGTGGATTGGGCCGGGATGGTTCATTCCGGCTACGACGCTCGGGTTCGGGATTTGCTCGTTGGGGACGGCTTTTGTTCGTGAGTACTCGCTGCGTCTTGATGATGTGGGGGAAGGGTAACTGATGGAGGGACAGATACTAAGGGGGAGGCTGCTGGGGTGAGATTGTGAGTTATGAGGTATCTTGTGTTTCATGGGCCACGGCTAATGGGGTGATACAGCGTTCTGGGAATCTTCGAAGCCGGCATGCTACCGGGTATTGCCTACTACCTGAGCAGATGGTATCGTCGAAGCGAGCTCGCCCTGAGATTGTCGTTGTACATCGTCATGGCTCCTCTGGCGGGTGCTTTTGGTGGGCTTCTGGCCTCTGCGATTCTGACCCTAGATTCGGTCGGGAGTGTCAGGAGCTGGCGGATGATCTTCTTGATAGAGGGGATCATCACTATCGGTCTGGCCATTATCGCTTTCTTCACGCTTACGGATCGGCCTGAGACTGCCAAGTGGCTGAGTCAGGATGAGAAGGATCTGGCGATTGCTAGGGTGAAGTCGGAGCGTGTACGTCCTCCTGCGGCCCTCCAAACCTCTTCGTGTACATACTAACACCTCCCAGGTCTCCACCACCGAAGTGCTGGACCACATCGACGTCAAGAAGATCCTCATGGGCATCTTCAACCCTGTCGTCCTCTCAACCTCCTTCATCTTCCTCCTCGACAACATCACCGTCCAAGGCCTCGCCTTCTTCGCCCCAACCATCGTCGCGACAATCTACCCCGAAGCCTCCGTCGTTTCGCTCCAACTGCACACCGTACCTCCATACGTCGTCGGAGCCTTCTTCACCGTCCTCCTCCCCCTCCTCTCAACCATCTTCGACAAACGCCTCATCTTCATGATCATCTCCGCCCCTTTCATGATGGTCGGATACATCATGTTCCTCGCCACCGAAGCCTCCATGGTCCGCTACGGCGCCACCTTCCTCATCGCCATCGGCGCCTTTTCCTTTGGCGCCCTCTGCAACGCCCAGGGATCCGCGAACGTCGTCTCAGATACCTCGCGCTCCGCCGCTATGTAAGCTATCCCTCCCCACGCATCCTCCCCTACCATAGCAAACTAATTCTGTTATCCAGCGGCACGATCGTAATGTTCGGCAACATCGGCGGCCTCATCTCCACCTGGACCTTCCTGCCCTTCGACGCGCCCAACTTCCCCATCGGCAACGGTTTGAACCTCGCCACTTCCAGTATAATTTTGATCGCGTCGATCTGCACGCTGCTGTTCATGAAAGCGGATAACAAGCGACGCGCGAAGAAGGACGTCGAGGCCGAGTTGGCGGGCAAGGGGCAGAAGGAGATTCAGGATTTGGACTGGAAGCATCCGGGGTTTCAGTGGAGGCCGTGAGGTGTTTATTAAGTCAATAGGAGGGAGGGAAGACGAGTCACGAATGAGTGTGGTTTGAGCGTGGAGCGTGGAGTCTGGCGGTTGAATGGGGGTTTCAACAGGTTCAACAGGCGTTTGTTGTGGTTCGGGTACATATTTCATCGCTTCAACAATGCATGATCAGTAGTAGTACTAAACTTTTTCTTTTCCTCCCTCGCAAAGTAGGACAACCGCTCCAGAACAGACAGCAGCCAGCCAAAGAGCAGATGCCTCATCGGAGGATCTCGCCCGAGGCATTTTGCCTTTTCGCAGCAGCATGTCACTGCCCAGCTCTGATTGGCTGCTAGTCTCTGCGCCTTGGCCGCCTTTGCTTGCAGATCGTAGTCAAGTCTTTGGTCGACGTATAAATTTACTCTCTTTCTATTGTATCAACACCTGCAATCAACATTCCTCCCAAGTCAATCACAATGGACACGGTCGAGCATAGCGTCGCTCACGATCCCAAGGCGAACGCCGGGTTGGGGGATGTTCGCCACCAGGATACTTCCACTACGGACGACGGCGAGCTGGAGAAACAATCGACTGGCCAGAATGATGGGGAGAGAACAGAGAACTACGACAACGGTATGTACAGTGCCTGACTGGTCTGAAATATCTTGCTCTGCTAACGGTACAACTAGACGGACGACTAGCAGACAACCCCCCACCCCCACCCCCACCCCCCTTCCGCGGCCTCTCCCTCCTCGACCGCTTCCTCGTCCTCTGGATCCTCCTCGCCATGGCCCTCGGAATCCTGCTCGGCGCCCTCGTCCCCAGCACCGGGCCCGCCCTGCAACGCGGCACCTTCGTCGGCGTCAGCATCCCCATCGCAATCGGGCTGCTGGTAATGATGTACCCGATCCTGTGCAAAGTGCGCTTCGAGACGCTGCATCTGCTGCTGAAAACCCGGGCGTTGTGGAGGCAGATAGCGATTTCGTTCGTGCTGAATTGGATTGTGGCGCCGTTGTTCATGACGGCACTCGCATGGGCGTTTTTGCCGGATAGGCAGGGACTACGCGATGGGTTGATTTTTGTGGGCGTGGCGAGGTGTATTGCTATGGTGCTGATCTGGACGGATCTGGCGGGCGGGGATGGAGATTACTGCGCCGTGCTGGTGGCTTTCAACTCGGTGTTGCAGATGGTGCTATTTGCGCCGTTCGCGGTGTTCTATGTGCGCGTGGTGTCGCACGATCGGAGCCAGTTCGACGATCAGCTCTACCAGACCTCTGCGAGGTCCGTGGCGGTTTTCCTGGGGATTCCGCTTGGTGCGGCGGTGGTGACGAGGCTGGTGTTAAGGAGGGTGTTGGGGGAGCAGAAGTATCAGCATTACTTCATTCGGTTCGTGGGGCCGTGGTCATTGATCGGACTGCTGTATACGATTGTGGTGCTGTTTGCTTCGCAGGGGTTGCATGTGGTGGAGCAGATCACGTCGGTGCTGAGGGTGGCGGCGCCGTTGGTGGTGTACTTCCTGGTCATTTTCTCCTTTACGGCGTTTTTGATGTGGAAGTTTGGATTTGGGTACCGAGTGAGTGCGACGCAGAGCTTCACGGCAGCATCCAACAACTTCGAGCTGGCGATTGCCGTGGTGGTCGCAACGTACGGAGCTGGGTCGCAGGAAGCACTGGCTGCGACGGTTGGTCCACTGATCGAAGTGCCGGTGTTGGTCGCGCTGGTGTATGTGGCGAAGTTTGCGCGGAAGAGGTGGCATTGGGAGTAGATGATAGCTTCAACGTAGAAACAGTTTCATCACTGTTCAGCATCACGAATTGTTCAGCTGATCCTGTAAAGCCCACATATTCCAGAGCTTCGTCGGTGACTCTCCTCCCTGGAAGTCGTCCTGGTAATAATCATACTGCAGAGCGTCTGTTTGAAGGTCCAGCTTGCCATTCGTTTCCACAGGCTCTGGCTCGGGTATGAGCACAGTGTCGGCATAGGCAATCGTCAATCGCAAGTTGGAATCAGCCAGCATGACGACGATCCGGTCACAAGCAGCTTTGCATACAGCAGACACCGGGCTCATCTGCGCCGGCTCGGTGACGACAAAGTACCCAGACGCCGCTCTCGAGGTAGCATTCGATTTTATCCGCGGCACAGTCGCTCTCGCCAGATTCCGCAGGAAGTTGACCGAACCACTCCACTCCTCCGCGAACGCAGCCTCATCCAGCTGCAACACATCCGAATTACCCGTACCAAACGACGGACAGCACAACACCCCATGCAACAGCTGCTCCCCCGCCAGCGCCTTCTCCACCACCTCCCCAACAACCTCCCCACTCCACCTCCCCCGCAACTCCACCTGCACACCCACCTCCAACCCCAACTTCCCCAACAGCGCGTACAAATCCATCTTCAACTGCTTCAACTGCCCCTCCCACTCAAAACACCCCACTACCACCACCCGCGAATACGCCCCTTTCCGCAACATCACCCCCAAATACTCCATCGTCTTCGGATGCACCTCCCTCGCGACCGCCAGAACCAACACCCCCTTCGTCAAAGCCACAGGCGCCGTAGCGGGTATCTGCTGCTGCTCCGCCGTCGTCTCTTTCCCGTCCTGGTAGTCCAGCGCGTTCGCCGTGCTCATCGGTCGCTTGCCGATGGGTTTCCGCGTGACGGGGGCGTTCATGTATGAAGGTACAGTGGAAGCCGGGCGGGAGGAGGTGCTGGTGGTGCTTTCGGCGTAGGAAGGGGAGGTGGAGCGGGGATTGGCGGCAGTGGAGGAGGAGGTGGAGTAGACGCTGCTGCCTCTGCTGGGGCCGAAGGCGGTGGGGTTGGTGCGGTGGAAGTGCTCCATGTTGGCTGACTGGTGGGATGGGATGGGATGGAAGCGGAGGAGGTTGTTGGGAAGCAAGGAGAGGATGGAGTGGAGTGCAACCTACGATATGTACAGGAGGGATATAGAGACGGTAAGGAGAGAGGATGCCAGAAAAAGTATACACTTGCCAGGTACTGCCCCCCAACAGTGGTCTGGGCCGATCTTGGTCGTCTGGAGGTGGGCCTCGCTCCGAGACGTCGCGTCCTTTTTTCTCCGCGAAACGCCGTTGGTTTTTTACGTTGCATTGACTTCGGCTCTGCTTCGGTGGATTTCGTCAACGTAACTTCAAAGGGATCTTCTATGGAGTCGACACTTGCACCGCTGTCCGTAGCAAGCTGATGGCGATGGTGGCGGTGGCGGAAGAGGTGAAGAAGCTGGATGCCGAGTTCGCAGCTGGAAAGCTTTTCAAGAGACACGCCTGACCGACAGCTAACGAGAAATATACCATTCCACGAACGCGCTTGGGTATGTCGAGAGAAGGGATAAGGAGGTACCTTAGGAAAGACTGCTCAAGGAAGCAAAGCCAGCATCTATGGGTGACCGAACGTTCAGAGGAATGTTGGCTTCATATGTGGTTAGCAGAAAGGTATTCAACGCAGTCGTTGCAGCCCCAAGGCGATGCTATAAATCCCTTTACTGCCCC